ATTGACTGGCAAAAACAGCCCCATGGAAACAATCTTTTTGGAATGGTAAATCTTACAAGAATGAAAATCCAAAGAAGCATATAAAGGAGGTCTGCATGACATCCATTTAAATTTTAATTTACTCAACTGTGCATAAGATAACAACGATGTTCGTTCACATCCTTACACAGCTATATTTTGGCTTTCGAATCTATTCCCATCAACGAATGAATAAAAATTCCCTCTTTAAGTTACTTAGGAACAGTAAGCAGTTTATGAGCTTTGTTTCGTGTCTGGCAAAGAAAAAATTGGACAATTTACACAGCGAATTGCTAAAGAAAACTTACGTTTCAGTTTCTTCGTCCGGGTCACAGATATAATGGTTCCCGTTCACGAGTCCTCTATGATTTGAAACATCCATCTTTGAAGCTCGCCTTGTCGAACATCAACATTAAATACGGAAGACTCAACACGACAGGCTGTTGTAGAACGGGTGTAGAATACCTAACCCAGTATTGAACAATAAGACATTAAAGTCAAACATTCTTCTATTATCCCCTGTGAGTTATTTAAACAATAGGGATGTATTTAAGGTGTTAGAGCAAATCCGATCTGTGTGGCTCAGGCAAGATAACGTCAAGAGACCATTTTTATCAACTAAATATGCTATGGTATAGGAATTTTGCTAAACAAAACGTAAGAGGCAGTCCTTATACACTAGAAATCATAGAACTAAAGAACTTTCCTCTTCGCTCTGACCACGAAAGAAAAATTTGGGGTTGAGGCACCCTTTGTAAAGGGTGTCATCTAAAAAACTTTATGGGGCAGCGTATTTCGAAGCAAAAAATTAGGGAGAGCAGTGTAGTCTGTTTTTTAGAGTTTCTTGGTAAGCTTTTGTTCCGATTTTCTTTGCTAGCAGCAAATACTACAAGGTGGGATATATCTTGGCATATTTTAACGAGAACAGGGTTATTGTCCAAAGGAGTTTTCTTTATTCCGTCACTTTCACACTCAACTACCCCCTTCGGAAGGGAGGAGCATCTGCAAGGTGCAATCTATCATCCATTTAAAGTATCACATACTTCTGTTTGTGAGCACCCCATCCTTATCAGATATTCTTCCAGACTTTCAGTGAACCTACAACTGCTGTTGTCAATGGTCAATGTCGTACTCATCTGTTTCAAAAGGCGTTGGTGGACTACCTTTGGTGCCCAGGCCCCTGGCCCAGAAAGATTTTGCCTTTAGTTCTGAGACTAAAATATTTGTTTGTTATCTTCAGTCAAAGGCCGCATACTTATGGGAACTTATTGCAATCACGTTCGGCAACACAGATGCCCCATCCTAAGATTCTTTGTAATCGGCAGTTTTTTAACTATATTCCCATGATATATTCGTAATTTGGGCAATGCGCAAATTTAATAGCCAAGAAATCTGCAGAAAAATTCCACAAAAATAAGTTCTTGCAAAAGTTAATTCGCTTAAAAATTTGAGTAGATGATGAATTCGAAGTAAAACTTTGTCTTTACATCTACAATACATTCATTTATTTCATCTTCATATATTGAATAAAGTATTTGATGGAAAGACGTTTTCAAAACGAATTAACATTCTTTAAAAATGTTGAAACATCCACTACAAAGACAAGACGACTGAGATGACGAAAACATTTCAAATGCATTTGTTTAAACGCTCATGTTGGACTTAATGTTCCCTGTTGTATCACATACATGCAGATTTACATTTTTTCGAGGCAATTCATTAGAAAAGTTTGTGTTGTTGTAAGGTGTCAAGCATATTTTCATCGTTTAAAAATGTTTAGTTGTATTTTTCTTCTGTGGCCTGGTCATTTTTAATGACCAGAAGAACATCCTACTTTGCATGTAAGTGAACCAGTAACTTTTAGAAATTTTGTCGAAAAAATCAAGCTTAAAATGATACTTTCGAATTCTGTTCCAAAATATGGTAAAAATGTTGAAAACGTTTCTGTCTCTTATAATGACAAACTGCAGCGACGAGAGATTTTCCAGTGTTTTGAAACGCATAGAGATTTACTTGTGATGAATTATAGGTCAGACGCAATTGATTAGCCTGTCTCTTCTAGCATCAAGAATTATGTAATGGACGCGATTCCGATAGATGATAAAATTATATCTGACTTTGCAGCTATAAAAACACGAAGTTCCTGCGCAAACTTATTGTTTGACATATTTGTCATCATATTTTATCTTAATTAATAATTGTCGTACATCTAAACTTTTTACTTCAGGTTTTTGCAGCATACATTAATGACGCTAATATATGATATTATCTTTCTTGGCAGAAGTCGGCCCTAAAATTTCCTAGGTCCCTGTCCACTACTGTCAAAGGCATGGGCCTAAATGGAAATCGTTTTCGTAAAAATAATCACCAAACCTTTTGAATTCGACAAAGTTTACTGAAAATCAGCGAGTGCTGAGTAGTGTAAATCTGTTTGCAAATCTAGATATGTTTTCTAAGATTTACTTTTGATAATCTGGTCAACGCCTTTTATCTTTTTCTTACAGAACCGTAGCTGACAGTGCAGCTCAATATTCCAATGGTTTCTTGCACGAATAGACATCAGGTAATTTAAGATCAACCATCATTGCAATTAGTTTTAACAGAATTTTTCCACTTTGATAGTCTTGATAAGCAAAGTTGACGTTGGATAAGAAAATGACTTTCATACTTGCCAAATTGGGTGATGTCGAAACACAGGACAAAATGGCCAAACTATAGCGGAAATTCCAAAAACGTCTGTTGCAACTGGTCAACTCAAAAGTGTTGACCACAGAATTTTATGATAGGATATGACCCACGGGCAGCACGACCACAATAGAATTGCCTCCATACAATACACAAGCCGAATGTTCCCCTTAGACCCATCCTGTCTATAATTGGCTCAGCGCAACACGAACTGGCTAACTGGCCTTCTCTTCTGATGTGTTGGACCTTGCTCTTCAAAAATGTTCAAAACATTGCATCAAAAATTCTTTTACGTTTGCCGATTTCATGCGAAACTTGAACATCAAAAACGAAACATCTTTTATGTGTTCTTTCGACATTAGTAGTCTTCTCACAAATGTCCCTTTGAGTGAGACCATCAAAATATGTGACAGTGCTTTGTACCGGAGCGAGCTTGATAGCCCACCATTCCCAGAGGAAGAATTAATTGAACGGATAGAAATGCGACTCGTTCAGTTCAGCTTTAACAACGAAATGTGCAAAAAGGGATGGTAACGTTTTGTGTAGCCCTTTGGAACGTGCCTTGGCCAATATCGTTTTGGGCTTTCATGAAGAGCGTTCGTTCGACTGCGAACAAATGACAGGTTCCATTTTCAATATATGGACGACACACATACCATCTTCAAAACAAAAGCTGGGTGTGATGTTTTTCTAAAATGCCTTAATGCCCTTCACCCGACCCTTCAGTTTACGTTTGAAAAGGGAGAAAATGATTCCTTGCCATTTCTAGACGATTTCATAGATTGGTAAAACTTCCTTGCGATTTGAGAGTGAGATTTAACAGGGCACCATAAAATGTTTTCTTGTTGTCAATCATCGTATTGTTTTCAGTATTAGTAGACCCCTTCCATCCATTCAAAATGAATTGCGTCTCTACCATCCCTGTGATTTGTTTACGTGTCAGTGTGATTCTGGCTACGTAGGACGCAGAGCCCAAAGATTGGGGAACATTATAAAACATGTTCCTTTCCTTCAAACATAAGAAATAAAACTGCCCCTCAAAGAGAACAGCCTCCTCGATCTTGTAGTTCTAGCAACACAGCAAAAACTAGTGATTCTGCCATCAGACAACACTTCTAGACAACAAAGATTGTTCAAAACTCTATAATGGCGACATGTTTAAGATAATTGGTAGAGCCCGGTCGTCTTTCCATTTAGCAGTTTTGGAATCGATCTACATACAAACAAAAAAGCCGCTATTGGTTAGCCAGAAGGAGTTCGTTTTCTCTTCTGGACTTCAGTGGTAATTTTTCTATAGGCACACAGCACTGATTGGACAACTATGCTGGTCACGTGCTTGTGTTTTCCTGATTGGCCTAATTCAATCCACAACTGGGTATACATTTTCCATCGTGTTATTTCAGACCCTCGTTCTGATGTTTTATACTCTGAGAAGTGGCAGATGGAAAGCTTTTATCATGTGGTGAAATGTTTGCTTTTTTCAAAGCCACTTGGAATTTTAAAAATCAAAGAAATTATATCTTTATCCTGTCGAAAAAATTGTTGCATTTCTCACATTTAACATCTGCCTACAAAACTCAGCAAAAAACTGTAAGACTAGAAAAACTTATAACTTTTAATACAGTCTGCTTTATATAATTTGAGGAAGCGAGCTAGCTATTCTATTAGTCATTCGTTATTCTGTTCACTTCTAATTAACTGCTGTTAGATCTTCTGCAGACAATAATGGTTGGTCTCGACCGTCTGCAACTGACTACATATTCTGCTGACTTGCCCTATAAGGATTCATAACATTGCTAAAACAGATAAGTCAGTTTTAACAGACGGAGTCTTAAGCAAACAGAGTCGTAGGAGAACAGTCATACGAGCAGAATCACTGGAGAAGCATGCTTCTTAATGCATGTGTTATTTCCTTATTCCAAGAATTACATTTCTGAGTGTTTCATCTGGAAATTCACTTTGGAATTACGTCGTCATATCATTGCATTCAGCTAATAACGGATTCGGGACTCCACCCGCTTAATCTACTTCTTATTTAGTTGATTCCTGACTAAATTGCTTGTTCAAGCTGAAAGCAATTGGTCTAGAAGGATATTTTAAGACTGATAAAAAGGTGATTTTCAAAAAGATGGGATTAGGCTTTCAGGGTTTTAGAGGAAGGAAAAGAGCAATAATAGGGAGTAAGTATAATTTAGAATGATCTATCCCATCCTAAATTGTTAAAAAAATTCTTCGATGTAACAAAATGGAAATGATGCAGTCTCAACAGTACACCCCTTAAAGGTAAAAATACTTACAGCATTATCGAAAATTGGTGATAATCCAGTGTACGAAAAGAACGGGGTCTGATATCTTCAACTCAAATCTGTTATAGAAGTGAATCTACGACCATGAGAAATAGTTGTCTGCGGACTGTCGAACCAAACTTGCTTTGACAGCCCTGTTTCAAGCAAAATAAATATAAATATAACTCTAAATCATAAAATTTAATTCTAGAAAGCAAGGGGAAGAGTTCATGGCCAAAGAACTAAAAGCAAAGATTAAAAAAATACCTGTCGTTATTCCGCACCAAGTTATAACGTCGTGTAATTTCAAGAGGTATTGCTTTATGTCCAGTAAACAGAAACAACTTTATTCTAGACCATTTGTAAATACTCAGACAATTGATCCTTAGCAGTATTATTCACGATAGATAAGCTAGTAAACATAGCAAAACAAAAAGCATGTTCACAAGGTAACATACTTGTTTATAATCAGAACTGTTGAGTCCAACTTTAGGAACTACGAGATTAAAAACACTGAACAGTTTTCATGCCAGCGATAGCAGATAGCCGTGTGAAAATTTTATACTATGCAGACAGTGGTGGAAAGGGGGTTAAGCTAGCCTGTGGCAGCATTTGTGGACTGGGGTGGAGGTCGGGTTAAGCGCGAAAAATTTGAAATTTTCTATCTAGCGCAAGTGCCTACTCTCTATTTCCCGTTAAAAAAGTTCTTCAGTGATGGCGCAATAATAGTATATCTTTAGAATTTTTTAATTATGAGCAAATGATCTGATTAAGAAATATTTCTAAGTCCAGTAAATTAGTTAGAAGTGTTACAAATTGGCAGAAATTTGGCCACATGAGCTAAGCTACTCTTCTGTCCGCAACTCACTGTAGTTTGGTCTCGATTCTTAACTTTATGGACTACCGAAAGTTTATGCAGCAACCAAAATAACAGTAATCTGTTTTAAAACCTCAATTCTTTTATTGACCATATCTCACTCATTGCTAGATATGTCAATTGGGTATTTAATGATTTTTATTTAGGTTATGCAGACAAATGCAAAAATTCTAAAAATATATTTTTATTGCGTCACATTTAAAAACTCTTTGAAAATTATCTCTAAGTCTTACAAACAGCTTCGTGAATTAGAAACTGTACAAACCTTTCTCAACAAAAATACTTCGAAGAACTTTTACATGCCTGTAAACTTCTATAACCATTCATCAAGGTTACTGATTTATTCCAAAAATGACAAAGTACCAGTACCAGTTGTTGTCCGAAATTGACAAATATGTTTTTGAGCAGGTCTACAGAGTTGTGCCAGGGTAAGGCCCGGCAGCTTAAAGCAAAGCCCTGGCAATGGGAAAGAGGGAGAGGTCAGAAAGAAAGGGCGGTAAGAACGAAAAGTCTTGAATAAAGACAGGTTAACGTAAAAAGAAAGTGTGAAGCAGGAAGAGAGATCGTCCCAAACTTTACAACCGAGAATGTTCCAAAGTTTACAAAAAATTGGTAGAAACAGGTAAAACTTAATGAGAAAGACCTAGAAGAGACTTTGTAAGATTGCAGTTGTTGATGAGGCAAATGACTTTAGATTGGAATTTGTCAAAAAAGCACAGAGGAGCACCACTCTAAATATGGGATGATAATATTCCAATGGAGAACGGAATTGGGAATTTAGAATCGTCGGAAGTCGTGTTAGAGAGAAGAATCCTTTTGCTCTAGAGGAGAACCAAAGTTTTGATGAAGATATAAACAATTTGAGGGTAAAGGATGAGAAACAGCTATCTTCAAGTTCAAATACAAAAATTATCGTGTTAAAATTGAAATATATTCAGACCTCAGGTTTCAAAGAATTGTCATTAAAATTACTCTCTTTTATAATTTGTCTTTTCTAACATTTGTTTTGTGTATGTGAAATTTCATTTTCAATATTGTTAATTAAAAGTGCTCTTTGTTGTATGTGATTTGCAACATGTAGACGTAACATTAGTTTAAAATCTCTTTACGCTTAATGTTATTACCCAAGAGGGTTGCAATGTACTTCCATGCTGCCTTTGGCATCCCCTTAACATATGTTCATTGTAAATTTAATTGGAATATAGAAAAAAAGAAGCAAAATACCAGAGAATCGAGGGAGTTCAAATGTTTATCAACCAAGAATCAAACCATAAAATCTGAATACCTAATATTTTCTTAAGCTGAATACTTATTGCGTTCTTATTGTATTATGTTTCATTACAAAGTCAGTGGGTGGGATGTAGCTTCTTAGAGGTTTTGTGGAAAGAACAGGGCGTGGCACTCCCCACAATCGTTAACGTAAACAAGATTTTTGATTCCTAGAAACTTATGTTTACTGAGTGGTTGATTCAGGGGCGAGTACTAAGTGAAACTCCCTCTAATTTTCGACATTCTTATCATTTAATGATTACCCGGGTTTTCGCCTTTGTTGTCAAAAGAACAGACAGGCCTTCAATTTTGACGATTGTACAAAAGCGTCAAATATCAAGATTCAGACACTATCCTCTTTTTGCAAAATAGCTAGACGAAGTGTTTCGAGCGATTCAGGGCTCAGATTTAATGGGCGCAAATCTGGAAAGCGATTCCGTAATCCGGAATTTAAAGGCCGTATCATATTGTTAAATTTATATTCATTTGTTTGGCAATTTATCCAGAAATCTTGTTGTCTTTTCTGACAATAAAAATATCAACCGATATTCTAGGGTCAAGCAAATATCATTTAGGTCTGCAAAAGCACTTTTTAAAAACAGCGCGAGGTGAATTTGGAATGGGCATAAATAAAAATTTCGGGAGCAAATATAAGGTGATCTTTCCATAAACTATTCTCTTACTTTGACTACATCCCCAACCAGCAGTTAACACATACAATATAAAATATTACATACTATCTTACAACATCTTAAAACTAATTAAAATTTCTCTTTGGAGGCCTAATGTTCATACTAGCACCTTAAAACTGAATCAAGTTCGTCTCAACCTGCTCTGGCTCTAAAATTCCCGCACTGAGTGGGGCAACCGGGGGCGTGCTGCCGGTCGCAAAAGGATCACAAAACGGATTTTCAGCGACGGGGGAGTCGAGTTTGAGAAGTGGGCTTCTTTGAACCATTGACACCTCCGGTACCAGAAGGTCAGTCTTGAATGAGTTTTGTTCCGGCTTTTCCTCGTTGCTGAAGTAATCAACAACTGGCGCAGGAACATCATCTACAAAGAAACAGAATAGAGTGCAATGCGGTGGTTCATAATAAAATCCAACATAAGAAATTGCGGAATAAATTCCTAATTGGCAACTTAACTTACGCAAATGGGATCTTAAAAAGCCTTATTATCCGGGCTAAGTCAAATACTTGCCAAAAGTGCTTGGAGCACCAAGCAGTTCAGTCAATTCCCTATCTATTTTTAATTCCTGCCTATAAAATAGTTGAGTTGCTCATGTTCTCCAAATAATGTAGGAATTGTACTTCCTAACATCCTACTTTCAGAATTAGAAGTTCCGTTCGAATAGTAAGTACACTTCTACGGAGAATGATCCAAAATTGTTTGAAATGGGAGAGTGGAACTGCTATTGTGAAAGGCAGAGATTTTGCTGGTGCTTCAAGACTTTTGGCAAGCACTGTGGATCCTCCGCCAAGCAGACAAGACAAGGTTTACTTGTTTGGTTGTTTAGACAGCATGAATGATAACAGTGAAATCAAAGAAGGCACTTACCAGGCAAAGGTTTTTTGGTTTTATTTGAGATCGGTGATGGCATGCTGATAAGAGCTACCTTGGTCGGACTCTTCTCTGTGAAAGCAAAGATGGAAACTGGATAAGGACAGAAAGAAAAGCTCTAAGTGAAAAATAAATCTACTGAATAATTAACGGTCAATAGATGCGAATGTTATTTCGACAAGACCGAGAACCGACTGCAGATAAACTCTTTTTTTATAAGAACAATTTTTTAAGAACACGAGCCTCAAAACTGGTCAAAAGTTAAAAACAAATTAAGAACAAGCTGAGGCTGAGTTTGCAAAATGCAATTTTGAACAACGTTTTTTCTCAAAATCGAGGAGTTTTAGCGATGTATGGGTGTTTTCTCGGTGAATATTCAAATTTGTCAGCAAATTAAGGCTGTCTCACTAACTTTGTTGGCAAATAAAGCCTGAACACCACCTTGGAGCGAAAAAGCTAGCACTCGCACTGCTTACACCCTATTAAATTAAGAACCAATTAAGAACAATCTAGCCTCAGATTTTCGAAAAAATTAAGAACAGTCAGCCTGAACTTAAATTTACTGTTTCTTATAGAAAAAAGAGTACAATGCCTGTTAATCAGGATTGTTAAAAGAAGCCATATTGCAAGTTGGTTATAAATACTCTATTTTGCCAATCGACTAATAAGTAGTAAATTGGAATAGATAGAATTGAACAGAAACAATAAATTATTGACAACATATCTTGAAAACAGAGATGCAATGATTTCATGTTAACACTTGCAACTCACCGTTTAGCAAAGTTGCTTCTTTTTCGCTTTTTCTAATTTCGTCTTTTGAAATGCTTTTCCTTGACTTCGCTATACTTTTTGGAGTTTCAGAAAACTTTGCTCGAGGCGCAGAAATAAGGCTTTTATCTTGACTGGGTTTTAAAATACCAGAAACCGAAAGCCTACTCTTGGGACGGGGAATTCCTTGTCCTATGCTTCTCCTAGAGTTTGGAGTTTGCGCTGAAACAGGTCGTATAGGAGTGCTGTTATGGCTTGGCCTCGTGAATGGTAGCTTTGAAATGGAAGAATTCAAGTTCGATTGTCTTCGTGGTGTTTGTCTTTCAGTTGTGCTGCTCAGCGACCGTCGATGCTCACCAGCTTTCTTTGGTGTTGTGAATAATCGAGAAGGCAAAGCCCCACTTACAGATTTTGTTCTTTCATTAACCTTAGCTTTTGAGTTTGATGCCTCGAGACACGAAACGCTTTTTGTCTCTAAGCCAGTGGCTTTCATTGGTTTTAGCTTTGATTCTTGTGTGGCAGTTGTTCGTGGTCTGGCTTTTGCTTGAAGCAGTCCAGGTTTTAACAAAGGGACTCCGGTTGGTTTTAAGCCTTTTGGCTGCATTTTGGGAATCCCAGTTGCCTTGAAATTATGAAAGCAATGATATAAACTGAAATTTCAAATGGGTTAACACTGAATGATGCAACATGACTTTATGAAGTTATCGTAATAGCCCCAACTCTATTGGCTATGTTTTGGTTTTGCTAATTGATATCTGAAAACATGGTTTTCTTCTGTGTGTTGATTTCATATGGAATTTTCAAACAGTTCTCTTTGAAAATATTTTATGCTGGGGAAGTGAAACAAATTCAATATTTGCTGATGAAAGGAAACAAGTTCTTGATTAGCATGTTAAAGGCAATCAACAGATATAAAGTGGCTTCAGTCACCAACTATTGCTAACTAACTATCAATATTGTTTACATTTTTCAATCAATATTAGCTAATCAATGAGCATGTGAGTGGAATCACACTCACTGATTGGTCAATATTTGGTTGAAAGGTGGCTAAAGCCCTTTAGTATCTGTCCATTGCCTTTAAAGACAGTGTGTTCTGCCAGTCAACCATCCAGATTTAAGAATAGGATGTTTACAATCCATTGAAGATTCCCAGATTGGCTCAGTAACAATAGGTTACATTGTTAAGTCTAACCAATGGGAATTTAATCAGCCAGTAAAATTAGTCAGGACACAGTGCTTTTAAGTGAAAGCATATTGTGTGCCTACTGAATGCTTTCATATTTTTGTGAATTGGAACAAGTATATTGATAATACCAATGGACTAAAGGTTTGCCTGATTGCCATAGCATGATGCAGTTATCAAATTTTGTGTAATTCTAAAAAGCACCAACAGCCTTACCACTGGTAGAGCAATCCTTGAGCTTGACCTTCTTGCAATGCCACTTTCACAGGAGAGTCTTCTGATAGGCTTTTTCTCTTTTGATTGAGTTTCATTCAAAGAGTTCTTTAACTTTTCAGGAACATGAAGTTTTGGTTTATCTTCTATCTTGGAAGTATCTTTTGATACACTAAGGTTTCCAAAGTTTTCAATATTCTCTTTGTTTGACATTTTTTCTCTTGCTGATTTCAGAGATAGGAGGTTGATGCCTGAAGAGTTTCTTTTAAAAGGTGGTACAACAGCAACTGGACTACTGCTATTAAAACTTGTTAGTGGCTTATACTTGAGCATGGCAGACACTTTAGCACATTCTTGCAACAACATCACTTGTTCTTTAGGCTCTAAAGGTTTCACTGGCTCAACTGTATTCTTCTGCACAACTGCAGCCGCACACCTCTCTAAGTGACCAACAGGGCCAAAAAATATCTCATCATCACTATCCTCATCAATGTTCTCATCATTATTGCCAACCTCCTTTTCATCAGGTCCATCTCTACAAAATGCAATGGAAATTTTACTGTTTTATCAGTCTATCATAAAGTGTTTGATGCCCTATAGGCCAAGCTGTACATGTTTTGGTCAATCAAAAAGAACAGTTATAGGTAGCAACTCTGAGTTCATGCTTTATGTGATCACCAGGCAGCTATTCCGTATGATCATCAGGCAACTTTATGCAAGTTGATCTTTAACTGCTGGTAGTAGCAGTGTGAATAGCAAATAATATCATTAACTTGCATTAAAAAAGCACCAAATATTAAAAGGCACCAGGTAACCTTATGAATTTCAGTCACCAACTGACATTTATTTGAATCAGGCATTTTGAGGAGCAAAAACCAGGTGCTTGACAATCTGAACACCTTCAACTTTCTAGGCGCTCGATTGAGCATCATCAAATATCATCAACAACAAAATTTTGTTTTTTGAATTTAACTTTCAGACAACATAAACAAGCTAGGTGATCCATTGATCAAGCTCCTATAACTTTCTAGGTGCATGTGGAGGTGTTCGATCGAGCTTGAGCGCCTCTTCTTGCAAGGATTGATTTGAATGCCAGTCAGCTTCTGACAGGCACCATGGAACCCACTTTTTTAAAAAAATGTTTTTATCAATGAACCACCAGTAAAGTCTCTTTTTATTTGGATTTTAACCCCTAGATTTTCTAAACCCCCACTTCCCTTAATGCTCCGCAATGCATGAATGATTAACTGTTGACTGAGAAATTGAGTTAGTGTCACAACTTACCCAAAAAGAGGTGATAATGGAATATCAAAGTCAAATTTCTCATTTTCCAACCAACAATCTAGAAAAATGAGCAGAAATGGAATGAAAGTTTTTGGATACGATGGCTGTAAAAGATAATGAAATTTTCAACCAAGAAGAAAGTTGAAGTAGTTTTCTCGTTTATTTCAAGCTCTACCATCAACAAGACAAAAGAATTTTAAGAAATTTTCATTATGAACAAACAATAAAGTCTTTAGTGCATTTCACTCCACGAGGTTCAGCAGCCTTTTCTTTTAGCCACGTGTGAAGCATAACAAAAGAAAATACCCGAATGTTTTTCCTTTTTCCTTAGCCTGTAACAGCTTGCAAAATAGTGCATTTTCTATATCTAGTATGTGAAAATGGCTTTGAAAAAAGCAAAAATTTAACAACATATTGCGTAAACCTTTTTCGTCTGACACCAGGGTGGAATAAATGTGAAACTCACGACAATGAGAAATCGTTAGTCTACATGGATTCGTTAGTTTATCCGGCGTAAGCTACATGGATTCCACACTGGGTCTGACACTCCTCAGAGCATAAAACGTCAGAATATCCAATGAAATTATGTAAAATTTAATATGAAAAAATTAAATAGCAAAGTAGTCTGATTCGGTGAAAAACTGGTAGCCAAAAAAACTAATTACGAGTTATCGTGTATTGGCTCGTGTCTTTCGTGTGACCCCTATCATAATTGCTATCTCACGTTAAACCGTTTCATGTAGGCCCTAGAGTTTGAAAAATGACACCAAAACACGACATATTAGGTGAATATTCAGAAATCATTTTTAATTTTTTTATGCTTTAAGCTATATACGACCACGAAGTAAAGAGATTTCATCACATACATAGGTGATATTCATTTTTTTGGCTTTTAGTTTGGTGAGGCCAGCGAATATCGCACAGCAAAAATAGAACTCAAATTCTCATCAAAATTGGTGACCTCACCTATGAAAATAAAGGAAGGAAAAGTTAAAGAATATTCAAATCATTCTTTATCGTACAAACCTTCCATTTCCAGTTCTTTTCCAAGGCAGAAATGACGACAATGTTGACAATTTGATAATCCGTTATTTTAGTTAAGCGCTGGTTTTTAAAATTGGTCAGGTGACCATAGCCTCTTTTTGATGTAAGAAAAAATGTGAATGCTGGTTGAAAAATTCTGTGTTATTTCTTAAACCCCTTCGAAAAAACTTTATATTAGTGATCTAGCTAGATAATTCCATATTACGATTTGCTCTAGTTTCTATTTAAAACTATTTCTTTGAGAAGCTCTTGATTATGATATCATTTAACTCTTGCTTCAAAATTAATTGCTGCTGTGGTGTATTTTACCTCGTTTCTGTAAAATTTGATTCTCAAGCGGGAAAGATGGCGAAAAGGTTTAAAAGTTTACGAACAGTCAACTATTAAATGAATAACGTTTTAATGAAAATGTCAAAAAACCTAAGAACCAACATAAAGAAACATGGTGGCATCGAAACGATTAGAGAAAATGCTCGTAACGAAGCTCAATACGATAGGCGGAATAAGCTTTTCAACCACTTGTTCTTGAAAAGGACGAAACTTCATTATGGCGATGACATTGAGCATAACGGAGATGAGATTTTTACAGCTGAAGACGTCAGGACGCTTACAAAGTCACTGAAGAAAAAGTCAGATAAAACTGAAGATATACTTAAAGGTCTGACTAAGGCGTTTATCTTCCTTCCCGCGCACGTGAACATTTTTTTAGAGGAGGAAAATTCTCTTTGGACATTGGTTAGTTATCTGACGGGAAAAGACAGCAAACTTCAAATATACGCGTGTTATTGTATCACGAATGTAACATCAGCGGATCATGGAAAAGGAGAAACAATAGCAAAAATGTGTGCACCGTATTTAATCGCTTACTTGTCCAGCTCAGATGCTTTAAAACAAGATTTATGTGCCACTGCTTTAGGCAATTTAGCAGCTGATGGGCAGCAGCTTAGAGATTTGCTGAAAACGCAAGGCATCTTAAAACCACTTGTTGAGTTATTCAGGGTCCGTATGAATTTGTGCTTTGCTTGTCTTGCCAAATATCTGCAAAGCCATAGTAACCATTGTCCATTTCGTACTGATTTATTTGTTGTTGTATTGTTAAAAACTTGCAGCTCTCAAAATCCCAGCTCAGCGCACAGTGGCTTAAAATGGGCTATCCATTAATGAAGGAAGCATGATCAGCAACCTTAAGTGTACCTGGCTCAGAACTTAGATCAGAATTGCTGAATACAATTATTTTGTAACCTTACATGTAGTTTTTGGTAATTTCAGATGCTCTAGGATTGACACTGTGCCTGCTTTAAAATGACAAACTGAATACACTGACAACCCTTGTAGAAATAATGATGACCAAATAAAAAACTGACATCTGCCCTATTATCCCTTAACTTTGTAGAAAGTATTAACCTCCTTTAATCACACTCTCCTTTAACTATTACTCTCTTTTTATAAGAGCCAATAAATTTTGGTTCTGGCTGACTGTTCTTAATTTTTTTGAAAATCTGAGGCTGGATTGTTCTTAATTTGTTCTTAAATTAAGCAGTGATATTGCTTGCTTTTTCACTCTAAGGAGTTGTTCAGGCCTCATTTGCCAACAAAGTGAGTGAGACAGCCTTAATTAGCTGACAAATTTGAATATTCGACGAAAAAGCACCCACACATCGCTAAAAATCCTTGATTTTCAGAAAAAACGTTGTTCAAAATTGCATTTTGCAGAAGCTCAGCCTCAGCTTGTTCTTAATTTGTTCTTAACTTTTGACCAGTTTTGAGGCTCGTGGTCTTATAAAATTGCTCTTATAAAAAAAAGAGTGTAATCGCCCAGAAGGAAAACATCACAAGGGCTTCCCCACTGGACATGTTTCTATTCCTTAACACCAGGAAACCAAGTTATTGGAAACATAAATAAGAACTAAAATGGAGGACACATTTTTATTTGATTGGATGGAACTGGCTAGTCAATAGTCTTCTTCAACAGCACATTTGATTGTCTGTTCCACGACAGCACCTAAAAAGTCTGTTCCTATGCTGAATTAATTCAAGGGAACCTTTTATCATTAAGCTTTTTAAAACTCAGTTTATTTTATGTTTGAAAATAAACAGGTTTTCTTTTAGTTTTGTCTTGTTTTAAGTATATTTGTTATATGAAGCCATTACCTGTTGTTTGTTCATTCAGGTACAATCTGCCGCAGTTATAGAATCTGCTTGCTTTGCTGCAATGCAGTTGGCTGCTGGGTCAGGTGACATTATAGCCGAGCTCCATACAATGGGGATTGGAGAGCTGCTTGTCAAATGTTTGAAAAGGCCTGATATACAAAAAGTACATGAGAACATTGCATGGTTGCTAGTATACATTGCACCTAACGAGACTCACACAAGGAGCCTTGTTGAATTTGGGCTCCTTGACATAGTCATCAATAAGCTTCAACACATATGCAATGCAATAAAAGAGAACTTGAATGGAGTGACAGCTTTTGTGAGATTACTTGGTATGAATGATATTAAAAATTTTAAGCTGTGTCTCTTCTCATGATGAAAAAAGTAGCATGTCTGATATTAGAAATAATTGGCAATACAAAAGGAAGTTAACCACGTGACTATTAAAATTTTTATAAACATAAAATGAAAAATCAGATAATCTCAATCTTACCTTAAAATCTTACCAGGCACACATAGCAGCAGCAGATATCTCCAATGTTTTAAAAGTCTATACTAGTTATTGTCATTGACTAACTGATTATGTTTTATGTGAAAAATTCTTTTTCATATTACATATTGCAGGAAACTGTGCAGCTGTTGTATCTGAACCTGCAATCATCAAGTCATTTGAAAGCGGAAATCTCTTCAAGGCATTGACACAGTTGGTTAGTTGCAACCACACACATATTGTGAAAGAATCCCTTTGGGTTTTATCAAACATAATGTCAATAAGAGAAGAAATGGCATTAGATGCAGTCGACAATGGTATTATCATGCATTTGAGCAGATGCCTGAACTATGGTGAAAACATTCAGCTACAGGTATGTGAATTTATATCCAAGGCTGGCATTTGAGGCTACTGAATACTGTGGCACTGATTATTTTATCTTTACCCATACTTGTAACAAAAGCATTTAAAGTTATATAAACTCTAATTTTATGAAATGATATCCAAATTTTCAGTGGCATTGCAAGCTAAAAAAAACAGAGAAGGACAAAAAGATATTTTCTTGGCCATGCCCTTCAGACTCTTGGAAAACATGGGAAATTTCTTTCTAGCATTTATGACCTATTTTGTATTTTTTGAAAAGCAACTTTCTCATGCAGCATGTTTCCAAACAGGGGTTTTTTAAAATATTAACATCTAGGAAAACTGGGGTGGACAACCTGTGGCAACATCGCTGCAAATATCTCACAATTTAAATGGATATCAAAATACATTCTTTCCTTCCAACAGTTTTGAGTAAAAAATGGATAACTGATCTATTAAATTTCTTGCATGCCCAAAAAAGATTGCAGTTGTTTACTCATTCTTAGAAATATACACTTTGATTCATTAAGATTAACTCCAGTAAACTTTATAGTAATGATTCATCATATCGTTATTAGATTGATGGTTATGATGATGATGATAATAAGGATCTGATTTCAGCTGGTCCAATACATTTGTTTATTTTTCTAGGCAGTGAAATGTCTCTGTGCATTATCATCATATGGAGATTCATGCATCAAGGCTGTGGCCAGCCTAAATGTTCTTGAGTTCTTTATAGAGTGTCTTCAAAGTGACAATATTGAGTTAAAACACTTGGCAATACAGTTCATTGAAATGGTTCTTAGATTGCATGACTATGGCCAAGAACTTTTGATGGAAAGGAATATAATTTCTGTGTTAGAGAAAATGATGGAAAGTGATACTTTTCCAAAAGTCAATGATGCAGTTAATGACTTACTTACCCTTTACTTCTACATAAAATAAATTTGTAAATACAGAGAAATAGTAAGATTTTAAGACATTTACTTTTTAACTTTTAGCAAAGGGAAAGAGTTCTGATTTTATATTACTTCTAGATTCGCAATAACAAGTACACATGATTTAGTCTGTTATTTTGACAACCTGCTGGAGAACATAGCAACAATGTTAATTATTGGCAAGCATTTTTCAATAAGTCTTCTTGGCATATCTTGGCAGCTTTATGCAGCTTTGAAGTGCCATCTATTTAATACACAAAGTCAGCTATGGCAATCTCTTTTGACAAGATTTTACATGATTGCCTTAGAAAACAAAAATTTTACATGATTGATAGCAGTGTAAGATCTTGCCTCTTGTTCAAAGGAATGCTACTGGTTTAGAGATATGGAAAGTGCCACCATTCTCTATACATCTCAGTAAAATCCATTGATTCAATGTTTACATAAAGTTAAAAATTTTATAAGAAATCTGACTGCAATAAAGGATTGAGGGTAAAAAGTTTCACTCAAATCGATTTTTGCAGAGCCAAATCCCTAATAAGATTCTAAACATCTTCACAAAATCTACAATATGGTATCCAGAAAAAATACGGTATCCAGAAAATTTTTATCTAGACTAAAAGTATAGTGTCTAATCCTGATCTAAGTTTGAAAAAGCTGTACAATTAAGTTTAGAGTGGTATTGAAATCCAGTAATGTTGTTTATTTGTATGTTGCAAGACTGCATGGCAATTTTCTTCAGGCTTCTATTTATAAGGTTATCAAACTTAAGCAACAAAGCTAACAAAGAACAAAGAAAGTCAGAACCTACAAAGACAATATTACAAAACAGGTTCAGGATGTCAGTATGATACTTTACACAAAAAACTAGGAACTGTTAAAAGCATTATATTCCTTACTCATACACAAATTATTTCTATATATAATGATATATCATGCAAAATAGCAACAAACATCAATAAACAAATGATAATAACAGGCAAAACATATTATTATACTTAAAGCTCCCATATTTAATAGCAGTAAAATATATACCTATACATGCCTATCTTACCTAAACTGATTGAATAAATCAGCTTTGAGCAAATTGGAAAGTTATTTATAATTGTTGAAAACTTTGATAACTAAATCCTGTTATCCATTAGCAATAAGTACTGCGCAACAAGAAAACTAGAAATGAGTTGAGTGTTTGGGGCATATGACATTCTGCCTTCATAAAATGGTAAAAATGCAGGCATATTTCTGAGTTTAGTAAAAAGGACCTGCTAGACACTTTTCAAAATTACGGGAATAAAAAATACAGTCAAATTCAATCTTCTTTGTTACTGAGGAGCTAAAACATCCATATAAAATCCGAAAATTGGAATAAAAAATGTAAGAAATATAACAAATCCATAAAACACATAATAAAGAAGGAATAAAATTGCCAATCTGTATGAAATATTGAATTATATTTATTGATAAGACACCCCAATTTTTTAGAAAGGAATATGGAAAAGATTGGCTGTGGTATTATAGGGAAAATTAAAGACTTTTCAAAGAAAAAAGTTAAAAAGAATGAAAGAATAAGGGTACATGCACCCTTTTCTAGCAAGGTATGCATTATGGAATTTTTACACAAAATTCATTTTATGAAAAGATTAAAAAGTTTCACTTCTTAATGGCTTAAAAGTTTAAAACTTGACAACACATGAATAAAGAAACATGGTGCCCTGTAATCAACAAGAGCCTTGTTTCAGATGGAGAAGATTGTATCCTTTAAAGTGTTTAGTAGGGAAATTTAAGAAGGAATGCAGCAATGTTGGTAACAATCCTGAAGAATTCTTCATGTGCAATACTATATACTGGCTGAATGATTTGACTCAGTTTAATACATCGTCACATGAACACTTGAAATAAAAGACTGTCCTGAAGTTCAGTGCGGTTATTGACCTAAGGTTGACTTGAAGTTCCGTACAGTTAATTAATTGAAGTCTTGGTCCATAAAATCTTATGTAATTCTTTGTGTTTTAGTGGGGTTTCAGTTCCAGTCTTTATAACAGCTCCATCAAGAAATTTGTATCAAGAAGATTAAAACCAGTCCTTGCCTGGAATGGTGCTCCATCAAGCATGAACACTTAAAGTGCACCTTAAAACAGCCATAGAAGGTCATTTTATTGAGCATTCAAAAACGTTTTTGCTACTGTATTTCGCAACATTTTGCACCCCTCCCAAAGGTGCTCTCAAAGCAATAATATTGAGCAATTTGAAAGTGTCAGAGTGTCTTAAGTTTCTTACAAGCAAATTCATGGTGTACCCTCATTTTGCTTAGAGCAAGGCCTGATTAAGGTGCATGTGTCTCTAAACAGGGAAGGTTGCTGTTAAGAAGGGTAGAGGGTATCAATCATGTAATTGCAATAACAGTGTCTTCTGGTTTATATCTCTGTTCAAGAAGATGTAGGAATATTTCTTTTTTGGGTGCTGTTAAATAAAATAGCCATCTAGCTGAGCTGATAACTCTTCCAAAATTCTATGTATGAATTAAAACTGAAATCTATATCATGTCGAGAATGCCTGTTTGTGCCGCATTAATTCATAAAAGTTTACTCTGCTGTTCCACTTGAGAAAACATTTACCATTAAGATATAATATACAGATGCCTTTTCCTAGCGAAAAACGTACTTTATCAAACCCTAGAACTATAAACACCTTATTCCCAGTGGCTTCATAGGATTCATGCCAAAGGATTGTTTGAATTCCTTTGTAAATATCTTAAAAACAAAAGTCTTGCCTCAATTTTGTGCCATCCTTCTAAAAATATCTGCCCCATAATCATGCCAGTCCTCTTTTGTGACAATATTTTGGCTGAAGGTTGGCTGTTCTGAGATGATATTTGCACCAAGGAAGGCAGCATTTGCTCGGTTATCTGCAGCATGTACCTTTTGAAAGTAGAAAATTGGTTTAAAATAAGGAGGTGGCAAACATCCAAAAAGAAAGAAAGGGAGAACAAAATTGGCAAAATATCTTAAAATTGCAGTTCTTGGTGTGGTTCTTTTTGAAAATGCTTAAAGAGACTGTTGAGTCTCTAAGACTTGTGCATACTTCTTTCTCTGTCTTTAAATAACTATTTGAAAGCTCTTGATAAGTAACCTGCTGCACAAAAAGCTGAATAAGTCCTGAACATGTCATCTAATATTTCCATTTCGATATTCCAGAGAAAGTTTTTGACAGCCAGGCACAATCTTAAGTCCTTCATGGATAATAAGAGACCCCAAAAAAGACTTTTTTTTGTCAGTATCAGCTTGACTCAAATTGTCATGGAAATCAGTGGCGGCCCCAGCTACTGCAAAGTGGGAGGGTGATGGGTGTGACCAGTATGGCCATGCCCTTTTGCCTCGCTTAAGTGCTTTGTATCAGGTGAATATTTTTAGGTGAAAATATGATTTGCCCTACACTATGCTCTTTTATCAATTTCTAGAAGAAATATGTGAACCCTGTTTTGATGAAAATGGGAGGGTAATTACCCCCACACTTCCTCTTGGCACTGCCACTAATGGCAATCCAATGAAAACAACAAAAACTCCCATTAAAGAATTTAGAAACAAAATTATTGGGTTGACAAACAGCTGGTATCCCCTTGCTCCAGGGTGGCATTGCCACTCCATGCCACCCCTTGGCTATGGGTCTGTCCCAAAGAGCATAACCTAAAAGCTGACATTTTTTAATATAGAAAAGGATCGGTCTACACCCAGTACCCAACCCAGATGCTGCAAGCACCACTGCCTACTTTAAGCCAAGCCAACTTCTTTAACCTAATTTGCCAATGAATAATTCTGTGCCTGTTGGCCACTATTTTAAATCAAATTTAAAGGGCCACTCCAGCCCAAAAATTTTATTTCAAAACACGATGTAATCAGACCTCCTGAAAACGAATCTGTTATTATTTTTTTCATATCTCTAACCGTTTTGTAGTTATTAGCGTTTGTAAAATGGTCATTGAGTTGAATTGTTTTTCAACCGTGTTATCGGAGATCTTCGGATTGACGTCACAGGCATTTTCGGCCTCGGTAAGTTCGCGGCAAGTATCATCGGCTGTCCAAAGGGTCAACGAGAACCTAGCGAAATGGCAGACAGGGCCTAGCAGCGGCATGTTTGTTAGTAGGCCAGACTTTTATCTGGAATCGATATAAAGAGAGAAGTATCGCTCATCAGTCTTGATATTCTGATCGAATATGGAAGTTTTTATCGCACGAATCTTTCTGACAGAGAAGTCAAATTGCCAAAGTAGGCCAGCGAGACAGAGACATGAGGATGTTGACAGACTTTCATGGAATGTTGCTTTTGAAGCAATTTATATTGGCAGGCTAGTTCCCTGATTTTAAAAAGAAGATTCGCGCTTTTTCATCAGCTCTTCCTTTAGTGCAACAGCTAAAAAACCATCGCGCAATTAATTCGGGAGGAAAGACCAAAGCAAAACCAGTATACCGGGAATGAAAGCTGTATGAATTGATATAACATATTCCTTAGGATAAAGAGCTTCATATCAACATGACTATGACTTATTAGAAATAAACCAGGACAATCGAGGGCATGGACAAGAAAGTATACAAACTTTCAAGACAAGTCTAAAAACCTACCATTAGTCATGAGTCAAACAACTTTTTCAAAAATTATAAATTTGTTTTTCTACAAACAAAAAAGGGATTTGAGATTATATAAATAATTCAACTTTTTCAATATACTTGTGTAAATATAATTTTTGTATTTAACCTTTAAGCTATTACAGGGGCCTTGTCAGCTCCTTTAAGCTGTCAGAATTTCAACCTGCTATATTTATGAATAATAAATACATGTTTGATGTATTTAAATACTTGGCTACATTGAATTATATATTCAAATATCTATACAATCAGGCCAGTGAACTATCTAGAAATTTGTAATTTCTATTGCACATGAGAAATGTTCTTATAAAAGAAACAATAATCTATTGCAAAATTTCTAGAAAATACCTATATGTTGTTACTAGTTTGAAATAATAGCAGTGGATTTGCAAACATTATATAGATATGACCAAATTATATATAAAATTTTGATAATTTTAAAAATAGTCTCCTTTGTAAAAATGTTAATACAAAAACAGAATAATGTGTTGATGTCTTTGTGGTAACTCTTGCATGGAAGAGAGGGGCAAGTTATCACTCCCACAAAGCCAGTAGCCAGATAACAGGATGCATGTAATCTCCAACCTTCATCTAGCATTTTTTTGCAAGATCCTTTCTGCTGATCCATAAAAGAGTTTGTAACCTTTTTTATGCCTAGAATAATAAGGTTGACAGGGATAAATACTAACATACCAGTGAAATTTACTTTTGAGTCATATTAAAACATAAAATGATCAAAGAAACTTGGACACTCAGGGGCATTCAGAGTATAGATATTTAAAAGGATCAAAGAGAAATTTAGGGGTGAAAGGGCAACCACTGTTACTATAGCAAATAGCATCTAAGGATATTAACTTGAAGTAACACAAAGATGAATTTAAATGATATAGGCCATGCTTATATGAATCAATGCTAGAATAGCAAAGGTAATTTTAACAAATATAAACAATTCTGTCTTTAAAACATTAGAATGAGGATATGACACATCTTTTTTCCAAAACCAAGGGTGTAAATTCCATGTTTTTCTTTGGGGTAGTAGATCTTTTGCCCTGGATATTGATCTGGCAAAATTTTGAAATTGTGCATCAATTCTATGATGAAATAGGCAGAACATGGTAGAACATGAAGAAAAAGGGTTCAGGGAAACATCAGCCAAACCCTGGGAAATTTAACACATCTATACCTCGGGCAAAGGTGTAGTGCACAGATCATTGGCAGGGATGTAGTGCTAGGAGGCTCAGGTCCCCTTATTGGTACAAAAAAGTAGCAAATTTCTACTTTTGGTACTATTTTATGTGACATTTCGCTTCAGAGCCCCTGTTGTACATTTCATATTACCACATTTCTGACTATTTGGGGGACAGTTCACAAAACTGTTAGAAAACTTGTATTTAGAGTACGAAGTTTCTCTCAAAGCCCGGCAAATTGCGTTGCTTAGGGGGTGCGTGTCACACCATCCCCAAACCCCCTCCAAACCTCTACACTCTGCAGTTTCGCCTAACATTCAACATAGTAAAATGATAATAAGGATGAATTGTGACTTACGGGAAAGTTTCCATCTTGTGAATGGGGTTCTTCTTCTAATGCGGTGAGACATCAATTATTATTCAGCTCCCTGGAAATCCCTGAGATGACACGACGATAAGAAATGCCTTCGGTCAGAAATCCATTCACATCTGAAAATTCGTGAAGCATTCCATATTAAAAAGCTTGCTGTGTTGCCAAGATGAGGGTATGCGTTCAGGTTGAAGCTTCCATCTTTGATTTGTCGAATTACTAATCCATGTTGGCTGGAAGCCTCCGCTGAACATCAATCGCAATGAGGGAAAATAAATAAAACGACAACCGAGATTCCGACATGAATCGCCTCTCCGAGCCTCTACCGAATCGTGCGAATTTCAGTGCGAACGAATAACAATAGCGCCGAATGTTGAAACAATGGTCCCTTCATACGTCACAAGGTACTTTTTCCGAAAAAAATTTTGTCGTATTTTTACGGTGATTCTCAACTTTGAGCGTCTATATCTGGAAAACGAGTTAAGCTTTTCGAAAAAAAAATTCACGATAGCTTCTTTTTCTCGACAAACTACCAATTTATGCAAAAATCTCAGAAAAAAATTTTGGGCTGGAGTGGCCCTTTAAGATGAAACTCATCATACAAACCTGAATGTTCACTGCTTCTGGCATCAAAAATTTTAGCTCTTTTTGAAGCCTCTCTGCAAAACCTTGGAATAAATGAAATTGTTATCAGAGAAATAAAAAAACTGTCTCCAAACATATTAAAATTAGTGGTGTAGTGCTATCAAAATAACAAAAGGGCTGCACAAAAGGCTACGAAAAACAATAGCAAAAGTAGAAATTTACCAATTTTTGGCATCAACAAGGGGGGCTCTACACCTCTGATTAAAAAATAGTAGGCCTGACAGTCCCTTTCTGCATGCAGCGAAGTTAGTAAAGAGGAAATCTTTGTACTATAACCTCGAAATTCGGCTGCAATTTATTCTGGTTATTTGGCTATATAGGCAGGGGCTGTCTGGCCCGGGTGGCAAAGCGGCAATTATTCTGTGTAGGAAAATTTAGGGGCCCTTTCTGCGTTTGAGAAATTTTTTAACTTAATGTCAAATACTTAATACCCTAGACTGATTACTTTGCGATTAAAGTCCCAAGCAAACACTTCAAACTACCCAAACCCTGGTTTCCATTTTTCAGTCATGTGTTCAATCAGACCTGTACCCTGGGTACCAGAGCCACAACATTTCGAACGCGTAAACAGAATGCCAAGCAGAGAAGCAGATGAGCGTATTGCTATCTTCAATTTCCGCTCTCGAATTTTTGGCTTGATTTATAAACATCCATAATTTATTTATGAATTGATATAAGTCACATTTTTAATCCATATTATGATAATATAAAACAGCAAATGTCAGAGATAGTGCTGTGGGAACGAAATTAATATTGGGAGAGTGTTGGAATGGACAAGAAAACTTCGAGGTAGAATTTGAAGTAGATTAACCGATAGGTCTCAGAAACTTTAGACCTGATTCTCATTCTTCAAAAGGGGAGCACAATTTCGAAAAAGGGGCACCAGACTTGCTTCAACTTGTTGAGGTAGGGGCAACTGCCCCTAGTTCCCCCCTTAAATCCACCACTGCTACCAGCAGCATATCGTTCAAATAAAAACAACAATTAGTGCAAATGGAGATCCAGAAAAAGGAAGATGATTTCAAGGAACAAGCTTTTAGAGAACAAACATATGGAGAGGAACACTGTGACTTTCAAGGTGGGGATTCCCAAAGAGAGAAGGGACCCCAAAGTCGACATCGAGACGCTGTATCAAAAGGGTAGAAGCTTGCCAACTGTGCATCAAAAGTTAAGAACTAATTTAGAACAAGCTAATGCTGAGATATCGTAAAATGCAATTTTGAACAACTTTTTATCCCAAAAAATGGATTTTTAGCTATGTGTGGGTGCCTTATGGTGAATATTCAAACTTGTCGGCAAATGAAGGTTGTCTCACTAACTTTGTTGGCAAATGATGTCTGAACACCTCCCTAGAGTGAAAAAGCTAGCAATCGCACCTCTCACACCCTAATAATTTAAAAACAAATTAAGAACAATTCAGCCTCAGATTTTGCAAAAATTAAGAACAGTCAGCCTGAGCCTAAATTCACTGGTTCTTATCAAAAGAAGCGTTAATACAACATGCACGTAGCAGCATACCTTTTCCTCAAAAAAACTTATAAACGTGTGATAACACTTAGCTGCACCCAAGTTTCCTGTGAAAGATTATTCAGCCAGGTTTATATTGTTAAGAAACTCTACATGACATTTTAAACACTTTTTACACGAGAAGAAATGCATGGATTCAATTGGGTCCGAATTTACGGATTAAAATCGATATACTGCTGCTGTTTAGAACATTGTTTTATTATCAACTTTTATTGTATTTTAAGTCTAAATTTTTAGTGGGTGTGGTTTAATATTTTCTGCCACGCCCTAAACCGGGCCCTTTGAGCTTGCTAGCCACCCTGCGGTTTTGATGCCAGACCGCCCATGTATATAAGATTCACTGCAGCGCCGTTACTACCCAATATTTCTGGTTATTTGGCCCTGAAATGAAAAGCCCATTTAACATTCGTTCCAGTGTTATACCAAACAAAAACAGCTAGCAAATAAGGGTGAGATGGTCCTCAGAATATTTGATGATATTCAATCATAAGACTGAAGGTGGCGTTCTCTCGTCATTTGGATCATTTTTTGGTTTTCGGTTCGCCAATCGCAAAGACGGCCAAAAATAAAACTCCCAACCGTTTTTAGGGGGTTGAGACAAAAAACTAAGGCCTTCTTCCGCCGACCAGCAAAACTTTGTTCATGCAAAAGTCGCAAGCCATTCGGCCATTAACTAATGCACCAAGAAAAGAAGTAGAAGGTTAACATTCATGAAAAAACTTAAAAGTACTAAACCTCTCCACAGTCCAACTTCAGGTGGTTGCAATGTGTGAAGAAAGAAATCATGCCAACATAAAGTTTATATACCTAAAGGCCAATGGACACTTGCACACTTGTTGCTTTGGCCGTATAAAAACCACAATGTAATGCTTACTCAAGGAATGCTACAATGAACACACTTTCCACAATCGTGCCTGTGCCAAAAACAAAAGCTGAAGGGGCACCAAAAAGAGATACCCTGACATATATCAAACGTGGTTGTATTTCATTTAATCATGCTAAAAGTTATATTTTACAAAAATACACTACAAGAAACAAAATTTTCCAGCAGCTGAATATGTATATATTGATGCTGCCTCAATGTTTTTACATTTTATGCGAGTCAATCAAACTTTTAATAAATCTTGTGATCTTACCTTCAATCAATGTTGTTCCTCCGCTTAGAAATATTTTCCTAAAAGAAGAAACAAATTACTTATTTTGAATCATTGATTCATCTACAGCCCTTGCATCTAAGAAATACAGCTCATTGTTTGCAAAAGATTTTTGGCCTATTTTATCAGGAAATTGAATATCAGATATTCTTTGAAAAATTAGCAATTTTGCACTTGCGACAAATAAAAAAAAAATGCAAAATTAGAAAAATTGACTACTTTAGTACTTGACTGCAAAATTAAGTGAAAATTTACAGAAACAATGGGAAATGTGACGTCATCCTATTAAAACAATAGGCTTGCCCCATCAATACTTGACCAAGTTTCCGCCCTTGTATAAAAGCCGATGTTTTTATCACAAACATGCCTATTAGAAACATTGGAAATTACCTGCACATCTCTTTTCTTTGATCAATCCCAGATTGTTTGATTGCTTTTGCAACAAGCTTATGAATTCCTTCGTAATCCTTTCCCCAGGCATTCGGATCGAAGAGGCCCTCGGTACAGCGAAATCTTTCTGTCCCTACGTTAACTTTTCTGAAATTGAAATTGTAATATAATTCATGCTTATATACCAACAGTGCCCTTAGGATAATGTATAGTTGAAAGAATGTGGGTAAAAAGGGAGTCAAACAGTGTCTGTATACATGTTTCCTTTGCTTTATTTTTATGCAGAAAAAGCACAGAATCATTCACAACAAACGTCGATGGCCAACAAGGCAAACCATCGATTTAAGAACATTTTCCAATCAGAACCCGGTTCTAATACTGTATAATAATTTCATGATATTCATCTTCCATAGTAACTTCAAAATCAATTATTAATGTTTACAAAACCAAATTATGTATTGCCAAAAAGTTTCTTAGCAAACAGTTAGAAAATCTTCATGATTTAGGGCTTTCAATGCCCAACCAGAATCCTTTCGCCCCAAAATGAATTCTCTTACTCCCTTCTATCTGTATCACTTCTAATTCCACTGTATCAAATTTGATAGCTACCATTTTTCTTTTACCTTTATTGATTTACAGCTCAGACAGGATAAATAACAGGTACACAAGTTGAAATAAACCCTTTCTGAAACCAAAAGGGCTACAGCACTTGCACAATACAAATCAAGTGCCTTAAATCTACCCTAGCGAGCTTACACCCGATCTTTTTAAAGTTTGAGTCTAAAAAACCGATTTTTGGGGGGAGAATAACAATCAGTCAACTGCATTATGATACTTTTTAGTTATAAAGGAGTACTTCTCTTACCAAAGTTAGTGTCCATATATTAATACATGCAGAAGCCTACAGTCAAATTTTTCACTACACCAAAAATAGAGGCATCAAAATTTTACACCTGCGACCTCATACCTCATAGATATGATCGTTTTGGGTTCATTTAATCAGGGAAATCATAGTTTTGGTTCTAAAGGATAGACTCCTCGTACACCAAATCTTTTTGTACCACCCGCCACCACCGAATGGGGAATTCAACTTTCTGCAAGGATTACAACAAGTTCATGAATTTGAATGAAATTCTGAGAAACATTTCCCACAGTTTTCTTTGCGCTTACCTTTGCTTTCCAGGTAAATCGTATCTTGCAACATCAACATCGAGACCTTTTAGTTCTGTTTCGAGCTCCCTTTGGCAATCAAGCGAAACATATGCGCTCTATAAAGAAAATGACACCCATGAAAATTGTGAAACCAGGGCCTACGTCACGAATTTGAAAGTGGGTGGCCAAGGCTAGCAATGTTAAGGGGCCATGGTATTTCCCCTTTTACTGCAGCTTTAAATAACTTGCTTCTCAAAATAGTGGGAGGGGGCATGGCCCCTCCAGCCCCTCCCGGTGGCGTGGGCCCTGGAAACGCTTGATGGTATAAGGTTATTGGAGTAATGGTCAATTGTAAAGAGCTATCCGGTGACGGTCAACTTATAACTGTCCTGTTCTACAAATAAAACCAATCACAGCTTTATATATGAAAGTGAATGGGATTTTTGAACATGAATGGGATTGCCCCTGCACTTAGAAAGAAAAGGGCAGGAAGAGGTAGAAACTGACTGTACAGGTGGAGACGAACAAGATAGTTTGCTGCAAAATACAGAAGTTCCAAAAAAGAAATTAATGGCTGGGTGATTGGATGCCATTTTCAATAGTTCTCAAAAGCAAGCTGTGACAGCAGACAAAGAGAGAGAGAGAGAGAGAGAGAGAGAGAGAGAGAGAGAGAGAGAGAGAGAGAGAGAGAGCTTGGGACATCCATGCTTAGGAGCTACTTTCAGGTACACTTAAGTTCCAATATCGAAAACAGCAAACGTACCCATCCAACGTCCAAGATTAAATTACAGGTCAACTTACAACATTGCTTGTGGTTCTGGCCTCATTTAATGTCCACCTTAACTTTGGATATTCACAAAGGATGTAACAAAAATCGCTGTTGCATATAGAGTTTTTCATTCTTACACTAAGCTTCCTAAAACCTACCAATATGAAACTAAGGTTCTCAAAAATATAGATATTACAAGAAATGGGCGTAATACTTGTGTCTGGGCCTTAAAATGTCTGTAAAACTCAAGATTGATTAATGTAAAAGGGCAATTGACACAAGCAGTTACTAGTTCCTAGACTTTACCTAACTATCTAGGATTAATTTTTTAGCTATAAAGAAAGAGTGGTGTAAGGAAATAATTGATTGATAAATAATAATAACAGGAAAAATAAAAAATAAAATAAAATAGAATTCCAGAAGAGCACATACTAAATGGGAGCAATGCTAACAAAAAATAAACTGCATTTTGTTGTAGTTCTTAGTCCTTTGAAGCAGTTTACAATGTCTGTATATTTGCAGGAATTTGCATTGGTATTTTTTTCTGGCTATTAATCATAACCCAAGAAAACAAAGAAAGCCTGCAAAGTTCTAAACGATTACGATAGTTGAATGTTCCTTTGTTGAAATTTAAAAATATAAACCAATAAACACAACGTTACCTTCTCTTTGATGTACCGTACAATGTACGATTCAACTTCAGAAAAAAACCTGGAAAGTAAAATCTATTTTTGAATTTTTGGCATGCATAGTTTGACCAAGTTCTTTGGTAATGACTTTCATGTTTAAGTTGTATATATTAAGCAACTATTAATGGCGATCCCTTTTACTGATGAATCGTTCAACAAACATTCAAGGTGAGATTCCAAAAATTTTCATAATTGTTTTTTGTAGATAATACGTCACTTTTTAACGAAAAGATCAATCATTTCATGTTTTATTAGCCAAGAAAACAAGCAAAGACATCTTCTAACTGATAGATTTCACCGAATACTTGTTACTAACTAACTGAGAATGTTCTTTTCCTCACCCTTGAAAACCATACGTACATATCATCGCTTATAGTTATCTGGCAGTAACATCTGATGCTACTAGGACAACTTAGAGAGTAATGCTTTGCACCGTAAGCTGCACATAATCTGAAACAAAATATCTAAAAACTCCCCTTTCTTTGAAGAGTGTAACCATTTACCTATAGCCTCCTTCAGACAACAGTCTTGATAAATGTTCAGTAATAAGCTGGCCTCCTTGTGGCAGTGAAGATGAGCCATTTTCTATAATAACACCTAAAATATTGAAATATAAGTCTGGTTAGGATCTTTTGCCTTATCAGAGACTTTTTTCACTTTCAAGACTGCACAAAAAATCGGAGTAAAACTACGGCATACAGAAGTTGTATAAATGAGCGATCAAATGAAAGAAAATTCATATACTGATGTAGACAAAAATGTCCCCTTTGATTGTCCTCTCGCGTTGAACAATCGCTTCTCAGTGAGAATTCCCCGTTTCGTAACCCAAATCTCCTTCAGCATTACTCAGTGATCAATATCCAAAATTGTGATGCATGATTTTATACAAGTGAGCAAGGGTCAATTCTAGTATGAAATGTAAATGTAAAATTGCGCGACACTTCTCACCTTCTATAACGGGGAACACGTCAACATGGTCACCAATGTCGACTGAAAAACAAAACGGTATCGTGACTTACATCTTTAGACAACTCAAGCTTCTTCAAGCTAGACATAAAGACGGCATTACAAAATCTTGTGAATCACGATCTTGTTTTTTTCGACGAACGATTAAATATTTACGATACTTATACAATAAAACACTAAATTTTTTTTGCATATAAAATAGGTCACACAACTATTGTGCGAAGACATTAGTTCAAAGGCAAAAAGTGAGAGGCACGTTTATACCAAGGACAATTATAGTTGAACGCAAAGTTCAAAGAGTTGCTCATTCAAATGCAGGGTGATAACCGTATAAAGAAAAACCTCAAGTGTTATAGATCAATGGAAATGATTACACACGGCCTATTGGAAATGGAAATGAAAACACATTGCAGCTAGTGCGTTACAACATGCGTGTTGCCTACGTCTCTCTCTCTTCTCTCCTCCTCCGCACCCTCTCGCAACGCCCTATTTCCCAACGCCCCACTTGACGCTCTGAAACCCAGGGCATGTGTTACCATGCCTATTTTATCCATTTCATGTTTATTTAAAATAAAGGGTTGTATAAATTGAAAGAAAGCAAAAAGTTCTCTATTTTCAAGTAAATGAACAAAAGAGTTATTATTAAGTGAATCAAAAGGCCCCAGTAAATTATTGATCAAATATTTGTTGATTTCAAAGCTACCAAATTTTCGCACGTCTAATCTGAGAAATAAATCGACAACTGTTTGACCACTCTGCCCGATACGACTACGGGCTTTATGCTTGACCAATCTAAGGTGCAATTTTTTACCGAAACTTGAAAACCGCATAAAGTAAACCTTAGTACAATCTACATAAACGAAAAACTTAAAACTACCATCAACAACGAACTTGGCTCAGAGGAATTGAGTAAACGATGCTTTGAATGATAACTCACATTGGTACGAATATAAGAGAATTGCTTTTACAAACTTAACTACGAAACTGCAAAATCAAAAAAGCAAGAAATGACGATATCAGTGCCTTTCTGCTTCAGCAAGAAATTACTTTATATGCTTGATTTAGCAATGATATACCTTAATATACCTGGTACATGCACTGATTTGAAAGTGCCTGATGTAGCAAGAAATGACGATATCCGTGCTATAAATGCACATAAAACAAGTAAACAGGAAGAGATTTTACGTAAAAACAGCTTGTATAATAATTGCTCACTTTTGTACCAATTTGTGACATCCCAAACGGAAATGAGGGAGAAAATTTAGCTTTTACATCTATTTAGCTCTACATCGGAATTTAGTTCAAGAACTGAAGAACGAAGTAGAAAAGAAGAGAATATTTGGCAAACAACAGAAAATGTGTTTAGTAGACTGATATGAACAAAGAAAGGAACACACGTGAAGAAGGAAGTCTCTTAAAGACTCATTGCTAACAACGAGCCACTGCGCTACGCAAGCATCCCATAATGCATTTTCAGACAGTCTGAAATTAATTATGGTTAATCCGTAGAAGTTTACTGCCATTGTTTAGATTGTCGCCTTGATAATTTGCCACCCTCACAATGGCTCATTGTTAGCAATGAGTCTTTAAAGAAGAAGAAAAATTAAGTCTCTTACCAATAACTCCAGTGGTGTCCTTATACGAAAAGAGGGACAACAGAGCTTGTTGCTGGGCGTAAACGGCAGAAACACCCAAATGGCCGAATAAATGATCAAATATAAATTCCTGAAACAAGAATATGTAAAAATGATAGATAGCAATGGAATTAAAGAAAATCAGTTAATAATTTGTATCAAGGATTAGTCATTGAGAACGAAGCAAGTTACGATGATCACTACATAAATCTCCATGCTTACATTATTTGGAATTACATATTAAAATGATTGTTAAGTCCACGTGAGGTAAGCAGTTAAAGACATTTTCAGGTTTAAAACACTTAGTTAGTTAAGATGTTAGCACATTTCGTAATCATCAGCGAATCTGAATAACGATGAGTGGCAGTTTAACGAGATAAACAAGCGTGAGTTGCATTTCTAGACACAAGAGACACGAGGCCTAAGTCCGGGCAAACATACCTTGTCCTTGTCACTAAAATGTCTTTGGCAACAAAGAATAATCTAGAAGTATAAAGAAAATGAATATTAAGGAAAAAGAGTTTTGAACACCGGAATAATTTAAGAGGTTATTTAAAACTCGGTACTGAAGAGCGGTGCTCATTCGAGAGAGGGTTTAATCAAATCATTACGGCAACAGAATTACCGAATCTTTGAGATAGTAAGGACCAACGAAAAATGCAGTACACACATATTTTCTACAATAGTTTTTGAGACTGGATAGATTTATTTAAGATTTAAGTTTTACAAGCGAAGTCAGGAACATAATTTGTTGACTTTTATTGAAACATAAATTAGTTAGAACTAGTTAACTAATTGATAAACCAAACATAGTATCAAAATGCAAAAGACGATGAAAAATTTTGACTAGGCTTAGCTCAAAAATAAGATTATGATCAACGCATCTCATGACAAACCACATTTTCGAACAGACAAAACCCTGAGCAGTTTCGAACAAGACAGCTTAACAGCAGACGCCAAGATATGCTTTACATCATTCAATAAACAAAGAGTTAAGAACAAACGTAAGAAAAATGCAATAATCAACATGAATTTTTAACTATACCGTATAATGCGAAGGATCGACTTTCAACTCTTGTATTACTTTGTCAATGAAGCCAGGAATATAACGTGATTTCACTGCAAACTGAAAAGCAAACAGAAAATCAAAAGCATTTTATTTAAAGCAAAACATGAAACGAGGTTTATAGCAGTATAAATGTTCTTCTAACTGGCATTAGAAAAAAGCAAGAAAGAAAAAACAAAAGCAAGTAAGCAAAAGCAAAACTCGGTTTACAGCAAGCAATATACAAACCATATTGAATGCTACAATCAATCAAAACTTGAAACGAGATTTCTGGCAGGGTAATTGTTCTCCTTACTGGCATTAGAAAAAAGTAAACAGGCCAAGTCTAATGTTAAAAAAACGTTAAAAAGGAGGCTTGTATAAAAATTGTATAAGAATTAGGAAAGATTAGAATGCATAAGCAAATTCAAAGATTCGCATCCAAGGCCTAAGTAAAGTAAGATGTGGTGGACTTTGTTTAAAACACAAAGAGCTAAATATACATGAAAGTCCTGCCCTTGAACCCTACTCAGCCACTTACCTTGTCAACTTTCAGGGTTGGCCTTAAGGGGTAAATCAGTTTTGATTTTCGTCTTATCTCCGGCTTAAACGCATCGAATCCACACGTGCACGTTGCAGGATCGGGTATACCAGAATCAGTAAATCTGCGTCCATTTCTGACAAAGTAATGAGCAATAACAGGTATAAGTTACAAGACGTAAGAAAGTAACAGTCAAAATGTGACGATAATCGATTTTTTTGGTTTTCCTGAAAGTCTACTTCTGACAATTAAAACTTTTGGGAATATTCCTCTAAACAGTTCGAAATATCCGATATTTTCTTTGTGGTGTGCAGAGAAACATAGGCAGATAAGGGTAAGGCTATTCTACACGATAACAGAAAGTAAAACGATTCCATAGTTTATTAAAAGAATGCAGCTGGAGGTTTGATTTACCAAATATTCAAATTTCAAAATATCAAAGGGAAGTAAAAATTGACAGTGGCTTTGAAAAAAGCAAACATTTTACGACATACTAAAAGCTTTTTCGTCTGACACCCCTCAGAGCATAAAAGGTCAGAATAAGGTTCCGAAAGAACACGATGAAAAATAAATACCCAGTTGTGGATCGAACGAAACATTGACAGAGAACACAGAATTTTACACATAATTTCGCATACCGATTGGGATTTCACGTCTATATGAACGCCCATTCCTTAAAAAACACTTCTTCTCTAATTAACACTTAGTGTGTTTAATCGGCCCTACTTCATAGGTGACACAATAGACCAAAATAGGCGATTTATGCATTATCTAAATAAGCCGAACCATAGTTGGTCGCACAGAAACTAAAAGAACTTGTATTTCAATTCGACATGAAGGATTTTCGACTAAACAGTCAACAACCAGGTCACTGCGATGAAGTAAGGCTAAGATACCAGCTTAACAATTTGAATCAGTAAACACATAGAGATTGGCTCTTACTTGCGGTCTGTGTTGACAGCATAAACAGCCGGGAAAACTACTCGAGGTTTTTCTATAAAAGGCAAAAATTTCATTCAATTACCATGGTTGTGATCAGCATAGGGCGTAAAGAAGTCGGATCGTTGGATAAGGCACCCCCTTGGATATCAAGAATTTGATTAAGATTATGAAATGGTAACGAAAGTGTCTTCAAAATTAACAGGAACATGTCCAGCTTTGACTAAGAGATACCCTTTTCTTTAAGGCAACCCTTCTAGGGGTGTTACGTGAACTTTTGATAGACGTCCATCCGAAAATTATGGGTAAGGATTTTCTTCGTCACCCGATACATTTTGGCATCTGCTTTTAAAAACGTACCGTTTCGATACTTATGGGCCTAAGTAGCTCAGGGTTATCTGTGTCGATAAAATTGACACTTCTACGATTAAAATCACTTTGTAAACCTAAGATTTGTAAACATTGTGTAAACAGTATGGATTAAAATGATGATTTAAAAAATTTTAGTATTGATATAAAAAAGAATCAATTTATTGTGCAAATTATGACTAAATATTTTCATAAATAATTTAATGTTTTGTCAGAGCTACATCAGGTACACCGTTCCCGAACAAACAATTCCAATTTCTTTAAGCAAATGGTGCAAAACGGCGTCCACAGGGACGGGTTCAGCGGGGGAGGGGGTGCAGTGGGTGTGACAGTGTGACAATTTTCAATTCGGCAAAATTTATTTTTTGGTAGTCAGCTGTAACAAAATAACGTTAACACTTTACATTATTCATCTTCTTATCTTCTTTACGATAAAGTTAAAAACCGACAATTGACAAGGGGCATTTCCATCATTTCCCAGTTACCTAAAGGGTGTGGAAACAAAATCCAATTAATATCTAACCCCCAATCCAATCATTGTTGCTTAAATCCGTCCCTAGACGTCTACATCTCATTTATTGAACGATTTTCCTTAAATACGTCACGTTTTAAATTTGATAAAGATCTATTAAGTTTAATTGAGGTCGGGGATTTTAATCGCTATAGAATATAGTGATACACTGCACCACGAGAAATATAGATACAGGATCTTCTTACCTTCGCCGGCAAAGCCTCCTTTTATAGTGCTTGCTCCAAGATCAATGATAATCACATGCGACTGTAAAATAAGCAATTATATTAGAGTTAAGGTTAAAGATTTTTATTTGTCATAGGTCTGGGCCTGGGAATTATCTTCATAGGACATGCTGGAGATTCATTAAACAACCTTGGGTGGGACCAATGACATGTAATACTTCCACTAAAAAACGAAACTGCGATACTGCTATGACTACAAAATACAAGCAGTTCCAGGCCTGCAAGATTAGAATTAGTTCAGTCATGTTCCTGCTTTATTTCCAAATAAAAATAAAGCTAAATTCCCATGAACAAAAGTAGGCTACTGTATTAAAATGTAATTTGCCATGGGGGTACCATCATCAGGATACATCTTCTGGCAGTTTCTTTTGACTTTTTCTCATTAATAAAAAGCTCTTTAACGTTTTGAAGGTTTCATTACAGCTGTTTCAGTTTTTTTTTTGAAAAAAATAGCTGCTTTATGAAACATTACATCAAGTCATTGCCAGATAGGTAGCCGAGTTGGGAATGTGTGTATTAAATACCAATTACCCCCTAACATTGGTGGCACCCTCTGAAAAACTTAGCAGAAGGAGCAATTAACAAGCGCATCGGTTGGGTATTTTGAGAACATATGGAAGGATTAAAATCAAATATAATTCTATACATTGGATCCAGTTCTTCTGTACTATCGGACAGGCACACAATCATGAATAGATATTTTATTTCTTTATGCGATCACAGTATAAACGGCGTGGCACTCTCATCATTTATCAAATTGAAAGGGCAATGAGTTCAACTTACTGTCGGCTGCTCAAGCTGTAGAGGAACTTTGACTGGGGCAGTTAGCGGGATGGAGATTGCAGACTCCTGTTTCAAAACGCGATACCAGTCGTTGCTTTCGTTCGATGTTGAGCATCTTAAGGTTATGATGTTTCGATTGCTCTGGGTGAATAAGAAAACATTAAGATATCAAAAAGAAAAAAAATTGAAATTTATGTCACTTCAAGCGAACGATCAAAAGCTGATCTCAAAAACTTTCACATTGGCACGACAACTTGGAGTTTAATTGTTAACTAGTAAAAATATATTTTGAATAAAAATATCAGTCATTCAGACGCGAACAAAACTCATATCACAAAGGGGAAACCAGTTATGAAAGGTAAAAAGAATAACCGATAAAACGATTTGAAATAGCCAGCCAACTACCTTAAAACCACAGGAATTATACGATTTTTATGCAGTTGGTACTTAAGGACTGTCAAAAGATAAAGTGATTGGTCAAATTGGCACCAGTGGGTATTGGTACCAATGAGAAAATAAACATTATTTGAAAACCAATGTCCTTTGCTGGGACGTGTCCATCATTGGAGGATGAACGTCATTGGGAGGTGTCCGTTACTGGAAGGCCTTCGTAATTGGTAAGTATCCGTTGTCGGAAAATGACTGTTGTTGGAAGGTGTCCGTTACTGGAAGAAGACCATTTTTGGGAGGTTTCCGTTATTTGTAAGAGTCCGTTAATAGAAAGTTTTTGTTATTTGAAAGAGTCCGTTATTTGGAGGTGTCCATTACTAGAAAGTGTCATACATTTGAAAGTGTCCGTTATTGGAAGATGTCCTTTATTGGGAGGTGTCCGTAAATTGGAGGTGTTCGTGAATAGAAAGTGTCTGTTATTTGAAAGTGTCCGTTATTTTGAGGTGTCCGCTATTAGAAAGTGTCTGATATTTGAAAGTGTCCATTAATTGAAATGGTCTATTATTTGGAACTGTCCGTTACCTTGCATTGCAAATGAGCTTTAGCTGGTTATTTGGCACTTCGAAGGAGCTTTTATGCTATAGCAAGCTTACGCATTCCAATAATAAACTGTGTCATTCATTTATTCATTCATTCCTTTCTTTATTATATTTACAGGAAATAAACATTAACGTAACAATAAAATGAGGAACTCATGCAAATACATGCCATCAACAATTTCAATTGCAAACTTACGCCGAAATTAGCGATCTGTGGTCTTAATGATTTCAATATTACTGTGTCATTCATTTATTCATTCATTCCTTTCTTTATTATATTTACAGGAAATAAACATTAACGTAACAATAAAATGAGGAACTCATGCAAATACATGCCATCAACAATTTCAATTGCAAACTTACGCCGAAATTAGCGATCTGTGGTCTTAATGATTTCAATATTACTGTGTCATTCATTTATTCATTCATTCCTTTCTTTATTATATTTACAGGAAATAAACATTAACGTAACAATAAAATGAGGAACTCATGCAAATACATGCCATCAACAATTTCAATTGCAAACTTACGCCGAAATTAGCGATCTGTGGTCTTAATGATTTCAATATTACTGTGTCATTCATTTATTCATTCATTCCTTTCTTTATTATATTTACAGGAAATAAACATTAACGTAACAATAAAATGAGGAACTCATGCAAATACATGCCATCAACAATTTCAATTGCAAACTTACGCCGAAATTAGCGATCTGTGGTCTTAATGATTTCAATATTACTGTGTCATTCATTTATTCATTCATTCCTTTCTTTATTATATTTACAGGAAATAAACATTAACGTAACAATAAAATGAGGAACTCATGCAAATACATGCCATCAACAATTTCAATTGCAAACTTACGCCGAAATTAGCGATCTGTGGTCTTAATGATTTCAATATTACTGTGTCATTCATTTATTCATTCATTCCTTTCTTTATTATATTTACAGGAAATAAACATTAACGTAACAATAAAATGAGGAACTCATGCAAATACATGCCATCAACAATTTCAATTGCAAACTTACGCCGAAATTAGCGATCTGTGGTCTTAATGATTTCAATATTACTGTGTCATTCATTTATTCATTCATTCCTTTCTTTATTATATTTACAGGAAATAAACATTAACGTAACAATAAAATGAGGAACTCATGCAAATACATGCCATCAACAATTTCAATTGCAAACTTACGCCGAAATTAGCGATCTGTGGTCTTAATGATTTCAATATTACTGTGTCATTCATTTATTCATTCATTCCTTTCTTTATTATATTTACAGGAAATAAACATTAACGTAACAATAAAATGAGGAACTCATGCAAATACATGCCATCAACAATTTCAATTGCAAACTTACGCCGAAATTAGCGATCTGTGGTCTTAATGATTTCAATATTACTGTGTCATTCATTTATTCATTCATTCCTTTCTTTATTATATTTACAGGAAATAAACATTAACGTAACAATAAAATGAGGAACTCATGCAAATACATGCCATCAACAATTTCAATTGCAAACTTACGCCGAAATTAGCGATCTGTGGTCTTAATGATTTCAATATTACTGTGTCATTCATTTATTCATTCATTCCTTTCTTTATTATATTTACAGGAAATAAACATTAACGTAACAATAAAATGAGGAACTCATGCAAATACATGCCATCAACAATTTCAATTGCAAACTTACGCCGAAATTAGCGATCTGTGGTCTTAATGATTTCAATATTACTGTGTCATTCATTTATTCATTCATTCCTTTCTTTATTATATTTACAGGAAATAAACATTAACGTAACAATAAAATGAGGAACTCATGCAAATACATGCCATCAACAATTTCAATTGCAAACTTACGCCGAAATTAGCGATCTGTGGTCTTAATGATTTCAATATTACTGTGTCATTCATTTATTCATTCATTCCTTTCTTTATTATATTTACAGGAAATAAACATTAACGTAACAATAAAATGAGGAACTCATGCAAATACATGCCATCAACAATTTCAATTGCAAACTTACGCCGAAATTAGCGATCTGTGGTCTTAATGATTTCAATATTACTGTGTCATTCATTTATTCATTCATTCCTTTCTTTATTATATTTACAGGAAATAAACATTAACGTAACAATAAAATGAGGAACTCATGCAAATACATGCCATCAACAATTTCAATTGCAAACTTACGCCGAAATTAGCGATCTGTGGTCTTAATGATTTCAATATTACTGTGTCATTCATTTATTCATTCATTCCTTTCTTTATTATATTTACAGGAAATAAACATTAACGTAACAATAAAATGAGGAACTCATGCAAATACATGCCATCAACAATTTCAATTGCAAACTTACGCCGAAATTAGCGATCTGTGGTCTTAATGATTTCAATATTACTGTGTCATTCATTTATTCATTCATTCCTTTCTTTATTATATTTACAGGAAATAAACATTAACGTAACAATAAAATGAGGAACTCATGCAAATACATGCCATCAACAATTTCAATTGCAAACTTACGCCGAAATTAGCGATCTGTGGTCTTAATGATTTCAATATTACTGTGTCATTCATTTATTCATTCATTCCTTTCTTTATTATATTTACAGGAAATAAACATTAACGTAACAATAAAATGAGGAACTCATGCAAATACATGCCATCAACAATTTCAATTGCAAACTTACGCCGAAATTAGCGATCTGTGGTCTTAATGATTTCAATATTACTGTGTCATTCATTTATTCATTCATTCCTTTCTTTATTATATTTACAGGAAATAAACATTAACGTAACAATAAAATGAGGAACTCATGCAAATACATGCCATCAACAATTTCAATTGCAAACTTACGCCGAAATTAGCGATCTGTGGTCTTAATGATTTCAATATTACTGTGTCATTCATTTATTCATTCATTCCTTTCTTTATTATATTTACAGGAAATAAACATTAACGTAACAATAAAATGAGGAACTCATGCAAATACATGCCATCAACAATTTCAATTGCAAACTTACGCCGAAATTAGCGATCTGTGGTCTTAATGATTTCAATATTACTGTGTCATTCATTTATTCATTCATTCCTTTCTTTATTATATTTACAGGAAATAAACATTAACGTAACAATAAAATGAGGAACTCATGCAAATACATGCCATCAACAATTTCAATTGCAAACTTACGCCGAAATTAGCGATCTGTGGTCTTAATGATTTCAACCCTGGAAACCAAAATGAAGAAGACATACTGACCTGAGATTGGATCTGGATGGTTTTGTCACCAGTCACTTTCAGCTAGAATTGAAAAGGTTTAAACATCACAATCAATAAACACAGAAACAAGGATCTGAAGATTAATGTTAACCGACCTTTTCTAGCGTGCTCGGTGCTGTATAGATAGAAGAATGAATGAGTTGGTACGTAGAACATCACAAATCGTGAAAGTTCTGCATTGATAGTCCGAGCTTTATATCTAACGAGTACATAGTGCAAATATTCAACAATTTAGAAAATAATCTAAACAGCAGTTGCATTAAGAGTGAAACTCGGAGTAGCAACTTAGAACCGTTTTGTCCTATACACCAAATAACGTAATAACTTATCTATTTGATTATCACCACATGACACGCTACCCAATAAAGGCAGATTACAAAGCATTTTGGATAGGAGAAGTAGGACAATGTAGAACTGCCTTGGTGAAGTGATAAACATTCTGCTTATTTACTAGCACTGGAAGAGCCCGGGATACGTCACACATTTTTTGACGACAATGGAGAGTTGCTTCAGGCTGCTTTGAGCTCTCCTAAGAAGCTACATGACGACTCGAGACCTAAGGCTGTTCCCATGTAAAGATATTCGAATTACGTAAATTCGAATCTGCATTACCGAATCATTTTAAAATTCCAGCCTATGAGACACTTAAAAGCATTCTTTGGCGTGTTTTTGACATGTCACAGATATCATATTTAACATACGGCAATTTTTGTAGCATGACTGAAAAATGCCTAGGAATATTCTCTGCATCACAATAAGGCATTGTAAAAAAGTATTTCCCGATTTTGAACACGTCTAAAGCAAAATTGAAGTTCAACACAAACCTCAGACCCTGTTAAAGTAAGAGAGCCCAATGGAACAGTAGCCAGATGGTTCTATAAGAGAAAAGCATCTCAAAAAAGGTGACAGTTTCTAATAAGAAGCTATCTGATCCTCTAGAAGTGATCAAGTTTGATGTTAGTTCAAACGCATTGGGGTCCTAAGAATCTAAAAGATTGGCTTGAATGTCTGATTGAAAGGATATAATGCAAGGTGAAATATTCTAGCCATAATGAAATATTTTACACAAACTCAACTTCTGCGAGAGCCAGGTTTGGAAATGAATTTTGCGTTCTCAACATGCAAGAAACTGTTCTATACAAAGGGGTTTCTTTTACTCGGTCATTCCTCTCCCTAAATCAATTGCTGTGCGCTTCATATATTGAGCATAGTTCATCACAGTAAAGGGCGGTTGCTCGTGATCTACAAAACTCCAAAGTAATCATACAATTTCTCAAAGTATTAAGACTCAGCTGGGAACACAAAACAGGGTTAACCTGCACAAAACTTACCTCAAAGTAGAAGAGTTTACCATGTGATACTTTGAAATACCTCTTTTTCCAGCCCTTCAGCAGTGTCGCCTAGATAGACGAGAAAAGATGGCGATAAGACTCGCAGAGAGATTGGCTTTATCGAGAGTGCCTGAAGACTTTTAATTAAAGGAAGTGGCAAGGGTGCCAAACCATAATTCTTTTTTTTAGTCATGTTAGATCTTCTCTTATTCCAACCATACTAGTCACACTTCGGAACTTGGCAAAAAAGTAATATTCAATTACTATCCAGCAACTATTTACAAACTAAAAGCCTTTTTAGCAAATGAGACATCTCCTTTCAAAGTTGCATATTTATTTAGTTTCACAAAAAAGGCATAACCAAGACAAAAGATGCAAATGAGATTCTAGTTTTAAATGATCAAGAAAGAGCATAAAGTTGAAGAATGAAGAATGTACGGTGTGAACTATAAAAATATCTATCATTTTCACATCGACACTAACAGGGAATAAATGAACTTCATTTATGGTAGCGACCCGTCATTGACAAAGACTCCTATCCAGTACAGAATAAATCTATTTCAGATCTTCCTGAGTGAAGGCGTTTTATAGTTTTGTTAGCTTTTAGGATGTTTGATATTTATATATAACTAATAGATATAACTAATAATAGAGAATCCTCGGTCATGGCAATTATGATTATTATGTTGGTTGTTGTGATCATAACCGTAATCATAATCATACCAAGTCCCCCCTCCACCCCCCCCCCCCCGAAGCTAATAGTTTAAAATCCAATTAACAGACCTTTCTCGTTTTTCATATAAAAATACAATCATTCTTATGTGCATCTCCGCCTAATTTGGGAAGGAAATGCTCCGACCGGTCATCTATACGAAACCAAAAGAGTTTCTGCGACCGGTCAAACTGCAGAAGCGTTGTGTTTGAAGGTTTTCTGGGAAGGAGTATCTTTTTTCAAGACCGGTTCTATCTGCCAAGAGCCTTTCTACACACTCCAGACAAATTTCTTTCTGCATTATTTGCAAATATTCAGTAAAATTGCTAAGTTTAATGCATTGAAATGGAAAAAATATATACGGCTAAAGATAAAAAATAAAATGTAAAGAAAATTGCAAACCTTTGTATGATTAACTGGTAGTTTCTCTAGATAGCCGTCCATTTTGCATCTATCAGTGTTACTGGCCGCTTGTTGCTTGGCCTAAAACAAGGGTTTTACTAGCGCCATAGACCAACAGTAGGGCATGATACGTTGTTATTTGATATGATTGGATGCAATGAGTTGTTATAGATTGTAATCGATTGTAACACTTTTAACAGGCTCTTGTAATAGTCTGTAACTGGCCGTAATTGGCCTTAAGTTCTTTATATATAAGGACTGTTTGTGGATCAAAAAGGAACACGAGTTTCTCTATAAAATCTATATTGGGAAAGTCTTATTGACGAAGCACTATACTAGTTATTAAACACAAAGAAGACACGAGAATCAACAAATTTGACAAAGTTACTGCCCGTCATAGGGAGGTTCTTGTGGCTGGGTACATACCTTAAGTCCTGGAAAAAGTCCCTGGGGGCTTATTCGAGGGATGGGAGCTTACTGTATATAGCAGCACCCAGAATATCATCAGGGTGAATTTTTTCCCTCTATTTGAGGCTGGTCAGTATTCTTCAAAATGCAGATATATTGGGAGAAACAAAATTTTCGCGGCAATACCACAGCCTATTTGGGCTTATTCGAAAGTAGGGACTTGTTTCACAAAAGTTATTCTAAGTTGGGGGCGTTTTCGAGAGGAGGGCTCTTTCTAAGGGGGGGAGGGGGCTTGTTCGAGGACTTACGGTATAAAAAGCTTTGATAACGGTACAAAAAGCTTTTTTGATAAAAGCTTTTGAAAGATATTTTGGGACAAATTGCCTGTCCACTGTTTAGAGGTTCCACTATTATTACCTGAGTTGTTGTGATGCTTGTTTCGTTAAGATCAAAGATCAACAATAGCGTAGGCAGGGTGTTCAGATTGGAAGGGGAGGGGCAAAGGCGATTTGAGCAAAGAAAATTTGGGGTCCATAATCTTTTGGGGTGCAAAATCAAAGAGATGATTTGCCATTTGGGGGTGGGGGCGTCCGCCCCCTCATTCATCCCCCTCACAACGGCACTGAAAATAAAATACCTAAATCCAACTACCCCTTCGAATACAACTACAAATCCTTAATGGCTAACCTCCTTTTTCTCGAAGTTTACTGGCTCGCTTCTTTGCAGAACAAAGTAAAGGTCCCTCAGCAAACACCTCTGAAAAAACAAATCGAAAGGTGATTACTGTGATTACTAGATTACACAAAATTTTTATAGGGATAACTGTTGTTAAAATTTTTATGGGGATATCTGCAGCTCGAATCATAAGGGGGATAGCCGAAGTTCAAACTTTTTTGGGGATATCTGCAGCTCGAATAACTATGGGGATAGCCGGAGTTCAAATAATTATGGGAGTATCTGGAGCTCAAATCATCATGGGGATAACAGGAGTTCGAATTTCATGAGGATTTCTGTTCTGATCCAAACAACATAAAATGGGACATTATATCCATAGAACCAAATAATGAAGTTCAACTTTACAAAGCGTGCAAATAATTTTTTTACGGAATCGAAATCGCCGACCACTCGAAAGATGCTTGCTTTTATTCACTAGCTTACGAAGCTGAAAGTAAAACAAAAAAAGACAAAGAATAATATAGAAAATAACCAGCTGTGCGCAGTTGTCGCGTTTTTCTATGCTTCTTTCTCATGCAAGAGAAATGGTATGAAAGATATTGCAAAGAGGACTACTAACAGGATCCCAGTCCATTACAGAGCCTTCTTCCCGTTTAGCCGATAAAAGGTCTTCCGGGTCTGATTCATAAGAGTCAGCTCTATCATTCAGAGACATTTTCTTCTCCATAGTCACTGAAATTCCGCCAGTGGCTTCACTTTCAAGGGAACCTTTTTCTTCCTGCTTCAATTCTGATTCGGGATTTGCTGAAGCAAGCGGTGGTTTAATATCACTTGTCTCCTCCATTTCTAGTTTTTCAGCCAGATCTGTTATGGTAGAGGTAATAGGCCCGTCTCCAGTGCCTACCTCTGGTTTTTGTATTGTAGTGCTTTCAATGGTTTGCAATTCGTCCTTAGGCATTAAATCTGCACTTTCGTCTCCTTTGTTTTCTTTCGCATTCGATGAGCCAGTTTCAGAATCTTTAATCTTCAGAAAAAGAAAGGCTTTCTAATGGAAATATCACTTAAACCACGGAAAAGAGTTTCACTTGCAAGCAGAGAGAAATAAAATTAGAATTATAAAACAATTTAGAATCATTCTAGGCCAGCAAGAGGTACTGTGTGGCAATATTTTAGGGTGGGCAAAAATTTTATTTTTCTACTAAACAGTTCACAAGATTTCTACTCATTGATTGAAAACGTTCACAAGTCCCTGTTCTGCCTAAACGTGTTGTCATTACCCATGTCCTTACCTGAAATATCTTCGACATCTATCTCCTGTAACATTGACTTCTAAATCGCCTTGAATTTTTGGATAGCTTGGGGCGATTAACCAATGCAAATAAAGATAGAAAAAAAATTGGTTTTCTATACGAACCTCAATTAAAGAACAAAATACAAGACATAAACTCAAAGAGACTGAGCTGCCTGGATTGAAAAATCAGATAAGATATTTTGTGGTAAGCATACCAAATTATGAATATAGATTGGCGGCCCCATCCACTAAGCTCTGGGGGGGGCAAACCAAAAAAATTTAAGCCACGCCCTTTTAACAACCAGAAAATGCCCTTTTACAAACAGAAAACGCCAATTTTATCCGAAGAGAACGCCTATGACTAACTTTTGTTTGAAAATTGGCAGTTTGAAAATCATAGGATTACATCACAAAAAGTACGGTGTCAAAATATCACCCCTCCCCCAACATTTTCTAATCGAATTTAGACGAACTACAAAATCGATTCTCCTGAGAACTGGGGGGACGTGTCCCCCCCGTGGCGCCGCTACTGGATATGTATTTTTGTTCCGGTCTTTGCATGAAGCTTGTTTACATTTGTCTAGAGTTGTGTTGCAATTCATACTGTTTTCAAGGCGCATAAAAATAATCGAGAAATTTATAACGAAATCTGATAACTAAAACTAACAACTTAAAGAAACTGACTACCAATTCTGTTCTATGTTATTTTGCACAAATAGGTGACCTTTATCGCGGATCAAAATCACAATTGTCGCATTAAACTGTATTGATCTTTCTTGCCACCGGAAATTAGATCAAAGATTGGAATACCCTCAAACATAAATATTTGGCCGAGGATGCGCGTAAACAAAATGCATTTTTAAACTCGTGTTTTTTCATGTTCTTCCTATTAGATATCGTGTCCTCATTTTCAACGCAAGAGTTTAAAATATCTCACCAGCTGCCTATCCCTAAAGGTAGAAGCATGAAATAAGTATTATTGAAAAACATCAAACGACAACTATAACAGCAGCGATGTAATAAACCAACTTTACATTGTATATTTATTACCTGACCAATTGCACAAGGCAGTTTTCTGTGTCCTCAGCCTCGAACAGTCATTCATCTTTCCGAAGCCTCATGAAGAACAAAACACTTCCTATTACACGGAATCTCCTTCGGCAACAGAGGGGGAATCACCGCGAACAGGAAACTAACTATGGCCTTTCCAAAGTTGTTGCAAAATATTTTAGACCAAAGCAGGATTGGTGCCCAAAAATAAATTTTGAATAGCTTTTTCTTACTACGAGTATACTACATTTGATTTTCTTGATTTTCTTTAATTAGGCCCATGACAATTCTATTGTCATTCTAAATTACAACACCTTGCCAGTATGTATCTAACCACAATGGGTCACTGTGACTAGCAGAATAATTTTAGGGCGAAGTTACACCATCAGCAAGCTGTTCATAGCAAAATCCAATATGACCACATATATACGAGGGTAGGGGAGGGAAGGGCCAGGGTCAGGATCAGGGCCAGGGTTATGGGCAGATCTAGGGCTAGGGGCAGGTCTAGGGTTAGTGACCGGTTTAGAAGCAGAGTCAGGCGTGGGGGCAAGGGTAGAAGCAGGGTCAAGGGTAGGAACAGTTGCGGCTACCAAGAGCTGGTAAAAAAATAAAAACTAAAAGCCAGTCGGGCTAAAAGATCGCCAATACTTAGGCAATGCCTTATAATCACAAAAAGCCATCAATTTCATTTGTGTTGATCATAGTTCAGTATGAATACAACTTTTGGAAAAATTAAGAAAAAGAACTATGTGTGACACACGAAGTTTCCATCAGAGGTGCAGCTAAAGACCCCTTGTTTAATCGACAGGAGTTCCTCTTTGATTCCATTTCAAGAAAAAGTAGGCGACATGTTGCAGAAAGAAGCCGCTGGAAATGTGCATTCTTAAAGAGTTTTTATGATTTATAAAGATCTTCTACGTTATAACAAATTTAAACTGAGAATTAGAGAAATGTTGACATTGAGTTTATGGGCTTTTAAGTTTGATTAACTAAGGTTACGATTTTATAATTCTTTAATTCTTAAATACGATTTATAACTAAAAACATCAATTCTGTAACTTAACGTTAAGTGTATGGAGAAAAATTAAGTTTATGGCTTTCTAAAATTTGTGAATTAATTTAAAAATTAAAGAGAATATTTCAAATGCTGATTTTTTTCAAAATTTATAACTTGAAAAATGCAATTTTATCCACGTATAAAAAGATATTAGAAATTAAATGATTATATTTTAGATGACAAATTCTACTACTTTTTCGGAAAATTCTAACATTCTTTTTTATCTAAGTTTTAGGTATTTATCTACGATAATCTGTATAAACATTCATTATCTAATATTGTGTTGAAAAATCTTTGTAGTGTGACTTTTGACCATATCATTAGCGGCAACGCTCGGCTATGCTTTTTCAAAGATCTTCCTAAAAATCGAAACATCCAAAATATTAAAGGATAGCTTAGACGAGAGCACGAGGAACTTTTATATTTAAAACGATCTTGAATATGAAAACAAACGAAAAGTCATTTAATGTGACCATATGTTTGAAATTAAAGAGCACAATAATTTGGTTATACAAGCAGAAAATTTGCCTTTCTTCTTTACAAAGTGGATTCAACAGAAGAGTAATTTCTTCGGTACAAAACAAAGGATATAACATAGCGTGTTCACAAATGATTCTTCCCAGTTTTTACAAGATAGCATCTGCTACCTTTATCACACAAAGAGCCCCCTTTATAAATGGTTCATGCCAAACAGGCAGACTTCAGTTCATATCCCACTTTATATTGATCGAAATTAGCTAATTCTTGATAAAGTTTGAACATCAAAAAGATACATTCTAAATAAGGTAGCTCCCTCTTTCTTGGCCAGTGCATGTGGTCCCTTCTGCATTTTCTGGTTCAACCAGGGGTGAAATGGGAGTTACAATAAGGAGAGGGATGCTAATACTCAATTTTACCTAAAAATTTCCGGAATGTTTTGTGCTTTTAGAGGAACCCCCTGTCCTCAGCCACTTCAGTCCTGGGTGCAAAGCTAATATAGGAATTTTTGTCTAAACATTTACAGAAAAAATTCAAAGTTTTAAGATAAATCTTTCCATCTCCGATTAACTCGCAATCTTTACAACTCAAGGGTAAAATTAGTCATGTGATTCATTAAAAAGTTATTGGAGAGCATGTCGTTTAGGACAATGATGTTTCTCGCAAATTTGAATGAAACATTTTTGCTTTATCCACTAACGCCCTTTTTACATTTTACGTTTAGACCTAGATGGAGCAACAGGGGTGAAATAAATGATGACACAAAATTACAAAAGACGTGCTTGCCAATAGAAGCGATGAGATGTCAAGCGGATGCTGTGCAAACTATCAAAAAACGGTTACCTAATAAAACCAAAAAAATGAATACAATCGAAGTGTCGAATAAATGTAACCTCAAACATGCAGAGTGATATAGTTTTTTGGGTTTATTAAATCACAGAGAAGTCTTGTTGTGTCCTGGCTTAACATACCTCAGAATTATCAAATTTCAAAAGCTTGTTTTTATAATAAGTTTTACTAGTTCAGAGGATAGGAGATAAGAAAGATCAAATTGAGGTCCCAAAGCTTCAGTTACACATGAAAAACTTTCACGTAATGAAAAAAATTTGCCACCTGGTAAATCTGCCTGTTCTAGTGTCTAGCAACACTTGAAACAAGTTATCGTAATTTTAGAATTTCTTCTTCGAAAGATTAGGTCAATATAAAGAAGGGGGAACCTAACTATATTTAATTGCAAAAATACAAGAAACGTTGCCGTATAATTTTGCAGGAGGAAATAAGAAAGGAATAATGATGGAAAGGTTATACATTGATACAAAAATTTGGAAGAAAAAATGAAGAAAATAGAGAGAAAAAAAATAATAAGAAGTAAGAAATAATGACAGGAAAGGAACAAACATCGTATTATTGATTGGCCATTTGTGCTCAGAATCGAGTTTGGCGAAATTATAAACATGTCGGCTGGCATTCTACCTCAGATGCTATTTTGTTCCAACATTTGAAGGAACAATTCTTCTTAACAGGGGGCAGGGTGAGGGGGGCATGGCCTCCCCACCATTTCAAATCAGCTCAAATCATTTATATAGATAAGTGTGTAGATCATAAATACAAGGTCATAACTGAGTAAAATAGAGCTAGCAACATGCTTGCCACAATAGGGGCTATAGGGGGTAAAAAGGAACTTCCTTCACATTGATGGCCCCCCAGTTTAGGATCAGTGGCGCAGGCCCTCTTTAAAGTCTACAAACACATATTTTGATAATTGATGGGTAACTTGTTACGTTGTAAGATTCTATGTTACGTTGGTAAATTTCGAGTCAAACCCGGTGATACATTGCGCCATAGACCTTGTTGTACAATGTGACTCAGGCCGTGTGGTACAATGAGTCTTGAATCAAGGTCTCTCAAATTCCGTGGCCCATTACGAAAGAACTCACATATCTAAGTCTACTTACAGCTGATTTCCAGTTGAACTCTTCATCCCCAGGTGGCTCCCAGTCATCCGAGAAGCCATCGTCATCATTATCATCGAGCAGGCGAGCTTTAACAAGCTGTATCAAAGTTGCTTTGCTGTCGTCTGGGTTGTAATTGAGACCATTGTAAAATAGCAGTGACTAGAATAAAGGAATACAAAATGCTCCCTTATTAAAAGATGAGAAACACTAAATGTTCAGATAGAAAGAACAGAAAAATAGAGACAGAGGCAGTCCAGTCTGCTATTGCAACAACGTTTGGAAGTTATAGAGGCAAGGGGAGGTTGGTCACACCCCAAAGTTAATGAGACAATCAGAATGCAGTAGAATTAAAGTACAGGAGAGTCTGCCCTAGATCCTGATAGACAGTAGATTATAGTCTTCATGCTAACGCTTTTTTAGAAAACCAAGTATGTTGCCATTAAAAGTTGGTGCCAGTTGACGTCACTTACCTTGAAGAAATTTGTTATTTGCACTCCTGATTACAGTACAGCTAAATTTACAAGAAATTGCTCAAAGACCTAAGTATCGACCCCTTCGGAAAGGAACTGATATTTTTCAAGTGCACTTCCTCAACAAAGTAACACGAGGTTGGTCTTAAAAAATCAACAGAAACTAAAGTTTCTTCTGCCGTCAATCGGCCAATCAATCAGCGTGATACTACTCAGGCTGGACAAGAACTATTTGGCCACTAAAATTTAAGTCGTATATTTTGCTAGTTACAAGGTACGTTTCTTCTACTGTTTAACCAATAATCCTTATTACTGAACTAAAGAATCATCAATTCTATGCTAACAGAAAACATTATATAATGCAAATGGATACAAAATCGTTGCGTTAGCGTTTGATAGAACAAATTCATTAGGAAATAAAACAGGTTGCATAATGCATTCAAACAAGAGCTAACCTGCAATTCTGAAACGCTTAGGCTGTTAATGTCTTCAACTGCCTCTATGTTTCCATCTTGACTCGAATCCATTGAAGAGCTGCTTGCACTTTTTGAATTAGTTTTGGACAGATATTTATCTCCCTCAAATGGTCGTCCTTCACATTTGACCAGCTCGGCTTTCTGAGGAAATAAAAAAAATTATTTAGCCTAACAATATTGACGCCACGAAAAATATGCCGCCTGTTTGCTAAATGCGTGCAATCGCACGTGCACGCATCTGCACACGCATGGGGTAGCTAATTATTCCAATAAACAGCACGTATAGAACTACTAATGAACGCATATTACATAGAAAGATAGCAAACTTTATATGCAAGAATATTCAAAGAGAACTTTAATGTAAGCTACTTTAATAACATCGTTATTCATATTTAGGTTCCTGACAGCCAAACAACTCTAGGCCTTTAAGTCAGGTTTCAGTACTTTTCAGTACTTTTCATCATCTCGTGTAAAAATGCAAATACGCAAAGAGCATAACCAGAAAAAATAACAATTTGAACAAATGGCATCTCAAAGAGTTGCAAAGCTTCATTGGTTAACATTGCAAAGCTTCTTTCAAGGAAGGACAAGAACAGCCTCCAAAAGTTACAAAGGCACGTTATTGAATAGTATCAAAGAGTTGGGGGGGGGGGGTATATAGTACTTTCCTGGTTATAATCTTTTAATTTTAATGGCGTGGGCCATTTGTAATGATGATTCATTCGCATTTAGCTTTGCTTACAAAACAGACTGCAGATTATATTTGCCCAAGATTATGCAATAACTGGTCATGCTAAAAGCCTATTCATTCTTAAAAAGTGCACAATCGTTTTTAGAGGAGGAGAGCGCAACCTTATCATAAAACTCAAAACAAAACACCATACTTCTATGTCATCAAATAATTGCTTAAATATATTTTTACAATGGCTGATGTAGCCAGATAAGTACAAACCTTCATATAACATCTTGTTAGTCTTTCACGCATTTCAGTAAGTCTTTTCTTTGCACTAACAGAGGAAAAAGAGAAATTTTTTCATTAAATTGTAAATGAAAAAACTTCAATACAATAGCAATTCAGTCACATCAAATCCCATTATGTAGATTTTCTGCTAATAAATTCATTGCTGAAAAACTAACACAACACATATCAAATTCCTGGAAACCAAACAAAAGTTATTAAGTAACATCTAACCATGCACAGTAGAAAGATGATAACACTTGAAAACAAACTGTGATTAGCACCTAAATCAGTGTTAGAAATAAGACAGTGAATTTTCATATCAATCAAAACAGCAACAATACTTTAAGCTACAAACAACAATAAGCTACAATAATCAGCATTAACAAATTGATTAATAATTTGTACAATACTGTAATCATGGGCAGGAAGAGGTAGCTTATTCACATGTGGTAGTGGAGTGGAGGGTGGGAATTACAAACTCTTGTATATGGCTTTGAAAAAAGCAAACATTTAGTAAACTAAAGCTTTTCGTCTGACGCTTTTCAGAGTTTAAAACGTCAGAACATAGATCAAAAATTCTACGCTAAGAAATATATATACCCAGTTGTGGATTAAACTCTTGTATGTTTGTTTATTTAAGCTCATGTATGTTTGCAAGTGGATGTAGGAGACACCTTTAGGTAAAACGCTAGTGAAAAAACCCTTATATGGCAAAAACCCTTATATGGATGCTAAACCCAAATGCACATGTATGCTGATAGGCTTAGAAGACTATGCATCATACCCTGACTTACTCTCACTAATAGAGGTATGACAAATACTTCACACCGTACTGTGAAGTATTTGTCTTAGTCAGGTAGAGATCACCACGTGTTGATTGCCTTGTGCCATGACAATGAATAGATGCATTAGGAAAAAAGAACCATTAACCCTATACCCAACACTTCCTGATTTCAACTAACATTCAAAACTAAATGTGCACATTAATGCAATTTACAGAACATCACATGCATAAATGTTAGAGTTTGTGTTGTTTCTTTAGTGTTATAGAATTTTACAGAACAAAATAATGTATTCACATGCATTTGTAAAATATGCTTCAAAACCATTGAATGAAATGTAAACTCTAGAACTGTTAGATCCCTCTTAGTCATTTTGGTACAGCTTAAGGTTATCTTTGGTTATAGGTCTGAAGAAGTTAACACTACCAGCAACTGACTTTTTTTGAAAAAACACTTTTTAAAGTCTGGTGCAATTTCCCTAAATCAGGAAGACAATTTGAGGTATGAATTCATGACATCAAAGAAAATTGTTTCAATCTGGAGCAAAATGGCTCTATCTGTGTACATGGCGCATAAGTTTCTACAGCAAGAGAGTTAGCTATATATGAACTTATTGGGGATTGCTGTAACATAGCTAAAATCAATTGATGATCTATTAAGATAATGCTTACCCTTGAATGTCTTCCCGTTTGAGTGCTTGTTCAATCTTAATTTGCTGTTCGAAGACAATTATGACCATGTCGAGATCCTGTTACATGATATTAAGGACATGTTTAGATAAAAACTTAAAACATCCTCTTTATTTTTTTTAATGTATTTATTAATTCCAACAAAATATTTGAAACCAACTAATTTGAAAATAATGTATCCTTCTTAAAAATAATATTTTAACTTTAATGGGTTAATGAAAGGGGAGACCAAAGGTAATTTCAGCGTGGAAAGTTTCGTATTTTGTTCCTACTTGCAATACTGGGTAATGAAACAGTATGGAAAATGGAGCCTTACGATGAAGGAAACAGGCGTAGCAGATGCAAAATGTTCAGTGGGCTTAGTGTTGATATTGCCTGAACATTACTGCTACATTGATATAGTATTACAGGAATGGATCCTGAAAATAAAAGCTTTTAAATCTGTGCTTTAATAGTTTCTCAGTCAAGTAGTTGCATCTTAACTCTGTTTTGGTAGATTGCATTTTCAATACTTCAATAAATAACTTTCTATCAAGAATTTTGGTAGTCTCATCAGAAACCTCCTCAAATAACCTTCTTAGGGCAAAAAAACGCCTTCACTTGCATCTAAGAAAAATCTTTTATTACACTTCTCATGCAATCAAAAGCATAGGAGTTGGGAGGGCTGCAGCCCCCTGATGAGAGAACATTTATCACACTTCACGGTACACAGCCCATATGTTTCCGACTGGTACCACCCCTGTCAGGCAGGATTCATACTAACCCCCTCAAACTTGCATCAACTGTAGACGCCCCTGATGGCAATCTGTAGATGCCCATGCTAAGAATCATTTGAAGTTCAACAAAGCTTAACATGATATGATTGGCATAATATCTACCTAAAAAAGTTTAAATAAAGTAGAGATGATCATAAAAATTCTTACCACAATTTTCATCTTCCTTATTTTTAGGGCAAAAGTATCTTCATTGCAGTCAAGCAGTGCATTTAAATCTTCACTGTTTGAGGGCTCGTCTTGATCTGGAAAAATAAAATGATGCTTCAACAAAGGATGTTACTTGCATAGAATGGTAAAGCTCTACACTTTAGTGAAAGCTCAGTTAAGAAGGGTATATGAAGGGGCATAAAAAGGTTAATGTCAAAGGTAAGCAGATATTCAAAATGTAAATTTTAAATGATTGTGCACTTTCACAGAAAAACACACCATGTACAAAGAAGAGAAACTGATGCTTTATAAACATTTTATAAAGAATGAAAAAAAATTATTTATTTCCTGAACCCCCTTCAACAAAATAAATGTGGGGCAAAACACTATTAAAAAAATATTGTACTACTTAAATCATTTTTTTTGTAGAAAAATCTGCAAAAAACCCCTGAAATGCTATTGTTTTATAAAAAAAATCTTGTATACCTTTGAGCATTATACACCCCTTGTAAAAGTACTAACAAAAACTGTGTGGTAAAGAAAAGCAAATAACCTTGTAATTTGACATTGCAAATAGAAAACACACAGTAGTCAGTCAGAATTGAATATCTTTTTCCATGTTGAAAGAATATACTAATGCAAAATCTGATGCAAACACTGAAAAAAGTTAGGTTTTTAACTAATTGCTGATACCTGATTTTTCCTGATTTGTGTTCTTGTTTGGTTCAGATAATTTTACATCAATATCATTTGAAATCCCCTGCAATGCTTGTTGAATTTTCTGTAGTAACAATTTGTCATAATATTAAGCTCTGCCTAGAATGGACTTAAAAAATAATGATAAGCTACTAGAGGCAAGGATCCAGGAACACAGGGTTAGGGGGCTGAATTGGGCTGAGGGGGGCTGAGGGGGGGCTGAGCATGAACCAGGCATGGGACAATAAACCAATCTTATTTCATTTTAGAGCCTTTTTAATCTTCTGATAGACAGGAGCCACGGTAAACAGGGACTAGGGGCCATCCCCTGCATATATCGATTCGAAATGCTTTTAAAAATCAACAACCAAACATTTGCGACTCTATGTCACCCAAACATTGCAGTTCAAGCCGGCTTGTGTGATAACTAAATAATCTTTTTTCGACATGTCCCGTAATAATAACATGCTATTCAAATAGATTCTTCTACATGTCCCATAACAATAACACTCTATTCACATACAATTCATGAATTCAATAACTGTTTTTCTTCGGGTATTGTGGCTGGCTAATCAACGCGTCGAGAAATGGCGTCAATAGCATTGACTGACAACAACAATGCTTATTAATGAATTGGAAATGTTTGGTGTATGTTTAAACCACAGCGAAAAAACCGGTTAGGTAAACTTGTCGCCAGCATGGGTTTAACTCGATTGTTGTGCATGATTTCGTTTGCGATCGATAAAACAAAATATGAATTCCAAGCCTACCTCATGCCGGTGTACCCCTAAGACAGACTGACAAAATACCGAAACGAAAACAAACCTCAAACTCTCTTTCACAAGTTCCGATTGAGAATGTCCTATCTTCAAGCTCCATCTCGAAATCTGTGCTTCAAATGAACTTCCTACTTCAACCAAGGTTAACCGAGCATCCAGCAATGTAATTGTGGATCCTTTGAAAACTAAAAGAATGCTAACACTGGTCAGAAGCCTCGGTTTCACTCAAAAATTACTTCCCGGATTCATGATTGACTGCCCACATCACATGTGACATGTTGTCGGCTACTGCTCGCTTTCCTATGTTACCAATTTTACGTTATAATCAGATTTGATGTCCCGAGAAGATATGATGTGGGTTGAATATGTTATTTACAAAAAAACTAGTTTTCTGTCTATGTTCTGACGTTTTTTACTCTGAAGAGTGTCAGACGAAAGCTTCAGTATACTAAAATATTTGTTTTTCTCAAACCCATATTTATGATATTTACAATGAGCAAAAACCATGCATTGTAAAATTGGCATGCCTTGTTGGAGGCTTATTCGAGGTTAGGGTTTTTTAAATGTTTTCACTTCAAGGTTCAGGGCATGCTGGGGGTTAGGTTTAAATAGATTCAGAACAAATGTTCCAACAGATGAAAACTTCCGTCTTTGGTAGAGCAGATATTAAAGCCCCTATACCTTTCTTCACGGGGACGAGTAACGAATGGATGTCACTGAATTACTTGACCCGCATGTAGGTCCTTGAATCCCTAAAGAGCAGACTGCAGACGTCTTGGAATTTGAGAACCCGTAATACTGAAAGTAAAACACTCGGACCCTAAGACGCACAACAGGGGCAAGGAAAAAGCATAGTTTGTTCTTCTGGAGTATCTGAAAAGCATCATTTGTGGATTTGTTCTTCTTCTTAATGTAAGCTAAAGCTGATTTATTGAAACAATTTTGTGCTTCTGAATGAGAGCAGATTTAGGCAACTTTGTTTAGGTAAGGCTGGTGTATGTTACATCCAAAATGAAGCAATTTATAAGCTAAGGAATTTTTCAGCCATAAAGCAGTCTTTGTGTGAAACTTTGTGCGATTTTTTGGAGTTTTGCAGAAAACATAAAAAAGTTTTGCAGAAAAGGGCTAACTTATAATAGATTTTTGCGTTCAGTGTCTTGAAATTTCATTAGATTCAAGTTGTAAGGGAACATGTTAGCAGTAAATATCCTTTCCAATGATATGATACAATGAAATTGATTTTTTAAAAAAAGGGGTAAGGGGCTATGATCATTTGGCATTATATGCACTTTAAGAAAATTCAAACACGAGTGAAAGTTCTTTTTTTCCGAAAATCATTTTTATGCATGACCTTCAAAAAAAGTAAGAACAAATACTAAGCATGCTCAAATTTGAAAAAAATTTTCTTCGATTCAAGGAAAAAAAATCCCATGAAAGAATTAACAAATTCTAGTACAAAATTTTATTGAAAAATATTAACAGCAAATTTATCTGCATCAAAACTTTACCTTAAATTTATTTAAACGATTCACGAAACTGGCAAAAATATTTACGATCAATAGAAAACTAGATTTAAATTTAATTCTTATCAATGCTCCTAAGCTTCAGATTTTACATCAGCATACAGTGAAATACCTTGAATGTTTTAACATACTTAGTTAGAAGACAATGCTGGCAAAATTAAAGAGCATCGTTGGGACACTTAACATACTGAAAAAAGTGTTAACGTATTTAGGAGAAGTACATATTTCTGAAAAGTGCCTCGCCATTAATCATTAAATCTCGAGAAGGACAGAGTTTGTGCATGTTTTGGGTCTGAAATCTAGAGACAAATAAAAAACTTGTAATCTCATGGCGAACTTTAATTGACAAAATCATCTAAATTTGATACTATGGGATACATTAAGCATACTCAACGAACTGGGACATGCATAGCAAAAGGGTATTACTTCCGAGCGAAACTTCAGCTAAGACTATAGTAGGTATTACCTGGAGTAGCAGAGGGACACATTTGCCAGGAACATTCAAGAAAAGAGGTCAAGAGGTATGTATGAACATTTCTGATGACACTTGGACATTTCTGATGACACAGAACCAGTACTTTTGTTTTAATATTTGATTAACAGTTTCAAAAAGAGCAAAAATATTTCACGGTGCTTATCCTTTAATCCTTGAACAAAAAACAAATCATGTCTGGAAAAAGTACTGAAAGTAAGTTTTATGAAAAGAAACTTTGAGAGAAGGTGTTAGAAATCCTTCTTGGTAAGTAAAATTAATTTATTTCAATATAAAGAGGAAGTCATACTATTCGCAATGGCTTTATCATTGTCTCGGCATCCATTTTCATCCTGTTCCCGAATTTTACAAAATGCTCTCTCAAAAAGATTGCAGTTCAGCTTGTGAATTATCAATGATTTTATTGAAGAAAATTTTAGAAACTACTCACTTAAAAACAAAGCACATTCAAACGTTGTGGCTCTGCTTATTTACAAAATAATATGAAAATAAAAGAAGAAATGGCATTATAGTAACTGAAAAAAATACGATCTGTACTTTAAAATAAGGAATTAATTGCAAACGAGCATCAGGTTACTTGATATCTAAATGCTGATAATTTCTCTGATGAACTGAAATTTTTAAAACCGAATTGAAAAATATACCCATAGGGTGTAAAAATTGTATGCTGAAAATTTTGTCCACTGTCCTGGTACTGGTGGCTACAAAAAATTGTGACAGAAACTGGGGCAAAGGTGGTACATTTCTCTTTTACGGTAGTATCGAGCAAGCTACCCATAGCATCGAGCCAGCTACTCAAAAAGACTCTTGGCGAATTCCGAGTATTAATTGGACTGGTTCTTAATTTATATACTTAGTGTGTTTTCAATATCTCCTAAGGAATATAAATGTGTGTACCAGAACAGTGAACTATATTCTATTGATTTAAATATCAATAAATGGGCGACCCTCTAATTCCCATGAAAATAAAAACTAATGAAAATATACTTTAGTATCAATATAAATTAATATTTGAATTAGTAATTGCATACGGTTTTCATCTTCATCTAAACGTCAGGTAATTGGGATGACTTTTTAAGAGCATTAACCCACCTGAAAAAAATAATTTAATGCTTAAGGTTTGAACCATGAATTAGAAAATTTCTGATAATTCAACGTGAAAAAAACATGAAAATCAAATGCATGAAAATGATCTACGCTTAGAAATAGAGATGCGACACGGTTTAGTTAGTCAATATGAAACTAGTGAAAGATGCTTCAAATAGTGAGACATGACTAAACAAGACGTTTTTTGCTTGGCTTTTGTAATGCTTTAACAAATGAATTAAACATATAAATCATAAGCATCAACATGTTTATACGAAGAGAAGGGTAATAGAAGCTAGATTGGGTCATATAGGTTCCTCTATTATTCTAAAAGAGTTTTCCTTCCAAAATTTTAGCCTTTTGGAAAAATGAGATTGGAGAAATTCTTGTCACATTCAAAGGAGTTCTCGGAGGTGAAACTACACATCTCAATGCAGCATGATAAGAGCACACTTTATTGCAGATTATACATAACTTTTTTAATTATAATCCTTGCCAAAATCTTTTGTAAAAAACGCAATACAGTGTTCATTCTTTTTCTCCGGACAACCCAACTTCTAACACTGCATACTTTCCCCTTACCCGTTTCGGGGAAAGGGGGCTCCGTCCAGAGTTTAGGAAAGTTTTTCAAGGGTTTGGAAAGGATTGTAATCATATCCTTTGATCGAAAGATGTTTTCAAGACTATGTTGGATATTTTAAGGCAACAACCAGTTGGATGATAAAATTGTTTAGAAATAAACGTCTTTTTAACAAGACAATAACAAAATAGAATAAAAAATTCACGTACATTTCAGCAGATGCTTGGCTTTCGGCCTTGTAGACATAAGGTTCTTTAAGACCACTGTGCTCCAGCTGAAACACGTAGTCACCCAAAGCAAACTGAAATTCAAAAGAAATAAAAAATAACTGAAAAGTTCCCGATTCAATAAAACCGAATCCAAAATTAAATAAGACCATTTACTACCCATCTAATAACAACACTCGACGTAATCCTCGTGAAACTTATATAATTTTCAAAAAATGGTCTAAACAAACAATTTTTGTACCTTTACTAATCCAGCTATTATTATTCTATACTTAACCATCTTATCTTATCTATACGCCTTCTACCTTTCCTTCGCATATTTCAACCTCGTTTTACGTTCCACGTCGTATTCCTACCATGTTCCATATAGTTAATTTGTTGATTCTGTTGTTCTATTCTCTTATCAACAGTTCCTTCTATTCTTTTTACCTTATAAAGAGTTTGTTTTACGATACATCTATGTTGGGGAAACATTTGTTGGGGAAATTATGGCGAATTTATGCCTTGATAGTTGAAAACAAAAGTTTTTAAAGGAAAGTTTAGGTACTGATAACACTTTCATCTTTGTTACAATTTCAAAAATATTAGATCAAGATATTGGAATTATACTTTTCATTATCCCATAAGAAAGTCCAGGATTTAAATCCATAGATCTTAAGGAAGCAGCATGCAGATTTCCGGACTGCAGTTGTTAAAAAAATCAGTTGAAAAACTTTAAAAGCTTTTGAAAATGAGATGAACTTAAGTGAAGTCAATGTAAAGAGACGTGGCTTTTTTCGAGCAGTAAATGTTAAGCAAAGGTAAAAAACTCTTGAAACTCTAAAAAAACTCTAAAAAAGAAAAGACAAAACATCAAAAGTTTGTTCATACATTCCCTGTGACGTTTACATTGTAACCAAGAACTGCCAAAGTTGAATTAGCTGCCATATCCTAAAATGGAAAACAAAACTCACTGAACCAAAAATTTTTGTCAACATTTAATGGGTATAATTTATGCACAGATGATGTATATATTTATTTTTTTGCACTCTGGGTTGCCCACTCCCAAGTTATCTTATTTCCCAGTTCAATTTTTTCAGCCATCGTCTAAAATACAAGCCTATTGGTGTCAGCGGTGTATACGATACAGCGAATTTGAATAAAATGTTTGAAGAAATATGATAAAATATGATGAAATATGACTAAATATTATTAAATATGAAAGAAAAGGATGCAATATAATCAAAACCTCATGATTGATAGAAGAGGGGCAGGCATTCGTAAAAAAAATATAAAATTGATTTAGTTTAAAAAGTATTTATTAAAAATCAATATATATATAGTTAGCTTTTGATAAAACGAAAACGTTTTCATTTAATATTTTACAGAGAATTTAATATGCGTAAATAACAATAATGGAAAACAAGAGACAGACAATGTAGGGAAGAGTTAATGGATAAAGAAAATATATGGACAACGCTCCTGAAACGAACAGAAATGGGAACATCATTATCACAGAAAGGGTAATATCGAAGAAGAGTGGCTTGTCAGTTCAGCTTGTGAATAAAACTTCTAATGATAACAGAAATAAAAATTCGTTGATAAAGAAATTAAAGAATACGTAGTCATTATTACTTCATGAATGTAATTTCATCCATAATTTCAAGTTAAGAATTTTCTTCTTTTTGCACTTTGCACTTTATGCTCATCTCTGTTTGGGATGATTCTGGGGCATCTTAAAATTTTATTCTTCCACTATTTGGTTACTTAAAAGGCATTTCTTATAGTACAGAACCAGGAACATGATGATGAGTTATTCATATTGAATGATGTTCAGACTGGTGATTCTTCAAAATATCAGCTTTCCTGTGGTTGTTAGTGGTGTGCATTAAATAAATTTTAAAACGTGTTTAAACAGAGGCGGAACAAGATATTCGAGGAATGTTTCAAGTGGTACAACATCTCGACAAATGACCGAAATTTGAAACATGAAAGGAAGGAGTGAAATTCTACCGTTGGCAGAAGACAGGACCAACTTTCATGCATTATCATTTCATTGCAGGTTTACTGTTTCAATTAAATATTCTGGGGGCCGTATACTGTATGGTTTGCGCCCCTTCGTTTCAAACACAATCGGGTCGGGCTCCAATGTAGTTCATCATATGTTTTCCACTAAGTAAGTGTATACACCGATTTAGAAGCCAAAAAGGACGTACCGAAGGTGCTTTGTAAGAGTAAAGTGCATTGTCTTTCAGCACAAACCAACGTTTCTTCGTTTTCTTTTTCTTCACGATGAATAAATAGCCAGAAATATTGCATTCTTGATCCTGCGCAGTAACCTTAAAAGAAAGGAAAATCTATCTAACATCCTCGTAAAACGGTGGAATCCCTCATAGAAGAGATATGATTTTCTGCCACATGATAAAATTTCTTCTAAAGTTTTATATTGTGGTCCTTAAATTGAAGGTGCTTAATTGGCAAAAAATTAGCCTAGATCTTCTAAATCTGCAGATTCTGTTATGCTGGCTCTAACAGTTGGTTTTCATTCATTAAGGATTGAATTACATTTGGAAGTAATAATACGCATGAAAACGGAATCACTCCAGCAAGATTGATCACTTATTTCGTACTTTCGAATAGTAAATCACTCAAAAAATAGTTAACTTATTGCACGATGTTGGGGCGAATTATTCTGTCTTTAAGTATTTTAGTACTGAGGCCATCCTCTCTTCATCCCTTTATTCATACTCAGTCTTTTGGAAGACAAGTTTAAACTAGTAACTTCAGAACATTGAGAACCATATGAAGGACTATTTGAGAAAGATTGTGTTGCGTTAGTTACAATACAGAACAATAATCAAAATAGGAATGAAAACATTTATTACAAAGCAACGTTTTTTCTCTGTTAAAAATTACGATATATTCGATGTTGGAACTTAAGTTAATCAACACAAACTTTCAGTACCTCGGTGAGTTTCGAAGGCAAAGTTTTCCGTATAGTTCGGTCGATTTTTTTAGTTTTCCTAATAACCTTGAACTTCGACGACATTGCTGACTTGGATCGTTTCAGCTTTGATTCCTTTTTCTGCTCTTTCTCAGTCAGAGTATTCCCATCAACTTCTTCATCGATCAGCAAAGCTGTGAAAAAGCATTGTATGAAGCAAATGTAAAGGAAAACTTTCAATGGTCTGTTGCGGGGAACGTTTTCGGAAAGGCTTTGAAAAGACTGCGCAAAAACAAGAATGGAAAGAACTGAGCCACAAATTTTTAAACAAATAACAGTAAAAGGCATGTTGCTCAGCTCCAGAAAAAATTCCATGTGATACTATTCCCGTATGACTCATTTCAATGAAAAGTACTCACTTGATTTTCAGATAATAAAGTCAACTGCTACACAGAAATAGAATTATGAGATTCTGATGTCTAAAGAAAAAAAAATTCTTTCGCATCGAGGCTTTCCCTTCATTCACAAATACAATATATAACTGGCATGTTTGCATTTTTGTGCAGTCTTAAAAAAAGACAGTGATGCTGATTATAATTATAACAGTTAATCTTCAACAACTATATGCTTAAACTTACTTTCATAAAGGTGTTTGTAACACTTCTCGCAAACTCTGGCGGCATCAAAGTTTAGGTAAGGTAGTGGTGCTTCATATGATGAACAAGAGTTACAAACGATCTGCAAAATATATCAAATGTATTTGTAGCGAGGCAGAATGAGTGAGAGGCCTCTTGAAGAATTTCGTAATTTGGTGTAAGGGAGATGGGTGGGGGGAGGGGGCTGGTAAGGGGAAGTAGGAACGGAATTTATCAACGGCAGGAGACTGCAGAAATTCAAATACCAGCATACGATGGTTTAACAAGAGTTCAGCCTTAAGCATTCATCACGTATATAAAGATTTACTTAGGGGCGATTTATCTAGGCGAATCTAGGCCTACTATCGGTGGCGTAATTCAATATAGATTAAATAGCACAAACCAAATTCTTTCTAATTTTCATACAAAATTAAACCTTATTTAATACATACTTAATTACTTATACAAGCTAAAAATCATTTTCTGTGGAAGTTTCAATATTCATATTCAATATTCGTGAGTTGGAGCTATAAAATGTCTGACGACATTACATAAATAATAGATATGATTTTGATAAAAAGGCATAAAACAAAACATTCTTTAGAATCTCTAACAATTGTAATCCTTCGTATTTAATTTTTTACAATTTTCACAAAACCCTGCTAAACAAATTAATCAATTTTAATTGTTCAGAACATTATTCTCTACGTGTTTACAAAAGCCGCTTCCTCTATTGTACGACTGACCTCCCTTTACAAATGTACCCCTGGCACACTGTGGACCACAATTCTCTTATTGCTTTTCCTACACCCCTTCCTCCACATATTCCAGCCCCTGTTACCAGAGATCAAAGAGTAATTGATATAAATAAGAATATAAAGTCTTCAACAACTTCACACCTCACACATAACTTACACTTATAATGAATTTGATAAGAGTCCTGGCTTCAGAAAACCTACCTCTCCACAAGCCCTGCAATGATGACGTCGATTATAAGTTGTAAACTTCGCCAGACATATACAACACATCGTAGCTCGGGAGTCTGGTACCCAGTTAGGAGCTATATGTCCAATTTCTTTCACCGGACTCTGTAAAATATCAATATAAGAACGAACTTAGGATAAACGCAATCTTAAACTTAAAAATCAATAAATGGAATTTAACATGAATTAAAACCTTTAAAGATAGAAAAAATATGTAGCTTTTTAATCAAGGCTCTTCAACTACATCAGAAGTTATTGGCCTCCAACAAAACAAAAAGGCCCTGATTGGCTCAGTACATTCTTTTTCACAATTTATCATTTAATTCCTTACTTTTCAAAGTTTCAGGGATCAAAGTTTGCCTATACTAAGAAATTCCATACCCTGAGAAGTGTTAAAATGACTATGACCTATTGAGTCAATAACAATTGTAAAAACCATTTCAAAGTCTAACATAAGGAAATATTTGAGTAGGTGAACAAAAATCGTAAGAAAAATCTGAAACATATGAAATATACGATATATGAAAAATCACACACTGTGTCAGTTCTACTTACCCCCAAGGAGGTTGGAAATTTTTCTCCATGCTCCAGTTTGATTGTAAAAGTACCAATTTTTCGTGAAACATCATCGATGGCAGATTGAATGGCCTATTCAAAAATACCGTTGCTAAAAGTAACAATTTATAGAGAACGGGATTTTCGAAACAAATTTTTTCAAAAGGGCCAAGAATTTATTAAAACTTAAAGGGTTACATTAATGGTCTTCTAAGCATTGCATTAGTAAGGATTCTTTCATTTTTCTCTCTAAAGGACGTAGCAAGCAATTTGATGATCCTGTATATCTCATCGAAGAACGGAGCAAATGTCGCTCCAACCAAAATAGCAAACCCTCCGAATTCTCAATTAGAACAAAACCTTACTCCCCCTACCCCTTAACGGAATCTGTGGCTGTGACGTCATGATCTAGATTATCAAAAAGACTTACCGCTACCCATTCATCTCGCTCCTCCTTAGAACTAGACAAATAGGAAAATACTTGTATAAGAGGAAATCGCAAATCTTGGTTAATCTATAAAGTTCTATTAAAAATTTTGAAAGATTTGATTCTAAACGATTCTCATTTTCTGGTTGATTTTAGTTTCCTGTTCATGTATGGTATTTGATCCTTTTTTTATTACATGAAATATTCATCGCCTTAACTTCCCAAGTTACTTTCCCATAATTTTGGATATCATAAACTTTTTGCAATCTTCAACGATAAAGCCCAAAAATTCACAAGATTTGCTAAGCAGCAAAATACAAAATCAAAACTTTCATTCAAGATTGTTAGCTATACGGCATCTAAATCAACTGAAACAAACTGCCAAGTTTATAGGAAGTACTCAAAGTGAAGTTTCTAGGCTGTATGCTTCAATTAATGTAAATACACTCAGAAAGAATCGGAGTTTGAACAATTTACAAATGCAGTGAATCTAAGAGGCTCAAAGATCTTCGCGAATTATTTCTTGACATAGCATACCTTGCAACAACAGTGAAAGACCGTTTTGGACTGATAATAGTTAGCTCCTTGTTGAAATCGATGCTTTCTGGAACATCGAGCTGAAACATAAAGGCAGGCGTAAAGACTAGCTAACATCAGAAATTTCAGTCCTAAAATAGTTCAACACGGGCCAAGAATTTGATCCACCGCCTAATTTGCTATGAATTTACATTACAAACCACAATACCAGTCGAGATCACAATCCAGAGCTAGGGGGCAAATTTTTCATTTTCTAGTTCATTATTATCCCATGAACTCGACAACAGTCTTCATTGAACGCCCCTTCTTCTCTAATGGACTTACCGTACTTCAAATCACTTAAGCACTTTCCAACAGTAACCGAACCCTTATAAAATATGCCGTGAAGTGGAAAGAGAGGTATCTCAATTATGTGATTTTGCTAGATTAATAGCCATATCAAAAATATTGCGATATATTTACCATCATTCCAGCGAGTGGCAATTCTTGCCTTAATTTGTATTGGTTACTGACTGCTGCGTGTTCACAGTACAACAAACAATCAGTAAGCTGCAAAGAGGTGTAAACAATGATAAAAATTTCGAGGTCTTAAATCTGCTGATCAAGGATGATGAATGCAAAAAATGACATGTTTGCGCTAATCGAAGGCTACAGGAGCCCGAGTTTGCTAACACCCGAAATTGATAACACAAATGATCACTACGGGGCTGTACTTTCTTGTACAGCTGCATCGCCTTTTGGGTTCAGTTTTGGGCCTAAATAAAAATCCAATGCTGTTAGAATAGTTGAGACCTGACAAAGACATAGGCATGCGAAACTACTAGCCAAATTTCGCAGCGAAGACGAATTTTGGATATGTGAACGCAATGTGACATGAGAAATAGACTGTAGCTCTGCTATGGCGACCGAAAACTTCAAAATGCAGTGTTTCATATATGCTTGCGCAAATATATATTTTAAAAGCTTGCGAAGTAAAACTAAAAGAATACGATATCTTTCAAGTGTCACACTGGCCTAAGCTTAAGTAACATCAACAAGGGATTATAGCAACTACATACACAGTTAAAACTGTAAAAATATATCTTATTGTAAGAGCATTCCCGCCTCCATAATCCTTTGCAATAGCCAAAGGCAAATAACGGCATTTCAAACAATAATCTGTTATAATACACAGAAAATATAGATCGTATATATAATGTATTGCATACCAGAAAAAACATTCTTTCTTGCGCTTCTTTCCGACTGAGTTTGTTGAGAATTCCTTCTTTGAGGAGGTACTAAGCAAAATTTTGAACATGTTAGTCAAACTGATTACGATATTCTACTCTGATTCAAAGAACAGTTAAAAATTTAGCTGAATTGGTCGAATTGATAGATGCTCTCATTTTATAAGAAAATTGATTCAAAAAGGAAATTGATTCTTTTAGTTCAAATAGGAATGGAATATAAAAAGATTGTTTAGAGCTAGGATAGCTGGTTTTATTGGTGCAAAAAATTGACTGGAATTCATCTCTTTTGTAACATTCGATTAAATTGGTTTAATAATTAGGCCGAATTGGTTTAATACCAGAGGGAGCCCTTCTACAAATTATCTAATAGTGTTATAAATCTACGAATAAACCTAAACAATTTTGATGATCATCTATTTTATTATGTTTTAATGCACGAAAAAGCAGACTATAAATTGCTTTCACGCAAGTTGGACATTTTGGATAAATTAAAATTGGCATAACGGTATTACGTTAACTACCTATGCCTTCGGTTAGGCAGTAGATCCAACTAGATTAAGCACCACAAAATTTACTTACCCTTCCTGGCTTAACGATCTCTTTGCTGTTTATAATTCTCGTTTGAAGTTTTAACATGGTTTGAAACTTGTCCTTTAAAAGAATATTGATCACAAAACTTTAGAATCCTAGCAATACTGAGCAAAGATATCCATGATATATCATGATATCAATTATTTAGCTGCTTTGTTGTAACTTGCAACCTAGCATCTATATGCAACTAAGGCTTATTAAGAAAATATTCGTCTTTTCGCATTTATGACGTCACAGTGATAAAGCAAAGCACAGCGATAGGAATTCTTACCCCTTCTTTCATACTCTCATTAATGTGATTTGCTACTTGTGAGACAATCTGCAATCCATCTATAACATAAGATAATCTCAATACGAACTGAGGATCAAAAGTTGAATTTTACATTCAGACTCTTTATGATTTTTATTACTAACCAAGATATCTATATAAAAGAAAAAGTAAATAAGGCAATGTTATACTTACGGTTGATATCTTTGTGGTCCTCACTCTCCTCTGGAAGGTGTTTGAGATAATCTGCAATGGAATTATAAATTTCAAACTCAAATAGATTCAAACTTTTAAAAAACATATTTTCACTGTTTGTGGTATGCAAACATCAGGCAAAGATATGATACGAAAATTCTAAAGTCTAGTGCAGAACAACAGTTAGAGAATTTAGCAAGAAACAATTAGAGATTAAAATAAGATATTGTTAAATAAAACATACTTACCAATAAGAAGGAGGCGATAGCTGGGTATCCGTTGAATCGGCTTAAGCATAAATGACGTAATTTTCAAGTTTAAGAAAGATGGTTTTCTCTGAAAAAGATTAAAATCTTGTGGTTAAAATCTTTGTTCGTGCATCTTTGTTCGTAAAATCTTTGTGGAAAACTGCTGATGGGAAATGACCATGAGCCTAAAAACAGTTGCAAATCGAGCTCTAGTCTCGATTACAAAATAAACATGGAAAGTAGGCCAGAACAAAACAAGATAGAACATACCTCATATTCTTTGACAATAGCAGCAAATTTCGGAAACTTATGGCAGCATTCTTGGAACATGGTCATTGCTTTATCGTAGCCTTTAATGTAATTTGTATACATCTAAAACAAATAATATACATTTTAATCATATGTAACCATTTACAGGCTCCATGCACAGAGAATTTCTCCAGTACTACAGAGTAAAAAAGGGGTATTATATGTTGCTATATTATTTTGGTATCTGCAGGAAAATCGCAGCTTACCTTCAAAAAGTAGCTGTACTTTCTCACAATATCGCCAATTCTCTTATGTGAGTCCCTAAAATTGAACAGGAGATAATCAGAGACGTCGAAATCATAACATTGCCAATCGATTATCAATTCTCAGCGATATCTGCTCAAAATTCTCAGTGCTTTAAATGGATAATATTAATTTTTTCTTTATAAAAATTAATGCCATTAAGGTTAATAACCATGGGAGGAAGAGGTATTTACAATGCAAACTGAATAAAGAATTTCCATATTTTACCAATCAGTCATCCGGTTTTCGAGGTCTTGAAGGAAATTCTGGTCAAAATCATAGATCAACTCAATGTCATCAAACATTTGGGAAAATGAGCTTTTCGGCAAAGAGGCGGGGTCCTTTGCCATCATCTGCTTTACAGCGGCAGCAAACTCCTGCATCGCAAAGTTATTAAGTGATATCACAATTAGCCGGAGATTAATAATTATCGTGAGAAAACGGACATAACTCTACTTGACAGGACCAAAATAAAATCGTTATTAACGCTATACAACGACAATAAGCATAACAGCAAGTTATCGTGTTATTCATTCCTACAAGTAAAATATCTTGGTAACATCAAAGATAAAACTGAAGGAAAATATTGAGAAATACCGAGAAAAAATCAATCGGGAGAGAATTTCTCATCTGGTAGGGTTGAAGAAATCTTACCGACTGCATTACAAAGACCCGATCGCTTTTCAAAAGGACAAACATGGGAGAAAACAATATTTTCCGTGAATGCGTTACATTTGACTTCTTTAGGGTACAATCTAAGAATCCATAGGGGATCAAAACCCAGGTTGTTACTGCGAATGCAATACTCACTAAATGATCTGTAAGCAAACATCCATGATCACTTCATCTGCCAGTTTACTTAATAATCCTGTCTAAACTTGTCTCGTTTATTTCAGGACCCCACTTTCCGTTGAACAAGTGACTCTTCATCAACCATAATCTTTCATTCTTCTGAAGTGTGCGGTTACACGAAAAATTGGCAAGCTAGGGTGGGGTCTTATCAGCAATTCACAATTCCATGGTGGGGGCAAATGCAAAGAAGAGTTGATACATAGGAGGGGGGCATTTTGAGCATTTGAAGAGGGGACTAAGCAATCTTCAAAACTTACAGAAAGTTATACTGGTGTGGGAAAAAATACTGAAATTATTCATCACAGAAATACTCACGCCACAAACCAATCTTAAAGCATTAACAAAAGTCCTCTCCGTGGTCAAAATTTCATTCGCGATGTGATAAAGCTTGCTGTATTGTTTGTTTTCTTCCTAATCAAAAGTAAGAATAATAAAAACGATAACATCTTGAAGAAACTGGGGTAAATTGATGACTGAACCTGTATCTACAAATTTTGAAAAAACGATTAGGAACAATTATACAATAATTTAAATACTTCACAGCTCTTAAATGAACTAAAAATCTAATGACCAACAATATTCTAATATATAAATGGAATGACGGCGAAATTTTACAATTTTAATATAATATATAATGTTTTAGTAAAACTTATCAATTGTAATTGAAAAAAGTGGGCGATCTTCAAAGGATTCGTCGGGGAATTTATTTCGGTAGATGTACCTTGTGGCATTTTGTAAACACTAGCATAGAAAAAATCTGATTCTTTTGGCAAAGCGTAAAAAATAAATGTCTTATGGCAAAAAACCATTTCCCCTCCTTTTATTACCCCTGTTTCGTAATGTGTTTACACCAGGGAGCTTTAGCCTCCCCCCCAATATTTCCGAAATATACCTAAAGCCATACAAAAATCGCCCTGCTCCTGGTTTTTAGCATGCTTAGCCCCCCTAAAACGTTTTAACCCCCTCAATCTGTAATATGCTCCACGGTCCTTGCTTTAAACTGATGATTTTGTTGAAAGTGGAAATCAAATAGCATCTATGAATTGAACTCATAACATAGACCAAATATTTCTGTTGGCAGAGTAAAAATCCTCCTGTCATTCAAACAAAATGGCTTTAAGCCCCCTATATGATACAAAAATTATACACAGTGATGCAGCAATATTGCAAGTAAATGGCTATCATACTGCGCCCAGTGGGCGGGAATGTCATAAAATATACCCACTTAATAATATCAAACAAATATTACTGATGCTGACTATAGATGGTCGACAATGAAGGCATCACAGGGCTTATCTTCCCTAACAAAAAACGACCGAAGATTTTTTATCGGAAACTGACTGTTGAGATCACAAGCATACCTCTTTTGAACTTTTTTTCTTTTCTTCATCTTCGTTTGGTTTCAGTTCTTCGTCTGATTCTGACTCAGAATCCAAAAACTCATCACCTAGGCAGTTGAAATGAAAACAATTTTCCAAGTGGTACGTGGCGATAGGCACAACCCTATTAATTTCTAAAGGGACTAAGAGCCTCTCTGTACCTGGTAGAGAGTGTGGCAAGTTGGATACTCTAGTTGGACGGCACTGTTTTGCTTTTTTCAGTTTTGCTTATTCTTTTCTCGGTAGGAAGCTTTTGCAAAAATATCCATGGAAACTGGTAGGCTCTAGAAATATTTTGGTGAGGTCACACACTTCAAGGACCTTTGATAAAAATGTCGGTCCAAGCGTAAAAAGACGGAAGGACCTTCAAAAAGTAACTTCTCGATTAAGGAATCACGTATCTTGAAAAACAAACACTCAAGGAAACAACACTTTACTGAAATCTTTATTCTCTAAACTTTCTGATCAAACAGTTATTCAGTTCAAGATACGATGACAGACTGTGAAAGAATAGTTCCTTTAGCTCATTATATCGTGGTTAGCATACCTTTGAGCATTAATGGGAGACCCATTTCACGGCGCAGTGATTGAATTCTTTGGTAGCGTCCATCAAGTGAATCAAATTTCTGGAAAAGTAAAAACTTTTTTCATCTTAAGTTTAAAAATTAAACAATTGTCTCGGCTTACAATAATAACGTTTATTACAAGGTGGGGTTTTGACAGTACAGAAGTAAGCATGACAATTTTCCTGTCTTTTGTGCACAATATACATATGTTTTGGTTACCATTTCTTGAAAGCGTTTCGCTTCCTTTTCCTTTTGGCTGCTACTATTGATATTTTTGGCTGCAGAGATACGCACGAAAGACTTATTCTTAGACTATTAAAGGCTTTGAAGCATTATTCCTGTGTTTTGGTGACTTTACAGCCTTGATTTCTGCGAATCTATGCTTAGACCAGTTAATTATTCTAATTTTCATGTTAACTGTACGAATCTAAAAACGAATTAAATAACAGTGTATTTTTAGGATTGACAAGACTGATTGCCAGGATTGACACAAGAATTCGCAATAAAAACATGCAGCTGGAAATACTCAAACTGTTATCCTGCTCAAGAAACTTACCGATATCTCGTCATCTGGGACAGCTAGTGTTGGAACAGGAGGCGGTGCTGGGGAATTCTCTGGTCTTCTTGGTAGGCGATTTGGGGCTGGTGGGGCGGGTCTGCAGGGTTTTACTTTCTTTGGCGGAGGTTTATTTGGTGGTGTCAACGGCTGTAAATATTCGCCAGCTAGGAATCCAATTTGCGTACACATTAAAACGTTTTATGTATACATACGTATTAAGTGCTGAAATTTCATAGATTATGAGACAGAAGGAAGTCAAAAATTCGGTTCTTTGTTGCAAGAAATCATATACAGATTTAGAAACATAGATTCTCGCCATACACAGATTCTCGCCCCCTCTTGTCAATTTAATCCAAATTTCCACTGTAAATTTGATATGTTAACCACAATTTAAAGAAAGTTTGTTGATATACAAAAAAGAAAAGAAAAAAATAAATATAATGGATTTATAACAAATTTTAGAATTATAAAAACAAATATCAGTATCACTACGAGAATAAGAATATAGCTACCGGTTTACAGCCAAAAAACTTTGAAGTTTCTTTAGCAGAAAAATAGACAGTAACTACTATCCAATTTCTTCCAAAAATAAAATGTACAGAAGCTTGGATAATGATATTTTCTTTTGTTTGTCAGTAAAATGTGATCTTTTAGATAATACACAACAAGAGTTTTTCAATAGGAAAAGATATGGAATGGAATGACGGAGTGAACCAATACTTAATCTTCTACGCCAATGCTAAAAACATATTTAAAAAACTACCATTGTACCAGTCTGTCATGAAGTGTCTGATACCGTATAGGCACAACTGGTCATGATTTGAACAGGACGGTACAAAGTTGCAACTCCAAGATGCACGCTTAATGCATTCACCAGGCAACGGTTAAGTTGTTGTTTATCTTTTTTGTCATTTAGATCATCTGTATATGTACTTTAATATTAATGTAAGTGCTGTCGTAGTTGGAGCTCGATGACTTCATGTCTTTTATATGTAGTTAATTTTGAGTTGTTTTTATTTGTGATACAAAAAACAAGAAAAAAACTGCTAAACTTCAAAGAGAAACTGGCTGCGGGGCCAGCCTTCGTTTATATAATGGGGACAATCGCTGGGGCTAGAGGGGCAATTGTTAGTTAGTATGTTAAAAAGACCCTATTATGCACTTTTTAAGCTATAACACATCGAGTACTATATGACAGACCAGTTATGCAGCAATTTTTATCATTAATCATGTTAAGCAGAAATTCTGATATAAAATTTTCATTTTCATTTCAAATGTCCATGGAAATACAAGTTCCATGACAGAAATTCAAAATTAATGAACTAACAAACCTAAACTGGATATCTTGTCATCTTTTGCTGGTGACATGTCAACATACTCTGGACCACTTTGGTACCCCAATGTATCTGCCAGAGATAATCAAAATTTGAAATAAACCTTTTTATTCCAGCGCTTTATTGGTGACCCAATTTTAAAATGATACAAGGAATTACCAAATTAACTTCATAAGCATTAGCGGCATTCCTTTCCTTATTTCATTTCGATACATGAAATTTGACAGACCAGACAATAATTCCCATAATCAAGTTCTCAAATGTAAAACTAGCCCAATAAGGAAGGGCTCGTGGAAGCGACATGTGGTAAGTAAACCCGGAATTTATTCTTAGGAAAACCTCTTCCGTTTTCCTAAATGATGCAGTGTTTATAATTTGAAAGGCTTTCATAAACTCTGTTGTGAAAGACACGATGAAAAAGAAGGCAATAAGGTTATGTGTTCTTTGCATGGAAGTAACTTCATTGCGGAAAAAGATTTATGTACCACATGTTCCACAAGCACGTGTGCAGAAAGATGTAGGGGTGTACCAAAATTTATAAAAAAGGTTTATTGACCAACAACCTATAAAGACACTTAGGATAGTTATAAACAATCTTAAGCATAAATTGACTTATTTTCTTTTGTAGCTAAGCTTGTGTACTTGCTTGTATGTGATGTGAACACAATCCTCAGGAGTATCCAGTCATATTATTTGAAAAGTTAATTTTTGAAATCTTTCAAATCTTGAAAAATTTATATGTTTATGAATGTAGCCGAATAACGTATTTGCCATGGTATGAGGAAAACCTTTGACAAACACAGCACAACATTTTTTGTATGAAACTGGACAAGATACCTACCTTGAACGGGGCATTGTAGTTGCAGAGCTGAGAAAAGTCTTCCTCTGAACAATTTTGATAATTATCCTTCAGAAAACATTGAAAACAAAGCGGGGTTTTAGTTTGGTTTTTGCTGTCAATGGCCTTTTTCAGGGCCTGTGCGACCACCATCTTTCTGGGATTTGGTAGTTGTTATTAAGAATTTGAAAGGTAAAAAGAAAATTGTTCTTTCCAACTACGTTTTGATAAACACCCTCTAAAAAAGGAACTTCAATAGACACATGGAAGTTAACCGGACTAACCTTAACCATAAAAATATCAAAGACTTATTAATAAGATGTTTCTTTCTTACTTGCAGTTAAAGAAAAAAGAGGCCGATAAACAAGGTTATCATTTCAATGGTGCAAATGTAAACCACACAGTACAATTTCCATTTATAACAAACAAACCTCCATGGGATGTATTTTTCATTAGAGAAATCTTTTCGACGCACTCGTATCCATCATCAGAGTGGCTCGTTTCTGTTTGAAGAAAGTAGATATAAACTTCTAAGTAGAAAATTATGACCAACACATAATCTACTCGAAAAAGTAGCAAAACTTCCAAACTCAGGGGTAAAGTCAGAAGGCATCGTTAGGAGTGCAAAGAATACCTTTATTGCTGGAGTAATATTTAAAGGGTGAAGAAAAAATTAAAGGGTTTTGAAAATATTCTTTCAGCTAATTAAAAACAGCTGTAACAAGATTAGAGCATAAATACCTAGTTCGCTTCCAATATTCAGACCTGCGCTGCTCCTGGCACTACCAGCGGAATCGCTTTCACTAGTACTGCCAAGTAGATTGGCGCCTTGTGGCAATGAAATAGATCCGGGTCGAAAATTGTCAGGATCGACGTAATCGTCCGGGCCATGGCCTGGTACGTTATAGGCTTGCCTATCGTTGTCTTCCTGGCTATCGCTCAAGTTCCCATACCCAGTACCCCCTCCAGACTCATTTGAATGGACACTCGGTTCTTTGTAAACGTGACTTGAAAAATCATCCGGATCAGATAATCGGGCGGATTGAAATGATTTTGTCGATTCAGTGTCCCCACCGGAACTGTTACTGTATGATTCCGTTCTTGGGACGACATAGATATTATCGTCCGGAACACTTGAAGACAACTCTTTCGAAACAGGCTTTGAAATTTCAGACAGGGGAGACGATCTGGCCTCGTTAGGCCTAGCCTTAGAGCGCAAGACATTGAAATTATTATCCAAATGTGGTGGTTGAGGGGGAGGGCGACGAAGTCTTTTTTGGGGGGAGTCTGAGGGGGTTGCTTCTGCAAACAGAGCACGTCTAGCTATTGGTTTAGGGGAGGAGGTCGGGCTTTGGTAGTAAGACTCCTGCGAAAGGGCCTCTACCCGAGGAGAGGACTGTGTGGGTAACTCGTTACTCGGAAGACTATTAAGAGAGCCTTTTCTCGGAACTTCGACATAAAGAGCATCATCAATTTTTTCTTCACCGTCAATTCTTAAATGTTTAAAATCCATCGGATTCTGATCTGTTGAAAAATTTGAATCTGGATCTTCAAGTGGTACAAAACCATGATCAACCAAATCAGTGCTTAGAGCTTCTACATCAGCGTGAGATTCAACCAAGCTACGATTTTTATCTTCTAAATGAAGACTGGCGTTGATGTAATCATGTTCTTTATCTTCGCCTAGTCCTTTTTCATCTATAAATTGTTTATCTGTGTCTCCGTCTTCAATGTTCGTTCTTTGCCATGATCTATTTGAAGATGATTCATCGAAAGAAGGTTCTTTTTCTTCATCGAAAGAAGAATTCTCAACAGAAGAGTGGTCTAACTTGAAAGGACTTGGGACATTTTCGTATGGATTGGTTAAAGGTCTATTTTTGCGTTCACGAGAAGGGGATTCAGATGTATATTTTACTTTAGGTTCTGAAGAGTTTTCAACTCTATCGATGATTGAAACGTTTTCATATGGATTACCTCTGACCGGCTTCGTATTGTTTACATTAGAATTTTGTTCCGTGGTAGCGATCTGCACGCCTACACCATTAGTTCCTGCAAACGATTCGATGCTTTCCTTGTTCACTTCTGCAGTAACAGCCTCTGTTATCTCAGCTTTTGGTTGGTTTTCAGAAATAACTTGTTCTTGAGCATCATTAGAGAGCTTGACACTGTTTTCCAAATGATCTATCTTGCACTCCTGCCTTCTAATTTCATTTTTACATTCATCTCCTAGAAGCAATGTAGATTTTTCAGCATCTAAATTGGTTTTCGTGGTTTGATCCTGACTCCTCTCTTCTTGTTCACAAAGGATTGGTGTGCCATTTTTCTTTTTCCTTGGTGGAGGAACAGGTCTTGACATTTCCGGGCTGTTCGTGCTTTGACCCTTAGGCTTGGGCAATGGTTTTGGAACAATGTTCGCCTTCTCCTGAACAGAACTCGCTGGAGTTTTTCAATATCATTTCTGACAGGCTTCTGAGGAACTGGCCCACTCATTCTTCTTGGAAATGACGGAGCTACTTTAACTGTCCCATTTTCAATGTCTCTTTTTGTCTCTCTATTTCCTAGAGGAGTGGTTTCATTTCTTGTATCACTAATGGTTTTTTCTGTTATTAACGAATTCCTTTTTAAAGAGGGTGGTCTTGCAGGGAGTTTGGGTTTAGGTCCAGATATCTGTCTTTTCAGTGATGCCTTTTTGTCTGTGTCAGGCTTTGCAGTAATTTTTAAGGGCTTTTGAGGCACTGCTGGTTTGGGCCTAGTTGGAGGTGGTGGTTTCCTGATTGGCCTTTAAAAAAAGTTATTCAAATATCATAAATGCAAAGAAAAGATTTAATAAGAAATAACTTTTCTTTTAAGCATTGAAGATCTTCCCAACAGATTGTGAAGGTCATATATTATAAAATATTTCACAAAATGTATGGTTATCAAAAAATTATTAATCTTGATTATAGAGAAACTTATATTTACATTCTTTTATATATGTTACAGTCAAATCTGGGGAAAAAAACACGGAACTGAATGCTGCTTGATAGTTGGTGACTTTAACAGGAAGTTGACTGAATAGCTCTCCATGTCAAGATTTTCATTGGCTTAAACTGGAAATTTGACTGTTCAGTGACTGTGACCAGCAGTTTGTATAATGTTTCTCATTTATGAAGATTTCTAATTCTTAGTAAGTCAGGTAAAAAGTCAAAGGTCAACCAGAAAGTCACTGAAAGTTTTCCAAATTTGCATCTTAAAATTATAAAATTGTTGAATTAAAAGAAAAAGAAACATTTCATAGGGATGGTAATAGAAAACTCAGTAGGGGTCCTTAATTACATTATGTAATAAGTTAAACTGAATGTTGCTTATTTGCTTCTGCTATCAAACAGGAAAAGCACAGAACAAATTATTGACCATTTCATTTCCAAAGTCTACCAAATAGAAAAATTGTGATAGTAAAAATATTATGCCTTACTGCAGAATGAAAAATGAATATGGAAAAGAACAATGAATGTAGAAAAACAGGCTGAACAATCATAACCCCACACATTTTGCTCAAATTTTTGTTCCAGTTGATGGTTGGTTGCTTGACTTGCAAGCACAGAATTGCAGCTTTTTTGATAACATTATAGTTTTTTACAGTTGTTATCAATGCAGCAAAAATGGGAAATTTTTACTAAAGTATATTGTAATGTTTTGTTCAGCGAAAGGACGCAAGGGCCCAGACCCTATATATATTGTTATGTTGGTAGAGTTATAAAAGTTATGTTCGGAGCACTTCGTTGTTTGAATCATCTACAATCTGCCTATCAGGCCACCGTAAACATAAATATAACATATATTATACTCTGTGGTCTTACAATCAACATACTGTGAAAAAAATTCAAACTCAATAAAAAAATTGAGGGCCAGTCCAACAGTCAAAATCAAAGAAAGATTCAAAGGTCCCCAGAAGGTCAAAGATCATCAAGACAAATTATAAGTCTATCAATTTTGATTTTTTCGTAAACTCTCAGATGAAATACTGTGAAAAACAGCTTGCCTTGTAGTGCCAGGAGATCCACCATGACCTTCTTTTTCTGCTGCATTGTTGTTTCCAACTGAGAAGAGAGTTTTGATAATAAATTACAAACTCAAGCAGAGAGATCATGATAAAGAAAAACAGATGGTAATTAGTCTATAGAATTATTTCTCAAGAAGAAAATTTTAAGGAAATAAGCAAATATTAAACACATAGACAAATATCAGTAGCCGATGGCCGACAATGAGGCACTGCTTCTTATTACTGGGTGCATTTAACTATCGATCTAAGGTGCCCTTGACTGCATTCCATCATTGCTAATGAACCAGTTGAAAAGCAAAGTATCAGTTGACACATAAAATTAACTATAGATCTTTGTAATCCAGAAAAAAACAATGGAAAATGCATTTATTTATGCTAATAACTTTTACAGTGCAGTCAATAAATTCTGTGAATACTCAAGTCAATAAAAAATAAAAATTGTAAAGAAGTAATGCATCTGATACGAACTTCCTTACAATTTACTAGAACTCAGATTGTCATGAACTGTAATGTAAAAATACTGCTATATTAGATTTCCCCATTGTACCACTGTTTCATTGACACAAGAAACATTGTAGAAACTCTCCTCAGTAAAAAAATACCACTAAGAAGATGGTGATTTAACTAGAACTCTAAACAATATTGTCCTCAGTATTGTGAGAAAACAGAGCCTCCAATTTTAATTGCTGACAAAATATTTTGAAATCCATTTTGAAAACATTTTTGTTATATTACCTCTATAGCACAGTACTGCATGAGAAATAACAGCTCCTGGAAATAGGTTAAATGAACAATATCTATCCTTCATACTGCAAATATTTTTTCACTTAACTAGCAGACAAAAGGTAGCATCCATTTTGTATGTTTAGGGATTTGGAAATAATGTCCTGCATCCTACAAGAAGTGCAACTGAATTTGCATTTTTATAAATATGTGCTTACATTATATAAATGAATAATACAAAATAAATCAATAAAAAAGTAATTTTGCCATGGCAGAATGTGAGGATTGGAGGAACCTTAGCATTAAAAACAACCTTCTTTGTACTGTTGTTTCCACAACAGGTCAAAAGTTCAAGTATTGTCTAGAATGCCAATGGCTATTTTGGCTTTGTTTTGCAACAGTGAGTAATAATTTTGACTGCACTATTTAAATTTTATAAGTTTTTGAACTCAAGTTTGTAATTCACATAAAATATTACCTTGTCAAGAAATTTGAAGTAGTTGCGATTGAGGTAAATAAACTTACACAAATTCTTGTAGAATCAATAAGAAGGTATGTAAATCAAAACACAACAATTTGACAAACCATTTCGTTTAGAAATTTCACCACTCTAAATGCTGCCATTTTGCAGTAATTCAAAATTGGGCAAACAGGAAATGAATAAACCACTGAGTCACGACGAAGATAGAAGCAAGTCAAAATTAATTTCAAAAAATGCCAAAACACAACATCTTTACCTCCTTCTCCTTGCTTGGATACCATCTGAGTATTAAATACGCAACAAGCAACATAAAAACCTAGAAACTTTCCGAAAATTTGTTTTATCTAAACACGTGATATTGCACGCAGTAATTAATTTGTTTCTATTCGAAATCAAAGTGATACAAAGACACATCAAAAGCTGTTGTCAACAAATAATCCACGTATAATTTTCTCTAAAAAAGCTATAGATTTTTAAAGTTATTTTCAAAAAGTTCAAGCCTTCTAAAAATAGAAAAATACTTCTCTAACTATCAAAATGTATTTGCACCTTGGAATAAACAAGGAAACTCTACCATTTCCGGAAAACAAACTAGAGGGCAACTTAGCCTTGTCAACAGAAATATTGATCGATATGCACATTATCTCCGAAAATTCAAAAATAACAAAGATGTAAAATGCACTTTCTCAGTTACCTTTGAAATCTTGCCTTTTATGCGTTGCCATTGCTGGGATTTCCATTATCCAGTCTGTGTTTCACAGCATGTTTTACTCTGTTTTTGTAGGCCTAAATTCTTCTCTCTTTGTAAGGCAGCTATCATTCATCAATATCATTTAGACTGAAACAATGATCCTCTCATTTAAGAGGAACTTCGATTCTAACATATGAAAATATCATATTCTCGTTTGCATTGACATGAAATTTGTTACAAACATTTTACCATGATGTTGTCCACCATATTGCAATGTGAAAGTCCAAATTAAAGGTATCACGTGACTTGTAGAAAATACCTTTTTGCTCTTCCGTCTCGACTTCCCTTTTCCTTGTCAGGCCCTATCTTGTCAACTTTGCACCGCATCAAGGATCATCATACACAAGAATGCGAAATTTTTCTCTTTCCAATCAAACCACAAACTGGATTCTCTTGTTGGCACAATAACACCTCTAACACCTCTCTGTGTTTTAGAATAAACCTAGTGTTTGTTAGAATTTTCGCAGCTTCTAAAAAAGTTTTGGTCGTCTTCTTTGGAGCACGCCCGGAGCAAAGGGCTTAAATTTTACAACAGGGAATTTAAAAATGCAGCTTTTCAAAATTTACTTACAAATTCTAAATTTTTGCTAACGCTGTTTTACCGGTTGACTTTGTAACGACATTGTAATGAAATTGTAATTTGTAATGTAATGGGGACCATATCTTTGCAATATAATATTTTTAGGAGAAAAGAAACTGCATTGTGTTTTGTTGGCTTATTCTAACATATCATTGATTGTTTTTGCATGAATTGAATGTAAAATATCATTAACATACAAGGCAATATTTTAGTTATCTATAGGCTTCTGAATCAGTTGATTTAAGTTGCTAAAAGTGGTTTTACAGAACACTGTCTTTAAAAACGCGTTCCTTTTCCTGTAAAGTCTTTTTAATGTTGAAAATGCTCTGAGATAGCAAAAATGCCGGGCCGGCGAAACGTATCTGAAAGTGGAGGGGCCAAAATATCAAAGCCTTGAAAGGGCTTAGGAAAGACCTTTGCGGCAAGAAAAATTTAGAATTATAGTGTCTTAGGGATGGCCAGAGATTGTATCTATAAAAGGAATTTTGGCTGAAGGTGTCGCATAGTCGCGTCTATTGTGATGTTAGCTTGAAATAGAAAAGTTTTGCAAAGTTTTAGAATAACCACTATCATATGGCTCGTAATGAAGCCTTTTTTAGATTTTAGAAGTACCCGGAATAAGATGGGGGAGAAAAATAAATGAAACACGGATTAATAGAAAACATTAACGGTGAAATATCAACAGAAGAACTATCAACTAAAAATAAAAAGTTAAGCAATTTTGTACAGTTAAGATAAAACTTTGTAACATCTGATCTTAATTTTTTCGGAAATTAAATGCTTTAACAAAAATTTGAAAAACCTTGCAACTGGGCTTGACAAAATGAGTTTAAATAGAATTCATAATTGAGTCGATATTTTCTCTTTCTTAGTACGAATGGATTATCCAAACGATCAAACTCTGAAGTTTTTCTTGATGATACTTTTTAAGAACAAATCTGACCTTACTTTATTTCTCATATCCTCAGAAAAGTTCTTTCCAGCTGTTTCTTTTCCTTCAAAATCTTTTTGTAAAATTTCTTAGAATTTTATCATTCGTTAACAAATAGATCTTGTATGCCAAATTTAGGCAATGGAAAAAACGAAACTTCGTCAATTTATGCTGGCACCAAGTTATTCTGTACTAGGTTTCTCGATCTATTTGCTAAGCCAAGCTGTTACTCGTTGTAAAACTTAGACAATGACCGATTTCTTCGATCCTATACCAATATTCAATTTCATGTTTGTCTTCTATGGTAATGACATAGCAGCCACAGGGCCTCCGACGAAGGGGGGGCCGGGAGGGCCTTGGCCCCCCCACTTTTTTGCAAAACAATAGAGTTTTTTTCAAAATATTTTGTTATGGGTGTCAAATTTTCCCTTGGCCCCCCCCCCCACTTTTCAACCTTTGTCGGAGCCCATGAACCAAGGTAAAGCCAAGGACACATCTAAGAGAATACTAGGCAAAGTTACTTACAGAATCAAATACTACATTTATTTCCACTTTTGCTTAAAATTTTTCTTTAGCTCTGCAGAAAAGTGGGTGGGGGGGCATGCCGGCCCTGAAATCTTAGGAAATGATTCCTTCCAGTATTTTCCTTTATTGAAGGTCATTTCCGAACATATATATGCTTCTTACAGACTAGCATAAATTTTGTTTTACTTTGATACACACCATGTATTTACTTGTATGTATAATAATCTTTAACGTGAATTACAAACTAAGTTTAAAAACTTGTTTTCAGTTTGGTTCACTTATCTAATGCAAATTGCAAATTTTACAAATTACTAACAGAAACGACTTTCAAACGTTCAGTGTTTCTTTTTTAATCTTTTTAAATGTCAAAAAATATGCTCGGTTAACGAGGAGTCTAGCTGAGTGGTGTTTACAGGCCCACCAACGACAGGGGCTAGGACCATGCCTCCAATATTTTAAGAAAGCAAAAGTAAAAATTTTTTGCCATGAATCTTTATTTTGCCGTCATCCCCAACTTTCCGACTTGCATCGGAGTCCCTGGATTAAAAATGGCTGAGTCATCAAAATTGTAACATAGCCTCCTTAAAACCGCAGTGCCACCTTGAAATACTCTTTACGAGAATGACAACATTGAAAGATGTCGGTAATAGTGGCGTAGATCATCAGGGGTCGTCAAATATATTCACTTGCAATTTATGCGGATTCTCCTGTCGTTATGATTTTTATGGAGCGGAAAGCATAAAGGGTTCTTGCCATTTTTCGTAAGTTTGTTTTGTGATACAACTAAAGAGCAGGCTTAACTTATGATGGAATAGAGGGCCTCCCAAATATAATTTATAGATTGAACAAAAAACATTGTGAAGACAGCACAGAAGAAAGATATGTAATCACTAGTTTAACATCTGGTCTCTACATTTGTAATCCACACTCAATCTTTAATCTTATTTTCGGAAATTTAGTGCATGCCTCAAATATGCCCTGCAGGAATAATAGAGGCACATGATGAACCTCTTCGTCTATAGGCACGTTGTGTTATCTTTTGCATTCTGTTGGCTTCTATTTTATTTTCGTTTTCAGGATCAAAGAGCAAGCATTTGTGCTCCAAGACCCTTTTTCAGGAAAGAAACAAACGCCTATAATTCTTGGAAGTCTTTGTTCCAAGTGCAACATTCATGTTTGTGTTGGTCAGGTGTGTAATTCTGGTTTGAAAACAGATAGTCTCACTTCTAGTATGTCCTATCTATCATGCGTCCATTCTAAAACTTTTAGGCTGTTTAAAGTAAAACTTTGCTCTTCCACCATTAATGCAGGTGCAGTGCAACTTTATCAAAAATGCATCTTGTAAAAATACTATTAAAAACATGCATGGAGATATGAAAATAAATTTTGTAATACAAATAAAATTTTATCTAGCCAAAACATAGCAGGAGATCAGGTACCATGCAGTCATTGGGCATAGCCCCTGCCACCTTTTTGCAATAATAGGTAAGAAAATCCTAAGTAGTGGCAGTTCCTAATACTAAGTGATAGCAGTTCTTCATGAGCCTTTTTTCACTTTCCGGTATCTTATCTTGTTCAATCTATTTTTATAGTAATTGATATCTTCTCTGAATCGGACTGCTTATAAAAAGTAAATGTTTGCTAAAGGGGGCATTTTCCAGGGCTCTAAATGGCATGGTCTCAAAAATGTTCTATCACACCCTTTTGGGCCACCAACTTTTAGACTGGTGCACAGTGCCTGCAGGAGATACCCAATCTCCCTTTGCATATTGTGCATGCTGACTTTTGGCTTCCTTATCATAAATCTTTGGTTTCTTCATATCATGCCTATAGAACTATGGTTAACCTGTCATGCTATCAACTTTGAGTGCTAACATTTATATTTACCCAAACAAAATTTAATTCTTTTTAGACCTGTAGCTACTTTTATGGTAAAAGGTTTTGCAGAAGTTGTATGTTGAGTAATATGCAAAGCTTCCCTGAAGAAATTCAAGAGGTAAGGTAACTCACTTGACAGTCAAGACAACTCAATTAACAGATTTATAACAGGATCAAGAGGCCTGAAAAATCATCATATCATCATAATATATTGGTTGGTTTTTGTATATTGCAGTATACTTGCGATGATGTATAAAACTCCAAAACAACAGACACAAATTTATCCTAGAATTTCTTTCTGATGATCAATAGTTTTTACATCTCAATGCAACAGAGGCATTTTTGATAAATTTTAGTTTCATCTTTATCTATGAAAATTGCTGTTTTACTTGCAAATTTTATCAAAACACGAAATGCTTGATGCAGTATCGTCAGAGTCATACATGCTACGGTGTATAGAACAAGACAGTTCTAGGTGACCACTCAGTTTCATGTTTAATGCTTATCTCTATCAATATCTATATCTCTAGGAAGCAACCAAACGGTTATCATCCAAATGACTTGAAGAAAAGTAGCACTGCCTGCTTCCTCACAACCAAAGGTATCAATCTCTTTTGTCTTCATCCCTCATCTCTAATCTTCATTGCTATTTTCTACACTTTGTTTTACCTTGGGGCAGTTTAAATCAATTAATATCATACACATCAGCTCTTTTCTACATAGCATCTATAAGCTCAGTAGCTTTAGACTTTCTAAAACTAGTTCCCTTTGCAGCAAAATTTCCCTAAAGCACAAGCTCATATTTTACATATTGTCTATCAAACGTTAATGACCATAACTTCACAATTTAAAATAAATTTCTTAAAAAATAAAAATTGTTCAAACATGACTGAGGTAGCCTAAAACACGACTTGTTCTAAGAATTTCAAAATCATTTGTTAGCTAAAAATAATGAAACAAATGAATTTGTGTATTATGCACAGTTAAATACTCCATTTTCATGAACAAAATATGATTAAGAATGTATAGCATTTTTGAAGCCACTTTCGTCAACCATAACCACACTTCGTTATTCTACGCAGGCAAGCAAACGGCGCTCTCAGGCACAAAAGTTCATGCTCTGAATTTCTGCAAGCACTTTTCTGAATCAAATTTTATTCACCTTTTTTAATTTACAATCATGCTTTTTCTTAATATCTTTCTTGGTATCAACTGAAAGGTCAAATAGAATTTCAAAGGATAAAGTTGTAAGTCCCCATGCTCGAATAAGCCACCCCTTTGAATAAGCCCCCCCTTGAATAAGCCCCCACCTAAAAATCATTTTTGCAAGTAAGCCCCTGGGGGCTAATTCAAGGATTTACAGTAAGACTGCTTGAATTACCCAAATCACCCGTTACTTGATCACTTCATTCTCTTTTGTATGTACTGATCAGTTTATATCGCTCATAGCAATTATTATTTGTTTAGTTTTACATGCAGTTAGGGGCGTAGCTTGTGGGGGCATAGAGCATGTGATACCCCAAATACATCATTAGGTGGTTGTTTGTCAGTTGTTCCACAAAATCCTTGGTAGAATTGCGTTGCTAGGTGAAATGTCACCTAAATTTTTCATCTAGATGTCCTATTCGGGAGATTTTGCTTTTGAATAAGACACTTTCAGTAAATATTCATCCATGGGTTATAAAAAATGAAATAAAAAAGAAATGCAAATAAAAGTCCTGGTGTTATTTACACGTCTTTTTTATTTCATTTTTTAAAACCCATGGATGAATAATTACTGAAAGCGTTTACAGTTCGTAATATTTTTGATCGGCAATCACAATGAGGGGATTAGAAATTCTGATCAAGCATGAGTTGAAAATGGAGTTGTCCAAATGGAACGGCTGAAACATCAGAAAGAAATAATTGGTGGAAATTATAAAGAGCCAGTAGAAGTATTATTTCAGCCCATAGGGCCAAAGGGAAAAAAGTAAAGATGTGCTGGATATCTTATTTGTTGTTGATTAAGGAAAACCATAAACTGGAAATTGATATGTATTGGATGTAAAGTAAAACTAAAATTGTATCAAGGAAAATGCTTCTTGCTTTTTTGAAATTCCATTGGTGAAAAACAAGAATTTTCAAGCGTTTGAAAATTTGGGTGAGAAAAAACTCTGTAGCATTAATTTAAGTTGGTGTAACAATACTGAGGGGAACTCAGTAGAAAGGAAGATTCGCAATTTATCAACATCTGAACATATGTTGCTCCCTATTTTATTTGCAGGCACATTTTTTTACTCAGCTTTTCGCTCGCAGGCACAAAATATTTTTAATGAGCCCTGACCACAACTTAAGAATGCAAAGGGCTAACAATGATTTTCATCTTCAACAGTCTGCGAATGGTGTTTATGATGATAATGATGACTATTCCATCAAATTATGACTGATGAAACAAGTTGCAACATATCCAACCTTAGTTAAAAATCTTTAATATAATACTTTTAACTATTGATAAAAACAATACACATGCTAATTAAAATATTGAAAAAATAAGCATCATAAATTAATTAAAAAAGTTACAGAAAATGATTAAAACTTCTAGCTTTGTTTAATTGGGTAAAATGATAATCCCCTGTTTTGTTGTGATGTAATTCACACCACTGTCAGATTCTTAAATATCTACACACAAAAATAACCAGATTATTGGGAAAAACACCCTTCATACATATTCATTTGTTTATCTTTTATGGGAACATGTATTTAAAGGCAAGATCAATATTGACATTAAAGTTGCAATATTTAATCCTATTTAAGTTGTTTGGTCTAACATTTAAAAGATCCTTCAGATTGGTCATTGCCCTGTTTCTTCAAAATTTGTTTCTAGCTAGTAATTAACAGTTAGTATAAGGACAGTGAGAAGCTTATGCTTATCGAGCAGTGTCCTGGTCCTTTCTCTCAATGTGCCCACATCTTGTGATTCATATGTCTGGAATTTCTTAGAGCTGGCAACTCCCCTCATTTGGGTAAAAGTTTGGTTCCTTGGATCTGTAGTCCACAACCCTAACCAAAGAGCTTTCCTTGCACCTTCTTCGAAATTTGTTTTACTAAAACTTTGCCCAATAAGAATTTTTCAAATCATATCCTCTTCCAAATGTTTTCCTTCTGTAGAAAGTCTTTCTTAAGCACTGCGCAAAACATTTATCATCTTAAAATTATATCTACACATGGGGATAGATCTGAAGCCTGGCCATACCCAATGTCTTTATCATAGCAATTGAAAACAAAATTATCATATATACACATTATTCTTCTTCATTTGAACTTTTTAATTTAACATCAAAGTAAAAAATTAATTAGGGTATATTTTTCAGGTTTAGTGAGACGATGTTAGTGGCATGATGTTAGATGATGTTGAATTGATGATAACTGGTCGGGTGACAGAGATTAAATATTAGAAACAGACATTGCAGTGGAATGCCAAGATGAGTGGTTAGCAATTCTCCAACCAAATTTTCTTCCCAATAACATATATAAAAAACTTCAGACTAGACTAGTTCTCAAATAACTATTACTTGCATGTTACATTCATACACCTTAATCCAGTATTCTATCGTTAATTCATCTAGAAAAATAAAATTCAAGGCCCTTGTATTAAAATTCTACTATTAATTACAGAACAGACTTTGTTACAATGTTTTATAATTCTGTGGTGGTTTTTCGGCCTTTATTGAATACTTTATGACATCAATCCACCTACAAAAATGAAACAAGGAAAAGATTGATGATAAGAAATAACAGATAACAGACTCTGATGTTGGTGCTGGATCAAGGCTCCATAGAATCACCCAAGACAGTTGCAGAAATGAGCCTTTTTCATTTGCCAGCTCTTGAAATACATTTTTGATATAATTGGTTCTCTAGGCTGCTTGTTTGTCATATTTTGTTTGATGTTTCTTACCAGCATCATTAGATGTTTTGTGCAAATTATCTACATTCCTTTCTGAAATTATATTGCCATTAAAGACTAGGATTTCATTACATGTTAATTATATGTGTTAATTATTATATTAATGAAACAAACATAAAGTGCAAAAAAATCAAAATTTTGAAAAAGAATATGTTTCAGTTCAGTTTAAATTGCTGATTCTATGATTTATATAAGCCATACCAATATTCTCTGTTCCTGTTAGTAATTTGAAAGGATTGGGGCCCTAAAAGTGACTGATGGGATCTTGGCCGAATGGTTATGGTTATACTGAGCAAACTAATTTTTTACTTGGAGAATAATAGAAAGGTTTTCAATAAGTCATTTCTTTTGTATTTATTTTTCAAGTTGAACTATGCTTTCAAATACTAGTGAAGTCTGTGGTTCTTATCTTTTGAAACAGCATAGCTAATCATACTACTGGATAAGTTTTTATTTGGCTATGATTATGAACACCTTTTCTGGGGATCTTTTTATATCATCCCAATTGCATTTGTTCATTTGTCATTAGAAACTTCACTGCTTCCAATATATTTCTGGTGTTGCAGAAAATACAATACCCATTCAACACAGAGCTAAAAGCTGTTTCCTCAAAAGGGATTTTCCTTGGACACAAAAGGGAAAAGAAATTTCTTGTGTATGAGATTGATAAGTTTAAATGGGGTGCAAAACTTTAGCTATATATGCAGAAGTATCAGTGACCAGTTTATTTTGAAGCAAAGGTTAAGATTTTATACCAATGCAGTCCATCTAGGTAACCCTTGTAAAAATATTCAATATTTTGAGAACATGTTGAACATCCTGTTGGTGGAAAATATTCAGTTAGGTTTGCTCCTTGAAAGCATTTCTTGCTGAAAATTTTCCTTTAGAAAAAAACATTTATCTTAAAAAATTATAGTCAATAATAATTTCTAGTCAAGCAAATAACACAATTTACCTTTGCATCATGTCCTCATTGTCTGCTTGGAAATAATAGGTCAACTCTTTCTTATTTCCAGAATGAAGTTTAAAAACAAATGGATACTTTGCTTCATCAATTTCATCTTCCTATGTAATAACAAATAATTGCCAATCACATTTCAGTCCTTTAGGGACAAAATCACACCATAGAGTCGAATGATTTCAGTATATTTATTTCAGATTAATCAACTAATCAAATTTTCTAAGGCAAAGAGATTAAAAAATAGGGTTCTTAAATGTTGAAATCACAAAATTATTATGTTGTCTATTTTCTAGAATTTCATCTTTATTATGAATCTTTATTAAATAGAATTTCAAATCTATTTTATTATATTTTATTCATTCATTTTAATAACTGTTACCTGAAATTCAAAAATCTATTTTAGAATTTTTGAGTTTTAAAATTACAACTTGAAGAGCATCATTAGATAAGTCTAATGTAAAAAATCAGTTAAACATTTCTACGAATTGGCTGAGATTTGACTACATGAGCCCAGGCTCTTTCTCTTTCAAACCTCTGTCATTTGGTCTCTGATCATCACTACACAACAAACACCAAGAAGTTCTTGAATTTGAATGAGAGAAGGTAACATCTTTTTAGTGGGAACCCGCTAAGCTACAGTTCAATAAGATGAGATTGAATTCTCAAGTAAATGTGCTACCATTTCAAAGAGTGTATTTCAATATTGCTAAAAAATAGAAAGGGCTGATGCAATGGCTAACAACAATGAAAAAAGAAGAGAGAGACAGTTAAGAGTTTCATCATCACTGATCTTTTTTAATGCCTTTCTTTACCATGGCTGGGTAGGGAAATTTTACTGTGATGCCACCAGCATCTTTTGTGTAGAAAAGCTTCTTGAAAGTCTTAATCAGAACAATTTAACATGAATATAAGCCAAGCTTCTGTTGAGCCATACTTTTCTTTGTTTAAATAAGTCAAGCTTATGCTAGTTAATATAATCCCGAAGAAGATTATTATGTCCATACTTACTGGACATGGTCTTGCTATAGCATACCCGGGTAATGCAATGGTCATCTGTGCTTTTGGATCCTGTTGGTAAAAGAAAACATGTTCAAACAAAAACTCTTAAAACTCTCATAGTGATACTTGATTAATTGAAAAATATTTCACAATATAAGAAACAATATATTTTTTCCACTCAGATATTCAATCTCTGGCACAGTTGAACAAAGTAGTGAAAAATGTAGTCAGGAACAAAGCAATAATAAACAATTTAAAAGAACAAGAAACGATCTTATAATGCAAATATGTAGGAACTGAGATAAAGTAAACTAAGCTAATATTTCACAAAAAGTTTACATGACATCATTCAGGTAGCAGTTATGGATCCAATATTTTTGTCCAGATAGCAGTTGGAGAATTTCGGGTAAACTTGATGCCAATGAAAAATTGAATCAACTAGGGTGTCTGGGGTAAATAGCAGTTTTAATCCCTTATAAGTGTTAAATATACTTTATCTGAAGATTATGAACATAAAGATTATGAACATCCTTTGTATCTAATGACCAATATTTTTTGTTTCCCAGTGTCTGAACCTTCAAATATTTGGTGCTCTCCCTTGTGGGGAAATCTGACTTTGATCTCAATTCTTCTAAGCTGACCACATACAAAAAATGCTGACCACAAGCAAACTCAATCAAGTATCAAAGTGATGACGTCACACAAATCTATTCTTAGACATTTTCAATTTTGACCATCGATCCCAAAAGAGCATTACGAAATACCTCTAAATGTGCAAAAAGGTATTGAATTGGCTGAGATGGGAGATTTGGAATTAAACAAGATGTCTAAAATGATCTTCAGATATTGACTCTGTGGAAGTGACTAGAAATGTAGAACAAATATGCATTAAAAAGGTTCTTCTGTATCAGCCCTTAACCCTTGATAAAACGCTGTCAACATTCTATTGGCCATGGCTAAACATTTATACAACGCTGATCTGTTATGTTCAGTTGAAGGTCTCAATATCTTTATTCAAAATTTTAACGACTAGGTTAATTAATATAAATGAATAATGTGCTAATCAACTGGAAGCTAAAAACAACTCGAGTGGGCTTTCGTGGACTTAGCGCCTTTGGATAGAATTTTTAGATTCTCTCAACAAATGCTGAAGAACCACTTGAACAAAAAAATATTGTATCGACTCACAGTACACTTCCTAATTGGTTCAGACTTGGCTGAGCATCACAGAACATCGCTAAACAACACTGGAGTTTGATGTTAAGTGGTATGCAGTGAAGAATTGCGAGCTTTTTTACATAGATGCATCATTGCAATTCTCTACGATTGCCTTGGCTGATCAAATAGACACCCTTACCTTTTTACCTTTTTGTACGTATAAAACCATATCTGCAATACTAAAATATCCTTTCACCCAGCCTTTTCCAGGGGGTTTCCAGTGTAGTTCTCCTTGTACTTCACTAACGATTGTCGATCTGCGCCGCTTTGGATCCCTGTTAACTTGTGCTAAAGTGAAGCTTTTTTGTATAAACGAGTCTGTTTCTTGGAGCTTGCCAGCATTCAATTTGACATTACATACATAACAAACTCGTTTGATGGTGTTATTCATATATGCAAGCTGAGCTCTGTATTTCGAGCAATTATCGCAGACGATCTGGAATATAAGCACATCAAAATATAACTCTTTATTTCAAAATATATAGTATAAACACATAGAGACAAAATAAAAAAAAATTAGACACAGAAAGGTACTACTCCAAATTAGCTGCCCATAAAACTACTTGACCGTAATGGTAATCTAACAAAAAAATTGTTTATAGTATGTTGTACTTGTCTGCACGCTTGGATAAATATATCGGCATCCGAAAAATGCCACAATCCTGCAATCAATGTCATTCAAGTTATAAAAAACGCGGGGTTGAGGCTTTTACAGTGGCATTATGAGGTACCCAAAATGTCTTAACAACATACCCTTCCACATGCTCTGCAGTGATGCCTTCTGCTTAGTAAAGAAAATCTAACCGCACACAGCATGCACATTGTGACTTCTTCGTCCTTTACCCAAACAGGTGCCGAATCTCCAACTCTTAAAGATCCGATCCCCTTGAACGTTTCTTTTTGAGCTTCTTCTTCCATATATTGTTTTAATAAGCTACCTCGTTTTGCTTCATAGTCTTTCATAACTCCCGATATAGCCTGTATCCACTCATGTTTCTCTTCTGGACTTGAGGCTGCTAAATCCAATACTCGCTGTCGACTTCGAATCCTAAATGTATGAACATCCCCGAGGTCGACCTCGTCCCCATCTTGAACTGACATGCCTGGTATTTCCATCATTTGACGTACTTTTAATTTCCCAGTCGCTGGGATTTTGTTACAGCACAAAACCAGATCATTAAACTGTACAGATAATAAAAGATAAAGTTTACAAAGAAAGCAGAAAGTAGTACACAAGGATGTTAACACATCAGGTAATTCTGAGTTTGGCCAGGCATAAGAAGGGGGTGCGCTGTTTCAATGCCTTACATCCTCCTTATATAAGGCAATCAAGAAGTAAATTTGTGGAGGATTGGCTGAGAAAGCTTTCAAAAATTCTATTTTTTAAGATAAGATCGTCTTAGAAATTAAAATGTTTTTATTATCTGAACGAAGGGTGCCGTCCTAAAAAGTTTGGAAGGAGATGTGCTGTAAGGAACGTCCAGGAGCTACACCCAAGACCACGTCAATGCTCACACCTTATATACTTGCATATGAATATGGAATCATTCAAACTACACATCGACTCTAAGAGGCTAATTGAATGAATAAATCAATAACATAAAGGGTTAATTCACACCAAATTCATCCTGCCAAACATGGCAGGAATTCATCCTACCAAACATGGCAGGAATTCATCCTACCAAACATAAACTGGCTTAAATAAGGTGGCTGAGACCCACAACCCCTCCAAACGGCACCACAGAACTGGACACCAAGACTCACTCGTCCTGAAGTCCCTTCCTTTGGGGGGATTTTCTCATCTTTTGGCAATGTTATAAAAACAAGAATCAAATCCCTATAGAAACCTAGCAAATTGTGACATGTTCCATTTATAAGTAAAAAGAACACAAACGACATGGTTTTTACGAACTCACCAGCAAAAGTATTCTTGCTTGTTTTTGGTCGCTTCTTGCTGCAATTTTCACCAACTCACCCTCTCTGATAAAAACCTATAATAAAAATATTTATGACTAATTTCATTCCAAATGAGATTCTTAACAAATTATGTGAAAGCGCAGTGCAGTTAAGAGTTTCTGAAGATGATGTTTTTCTGAAATAAGCGGCCTAAAAGCCAAAAATCAATTCAAACAAGAAAAATTGACAATAATTTAGTAATTTCTCAACATTAGAATAAATTGAATTTTGAAACTTACCCTGCTTGCAGTGGCTAAACTTTCCCCCCGAAGACCTTCAACTATCCTCTCTTCAATTTCGACCAGCTTTTTGAATTTATCCTGAAAGCGAATAAAACCGTTATAATATGATTCTGAACCTTGCTCAATTTCAGATATACACAAAGCGTTGGCGTTGTAAAATCTTTTCAAACATCCTATTTCCTAAGTACCTGTATAAAAATTAGCAATCTATTTTGTTTCAAATAATCAGTGCAATCTTTTCCCCTTTGCGACTGACTTTCGCATAAATAAAAATCATCAAAAAAATCCCTTGCAACTATCAACAACCAGGTGCAAGCATTTAAAGCTAATTACACTGGTAACACCAGCCCCCTCAGAGCAGCTTGGTTATAAGCGACATTACATTAATCTTGAACCGTTTTTTCACATTAGATTGACAAACTCCCAAACCATAGTATAATTATCAAAATCTAGACGTTTTGGTCCTTCTCCAGTCGCTGTTAAATGAAACACTCAATAGCACTCAGGTTGAGCGACATTTTAGGAAAACCTGAAAGATTAGAACACCACCGCATTCGTTTTTATAAGAACACGTTTTTATAAAAACACCGAGTCTTGGTTTGCCAATTAAATATGAACAAATAAAATCATAACCTGCCTGCGATGAAAAATTAGAAGAAAGAACAATGTACTTTAAAAATTTTCTCTCTTGTTAACAAAACAGAGTAGATTTTATCAGCAAATCGGCCGCGCTAATAAATATGTCTGGCAAAGTTGTTATTCAGTGGTCCTAGAAACAATTTAGAGTCTGTAAAAAAGATCAATGATGAAAATTAGCAACGTTGAGAACACCTGAGCTTCAATTCTCCGAAAGTAAGAACATCAAGCCTCAGCAAAAATTGTCTGGTTTTTACAAAAGAAGACGAGCAAATAACAACGCTATTAGAACCAGTGGCGTACCCAAGGCTGTAGTAGGGGGGGGGGGGGTCTGGAGAATTTTTTTGGGACCACGCCCTTCAAACACTCGCAAATGCGGGGAAACGCCCTTTTTGCAAAATATTCCCCTATTCTTTGATTCATTTTAGCTACGGTAAATAGCAAAGTATTTTACAATTGTTATTGACACCAGTATACTACCCCCCATGAGTTTTACATCCTTTTTGGACAAATCGCGAGAACCATACTTTAGAAAAGTGGGGGGGGTCCGGACCCCCCTATTCCCCCCCTTGGGTACGCCACTGTTAGAAACTCACCATTCCTTTCATGCTATTATTCGAATGATTAGCAGCCTCTGAGATAACAACCAGGGATTCTGAAACGACAATATCAAATTCTTATAAATTCACTTAAGTTTGATAACTGGCTACCTTAAAACGAACATGTATATATTTACCTGCTTTTGAAACAGTGAATGTGCCAGTTTCTAAATATTTCTAAGCTTTACGACAAAAACGTTTATTGTAAGATTCAATGTTTTAAGGTAATCTGTGTATCTTGTATATATAACTTCGTCCTTTTTGACAGAAGCGGTAGAGTTTTACAGCCTAGCATATTAAAACTAACTTTGTTAAAAATTAATTAAATTATCACTTCACGGAAGTTTTTGGTCTGTAGCGCAGGCTAGGTGTTAGTGCGATGTGCCAATTATTTGGGGCTATGTTCTTCAGTTTGATCTATGACCATAACAACAAACCAAAACTCAGATTTTGGGATAGTTGGAGGGTCATGGTAGCCAACCTTCTGATAGAAGATGGTACCTGATGATGATATACTCTTCATAGTATCTTATAGGCAGAAAAAAGGAATTCCATAGCTTGGTGTATTTTAACCTGTTGACGGCCAATGACCTGGAAGACATGCTAGTTCTATTCCTCTCTATATGGCTTTCTACCGAAGGCACCATAATATGTACTAAATGAATAAAACATTTCCTAAATGCCCGTACCTTCTGCTTCTGCTCGATCAGGTGAGTCTTTTGGCAACTTCTTCAAGTAATCTAAAATGTGAAATTATCAGGTTAATAAATATATATTCGATAATTTCTTACAACCACGAGGATTGCTTGAAAAAGAGAGATAGAGACAACAGAGTGAAGGAAAACATGAAATCGCCAAAAATACAAATGACTCCTAAAGACTGAAAGATATAGCACAATGAATTTAGAGTTCATGCTGAAATTGGTTGAAAAATCTAAAACGGCTGTCTAAAATAAGCCAAAATTACCGTATTTCCTCTAATGAACGCCGCCTTCTAATAGACGTGTTTTTGGGAAAGAAAACATTTTTTAAAGTCTGTTTTTCTCCTTTTTCTTCGCACTTGTCTTGTCATGTCTCATTTGACAAACTTTCATTTTGTATCAAACGCCGCCTTCTTATAAACGCCGCATCCAAAATTGGATTTTGTAGTGAACGCCGCGGCGTCCTCTAGAGGAAATACGGTATGCGAAGGAGTTCCACTTTAAAGGCGAAATCCTTAGCATACCATCCCTACCAAAAGACTTTATCTTCGTCTACTCTTATAGACTTGAACCAAACTTTGATAAAAACATTGCAGATGGAAATTTTGTCCAATTCAATAACGCAACTTTATAACTTCAGCATCACGACTTTGAAATTTGTTTTGTGAAAAAAGTGATATTATCTTCGTGAGTTTTGGAGAGAATTGAAATCTCGAATATCAAATGTTGATTTTTTTTAGATATGTGCAAGGAACCAAAATGGCCACACATTTTTAACCAGTTCTCAGACAGACTACCTCAATGTATTTCCTTTTCTGAACAAATAAAAAAGGTCAATCGATCACCTCCCCCTTGAATTTGGTACATTGCCCAAGCGGTATAATTAGGTAAGGAGTCAGGATATGTTTTGCTTACATTAATGTCATACAGGGACCCTATGCTACGAATGTATGAAAAATATTTTTGTAAGGAAGTTACTATTCACCATAGTTTTAAAAAAATATATCTCTTGTTATTTCCGAGATGATTTTGTAACATAATAAAATGAGTATTTGGAACACAGTGCACAAGACAAATTTCGGAGTACTCTTGCAGGGAATAATACGCAATGTGTGTATCAGAATAAAGAAACATTACGATTCCACGAATGTGAGCCGGAGGCAGGTTTTCCAAAGATGCAGTAGCATCGAGGACGACAAATGCATCTCGATTTTTCCTTTTTTCCTGACAAGCGTCAAGACCAAACCATGAATTATATTACTTGAAGGATATTTCTAAGAAACGTTTGTTGAAAAGATACAGAGAAATTCAAATTTGCAGGTAAATAGGGCAAAATTTCATCCGGAGCACGTCTGAGAAATTTTCTAAAAACCCCATATCTACACCTGCCCACTGAGCAGCCCCAAAATTATAAAAATATCAAGGGATATTTCTCAGCACAAGGACATTGTTATAAATAATGTTTTCCTTACTGGCTGTTTTTTATTGTGCATGTCTTTGCTACGTTTTCCCATAAAAAATGAAAATTTATTCATCACGGAACCCAACATATTGTCGAGCTGTTACAGCTTCGTTTATAATTTTAAGACATTTTAAAGAGAAAACCACAGCTAACCTTGAAGAAGAAGCTTATATCGAGGAACTCTTTGAATGGGCTCCAGCATGTGATGTTGCAGTGTCAAGTTTTCGCATTCTGGAAGTTTCTGGAAAAAGAACATAATGTATACAGGCCTAGGATAATGAATGTGTTTAACATATATAAACTTTGATTCAAGCAGAGATAACAAATAGAGTAACTGAGAATTATTGGTAGACATTTTATAAAAATAAATGCTATTATAACTTCTCTATGTGTCGTTACATCTGCTCTGTTATGTTATGTTTTGTTATGTCATGTTATGTTATTTTTGTTATGTTATGTTATGTTATGTTATGTTATGTTATGTTATGTTATGTTATGTTATGTTATGTTATGTTATGTTATGTTATGTTATGTTATGTTATGTTATGTTATGTTTGTTATGTTATGTTATGTTATGTTATGTTATGTTATGTTATGTTATGTTATGTTATGTTATGTTATGTTATGTTATGTTATGTTATGTTATGTCGTATGTTCGAAAAATCTGTCAGCTAACCTGTAATTCTTCGATAACAGATGCAAATTTAGGTGACTTTTTCATCCATTGAGTTAACGTGTTTGTTGCGTGTTCGAAGTTCTTCACATAATCTGTGTATAACTACGAGAAAAAAAAAACAAATAGATCTCATAATATCTTCGTTGGAAAAAGTTGAAAACCACTTAGAGAAATAATGGACATAACTCATGGTATTCAAAAAGTTATTTTCACGCTTTACGCAATCTTTAGAAAACGATTCTATAAACCAAAGCAGGTACAGCTCTGCCGCTCTGCTTGAACAGATTATGACCGTTACAAAAGTCATTCCAAGGATATTATTGTATTAAAGGTTTTTTATATGGTTAGTTTCAAAAAGTAAGCATCACTATCTATAGATGCGAGAGTGTGTTCTGAATGAGGGGGAATTTTCACAGGAAGTCAAAGAGTTGGGGAAGGAGGGGTACTTGTTCATTTAAGGTTAGTGGGATAGTGTTATGCTTTTACAAAGTCAAAGTCAACGATGCCAAGGACTTTACCAAATGAAACAAAATGCGAGTAATAACACTGCTTATAAGACGTGTAGCAAAGGATGAACATTGCCACTGCAAATAGACACTGATAACGTAGCATAAATAATGGCCTGAAACACCTGAAGGTGTGTGTAGTTAAAAACAAGCAACAAAACTGCAAATTACTGCAAAGGCTTCTAAACTTTTGCATGGCAATAATATGAAAATGAAACCTTGGCAATAAGGTAAAAAAGTAGATATTTTAAAATAAATTTTAGATAAAATAACGGGGACGTGTCTTTTGTCATAAAAAGAAAGGTTTACAAAGCATCTTAAACTGTCAATCTCGAAAGAAGATTCGTTTAGTGAACAGACAATGTTGGCGATCATGATGCAATAAAACGCTGGGAAATCCATTGCAATTCTGTGCAATAAGAAACCGCTTTTAATATGTGGGTACGCCTCTTGTCCTGATTGTATAGACGTGAGAAAATACCAGCTACGTGACAAAAGTTCAAAATTGAATACAGCCTATTTGTAGCAGGTAAATAAAACTATAAAAAAAGATGGCCGCAATTTTTGACATCTGCCGTTTAATCAATTGGCTTGTTCATATTTTGACTAATTTGAACAAAAGCAGGCTGGCTGTAGACTTCAAACAGTACAGACAGACGGAAGATTTCAAACAAATCTCTGCGAAAAACGAGCTTCAATAGGGCAGGGATGCCATGCTTTAAAAACCAGTTTTCAATATAACATTCAAAAACAAACCTTCGTTTTTCAGTTACAAGAAAAAATAGTCTATTTCGCTTGTAAAAAGCGGGAGAAAAAGGCAAAGTACCTTCAAACAGTGCCCTAATGTTTTGAAAATATCTCCAATCTTCTCATTAGATGACCTACAAAAAGGATGAAGTTCATTTGAATTTGTTATGAAAACAGTCATTCTTAAGAGAAGAACCGTCTTTAAGACATGCTGGCTCCTAAAAATCAGATTCTTTATTGTCTGATGAAAACACAGTCTTGAAAACCTCAAAAAAATAGACAGTCACGATATATTGTTATCTTCATACTTCTGTGCACAATAAATATTCAGTTATATATCTTTCTTTAATTTGAATCTTCTGTTAATTGTAGCTTTCATTTGAATTAATAACTTAAAATGGCTTTATTCCATCGAGCTTTCTAATTCTAAGACATATTTACTGGTACTCTGGGTTGGCACTTGGATTCAGATATTAACAGGTCGGCAATCGGACAGAAATGCAATTGCCAAAAATTTAGTGAATAATGCCGAAAAATGATATTTTTGATATGAACTGACTCTCCAAACTCTAATTGGACTTGAAAAATTTACATATTATGAATAAAAAGTGGACAAAGACTTATTATTCCACGATGAAGTTTAAGCTGTTAGCAATCGTTGTATTGGAAATTGCTTTTTTTTTGCTTGAGTATAACTTGATGCTGGTATAACCGGATCACATATAACGAAGAACATGTCATCACTACCAATGACACATTTGACACATTCAATGCCTGGGCGCCTATAGCAATCACTTGCTTTAACTCAACTTAGGTCAGTGAGTAAAAAAACAAGAAAAAGAGAACTGGTTTGACTTCATCCCACAGTACCCTTATCCATGTACATGAATTAAAGGGAAGATGTCTCTTCGCAGTAATTAAACAATCGTTCAGGAATTAACTATTCCGTGCTCAAATGTAGATCGACAGCTGGCATAAAATATAAAGACAGAAGCTTAATAAAGGCATGAGACTCACCAATTCGTTATTCTTTTCTCCAAATCTGGAAGTAGTATTGTATTATGAAACGTGCATATCGAGGATAGATTTGAGAATATTTCTTGGACGACTTTCTCTGGTACAACAGCATTCTCTTTGGCCTCTTTTAAGAGTCTTGCTTGAAAAACCTTGTCAAGTAAGTTGAGCCTCTTGGCATACCTACAAAAAATGGCGAATACACGATGATTAAATACTTCTTTTGAGATATTGGATAGATCAAGATTAATTTGTTTTTCAGGTACAAAGCACTTGCAGATCAACAGGGGTTATACTTATGCATATAACTTGAATGATATTAGGTTAAGTTTCGTTCTCCACCGTAACGCAATACAGAATATACATACTAAATGATTGGCTGGACTACAATTAAAGGACAGAGTGAACCCCACATAGAGAGTCCGTAAACAAAGGAAAGAGTTTAACAGCCAAACATGACGAAGAAGGGTGAACACCTATATTTTAGGGGGGTAACTGAAGGGGGCCTAGTTCCATTCCTACCTAGCGTTGGTGCAAAGTACCCCTGAGTGTAAAGGAGGCCTTTAGTCTTTTCACTGCAACTTGCAAAGGAGGCCTACCTCCAAATTATATTTTAAGTGTCTTCTCCCCTTGCATGAAAACCGATTGCTCGTATTTTTTTATGAAAGGACTGACATTAAAAGTAACAGACCGGAACTGGGAGACGAAAAGACTCCTAGGTCCATTATACTGCCTAGATCCTTTCTTCTTTCAATACTTTGTCAGTTGCAAGGTTTTATTTTCTTTTCCCTGAAAGTCTCGTTGACAAAAACAATGAATTTCAGCTAGAAAAAATCCCAGTATGATCAATCTTAGTTAAGTGAAATCTTAAACAAATCAAAACCCGCCATTTTCATAAAACGTTCAGCAAGCTTTTTTTTATTTCCGAAGAGCCCTTGTAAATAGATTTTTTTCTCACTTTCACACAGGTGGTTTTTTCCTTTTCAAAGACGAGGGAGGGAGCTCAATGGATGGGGGAGCTTTATTCAAAAAGGAGGCTTGATCTAAATATAAATATAAGTATATCTGTGTTTAGTATCCTTTTTTATATAGACATTGAATTTTTATTCAAGTGTCTGTATAAGAATTTAATCAAAATGTGATAAAATATTAAACAAACATGGAGTCGAGTTAACAAAAACATTTTTTCTTGTATCTTTAACGTGTTCGCATCTACAATTTTATTCTCGCCATAGGAATCGTGTGTTCTAGTCGAAAATGTCTAAATTGTCACCAAAAATGAGATAAAAAACAATCTTTTGAACACCGCAAAGCTATAAAGCTTGCAACTTTAGCAAGAACTTTAGGCATGCTTGATGCACATCATCTGGTTATAATTTTCGATTAATGGAGGGAGGTTAAATAAAGAAGAGGGCTCACTTTTCCTTTATCCAAAAAACGACAGCCTATTAGAAAAAGAGGCTTAAAAGAAATGAAGCTTAATATAGAATTTAAAGTATCTAGTGTACATTCCTTTTCAGGAATTATCTTTTCATCTCAAATAAAAAGTTACTCAAGATTTAAATTATCAATTTCTAATGTGCAAGCTACCAAGTTATTTTCAAGTTCTTGGTTGTCTTCAAAAACGAAGAAAGCATTTTAAAAGTGGGGGGGGGCACATGTAGGCAAAGAAGGGGCACTTCCGTGAGCTACACTTGCATATTTTTAAAGTGTGGGGGAGCGGGGACCAGATGGCGGTCCCTAGGTCGATGGCAGTCACATCATTAGAGTGGTTAAATGATTGTAAACCTGAATCTTAGCATGAATTACTTACGCTTTTTCAGTTGCAAGAATTTCATTGACTATATTCGATATCTTTTTCTTAGACGTATCACCATCAGTTGTCTGAAATTATTAAGATAATCTTCATTAACATACCAGTTTAAATAATAAAGAATTAAGTTTAATTAAAAACTTTTTCCATTTCAAAAAAATCAGGAGACAGTATTTGCTACTTTCTTGTAAGGGAAGTAACATTACAGACTTTACACACATTCAAGAAAGTTGCAATTCTACGCAGCCTCCCACTTCAACAGTGTGAAGCATTGAGGCATTAGCGAAATCCTGTTAAAGCCATGTACACCAAAGCAAGCATATCTGGTGAGGTCGAAACCCAAAATAGATTGTTGTTTCCTCGTATGCCCTCAACTGAACGGCTGGAGAGGATTTATCAAGAGAATCGCACAAGATGTTACCGACAGTTGCAGTGTATTTAACCGTACTGGAAATCCACCACAGAGACAAATTATGCTTTCAGCTACTCGCTATCGATAAGTTTCTGTGTAACCAAACAAGTAGGTCTTATCCGCAATAAATAACGATACACGCACAAAGGCCTAAATGTAACGGCTATTCATATTTGTTAATCTCATTTGCTCGTAACATAAACTATGGCAATGATGTCTCCATCTTCAGAAAACACAGCACATTCTTACATCTGATCTTGCTCTGACCTCATAGCTGTGTTGGGGCCTAGAAGATGTTCCAATCCAAGTAACAAGTTGCTTGAAGGTGGTCTTCATGCTTTGATAAAACAAAATCTACCGCATCAAACAGCTAGATTCCGGGAAAAAGAACTAGCATATACTTAAAGATTCCCAAGCTTCCGTCTGCAACATTACAATAAATGCTGATATAGGCATTGTACAGTGGCAGCTTTGTCAAGGTCTTTTGATGCCAAGTCAACAGAATGTCAGCTGCCAGCGAAATGTAATCGACAAACCAGTGACCTTCATGACATTTGAAAGATACAAAACATACCACGATAGAGCTGAATGTAAATCCCTTACATTTCCAGTACTGACGTTTGTAGAAACCAGTACCGAATCTGTGAACGCTTTAAAACTTAAACAAGCACACAAAACAGGTTATTACTTACGTGGTCATAATATATCACATTAATAAGTACGATACTGTTCAGAACTAAGTGGGAAAATGTGGATTCGCTTATATATTATGTGGATAATATATAAGCGAAAGTTCTGTTTAACATACCTGCCTACGTATTTGGCCGGCAGATTAGAAGGAAAACTGCGTTATCAGCTATTTCATGGAAAAGTGATCGAAATGGGTAAGTAACAAATCACTGAGCGAAGTAACAGACAGTCTGATTGAAAAACAGCGATGAAAAAAATTATCATGATGATGATAAATAATATAAAAATTTTTTGAAACGCTGATGATGATTATTATGATCATTTCAATATTTATGGTGATTTCAGTGATAATGAGAGTGAAGATTGAGTCAGTGACTTCGGAACGCTCGAGGGGCAAGGGGGCAAGCATCAGGAAAAAGGCATTTGAAACGTAACTTCTTCTAATTCTTTTATAACTTTTGTTTCTGTGGGCAACTTGAAAATGGGGCAACTGCTGTCATAAGAAATTTTTTACAAATTTTGAGAAAATTCTCCATGAAAAAAGGCACTATTGCCCGAATTTCAAATGATTTTCTTCGATAATTACAAAAGGCCGGAGTCAAGGGGACCTTTATGAACACTCTATCAAAGGGCAAGGGGGGTGGTTGACCCCCTGCGCCCCCACCCCACTCTTCGGCGTCCCTGATTATGATAATGGTGACAAGGTTGTGAAAAATATCCTTTGAACACAAACAACACTATAGAACCGTTGCGTTGATATTAAAATACCCTTACCCGTGCACACCCAACTAAACATGCTCTACACGTTTCCATTTTAGCTCTAAGGGCTCGTATCTTTCTTGGACTATTTGTGTCTTTTCGCGGACTACCTGTCATTTCTGGCTCACTCAAGGACGGCTTATCAATGAAACCTTCCATATCGTTTGAACACTTCTAGTATTCTTGCCAGTCGGTGCTATTCTAGCGGCAACTTGGGAACGCTGTACCAAATTTTAACTCAAGAGTTTCTTTCCCACGTTATCAATCCTCGAAATTTCCTGGCCTACTGAAATGCGGCAGCATCGTTTATCAAGCTTTTGATGAAATTATTTCTTCATCTACCGACAAACTAGCTTGGCAATAAGTTCTTCCTGTACTGCAAAAGCTCTGACAATACAAATCTGCGATAGCTGCGTATACAAGGTTTAAGAGCTGTGGCTTCCAATTTGGTATGGCTGATAGCGTTGAAGACGAATTACAAATACAAGCCCCTTGCAAAACGACTCTTTTAAATGAGCGATTCACTTGTCACCTCGTCAAAGCAGATTCGTAAATCAAAACTCGCAAGATTAAACTTCGTTCTCTGCACATGGTCTCCAAATGTTTATTTGAATCCAGCATATTCCCGTACCATGCCAGAAAATAGAATCTCGCTGCACGACTTTTCAAACTTATTTTGCAAAATAGTTTTACGTACATCCTACTGTTATCAGCTTTAACACCTGCTCTTCTGCAAGCGATAAAATGTTGAACGGGCCTAGAAGAGCTTTATGTTGGCTGACCCACAAAACAAACCCACGCGTTCTCGTCGTTTGAGCTACGGATATTCATGTGATATTTCGATCTTCGAGCAAGATAACAAGCAACAATTCAGAAATCTAAACAGCTTTAGTTTAGACTTTATTAAAATTAGGGTTTCCAAAACCAGCATAAAATCAATTGAACATTTAGGATGCCTTGGCAGGCTCGTCAAGCTTTAAAACTGTTAGCTGTTTGCAAATTTTCCAGACAAAAAAAGGCTGGATGATAATAAAATGAAGACAAACTATATACACAGGCGATAACAAAAACTAGCAAATTGAGCAGAAGACTGGCTATGCTTGAAACGCTATGTGCCATCGAAACTTTCTCCCCTACACTAAAATCAACCATAACCAGTTGAACTACTAAAAAGTAAACTGCAAAGTACGACAAGACAACAGGAACATCCTTAATTAGCCTGAATAACCTTAAACAGTCACATACGACAATCCGAACAACCCTAAACAGTCATATATGACAATCCGTCATAACCTTAAACTGTCATGTACGACAATCGGAACAAACGTAAAAAGTCATACACGACAATGTGAACAACCTCAAACAGTCGTTTATGACAATGTTAACAACTTTAAACAATCATATACAACAATCTAAAAAGCCTTAAACAGCCATACGCGACAGTCATAGCAAACTTGAGAAGACATACAAAACAATCTTAGCAGTCCTAAACAGACATATACGACAATCGGATAGCTGAACAAACTGAACAACCTAAAACCGATATATACGAAAGCTTCTAGCGACAGTAATAAATAGCATTTGCTTCTTTGTGCCCCTGTAACCTGATTTCAACAGCAGTTCGTGAATAAACCTTTCTTTGGTTAACAATCTCCCAAGAAATTCGACTACTTATCAGCCAGCAATGTGAAATTGTCTTGATTCATTCATATGCCATCTGTTTGATTATAATCATACATACCTTAATTTTTTCCTTAAAAACTATCAATAAAAATAGGTTCAACAGTGCTGTGATTCGAAAGCCAGCGGTAAACTAATCTCCGGGATAAAAACGCCAATTTAGAGAGAGAAGATCTTTATGTTTAAGCGATCTTGACTAACAAGGTCACAATAAAATTGGCATTTGGTGCAGGTAAACTATTTTGCATCAAGCACCGAGGATGAATTACTAACACGAAATGAAAGGCTTATCGTCGAGCAGGATTACCTTCGTGGACCGCGTCGAAGTCAGGCCAAGCAATCATGACCCTCACACGATACATTATGTATATTTTTAACAGATATTCAAACGTTTCCTACGCCGTTGCCTACGCTTCGAGTTTTAAGAGTTAGCCCCTAACACCCCTCCTTGCCCCTAAGGAAATTCTCTCTACAGATAGTAAAATTTGCCTTTTCGATAGTAAAAAAATGGCCCTATACTTGTTTTCTACCAACTGGATGAAGAGAATGTGTTTTCCTGCAGTGCATTCCATTGTATCTGCACAACGAAGGTTTATCCATTGCATATCATCACACAAAGCTCAATCGATGATGATCCCTTTGCAGCTAAAACTGAGTTCAAGTTTACGAAAGGCTGAGGCATTGTGCTTAGGAAACGATTAATTTCGATCAACTTGATTAATCTTGTATTGATTGTAGGGTTTGTACAAAATCCGTATTTTACAGCCAAGCTGATGCACTTTCAACGAATCCTTTTGCATTATGCATGGTATCCGATCTATTATAACATACATGTACGTAAAACTTTGAATATTTTATCAAGACTAAAATGCGGAATGGGATTGGTGTGCACCGCAAACTGCTATGGCTGTTGCAAGAGATTACATATAAACATTTAGATTTTGCAGCTGAAAATTTTTCAAACAAAACTTATTCCCAGATAATTAACGCAAAATCCTCGCAATTTTGAATGTATTTTATGTAAAAAACCCTCGGGGGTAAACTAAACCAAATTTTTGGTTAAAAATTTGGACCCATAATTCCGCAAACATAATGAAAACTATACCCATAATTCCGTAAAGCAAATAAAATTTTTAAAGCACATAAAAATCATTAAAAAATTTTTGCATGTCCTTTTCCCAAAAATCTCAATATTACACATATTTCATACTTTCATTTCTAACTGGACATTCATTTTGCCAATGCTAAATCTCCCTCCTAATAATTTTGCAATATTTTTCCAAAATATATAGTTCCTCACATATTTCAAAAAGTGATACAGATATTTCCGCACTTTTCAGAAAAAAGGTACCCCTTAATAACGGCACGTCCCCGTACCTTCGAATATGTTAAGGTACCCCCCACCCCCCAAGAAAAAACAATAACAAGTCTAAATCACGAGAAGGTGATAAAAAGAAGAAATAGTTACTACGGAAAGCCGGGAAGCCATTTCATTGTTACATAAAGAACGAGGAATTTTAGTTTTAAGGGAGAGGGTTACCCCCCCCCCCCCCATATGAAAACTATCATTTGTATGCAATAACCTAACCACTTACTGCAGACTGGGCTTGCGGCTCGAAAACATCGTCTTCTAGATCATCATAATAATTATCTCGGTCAGCAAAAACATCATCATCACCTTCTGACAAATCATCAAATTCGTCCCAGTCAAAATCCTCTAGCTCCGAATCGCCTCTCTCCATTTCGCACTCATTTCAGTCGCATATACAAATTCTACTCAAATAGCTATGAAATACGTTAATCAATGAATTTGCTATGTTTCTACGCGTTTCATATGTTATAGCTCGCAAACAACTGTCAAAATCGAATTCGATATTTCGAAGCATTCAACCCAACTGTCGTGTCAAGATTCTATTAAGTAAGGAGCTGATACCTCTTTTGTGGCCATTTTGTAAGCTAAGCGATGACCGATCAAAATACGGATTCAATTAAAGTAAACGTAAGCATTTGCTACGATTCACGATTTAGCACAAGAACATTTCAAAAATAGATTAAAAAGAGCAAATCAAGAGAAAAATGCGTCTAAAAATAAACACGCACGTGAAACAAATTTAAACTAACGAATTAAGATTTACCAGTGACACTGCGACATTATTAGCCAGTGACACTGCATATAAAAACACTTAAGCCTTACATCGAAAATATTTCCTAGGGACAGGGATGTTTATCAAGAAAACCTTGTCTTTTACGACGTTTCAATGTCTAACTTACCAATGGCTTAAAATTTGAGATTTCGACGTTCTATTAGAATCAGAGATGCAAGAAAACTTGAAATTATCATCATCACGAAATCTGACTCATCGGTACAGCTGAGTGATTTCAACTTGATACTGGTGTAGTTAGAAAAAATCATTCATTTCAGTCATTTTGGAATTCTGAAATACTTTTTCAACTCATTGCACGCTGTAGTACTCAAAAGCTTATCTAATACGGCGACTGCAGTAATATTAAGCCCCCTCTCTCCCCAAACTTGAAAACCCCTAACACTGGCTTTAATAAATTCAGTCAGTGCCAAGAAGTAAATCTCGATTGCCATCACACTTCCGTGAATTGTAAGGATCGTTAACGTTGTCTGTGTGAACATTCCTGGAATTGAATTAAGGCTTCTTGGAACTGCTTAGTTTCCGTGAATCAGATTCACTAAAATACCTGCCTCCTTTGTACTTATGCGTTTGAATTTCCAGCATTTGTGAAAAAAGCACTTTTCACAATTCACTGCCCTTAATCAAGATTGGCAATTTTAAAAGAAACCCTAAAATATTTCTTTTTAAAATTAGCGCTTTGATTTCTGATTAAAGAAATGTTATCAAAACAGTTTCAAAACTTCCTTGCTCATTCGCGAAAGTTTCAAGGGTCAGGGTTCATAGCTGCAAAACTTGGAGTCTAAATACTTACTCGGACGGTCAGTTGCTAACTCCCCCTTGATCCCTCATTCTACTACACCTCGTCTTCGTACCGAGGCTCTCTGTGCTGGGCAGAGTTTATTACGTTTCGATATAAAATCCAGCAGATATCTCATATCAGAACGTTAAAAACAATCAGAACAGTGACCTCGATGCCATGAGGAGGCTTGTCGAACTCAAATCCTTTAATAATGATTGCTTCTAACGACATAGGATTACAACCGGAATGTAATGCGACACCAATAGCCTGCCTCTAAGTCACGAAGAAAACACCATCAAAACATTGCAACACTATAAACAAATGCAGTAATTGAACATACCTTTTTACGGTGTTTCAGCTCATCTAATATCTCATCATCAGTGTACTCATCAAACTCATCTGATTCCCAAGTTTCACTTATATCTTCATGCATAGATAAAGCCGAAGAATCTAACGAACGACTCCTAAAATCTGCAATAGACGACGAATAGCTTTGGGTATCATCTGTCAGCTCGTCTTCATCGAAGGAGACAGCAAACACAGCTTTTGCGGGTATCTCTTCGTATTCATCGTTGCTGATGTGTTCTTGTGTGTTTCGTTCCTCTAACTGGCTAGTGAATTTTTTCTTCTCTTTCTGTTCGCCTGTAGAGGTCACTTCCTGGCTTTTAAAATCGAGATTTGAAAGATCAATTTCATCCGTGTCAACTTCGTCTATCTGCCCACCCTCTGGTTCGCTGTATTCTACAATTTCTTCGTAACCATTTTCATCTTTCGGATAGTTCTCTTTTGTGCTTTTCCCATCCAAATCTCCAAATGTCTGAACATACATCGACTCCATTTTCGATGACTTTTGTCTACCGTAATCCTTAGCTTCATTCATGTTGTTGTTGCCTTTTTCTGGAGTGACTATGCTCACGATTTCATATGGCTTAATATCACCTCGACCGAGTGTTCTTTTTTTCATGGGCACTGTCTCAAGTTTTTCTGATGATTCAACAGAATTCTTTGCATCCTTTTCTGCTTTGCAAGTAGGCTCGATGTAAACTGATCCTATTGCCCCGATATCTTTCCGAGGGCTTGACACGCCTCCTTTATTCTCCTTCTCGCAAGTGAATTTAGAAGGTTTTACAGTCTCTTCGCGATTAGGAAGCTTTGGCAGTGGCTTCGAAGGAGGTAACCTGGAAGGAGGCGAACAACTCTGAGAATCCTCTTTAGCTTTATGGCTGAGAAACGAAGGTTGATTTTTAGGTGGTAACGGTGGACCCCTTGCCTCTTTCTCATCCTTAATCTCGTTCTTGTCATTTGCTTCCTGTACTTTCCAATCAGATGATAGCGTCTTTGTGGTAAAGGGTTCGGGTTTAGAATCGCTGGCGGCTGGAAGCGTTTTTGCTTGCCTAGAATTCACAAAGTCCTTTGGTTGGGGAACTGGCTTTTTCTTAATAAGAGGCGACTGCCTTGGGCTTTCCGTCGACAATTCTGTTTTTTCATCTAACCCCTTCTTGTCTTGTTGGGGAACATCACTGTTGGTTAGATATTCAGCGTTGGGTGTTTCTGTCGTACGCTGACTGCCATTTGACACCAAATTTGGTGCCTCCTCCCCCAATGAGTTGCGAGCAGTCAGGGGTACAGAACTACTCTCGAATATCCTTCGAAGCTGACGAACTGAAAAAGATGCGGTTATGACATCTTCTGTGCTACGAGGTTCACCTCCGCTTGAATTCTGACCCTTCTCAATTTTTTCCATGTTTTCATAAATTGGTTTATTATTCTCTAGGCCTTCAAAAAGTTCTTTCCGTGTGGGAGACTTCAATGTATTCACTTTCTGAAAATCTGACACAATCTCCTGGGAAATTCCTCTGTTGAAAATAAACTGGTCGCCTGTATACGCCTGTGGGCTGCCTGTGTCAGATCGAGGTCGTCCACTTTCCAAAGCATTAAACAAGGCCAATCTTTGAGCGACGATGGACTTCACATTTTTCTTTCTCAGTTCTTCCATAGCGCTAAATCTATACCGTGGATTCCAAGAAGAACCGTTGACATCTTGCTTGGTACTCCTGCAAGTAACAACAAAGAAGGACATTTCAGTTCCTCTAAATTTTTTTCCTTTAATGTTTTAAAGATATATGATCACTTTCACGATGTAAACGCCAACTTTACTGGAGCACTGGAAATCGACGAATATGGCCTAAACCAAGTATCAGCCTCATAAACGAAGATTTTGGGACATACGAAACAAGAACAACGGCATTCGAAACTACGTCACTGCGAGCTGGTTGTACATCTAGAGCAGATAATCTACTTCCCCTTAGTGAACGAAACTCTTGAGACGTCATAGCAAAAGCAAAACTACATCTAGCTTGGCTTTGTAACTTCTTTCAATTTCAGGTCTAGTGCAGAATAACACGACTACTCGACAACAAAAACCGGGGGCTATGACTGGCATAAAATCTTGACGAGGGCGGCCATAAAATTGTAGAAGAATGAAGCTAGTCCGTTGTTGCGTCGTATCTAAATGAAACTCAGTCCGCGAAAGACAAAAATATTCTACGATAATACTGTAGCGAGATTTATCATTGAGGTTTATGCCACTTATTTATATGAAATGAAAACAGAAATACTATATATAAAACGCCTTATAAAGCGCCAGCAAATACTTCTAAGAAGTCAGAGGTGACACTGACGAATACTCAGAGGTCAAACAGAATATGAAACGTTTTAGCAAAACCCTCCTATTTTGAAGAGTCACCCTTATATCGATTACCATGTAAGGCCTTTCGATTTTTGTGAAACCCCCTGGTGCAACCTAATAGCAATTAAATGTATCGTTAACTATGCCAAATGTCTGTAGGCGTTATTGTACCCGTTCAGGCTTCAAAGATACTGAGCACAACCCTCCGGTTTGCGTTGACTTCCGTGAAGACCAAAACAGGATGGATGGATTCTCTGCCTGTATTTTGGTCAGCTTATGACCTATAAATAACGGTTTTTGGCAAAAAATGGTGGGACAATTAATAGTTTCTACTATGAATTGTATCAACAACATAAGTAAACCTCTAAAACAATTTATTTGATTAAAAAACACTTGAAAGTTAAAAAATAAAATGGTGCTACCACTCCAAGGGTTATCTGGCCGGTGGGTGAGTCGCATCATTTAGGCAATATTTGACATGGCACTGACCGTAAATACGGTACCATATTGAGGATCGTGATAAATCTAATTATCCGGAATCGTTTCCCAATCAAACAAAGGCTATTCTGTTGAATTTTGTGGCTCCTATCACAAGATTGAAGACTGAAATTAAAGAGCTTAATGACTGAAATTAATGAGTCATTTGACCTTTAAACATATCTTTACGTGGGAATTTAATACTTCAGACAGGGACTTCCCTAGGCTTATTCCCTCACTTATTATGCTGAAAATTTACAACCAGAAAAGCGAATTTCCATTTTCTCGTGCCCATTCGAAATTCCAGGAATTGTTTCACTTTCAGTTTCATTATCTGTCAAATGCCTACTTGCAATAGATCCTGTTTATTTCAAGCTAGTGCCAGAAACACCTGACGACAAGACAAATGACAACAAGCTAATAATGAAAATACAATAAACCCAATAGAACAGGAATTTGCTCATTCTTTTGGTAAATAGCATTATTTTGAACAATTAGTAATAAAGAGGTATATGCCATCATTGCATGTTCGGCCGTTTTCTAGTAAATAAACGAATTCGGTTACAATCTGGTAAATAGTACTATCATAGAGTACAAATTTTGGGGAACAAATTATATCGTTCAGTTTCACTTATTTCATCTTCTACTGCCCCATCAGTATTACAGAGACGTATCACAGAGGCCTAATTTACTTTTTTTGCAAACTTTTGCTACCTTGATTGATTCTTTATTTCAAGAGGGTGGTCTATACCTTGAGGTCCTCAGGAAATTTGCCCCCTCTTCCCCTTCTCGGTGCCCCTGGTCACTAATGCTTTTTGTGTGTCATGTCGTCAGATTTTCTTATCCTAGTGAGGTAGTTTTCTAGCTTAACCAGGGTCTCCGAAGAAGGGGGGCCGGGGGGGCCATGGCCCCCTCACTTTTTTGCAAAACAAGAGAGCTTTTTTTAAGAACCTTTGTTGTGATTGTTATATTTTCTCTTGGCCCCTTCACTTTCCAACCTGCGTCGGAGCCCATGTTTGAATAAGCCATTTCTGCGCGTGTTTGGTAAGTTTTGAAATGTCGATAAGTGTTGTGCACACTAATGTCTATAACACATTGGGATCATAAAAGACTTCTTTTCCACATAAAGCACATAAGAGTTTGATCCCTCAACATTCTTACGCTAGAAGGGGAATTATCTTGCAAAAACCGTGCGAGATTTCCACAAAGACAAAAGGACATGGACTTTCAGCACTCTCCATCGCAGATGCTTTTGTTGGCAACCGACCTTTCAAAGGCGTTTGTTGGCAACCAAGCTTTCAAAGGCGTTTGTTGGCAACTGAGCTTTCAAAGGTATTTTTTGTCAACCGAGCTTTTAAATGAGTCACGCTTCGTGCTCGCTCATCGCTTCTAGCCCTGACAAAAAGGTTGATTGCTGCCACAGCCTCTGCGAGGGAGAGTGGGTTTTCAGATGAAATATCTTACTTCCACCAAAGATGTACGAGATTTTCATGGAATGATTTGCCCCTGGCAGATTTGATACTATGTATATTGCAGATAAACTGAGTAGAACCTATTATACCAAAAAAATACAGTCAGGAAGTCAGTATTGAAATTGACAAAACACAGCATGTGGTTAGTTTTGTGTTTGATGAAAGGCTATGTTTGATGACAATGTTTTGTTATTTCAATTTCTGAATGGGATACTACAGAAACAGGCCTCTCTAGGAAAAAACAATGTGGGCAATAAAAAGCCATTGCCAGTTTGGCTGCATGGGCTATTCATCCCTTGCAGAAAAGTTATATAATAATTTTTTATATTGGAGTATTTTCAAAGGCAAAAATACACTACCTTGCCAATTCTCTAGACAATATTCACCTTAAGAAGGCACTGTTGTGTGTATAACTACCTTTGAATTCTGTATTACCACTCATTAAAACAAGAAAAAAGAGGAAAATAAATTTTTTGGAATATAGCAACGTTTTAATATAGTTAGTATTAATCACGCTATATGTCATTCCTTTCATGTGAACACATATCTTATTCCATTGCAAGCTTTAGCAGATAATACAATAGTTTGATAACATGTGCTATGTAAGAACATCATTTGATAAACACGTCAGACGTGTAAGACCACTTTCTCTTTATTCACTAACACCCTGATATTTAGTACAAACATCGGGAAGCTAAACTGCGGGCGGAAAAGCCCTTGCAAATTCATTTTGCAGGAGGTTTGCACAGGCATGGGCTATAGCCCCCGTCTCCAGGAAAGGCCTATACAGAAACCTACAATGTTGCACTCAGAATTAAATCAAATGTTGCAAGGTAAGAATTGATATAGGCTTGCTTCAGATAATCAAAAACCATTTTAACAAGAGATATTTCTTCCTTTCAAAAAGCCTCTTTTAAAGAGCAACTTAAACAATAAAATCCACATACCAAAGGTAGTGTAGAAAATAGAATGAAAACTTTAAAAAGGTTGGTAAGAATTGTAACTTTTAAACAAAAGAAGATCATTTTCTGACTGTTCTTGTTTTTAAGATTACTACCTCAGAATGAAAAACAGTTCCATCACAACAATTGCTTTGCTATGCAGAAAGCCACTTTTCATTTTTTTGCACCCAAAACAAGAGAAGTTTAAACTTAGAAAGGCAAGAGGAAACATTTATAATCATGATTAAAAGGTTTATTGGACTAGACAAAAAACCTTTTAAATTCTAGCAAGGTATTTTTTTGCTATAAAATGATGATTCCAAAACTTCTCTTCTCTGGAGCAATGTTGGCTGTTTGGACAACACATGTGTTGAGCTGTCAGAATGAGTTTAAATTAGCATATCAATGTGCATGCAATGTGCAAATGGAGAAGAAAAAATCTCTAGAAATCAATAGAGTAAGCTGAGTAAGCTGAGTAAGCCTAAAAACTGAGTAAGCCTAGATGAATAACAGCAACCAGGGAAAAAAGAACACGAGAATGACATTGATACAACCAAGATGGGAACTGGTTTAGCATGCTGTTAAAATAGTTAAGATCAAGGTACTTAAGAATCGTTGATTAAGAACCAAATGAAACAGATATTCTGTACATTTCAGACAAGTAGCAGAAATGATGAAGGCATTACAGGTAGTTGCCCCCATCCTTCCTTACTTATATTTCAATATCACAGACAATCCAAGCAATACCCAATAAAGCATATTGGAGAAGTTATCACAGTGAGCAGGGAAGTTCATAAGTGACAGAACTCAAAAGTTTAATTAACTTGAGCTAATAGAGGGGGGAGCTACAGGGAGTGATCAATTAACAGGAATGATAAGAGTACTAGAAGTAAAGTTGTATCTTACAGCTCTTTTAATTATAAAGCCATTTGGTAAGATGGGTATTACTGTATGGCCAGGCTGGAAAACTTGCATAATTATGCTCACAGCAACACTAGACTTCTTGTGCTCGCACCTCACACCTCACACCTCTAGTGACCCAAAATATCAAGAGATTCAAATATCAAACTATAGTAAGCTTCTGCTCACAGGTCGCAGCTAATAATGTGCCGTTGGTCTTATTGATGCATCTGCAAAATCATACATGTTTTCCAACCTGGCTGTATGGCCTAGAAACATGTGAGCTGACAAAGAAGGTAGAAATGATCGCTTGTAAGAAAAAAAAGCTAAATGATATGGGTACCAAACTACATGATAGGAAAGGAGTGAGGAGATCTTAAAGGGACTGAAAGTATGTATCATCACTTAAATGGTCAGTGATATGATCTCCTGTTGAAGATAAGTGGAGTGAAAACCCTTTGAATAAAAAAAACATTATTTTGAAGAAAGGCACTTCAAAGTTCTAAATTGAGCAATTACACCATTGATGTTTCAAAATTAAACCAATTTATTTTAGATACCTTTATTATTACACTTGAAGATATGATCTTCCCAGAACAGAAGCCATCACAAGGTCTTCTGGGACTTGAACTTACAATGCCAAAAAACTCATTGTACACAAACTGCCCTCCCCAACAAAAACGAATTTCCAAAAAAACTCAAAAGCTAGTTTTGTTTAACATTCCATACTGAAATCGAATTGTATTTCTTTTTTCAAAAACAAACAGAAAAGCTTTGCTTGTCATAACTTGACATTAAGAGGCTAAACTAACAATCTCGCCGACTGTTTACCTACTAGACTTGTTCTGACAAAAATGCCCAGCGATGCTGCTTGTTAACGATTACAGTAGGCATGAGGAACTCGTGTAGGCCACAGAAGGCCTTGATGATTTTCGCAATTAATAAGCAAAATTTGTTCTATGATTAGTCAATTTCAAGATTATATTTAAATAAAGTATTACCTTTCGACGGTCAAGCTCGGGTGTGTAAATGAAACCGCAGACAGAGAGGATGAAGTTCTATAGGATAAAAACAATTGCTCACTTGCAGCACGACCTGAAATTCGTACAAAGCAAGAGCTTGTCTTTCTTTTAAGCCCTAGGCTTCGTTCTAGCTGTTATCTTCAGCTTCTCCGACAATGTTATTTGCTGTTTACATTTATGTGTTAGGCCTATCTATATTTGCGACATTCCGCGTTGATTCCACCAAATGAGAACACGGAAGCTACCCTGCGCTCCAACGCAACAACCATACTTTAGATCACAGGGAACCAACTGCAGGGACCTTACACCCTTTGAAAACGTGTTCCCTTCCTTTGGGATATCTTATTTTATTAAATCACCAGCAAAAGGGGGAGGAACAATCTGTTCAGAAATTTGGCTGAATTGTCAGAAGATTCGGGTGAAACATTTCTGAAAAAAATTGGCTGCTCTGCATCTTTGCGATACGGTTTCGTATGTTTATTTTAAAATTTGCTTTTTGTCTGAAAGTGAAGAAAGTTTCAAGTGATTTCTGAAATAAAGTAATAAATTCATGTTTCCATGCTGTTTTTTTGTTTTCACGCTACTGGCATTTCCAAGAGACTGAGTCATCCTCCGTCAATGGTGTCACAAATCGCTACTACGCAAGCAATATGATTGCAGCGACGGGGTAAGACTCTGGTCCTGAAATTCTTATGGCTCCCCCACACTGGAAAACATATATGCTTTGTGTGTTACGCCAAAAATCTTTGTTGTACAACGGCGGATTTCTTCGGTAAAATTTTGGCGTAATTGCTTTGGCGTGGCGTCAAGTGCAAGATTTGCATTCGAAAGGTTGCTGATGTGGCGTAACACAGTGGCGTCACCAGCCCGAAAAACTAGGGTTGGCAAACAAATATTTCTCGACCACGCCTTTCAGACTCTCGAAAAACGTTGAAAACGCCTGTTTTAGTATTTTTATCTATTTCGAAATTTTTGGAAAAAGCAACTTTCTCAAGCAGCATTTTTCGTAACGTGGGCTTTTTTGCAAGAACGAAGTTCGAAATTTATCTGATTATGCCCCCAAATTTTATTTCAACAGATTTCGAGAAATTAGATAATTGACCTCTTGGAAAGCTGGGGTGAACAAGTCCATCCCATGGCGACGCCACTGGTGCAATATTCAAAAAGTTATCTAAAGCTTTTATACACTGCTTTATTTCATACACTGCATTAAATTACAAAAACTCCAAAACAGAGCAGCAAGAATAGTAACAAACAATGATTTTGTGATACATCTGCAGCACCTTTGATTCACGTTTTAGGATGGTCTACATTCGAGACACTTATTCACCGTGAAACTTCAACTATGGTCTTTAAATGTTTGAACAATCTAGCCCCAGAAGACCTTAGAGGGTGCTTTTCTTAACTGTCAGACTGGCATAATCGCGGTCTTCGTAGCTCAAAGACTGGCCTGCTATTACCCCGAATGAGAATATCTTACGGATAAAAATCCTTTGCTTATCGTGGTGCAAAAGTTTGGAATGATCTTGACTTAGAATCTAAATTGTTATCCTTTATCCATTGCTTTAAATCGAGACTTAAAACTTACAAGAGTCTTTAACATGGACAAATCCGTCCTTCTTCCGTTCCTCTGTCTTTCTTTTTATTCTTTTGGCTTGTATTATATTGTATTTATATACTTAATTAAAATAACTCGGTATTATTAGGTATTTTTTTCACAGGGCCAATTGTAAAACAGGCTTCTACACTGAATTGTTACTCTGTATAAATAAGCTTAAAATGAAATGAAAATTGCATGTTTAAGCGCGTTCACTTTGAACCACTTTGAGCCTGTGTTATTCTGTATTTACCTCCAGTTTATACTGTACAATGGAAAATCATACCAAATAAAGATACCTAACATAATGCATTAAAACTGAATGAATATATAAACAAACAGAAACGTTTGTTGGAATGCAAGAACACGTGTGCAGGTCCTACCCTGTGTTACCTCTTACGTTGATCTGCCTTAGAAACACTCTTTTTTATAAGAACAATTTGATAAGAACATGAGCCTCAAAATTGATCAAAAGTTAAGAACAAATTAAGAACGAGCTGAGGTTGAGCTACTGTAAAATGTAACTTTAAGCAACGTTTCATCTCAAAACGAGGATTTTAGCCATGTGGGTACTTTATCGGTGAGTATTCAAACTTATCGGCAAACTTGTCTCAGTCACTTTGTTGGCAAATGAGGCGTCAACACCTCCCTACAGCGAAAAAGCTAGTAACTGTCCTGCTTACACCCTAAAATTTTGAGAACATATCAAGAACAATACAGCCTCAGATTTTCGAAAGAATTATAAACAGTCAACCTGAACTTAAATTTCCTGGTTCTTAGGAAAAAAGAGTTTCGCCCTCTCTTTACGCGAAAAAACTTCTTTAGTAGGCAATAAATGAAAATAGTTTTAAAAAACGGCACGATTTGAGAACGGTATGATTAAATCAAAGGCAAACTGCTCTTTTGTCGCTTTTCGAATCCGGCCGCCCCCCTCCCCAATCCTTAGAAAGTTGGTCTCGGAAAAATGGGCGTTGTCGCAAAATTTTTATTCTGTTCGGCTTGAACCAAGCGCCTCAGAAATGTCACATGGCCCAGACTATTGGCATTTACCAATGGCAAATCTTATCTACGATATATTTACGAAAGACAGCGTCTTCCTGTACCCTTACGGGTGTGGTCTGCAAAACAAATCCTGTTAGTAGACTGTTAGTAGCCTGGCTTTGCGTGGCGTGGCACTTGAGCTTCGTGTAGCTTAGGGAAGCTTGCGGTAAAAAATTGTTGAAAAAAAACCTGGCGGAAAATCTATGGCGTGCAAAAAGTGATCCAAGGATGAAAATCCAGGTTATCGTCTTAAGAAATCAATTCTAAGCACGTTGAGTTCTCATGCTAGTAGACTTGCAAACTGATTGTCCGCAGCCTGTCCTCTAACCTATCAACAATTGTTTGTAAAATCTCTGTTTTTTGTAAGATATTCACTGCTTGCGCAAGGCAAACCAAATGGGCTGTTTGACTAGTGCAAAGTTTTCTCGGCAAAAAGACGCTATCAAGGAAATATCTATATCACATTTTTATCAATTTTTAAAATACAAAAAGAACCTGATACAGGGACTCCGACGAAAGTTTGAAAATTGGAGGTCAAGTGCAAATTAGACTCATGACAAAGGATTTTGCAAAAAAAGTCGTTTCTAAAAAGTCGGGGCAAACCCTTCTTTCGTCGGAGGCCCTGTGTTATATCTACAGTAAACAATTTAGATATACATTGCACATACAAATACAAAATCCTGAACAGAATTACTATTTCTAGAATTTAAAGCATATCAAAAGCAGAGACGTCTTTTGGATTCAGCGTTGGAGCACCTTAATTTTTACAGTTCGAAGACCACTAAGTATTGTTCACGTGCAGTGGAAGTCCTCATCTTCCTTGAAAGAAACAAGACATTTTCATATGCCCTGGCAATCAAAAACTGCACGTGTTAGAGATGACCCCCTTCTAACGAGATATTTATGAATTTTCATATTACTCCCTTAAATCTATGGACTTCTACCGACATTATCGAGTATTTAAACTAATGAATGACAATTTCTTTATACAATACATAACATACAATAATATTTTTATGGATGTTGTAAGATATCACAATTGCAATAAGCCCTTGCTATATCAGATTAAGTAAGGGCACGCACAATAACAACTGATACTCAATTTTTAACAATTCTGTCGAGAAGGCGAAATGCTGACTTTATTCTCAGCCAAGATAAGGAGTTTCTTAGAAGCTGTGGGCTGCAGGACAGGGGTTTAGATTTTAGGGTATGGTTAATTAGATCATGGAGGCACTGTTCCCTTAGGTTCGATTTCTTCGTAAAATAGTCGAAAGTAGGTTAAGATTTCTTCGTTTAGAACACAAAACAGAGCTCTAAAACTCCTAAAAAGCACATTACTAAAAGGACTTAAAGTTAATAAGCAATAGGCATGTTCTTATCTCGGTTTCAAGGATATTATTCAGTTCCACCAATAATGAAAGTAACAATTAACAAATTCTTTTCTCATGTACGAATAATTGATGCATTGTGACTGAGTCAGAAAACAGATTAATTCAGCGATTCATTCATAGAGAAACGAGCGTGATTATATCTGCGACACTCGGTATGAGGAACTAACGATACTTCAACTGGCCTCTTAGCGATCATACTTCTGGTTTTTCCAGTCATAAGACAAAGGTTGGTAAGTATTTTGCGTAGCTGCGTAATTCAACTGTTGATACATGCGCGGATCCCCAGCATCCGGGGCTGTGACAGCATTTGGTGCACTCGGATCTTGGTCCCAAGCTTGTGCATAAACCGGAGGACCTGCGTCAATTTCACGATAAACCGGGCTGGTTTGAGGTTGGGAATCGTCCAGTTCACGGTATACCGGCTGCTCGTTCAATTCTATATCACCTGGGCTCATATAAACTTGTTCACCGCCTTCAAGTTCCTTGTACACAGGCTGCTCTCCTGATTCAAGTTCCTTATAAACTGGGTCGGAGATTGGAATGTTCGTGTTATACAAAGGGTTACCAACATCATTCTTCCTCCCATTACCAACTGGTCTACCCATTGTGTCATATGTGTAATCATACACCGGACTTACAGGGCTATCTACTCCGTTCCTTCCATTTAGATCTAGAAATTTCATAGAGAAACATGAAACTGTCTATAACTTTTAAGACCATTAGAGCATATAATTTTGATACGAAAACTAAAAAACTCTAACAAGGAATTGGTAACAATGTTTTAAGCATGATTAAGTATTAAAAAAGTCACAACAATGAGAGACTTCAATCTTTCAAAATCGACTTTGAATTAAATTTTGCCAGATGATAAATTTTATCAATATATTCCTATTTAAAAGACATTCTAGAATTTTACAGGAGCAGGCTGTAATTATCCAGAAAACTTCGCAGTACAGGAGGCAGGAGGGGGCTATCATGTCTGAAATGTCTACCACTTTGATAGGTATCTTCAAATGACCACAATGAAAACTACTTTCGCAGTAACTTAACTACAAAATAGCCAAAAGTGAAGTAAGAGAATCAACTTTGCAGGCATTTAGTCAAGTAAATAGGCGTTCTCTGCAGGGGAGGGTGGTCCTTTGCTTTCTGCGTGATCGTAATAGCTTAATGTGACTTTGGCGCCCATGGTTTACAACTGATCGTTGACGAAACCTGTTCAAGATCAATACGAGGTAGCATGTGACCAGTCTCAGGTACACCAAAAGTACTGAGGCCTGCATATCATGATTTGGTTGTATGGGTATACTATCTCTTTTTAGCATGGAATGATGCCTTTAAAAACTTACCTTGAAACTGCAAAGTTCGTGAGGAACTATTCTTTTCACTTGAATTTCTAAAAGAAAATACCCATAATTACCAAAAATGTCAATACAGTGGCAACGAGTAGTTCAAGATGCTATTGAAGTATCAAAGTGACACGGCATCAAAAATCTATATTTCATTTTATTTCTAATTTTGACCACGTTAAAAAGCTAAATATTCAGCTAAATATTCTCAAAATTGATCGAGATAGGGCCAATGAAGACTCAAAGTTTGCTAATGGATCACAGTCATTTAGCCCCGTTTCTTAAAAATACGAACCAAGACGAAATTATAGTGATTTGATGGGGAAAGAACCCGTGCTCCAGTGGCCACATCTCAGCCAATTTGTAGCAATTCAATTAATGGTGCAAATGTGGAGGCATTTCTCAGTGCTCGGGCTATATGGTCAAAACTGAAAAACATTAGAAATAGATTTCTGCGATGTCACCACTTAGGAGTCATCTATTGCTATGACTCGTTTTAGGAGTCATCCATGTTTAAACTTAGCTTCAGCCTTATTACATTGTGTAACGATCAAGAACTGATATCCGCTACTGTGTGTAGATCTACTTTTTAGATTGAATTTGTAGAAACTATGCGTAATGCTAAACGAACATTTTCCTATGTTTGATTAAACATGAGTAAACTGGTAGGGTTTTAATTTAGCTTTACCTATGTGAAATTTTCAAGCCCGCTTGAAACCAGTGATACAGGGGGGGAGGGCTTTATCCTTAAAGAAGGTAGGTGACAAACTTCTGTTTTTCCAAACCACCTACCCTATACGGGCTGATAGGCCTTGCGGCTGACTACCCGCCGCTTTTATTGAAACTTTATTATATCTCAAAGCGTTTAGAGATCTTTGGCTTTCAAGCCCAGTGTCTCACAGTCCTTTACCTTACCTCTCCCAACCAAAAATGTTGAGAAAGGACCAAGCAAGTTATCTGTAAATTGCGCTGTTTTTCATAGTAAACGTACCCCTTCAAACTAGTTGCACTAATATTTTCAATTTCATACTTTCGTACATTATATACTTATCGGATAAGTATATACTTATCGAAATATACTCATAAATATAAATATATGTAAATTGAAATACACTTAATTTGTAATTAAAGTTTTTTGCAGGTAAAGTCAAACAAATTTATTCCATGGTACCCCGGGCAAAGAATTTTATAATGAAATGAAACCTGTAAAAATCTATCAAATGAGCAGCCCCCGTCTTAGATTCAAGAACGTTCGCATCAAACTCAATCATTACTGTGCATGTTCTTTGATTCTAAGAAGGGGGGAGCCCATTCGTTTCTCTTGCTTATCCCCCTTGCGAATTATTGTTACAAAAAAGCTAAGATTATCCAACCGCCTTTTCTGTAAGCATAGATGTAGGAGAACTATGAACGGAGAAACTTAAAGAAGACTCTTACTTTTTGTTCTGTCTTCGTTTCTTTAAATACAGAAACAGAACTATACATGTAATCAAAACAATGAATCCAACACATAATCCCGCAATCAGTCCTGCTTGTGACTTCTTAGTCGCAGTTAACATTTTGTTTTCTCCCTTGAAAACTGCAGTTGTTGACGCCTGATTCCTTGTTGCCTATAAACAAAATACATTATGTTAAAAGGAGCAGAAACTTGACAAACTGTCTGCGTAACGCATCAAAACGTTTTTTCGAAGGGGATTATGACCCTTCTCATGCCTCTTCTCATGAGTGTTAGAAGATCATTCTTACATCGAAAATTTATTGTTCATTCCGTTTCCGGTAACTCCGAATAAAATGTCCGCTTCTTTATTATAATCATACCACTTACAAACTTATCTTTCTAGCTACCAAACTGATTTACATTGGCTCTGGGGTGCATTTTCTGTATGCCCTTTGTATTATACTAGAACTAGAGTAATCTTCCACTTTTCCAATGTATGAAGCAGAGAAGGGCAAGCTCTTGGTTAAGGGATGGGGTTTTCCACAGTTACGAAAGCCGTCACTCAAAGTAAGGCACACATTCGAAGACAATAGATAGATGACTGCAAAATTTTTCAAGATTGTTTTTGTTAGAGGCATCCTGCTGAAGGTGACAAAGGGAAATAGAAACATGGCTGAAGCAGCTGCATGATATTAAAATTACGTCATCATGAGCCAGTCCCAGACCCCTCAAAAGATTAGTCCTTTGAAAATGTCTAGTCAATTGAGTGGTGATAAACACTAATTAAGCAGCCGTATAATGAAGTTAGTGCATTTGGCTTTGCACTGGTATATATTAAAATGCTGAATTCTTTATAGCAGTGTAGTATAAATAAGGAGATTGAGTCTATTTCAGGAACGGAACAGCTGGTTTTATAAAAGCTTTTCATAGACATAGTTCGGTAAATATCCGGTACTGTTAATTACAGGTATTGAATCATCAATTGAGAAATCATTAAACGAATGGCTTGATAGGCAAAGTTGCTGCACAAGTATGGGGAAAGTATGATAGAAACAGAACCCACAATCCTAACACCAGACACAATCATAAAGCATTCAATTGTGTACTTGTGCAGAAAGTTTATTACGAATTTACGAAAAGCAATAAAATTGCCCGTGCAATAATGCACTGCCGTTTATTAGTTGAATCATATACTTTTCGAGAATCATATCACTCGTTCGTTTCATTTACTCTGATAAAGCCCTGTATGCCGGGGCGAAATATTAGTATATTCCTTTAAATTTAATTTATTTTGAATATTTTATCTCGTGACATTGGATTCTCGTCGTCGTTTTGCTTTGTTCCTGTATATCCCCCGTAACAACACTTATTGCAAGATTCACAGAATCCGGCGGACAGCCTATCCTGCGGTTCTTCCTTCTTACACATTACTTCTCATAGATGACAGGCATTTCTGAGTATATTTAAATCAAAACTCTAGTAGGTACATGGCATCTCGAAGATATCGACTTCTACCTTATACTCTGTCAGTAGACGGCCGTTTGCGTCTTTATTATTTGCTGTCAATTTCGGATACATACGCTAACTGCAAGGCCTCTTGCAATTGTTTTTAATCGTACCTCGGGGAGCTGAGCTCAGTAACCTAAACAGAGTATAGTTTGCGGGACAACCTGCGTGTTAGCGGGAAACTGTTTACAACTCCTGAAAGTCACGTTTAAAAATTGCAAAATGTGAATAAGCGAATTCACATTCTAAACCTTTTCTAATCTCTCAAGACAATTTAACAATGGTCCTTGAAAGCCCTCAATAAGACAGACTCTAGATAAAGTGGTCAGGCCAGGACATGATCACTAAACAGTCAACCAGAAAAAGAGAAAAACAGAATAGCTCATTGGCGGCACAAAGTTTGCACCTTCCGGTATGCTATGAAGACAGGGTTCCCCATGATGAGCTGGTTCTTCTTTATAGGATACGTTTGAGCAAGCCCCTTTTCCAGGCGATATCAAGTATTCAACCCCTCTCCCCCTCCCAGAAAAATTTCAGAGTCAAAAAAAGGGTTCAGTTTTCTACTGGAAAATCAGCCCAAGCCTTAGAAAAAGGGATATTAATTGAATCAAAAAAGGGCGCGGTATTGGTGTACGAAATTCTTTTGTTTTAATGACTTTCCACAATATCTCAAGCTTTGGAAAATATTTTTGGAAAAAAGAAGAAGAACACGGTGCAATGTTTTGAATAAATTAACATAATATGACGTAACAGTACTTAGAGTTGAGGCCATGGAGTAGAACGTGTAATATGTGAGCACATGATTAGGCCCATTTTAACAACATAACACACGGGGGTTTACAAATGATATTTTAATTTCTTTGGTCTGTCAATTGCCTTTCTTGCGTTCAACTATATGCAAGCAATCTTTCTAGAGTCAAAGACCACCATTTCGCCCGACACTAAAGATTTGCTTGGCTCTTCTCGTGGTCTCCTTCGCCGCTGAGCCAATCACAGCCACGAAAGGTGCAAACAAACTTAGCCCAAAACCGAAAATTGGGCATTTTGATCACCCTCCGGTGAAAAAATAACGTGTAAAATCTGCTGTGATAAATTTTTTTAACCATAACTCTGGCAAATAAAAAACTAGAATTAAATGCTGAAGAGTTACCTGAGTCGTGTATGGTTGATGACTTGTTGACTGCTTCGTGGTGGCTAAAAAAATCGAATTATCAGTCAATATTCATTTTTTTTAAAAAAAAGCTGGTTTAAAGTAGGCGACAAATATCTTATGTAGGCCCCCGGTTCCCCTCCGTCAGATGCCCTGTCTCACATTGCTGACATTACGTACATGGGAAAGCCGACGGCAAAATATTACTTCTAGCTTTGTGTATCGTTATTAAGTATTTCACAAACGTGTTAGTGAAAAGTGATCGCTTTAGGGACACGGGGGCGGCTTATTGCAACATAAAGGGGGAAATCGCATATGGGGGATAGGGAAAAATAATCAACATCTGTAACTAACTAGATAAAGAAGAAAAAAAGTGAGGGAAAAAAGAGATCATGCTGTAGTAAAATGTCAGTAGCTTGAGCGTCGATAAGTCGCGTAAAAGTAGAATAAAGTCACAGACCCCAGATATAACAAAATTAAACGTAAACCTAAGTCAGAGCGTATCTTCGTTCTGACACAAGCAAGTACCAAGAAAACCAGTGCCAAAAAATGTTGGTGGGTGAATTTTCGGTGGAAAGAAGAAATTTCGGTGAGTAGGGAAATGAAACATTTTCAGTAAGTTCTATTTTCAATATATAATTATCTGGAATGCAATCATAAAAGTTACAAAAAACGAAAATTTTAATGTCAGCCCAATAAATGGACCTAAAGAGCAGGCAAGAATATCAAATACGCTTACTTAGAGGGGTCTTTTTTATTTCATTTGTTGTCACCGATGGAGTGAAATAAATTGCAAGCGTTTACATTTCGCAACATTTTCGATAGTCAATCACAGCAAAGTGATTAGAAATTCTGATAGATTGTGAGTTAAATTGAGAGAAATCATGAAGAGCCAGTAGGAGCAACGGTTCAGCTAATAGAGAACTCAAATGTCTTGGATATAGATCTATATATTGCCCTCTATAGAGGGCGAAAACGAAGAAAGTGAAGATGCGCTGGATATCTTATTGTTGATGACGAAGGAGAACAAGAAACTGCAAAAAAATTAGATGTAAAATTATACGCGAAAAATATCAAGGATTAGCGTTTTATAATTTCGGTTTCCAAAAACTTTGGTTTCAAAAAATTCGGTAGGAGTAATTTCCGGTTGTCCTGCTTCACTGAAAATACATCACCCCCGAAATTTTCGGTACTTAATGTATGAGCAGTAAAAAAAGTCAAGCGGTGAGATGCTATAAAAATAAAAATGAAACCCTTGAAAAAGTATCTCATTAAGCAATAAAAATTGCTCATTTTTCAACATAAACAAGGGCTGCGTAAAATAGGCCCCAACCGTAAGCATTTAACATTTTGGCATGCCAGGAGGCTACATAAATGATTTTGCTGACGTTTCGCATGCACCATACATTTCCAGTGTGTGAGGATACAGAAGTTCCATTATCCGAGTAGGTATTTACAAAACCAATTATTTTCTTTTTATCAATTAACAAGGACATGATAAGTATTTCAAAGTTGAAGGTGTACAGACAGGTGAAAAAAGGACCCATGTCTCAAATTTGGCAAAAAATTCAAGGTGCTACTTCTTGGAAATTGAAATTTTTTCTGATTTTAGGAGGCATAAGCACCTGGTGCACCCCCTATTCCGAATTGGACGTCCCTGGTTGAAAAATACGTCTATGTTTCTATCATACTACGCTCGCCTTTACCTTGGTATTTATCGTTTCTTTATAATCTCACGCGAAGTCCTTCAGCTCAGTGAACATGGTAATTATCAATGCTTTAATCAATTTCACAATCATTGAAATTTTTATCAACCAATGTAATGTAACGAATAATGTCGAAATGCGCGCCATTTTTGAAAGTAACTTCATTTTAGGCCAAATAGAAGCAATAGAGTTCAACAAATCCCAGCTCATACCTTAATCCTAGCCTAAATCCTACCTAGCCCTATCAATCATTCCCAAATGCTTATTGTTGAATATTTAAGTGAGATATTTTATATTTTAGTGTAGAATATAGCGAAATACATGCCCATCCGGATTTCCGCCTGCCTCGGTTTCTTCAACAACGTGAAATACATAATACGCAAAAGGACACTTCCCCGAAACCATATTCCTTTTTCTGTTTGTTAATATAAACAAAATGCTTTACTTGTGTATGTCCATGCTTCTGAATTTCGTATGCATTTATCCAACACCTCGACGTACAGTAAACCTGGGTTACAGATGCATCTTGTACAGAAGTCGCCTGCCTTCTTTATGCACCGAGCTTTTCGTTGCCCACAGTAAATGGCTCTTAGCCCTTCTACAGGTGCTTTATTGGTTAAAGTCTTAGACATGCTGTAATAATTTAGTCACCAAAAGACCGTTCACGGCCTACTTATTTCGAAAAAGTCCCGTTGAAGAATAGGCAGCACTTGCAAGTAGCGTTTGACAACATGTCATACGTCAGGTGATTATCACCGTGACTTTCACAAAAGCTGTCAAATGCTATTTCCGCAGTATGAAACACTTGGGGTCAAAATCAACAGAAGAACATTTATCAACTGATCGAGAGGGACAAAACAATTTTTGGGGGGTACAAAAATTTGAAAGGATTTGAAAAAAGCAAATATTTGAACACGTTAAGAGTAATGACCGAAAGTGAAAATTTTTAGCTAAAGGATACAGAACCGCGAGTACATGATTCTTTCCTTTCCCATTCTCCTTCGCAATTCCCCTCCCCTGTTTTACTTCCTTCACTTTTTGGTAATCCCTTAAAATCTAGACTTAGATCCAGGGAACCCCAGATATTGATACCCCAGAAATTACAGAAATATGATTGTGAAATAAACGGGATTGCTTTTACAAATGTCTTTTAAATTCACAGTACCAAAGTCTCGAACATTTATCAATTTTTCACGAGGGAACGAGGAAGGGGCAGAAATCCTTTTGTTTTACCTGAAAATCCCTAGAGATCCTTTTTCGATGGAAATCTTGAAGGTTTTTCGCAACAGTAAATTGTCCCTCATAAACATTAGCACTTTGACAATACAGGCATTAGAGGCGGAACTTTCAGAGAAAAGTTGATACCAAGGCTGGTTTTTTCATGGGGAAGACACTGGTTCTGCTTTGATTGTTGTTGTTATCGGAGGGGAATACCCATTCAAAAAATTATTTCCTTTTCAAAATTTAGAAAACGATTTTCGTACGAACAGAAACTGATCCTCGTCCTCGACAGTTTGCAGGATACCGGAAAAGTCTAAATTTTTGCGTGCGATGGGAGTGTCGGTCACGTCATTAACAACCGTTGCACCTTCAAAGTGCGACAAAATTACCTTATATACGATATATAGTACGAGCCCGGCGGGTCCACCCTCATTGTCAAGTGTAAGTGTCTTCAATAGGTCTGAGAAAGGTGTTCAATTTTGTAATATATTTAGGACAAAGAAAATAGAAAAAGGGTGTATGATATGGGAATCTTAATACAGTTTCTAATTTCTCAATGTTTGGCCTTATTTCAATTACTTGATTTTAATAGGAAAAAGGGTATAAATTTTATTTGGTTTCAAATAAAAGGGGAATCAAATTGGAATCAAATATCAGAGATAAGGGTAAGTTTTCTGGACCCCCAGACACGGGCGCTTACACTTGATAGTGTGAGATGACCATACGAGAAACTTAAAAGTTGTATGGCAATAAAATGGTTGCTAATGTTGAACCAAAGATAAGGTCTTTGCTAATATATAAACCTTGTATTTACTTGGAATAGAAGCTGTTATAGGTGATGTAGGTTTGGCTGTTGATATCTGGGTTGTTTTATCCGTTGATGCAACCGTTGGAAAGCTTTTCTCTGGTGTCCATGTCGATGTTGATGTGGACTTCACTTCTGTTTTACGTGCCTTCATCGAAGACTCAAGTGTTGTTGTGCTTGGGGAAGAAGTCGATGTGACGATTGGTGGTGTAGTTGGTGGCGGTACCTCACAGTAATCCAAGTCTCGATAATAAACTAGGCCGGTATTGCAAACACAGGTTGTGCATTGATCGTCCCAGCAAGTCGCATCTCGAGCGCTACAAAAACGAAATTTGCGGCGTTTACGCGATTCAATATTTGGGAACTTGACTGGATAAGTAACCATCTTGATGCAACTTCTCTGGTTGTCGTTTGGCCTAAATCAGTTCAAAAACAGAACAATATGCGACCGTCTTCTACTTTCGCAACCCCTTGTGTTCAGTACGTTCCAAAACTAAATTTGTTCTAGCTCTTCAAGTTTCACTTTGTTGAATACACCAAATATGTGCAATAATCTGGACATTCGAGCTAAATTTTTTCTGCATGATATGAAATAATAGGAATTTCCTTTGACACGCGTGGTTGCGATTCACTGCTGATTCACAAAACACAATTTTAATTACACCGCCCATTCTTCTAACCACAATGACGCGAATAAGATTGAATATAGGACACTATCTCGCCAGCCCTGGTTGTTATATAGGTTGCCCTGACCGATGAATTCTATTGTGTTTAATTATGTTTACGTTTTTATGTTTAAAGTAATTTTTTCTAAGATACTTTCATCTACATTTCTACAAGATTTGGCGGAAATACCAGTCGTTGTTTTCAATGGCGGCGCCAGCCACTAAGCTCTGGGGGGGACAAACCAAAAAAATTTAAGCCACGCCCTTTTAACCACCAGAAAACGCCCTTTTATCAACAGGGAACGCCAATTTTATCCGAAGGGAACGCCTAAGACTAACTTTTGTTTGAAAATTGGCAGTTTAAAATTCATCGGATTACATCACAAAAAGTACGGTGTCAAAATATTACCCCTACCCCAACATTTTCTCATTGAATTTGGACGAAATACAAAATCGGTTCTGCTGAGAACTGGGGGGGGGGGACGTGTCCCCCCCAGTCCCCCCCGTGGCGCCGCTACTGGTTGTTTTATAAAATTAAAATTACAAAAACCTTTCTATAAAAAACGATTACTTGCATTTAAAAAGAGAATTCGAAATGCTCCGTACGATTCAAATCACGATTCACCATCAACTTGAGTAATAAAAAAAAATTCTTATAAAAATTCACAAAGTAAGAAATTTCCCATCGAGATCAGTTTTCAAAAGATACAGTCGACTCCGCTTGTAGTCACTTCGCTTAAAGTAACACTACTGGTTACAGTCACATAAAATTTAAACCCAAATATACAAAACTATCAAATTAGCTCCCCTTTACAGTCACGCATCGTTTACAGTCACAAGTCTTCAAGTAACATTTGGTGTCACTGAAACCGGAGTCTACTGTCCATATAGGGTGAGGTACACAATGGGAAACTAAAGTATTCCTTATATCTTATTAGTAAATTGATGTATTGTATAAAGTAAAGTTGCTTGTAGAAAAACTAAAATTGTGCTCAGAAACTGATTTTTTGTTATTATTCAGTTTAGAGTCAATGGACTTCAAAATAATTGAAGTATTAACAGAGAGAGGGAAAACAGAGAAAGTTGGATGGAGATAAAGAGGGAAAGAGTAAAAAAGGGAAGAGAGAAAGAGGAATAGAGGGGAAAGGGAGAGAGGGAAAGTGGGAAAGAGGAAAGGAGGAGAGGAGGGGAAAAAAGGAGAAGAGGGAAGGAGGGAAAAGGGAAAAGAGGGGAAGAAGAAAGGGAGGGAAGGAGGGAAGGAGGGAAAGAGGAAAAGAGGAAAAGAAGGGATGAAGAAAAGGAGGGAAAGAAGGAAAGAAGGAAAAAAGGAAAAGAGAAAAGGAGGAAAAAGGAAAGAGGGGAAAAGGGAAAGAGGGAAAGAGGAGAAGAGGAAAAGGAGGGAAAGTGGAAAAGAGGGAAAGAGGGGAAGAAGGGAAAGAGGAAAAGAGGAAAAGAGGAAAAGAGGAAAAGAGGAAAAGAGGAAAAGAGGGGAAGAACAAAAGGAGGGAAGAGGAGAAGTGGAAAAGAGGGGAAGAAGAAAAGGAGGGAAAGAAGGAAAGTGGAAAAGAGGGAATGAAGAAAAGGAAGGAAAAAGGGAAAGAGGAAAGGAGGAAAATGGAAAGAGGGAAAATGGAAAGAGGGGAAAAGGGAAAGAGGGAGTGTTGGAATAGAGTAAAAGGGGGAAGAAGAAAAGGAGGGAAAGTGGAAAAAAGGGAAAAGGGAAAGAGGGGAAAAGGGAAAGAGGGCGAGTTGGAAAGAGGGAAGAGGAGAAATGGTAAAGTGAAAGGGAAGAAAGGGCTACGGAGAAAAGGGCACGGCAGAATGAGGGGAAGAGGGAGAGTGTTTAAGAGGGGAAGAGGTTTAAAAGGAGGAGGGGCAAAATGAAATATAGAAAACAAGGGAAGAGGGGAAAGGGGAGGACGGAATTCAAAGGAGGAATGAAAAAAGGAAAGAGGGGAAGAGGAGAAACGCAAACTGAGAAGTAGGGAAGGAAGGGAAGAGAGAAAAGGAGAAAGGTCACTAAAACAGTTTGAACAAAATAGGTAAAGAAATAGTGTCAACGAATAAATCAAGAATCATTAGTGAAATTGCAAAACGCAGAAACAAAAAAGACATATTTGTATTGCATTAATGTTATTTGTTTCGAAAATGGCTTCATCTAAAACCACGATGCGGGTTTAGTGTAACCATTGTAAATTTTTTCGACGCTTAGAAAGGACGTCGCCACAAAATTCGGGACCCTACTCTTCAAATGTGAAACCCAACGAACATCCTACTCTTCAAATATGAAACTAAACGAACAGAGAAACAAATTAAATTGTCTTTGTCAGAAGATATTTCTGTAAGACAAACTCCAACTGCCCATAGCTTAGTGTTGGGGAAGTTTCAGTGCAATTTCTAAAAGCTTTTATCCCATTTAAAAAAGTCAAATCTTTTTCTTAGCTCTTCATGACAATCTGGCTTGTACTCGTATTGTTTTAAGAGTATTCTGCCTCCAGGCACCGCGGAGCTTGAGAAAAGTAGGGGGGGTCTAAAAAAGTGGGGAGGCTAAAACCGTATAAAAAAAGGCTTTTCTGGTAGTTTGATACTTAATATTTGGCATTTTTTTGCAAAAAGTGGGGGGGGGGCTAAAGCGGTGCCTGGTCTCTGTGCATTTATTTTGTGCATATATCAATTTTTTGGATTACACTCTTCTTTTAAGAACAATTTTATAAGAACACGAGCCTCAAAATTAGTCAAAAGTTAAGAACAAATTAAGAACAAGCTGAGGCTGTGCTTCTGCAAAATGCAATTTTGAACAACGTTTTTTTCTCAAAATCGAGGATTTTTAGCGATGTGTGGGTGCTTTTTCGTCGAATATTCAAACGTTTCGGCAAATGAAGGTTGTCTCACTCACTTTGTTGGCAAATGAGGCCTGAACACCTCCCTAGAGCGAAAAATCTAGCACTCGCATTGCTTACACCCTATTAGATTAGGAACAAATTAAGAACAATCCAGCCTCAGATTTTCGAAAAAATTAAGAACAGTCAGCCTGAACTTAAATTTACTGGTTCTTATAAAAAAAGAGTGTATAGCTATAGTTGTGACCTAAAAAAGCTTGCTATTCTGCATTTTGCTAAGGGGCCGCTAAGAATTCAATGAAAAGTTGAAGCATGTTTCTCTGGATAAACTTTCTTGAAAATTTGAAAATTTACCTCGATCTTGAAAATTTAATGAAAATAAACAACTCACTTGTCTGATGTGATTTTGTGCTTGGTTTTTTCCTCGTTTTAATCGATCGAGTTGTGGTTGCCTTGCTCGTGCCAACATGGTTGGAACTTGCTTGAGTTGATTGAGCTGTTGATACTGTAGACTTTATTGTTGCTGGGCGATGTGTTGTCGTTGGGAGCGTTCTTCCGGAAGTTGTTGAGAGCTTTCTGGAAGTTGTTGGGGGCTTTCGGGTAGTTGTTGGGGGCTTTCGGGTAGTTGTTGGGGTATTTCTGGTAGTTGTGGTTTGCCGGGTAGTCACTTTGGTTGTTGGCGGTGTTCTACATGTGTCCGCTATGTAAAATGTTCCTTGTGTGCATCGGCAGCGGCAGCACCCAGAGGAATTCGGTTCACAACTAGCATTCCTGCCTGTACAGTAAGATGAATGACACTGACCACTTTTACCCTTTGAAGAACGATTTTCAAACTCAGTAATTAATGCCATCAGGCTTACCTCTTGATTCGAAAACGAATTTTTACTGTTTTCCACCAAAACATCCGAGTTTTCTGAAGCAAATTGAACTGAAACACAACCTTTCCTATCACGTGTTTATCGTCACAAGGGACGCTGACTTCGTGACTGTCAGGAAACCAATCCTCTACGTCATGACGCCATTGCTAATGATGAAACCATTAAAAATCTTATCTGTTGGCTCTCCCCGACACTTCAAGGTTTGTCAACGAAGGCTTGCAAATGTAAACATTGTCCTCCTTTTATTCAGAGCGACACACAACAGTTAAAATGCTTATGAAACTCTCATTCAAGTTTATTGATTTTCCGATAATCACATGATGTCTTAAGTCCGTAAAGAGAGAATTTTTGGCTGTTTTTAATGCTGACGGAAATAGCTTTAGCAGAAATAAAATATTTAACTTACTTTAGCGAAAAATAAAAAACGGGCCACGGGTAATTTTTCTGATGCGTGGGTGGATTGGAAGCAATGCTAGAAGTTTTACGTATTTTTGTTTATAGGAAACCGTCTATGAGAAACTGAGCCATACGATCAGGCTGGCGGGGAGCAGGGGCAGATTGTCCCAGGCCCCGAGCTGAGAGGGGCCTCAAAAACCTATACCAAAATTCCTAGCAATATAACAACAACACTGACACTAGCAATCATAGCTTTAATGACGTCATCACTAGCCTATCCTTTTTAATGCCCTAGGCCCTTCAAGCTTTCGGCCGGACTACCTATGATATCAGAAAAACTAATAACTCTTAAAGTGAAGAAAATGCTCGAAAGTAAGGTTTTTTCAAATATCGGATTAAAATTATTCTTCTCGGCGGTCAGACACCTATATCATGTTCAATTGCCATAGATAAATAGAAGGAAGAGCCCGTTCCAATTTTCTAGTTCCGCTTGCTCGAGTTTTTGTGGTTCTCGTACCCATGACATTATTAGGCGTTTTATTTCATGTCATGCTTATCTAATGTTACTGGTCTGCGTTTCTAAAATCTTGAAAAACCTTTTAGCAATAAAGTAGTTAAAAGAATAATCAAATTAGATTGCATCAGCCTCTGTAAATATGTTTTTTTGCTCTAGACTTGACGTAGGTCTAGACTTGACGAAACTTTTGACGTACTGCTAGAAGCTCTGTCGCTAGTTTTGTCGTGCCTGTTAAATCATGCTGTTATTTTTCGAACTTGTTGTTTTCAGTCGTTAGTCGTAAAAATAAGAATTTTAATTTTATCCGCCGTGGCCATATTTTTGAGCATTCCAGCCTACAACGACCTCTCGTTGGTAAAACCCCTCTTATAAGTGGTTTCACATAAGGCCTAAGTAAAACGTCGCTCTTTTCACGTGCCGAACCGATGCGACTGTACTGTAGGCAACTTTTAGAAGCCATACCCAATAACAGCCCCATGACTGCCCCCTACGTTTGTGTTAAAGATATTCTGTTGTGTAAATGCATCATTCAAACTGTTCACCGACTCTAAAAGGCTAATAGAAATTGCTCTTTCGTCTAAGATCAGTATCATAGTGAAAGGATTGTTCACATTGCAAAGGAAGGATTTCACCCAACCAAGCATAAACTGGCTTGTTAGGGGAACTGAGCCCCAAAAAATTATCTGAATTTTAACAAGGTGGCTGAGCCCCCTCCCCTAAGCCTCAGAGCTCCCGAGCCCTCGATCAGCCCGATCCCCTCGAATCCCCGATCTCCCTCAAAACCCCATCCTCCAAATCCCCGAGCTCCCGAGTCTCCGAGTCCCTCAAATCCCCGAGTACCCAAAACCCACTCCACGGCAACCCTGTAGAGAGGTAGCCCGTTAGTGATGGTTCCTTGTACCTGCATTTAAGAACTCACGTTTACAAGTACCTGTAAGCGATGAAGAGGTATTAAAGGCGACTTTGATAAGCACCTTGATTGCGCTTATTTTCATAAAAGGTTCCTGTGTAAACGATTTAGATAAGCTTCAATTTATATTTCGATGTGGATAAGAGGAGAGCAACGTTATCATCACCGAATTAAGATAATGGTATAGAAGACAGCTTTAAAGTTTAATTAAAATACCTTTGACCTTTTGCGAACTCAAATCCCGTATTACTTAAAGATGCATACTGAAAAGTAAAACCTGCCTAGGCAAAACTGAGAGTAGTAGGTTCTTAATAGCGGATTTCTACAGTATGAGTTTTGTGAGAGGCTCTTGAGGCACCGACTCTTTATAGGCAATTTTTTTCGTTTTTAAGATGGCCCTTAATTACAGCTCCCAGCTATGTTTTAGGCAAGCGCTATTCAAAGACAGCGTTGCTCAAACCTCCTTCGCAGTGTGGTCACAAAAGCTCACTCAATCCAATTTCATCGCAGTCTAAGAAACATTTTCCTAGGCCAAATTGCTAAGTACCAATTCTAAGTTTACCTCTCCAAGACCCTCACCTAAGGCATTCGGGTGAAATAGACCGTTTCTTATTCACTCTAAACACAAGCTTCGATTCCACAAATGCTACCGTATGCAATTTCAAGTGACAAGCATATTCATATGTTAATGTTGAGTCTATATGATTGATGATTAATGTAGTTGATAAACTTATCATGTATGCAGCAAGTCAGCAAGTTACGTTCTAAATAATTAACAATAATCTGCGGGTAAAAGCATGTGGGGCTAATTCAACTTGGGCTACAAATGAATAGCGATTCATGCAGGCACCGACTTTAGAATAGTAGATAATTTCTTCAAATCTTCCATGCAAACACTGCTTTGGCAAAACAACTTTTAACTCAACGTCGGATAAAGACTGTGGCAAGAAATTACCTTTGGCGATGAAAAGCTTCATGAAAATGCTTGGTTGGTATCTAGCAGAGGAAATTAAAGGTATAATTATAGCTTAATGTTTACAACTTTTCCACCAAATGAATCTTTATCTAACATTTTGTAATTAGCTAGATGCGTTTTTGTTTTGATTCGCACTCGTCTGATTTCTTGATAGTTTCATAGATGCACATTACGGAATTACAACTTCCAATCTCATACACCCTTTTCTTCTCAAATCGATGAAAGTATTCCAAAATTCCTTTATCCAGGCATTCTATTTATCAAAACAATTAAATCTAGAATTCACATCGCGAATTCTACATAAGGAGTAAATCTTCGTGCCTCTAATATATCTTACTTCTAAACTTTTCCGTTCTCTTTTACCTAGTTCACTGAAATATTGTCTCTGCATTTGAAGTATGTTTCTTGAAAAATGATTTGCTATGAGGGTTTATGGAAATGGTAATTAAAGGTGTTTCACAAGGCTTGCTTCTCGGACTTAATTTAGCTGCATTGTTAAAAGATCTACCTCATTCACTTCTCATACTGCCTTTTTAAGATTCGTCTGATTTCCTTCTTTAACCATGTATCACGAAATTATCGCAAAGATAGCAAAGATAGCATGGGGGCAGGAGGGTATATATACAATCCTGACAACTTCCAGATGCCCCTTTCATAAACGATTATAATCAAGATTTGGGCATGAATGAGAAATATAGTTCTTGGTTGAATATTCGCAAATGGAATTGAGCATATAAGTTTTGGCGCAATAAAGGGTATGGCTTTGATAAGAGGATGTAAAATGTTTACTTCAAAATAAGAAAACGGTAAGATTTTACAAGCAAAGGAATGATGAATATAAAGGTACAGTTTCTGAATTTGGAAAATTTAGAATATTGGTTCGGCAGTGACGTCATTTTGCATTCAATAACCGCAGGGTTTTGGAGACGTCAAAAAAGTCGAAAATAGAAAATGCGGAGAAGTGATGAGAAGTGAACCGGAAATTCCTGAGTATCGCGAATATGATAAGAAAATAGATATTCTAAGAGCATATTGGAATATAGGAAAAGATGTTTTCTGGATTCTGATAGCTTCTCAGAGAAAGTCATATCTTATATGATTTTGAGAGAAGGTGAGAATCTCCTCGTAAAAAGACACAAAACAGATGAAAGTTCCCAACGATTGAAAACACATTCGAAGAAGCTCTACTGTATTTAGCAGATGTGACAGAAAAGAACGAAACTTACTGAAAACCTGATCTTGCAACATTCTTAAGGTTGTTGAGAATAAAAGGGTCCACCATCAACAAATATATTCTTAAATACAAATATGTTTAAGATCGAAATTGACTTAGCTCTAAGCCCCTTTCATTGCGTGGCCCCATCAGCGTTCAAGCTTTTCTGACTGAACATGGTTGAATTTCGACTACAACCGTGCTTCCTTGCCTGACAATTTTTGGAACTGGCGACCATGATAAGGTACCTTTCCTTTAGCTGCTCGCTTAAAATCTTTCTTCTCAAACACCCTACTAAATCCAACCTTGCGCCACAGGAATGAAAATGCGACCTTTGACGAATAAGAAAAAAGCAAAAGCGTTTAGTTGCTAGATTCAAAATATAAGAAAATCTAAAAACGTCAGTAGACTTTTATTCTATTGTGCAAAGTGAATCACGCAAGCAACGCTAAGTAAGAGCCGGAGTATGGAAAGCAAGGATGAGAAGAGCTTTTTAAGGTAAAGAAACTAAAGTTGAGTTTTTCACATAGTTGAGTCTTTTAGAAAGTTGATTCTTTTGTAGCAGAATTATTCGCAGAAGATGTTGGCTATGCATACGTATGGAGTTTGTTTTCTTCTATGGTCTTTCTCAGGGCTTTATAAGATCTTGAGTAAAATGAAAATCCCAACTATATTTTCCTTTTTCCCAAATTTTTGAATCTGAAGCTAGACCTTTATCGTTTATGCAGCACAAAAGCAGACTGTTCCGGTACCTTCTTCAAACCTCACCCATATGCAGTAGAAAGTTCTTCACAAAAATTATTCAGCCAAGATGTGCCGCATTGCTGTACACCATAAAGGCAGCGCACGCCTTAGAAGGTAGCAAAGGATTGTGTTGTGTCAGTCCCATATCTGCTGTGCTTTCTTGGCTCTGGTTTCTTTATCTTTAATGCTAATATTTCACTGATTCATTTCATAGTCACCTGCAAAAAGGGACCTGGGACTGAATGACGTTTTTTCTGAAATTATTTTACTATACTTACCTTACGCCTACCTTACCGCTCAGTTTTAAAGACGGAAATGTTGTTTCGAAGCTACACACACTCGATACGTTTGCAGTTTGACCACAAATGTATGTGGGCTTAGCGGTTGCCGATTGGTAAAAACAAAGAACAAAAGCTAATAGCAGTTGATTTACCTGTTAAAACAACTGTAAGAGGAATTGTGAGCCAAAAAACACGTTGGCCGCCATATTTGCTCACTTTACTCACCAATGCAGAGATGTTGGAAAACAGCATGGTAGGGGGAGGGGGGGGCTAAGTGCCAAGAAAAGGGCAAAACAAAAGCAGCGTTAAGAAAATTGCATAATATTGCAAATGCATGGGGCAGCCTTTCCCAATATTTCCGTGCCCATGCCCTAAGTTGATCATGAACTCAAATTGCCTTTACCTCGAGCCAGTGTCATCAAAAAGATCTCAGGAGGTATTGAGATTCTGAAATGTGTCATATTTAAAAAGTTTTGTGAAAATTATCATATGCATCTGCTAAAGAAAGATGAAGAAAACTACACTTTCCCTATTACTTATGTATATGCATGTATAATTTTGCCATAAAAAAAACCACAATTTAAAATTAAGAAAAAGAAAAAGATCTAAGTACAGATATATAAAATTTACAGATAGAAGTTAAAAACATAGTCTGAAAACACCCCAGGCTAAAAATGGCAGGGATAGCATTAAAAAGGTCAATACGATCTTGTTTCCATAATGGTCCCTCGACTTTAAGTTGAATTATAGATTTACTTTTATATGATTCTTTTAATTGTAATTTCTTTAAGATTTAGTTCAATTTTTAAGCAGTATTTTAATTTATAGTTTTTTATATTTTAGCATGACCTTCTGTAAACCATTCTTTTAAACAAGGGGTTACCGTGGGTAAAATAGATAGAAATGAAAAACTTAAATGTTTCCTAACTACCAACAGCAAAAACAACGGTGGGAATCCTTGTTATTCAAACATTGCTATCCAACAAATGTTTATTTATTTTCTGTTAATATTATATAATATTTCAAGAATAGTACAATATGGCAATAAGCATCAAACTCTTGTTGTGATTGTCCCCTGAAACGTCAACTTTCAAACTCATTTAACTGTATCGACATACTTTGTAAATAATACAATTTCTAGAATCTTGAAGAAATTCTTCTCCTTTTTAGGACCGAAATATGAAAGATTGCCACATTCAAGTGAATGAAAACGAGTTGGAAAATTTTCCAATATGGAGAGGAAGAAAAGTGTCGCGACACCAAATGGAACGGCCACAAACGGCAAAGTTCCTAATGGGAATGCTGCCGCGGCCGACACTGAAGAGCATCGGAAGGGAACTACAATTGAAGATCTGGAACCGATTAAAGCAACCTATTCTAGTTTGTTTGTTTTGTCAGAGAATAACCCAGTGCGGAGGTTCACGCGCTATATTTCAACTTCAAAAGGATTTGAGTATTTCATTCTTGTCGCTATTATTGTGAATTGTATTCTTATGGCAATCAACACACAGCTCCCAGAAGACGATGCGAATCAAATGAACAGAATGGTCGAGCAAGCTGAGACCTATCTTCTAGGAATATTTTGTCTTGAAATGGTTTTGAACATAGTCACAATGGGGTTTATTTTGCATCCTGGCTCATACATCAGGAACCCGTGGAATATATTAGATTTTGTTGTTGTAGTTACCGGGATTCTGAGTTTGCCACAATTGGGTATAATGAAAGGCGGCTCCGTGAAGGCCTTGCGAGCAATGAGGGTCCTGAGGCCACTCAAACTTGTCTCGGGAGTGCCAAGTCTGCAAGTTGTGATGACTTCTATAGCTAAATCGTTGATTCCGCTATCAAATGTGTGTCTACTTGTCGTGTTTGTTATAATTATCTACGCAGTCATAGGGCTGGAGATGCTCCAGGGCCTCTTTCATTATACATGCAAGAACGAAACCACCGGAGCGGTATTAGAAGAAGGGCGCCTCTGCTCATCCAAAAACGGCCGCCCCTGTCCGACTGGATACAAGTGTATGAGGTATTGGTCTGGTCCCAATGACGGCATGACCAGTTTTGATAACATATTCATAAGTATGTTGACTGTTTTTACTTGCATTACTTGCGAAGGCTGGACATCTACCATGTATGCCTCGTTTGATGTTCTAGACAAAAGTGGCCTTGGATTTTGGGTCTATTACTACACACTGAATATTATTGGGGCCCAATTCATGTTGAACCTTGTACTTGGAGTTCTTAGTGGAGAATTTGGAAAAGAGGGAGAGAGACTTAAGAACCGCGCAGAATTTCTTGCACAAATGGAAGCCGCGCGTGAAGAACGCGCTGTTGAAAACTATGAAGAATGGGTTGATGAAGGAAAAGTAGCCGCGATAGCGGAAAAACAGAAAAATGTAAAGCCTCCAGGGGAAATGAGTGAAGAAGAAAAAGTAGCGGCAAGTGAAGAGCAAGGCACTTTAGCGCAATTGCGAATGCGTAAATTGGTAAAACATCCCGTGTTTTTCTGGTTTGTAATGATTTGCGTGTTTTTGAATACGGCATCGGTTGCAACTCAGCACTACCAACAATCATCTATGCTGACAAAGATACAAGATTTGGCTGGCCTCATATTCATTTCGATATTTTTCATAGAAATGTGCTTGAAGTTCTACGCGCTCGGATGGAGAGGCTACGTCAAATCTTCATTCAACGTTTTCGACGCCCTTGTCGTATGCGGTGGGATCATTGAGATGATATTGTATTACACTATGAACGTTACGCTTGGAATATCCGTTCTGAGAGCATTAAAGCTGCTTAAATTATTCAAATTTACTCGCTACTGGAACTCACTGAAAAACTTAATAGGTGCACTGATGTCGAGTATACAGGCCATCTTGAGTTTGATGGTTTTACTTTTGCTCTTTCTTATCATATTTGCATTGCTCGGCATGACTTTATTTGGTGGAAAATTTCAATACAAACAGACACCATCGCGGACGAATTTTGATGACTTCTGGAATTCTTTTCTTGCTGTCTTTCAAATTCTTACCGGAGAGGATTGGAATGCCGTGATGTACGAAGGAGTTCACGCGAACGGAGGACCGAAAGATCCAAGCGGTCTCGTCATGTCATTGTATTTTGTTGGTTTAGTTATAATCGGAAATTATGTGCTACTAAACGTTTTCTTGGCTATTGCTGTCGATAATTTGACGGAAGCTGACCTAATGGGTGGTGACGAAGACAAAGAGGAAGAGGAGAGACAAGAGCATATAGCGGAAGTGAAAGAAAAGTACGCGCCAAAAAGCGCCAATGGGGATAGCAAACTCGAATTGTCTAACGGTGGAACTACGCCGCGCGGTAAAGATGAACCGGATGCGATAGTTATTGCGAATGAGTTTGCAACTAAGAGTGAAACTGTAGAAGGGGGCACAGCCAAACCAGGTGACAATTTCCTTGAAAATCTCAAAAACCCTGGTAGAATGACGGGGAACATAGAAGGAGGTCCAGGTACTGAGATGCTCCAAGTAAATACCCTTTTTATCTTGAAACCGACAAACCCGATCCGCAAGGGCTTACATAAGCTTGTGAATTCGTCTTGGTTTGACCCTTTTATCTTAGCGTGCATCTTGATCAGCAGCGCTCTGCTCGCAGTCGAGGATACCGTAAATGAAGATGCGACTATTAATAAAGTTCTTGGATATGTCGATTTTGTATTCACACCGATATTCGCCGTTGAAGTTGTGTTGAAAATTTTGAACTATGGAGTGGTATTGCATAAAGGTGCCTATTTTCGCGACGGTTGGAATTTCATGGATGCGCTTGTCGTCAGTTCAGCGATAGCCTCTCTCGTTCTAAGCAACGACGAAACAGCCTCGCCGCAATCGCAGAAAGTCGTAAAAGTCCTGCGAGTCCTTCGCGTTCTCAGGCCACTTAAAGCAGTGAACAAGTCTAAAAAGCTGAAAGCTGTTTTTAATTGCATGATTTACTCCCTTAAAAATGTTATAAATATCCTTGTCATTACAATTATGTTTCTCTTCGTATTTTCCGCCATGGGTGTTCAGCTCTTCGCAGGAAAATTCTTCTATTGCACAGATGTTTCCAAGCTTACACCTCATGAGTGCCGTGGTGAATACGTCATTTTCGAGAATTACGATTATTCAAAGCCAAAAATAGAGCAACGCCAATGGCTTAAATATGACTGGAACTTTGACAACCTAGCAACAGCTATGGCTACTTTGTTTACATCTTCGACAGGCGAAGGTTGGCCCTCTGTGATGTTCGCAGCAATCGATGCAACAGATATTGACAAAGGCCCAATAGTTGATAACAGGCCAGAAATATCTTTATTCTTTATCTTTTTTGTTGTTATCATGTCCTTCTTCTTCCTGAATATATTCGTTGCTTTGATCATTTTAACATTTCAAGAAGAAGGCGCTAAGGAAGAAGGAGACTGTGAATTGGATCGGGGCCAGCGTGACACATTGATGGCTGCTATAACCGCACAACCGCTTCAGCTTTACGTTCCTGAAGACCAGACTTCATTACAGTTTAAAGTCTACCGTCTTGTCCGATCAAAACCATTTGATTCATTAATCATGGGGCTGATAATGGGCAACACAGTTTTATTAATGATAAGCTTTCACGACCAGCCAACCAAATACGGAAAATGGCTTGACGAGTTGAATAACATTTTCAACTACTTGTTTACAGCCGAACTTTTCCTCAAACTGATTGCATTGAAAATGAATTACTTCAAAGACGGCTGGAATGTATTCGACCTCGTTATCATACTTGGTAGCTGGGCCGATTTCATCATCAGTAGGACGATGGATACCTCACAACTGCCAATTGATACAAGTATCTTTCGGCTTTTTAGAGCAGCACGTCTTGTAAAACTTCTTAACCGCAGTAAAACAATCAAAGTTCTGCTATATACATTCTTGCAATCTTTCAAGGCATTGCCGTACGTCGGTGCGTTGATATTTTTGCTTTTCTTCATCTTCTGCATCGTCGGTATGCAGATATTCTCGCACATCAGCCTAGAGCAAACAGACGACCCTTACAGCGAAATAAACCGCCATAATCATTTCCGCGCGTTTTTCCCCGCCTTTCAAGTACTATTTCGCTGTGCCACAGGCGAAAATTGGCCTAATATTATGCTTGCATGTACAAGTCCTGCGAAGTGTGACTTGAACATCAAAGGAATAAAACCAGGAGATACTTGCGGCAGTCCAATTGCCTATCCATACTTTATTCTTTTCATTTTCCTCTGTTCCTTTCTGATGTTGAATTTATTTGTCGCCGTCATCATGGACAATTTTGCTTTCCTTTGTCAAGATGAAAGCATACTTGGAGCCCATCATCTTGATGATTTCATTGAGGCATGGTCTGAATACGACCCGACTGCCACGGGTCGTATCCGACACACAGAAGTTTGTAATTTGCTGCGACAGCTGGACCCACCATTAGGACTTGGAACCAAATGTCCGCGTGTCGTTGTCTACAAGCGAATGGTGCGAATGAACCAGGTGCTCTACGATAATGACACTGTCGATTTCAACGGCACTTTGTTTCACCTCGTGAGGACCGGTATGAATATATGCACAGACGACAACAATTTAAAAACGAACGACATTAAGATCCGACAGTTGATGAAACGGGTCTGGCCGTTCATCACCAAGAAGACCATGGATAGGGTAGTGCCTAAACGCAAAAAGGAATGGGAGAAAAGAACATTAGCACGTGTTTACGGTGCAAAGCTGATATATGAGAACTATAAACATCTCAAAAAGACTAGAAAATAGAAAAGCAGTTTCAAACATGCATCTTACTTTTTTAAATTTTAGATATATACTTCAGCTGTTTTAAACAATCAGGGTAAAGTATCAATAAAGCTTCGTTCGACAGAATTCTCTTAGTATGTCATAATTATTAATGACCAATAGAGACAAATATTCGTTTATAAGCATCAAAATTGCTTCGGCCTAAGCGATAAAAGACAGCAATGTGAAACAAGTTTAGGAAAAGTAATCACTTTCTCGCTGTTTTTGTTGATTTTCTAACTAAAAGGTTAAGAAAAATAGCACATAAATACGTTACAAGTCACAACATGAAGTAGAATACGTAATCCAACTGAACCAGAATTAAGTACCTAATCGTCTCAAAGAGTACTTCACAACCCATCTTTAAAAGAATCATTTTCGAGCAATTTCGTAAGGTAGAGGGTGATCAGTACTACGGTTTCGTAATTTCTTTATTCATCTCAGAGGCCGTTCATTATGGACGGTTTTTGTGATAAAAAAAGTTTGTAGACCGTCGTAATATACAGAGTAAGAACACCAGCCCAATGAGTAGGCCTTTAACCTCCGTGTTTAAGAAAGGATCCAACCTTATTTACGTGGGTAAAGTTATTGAATGCATCACTGTTAAACGATGTGTAGCTACTATCTACAAAGGCCAGAGCTTAGTTTATATCAGGGATTCCACCTTGTATACAAACTCTTATTGCAAATTGGATTTAATTCCATGTTAGGAGCATCTGTTGCTTTTTCGCAAACGTGAACGCTCTTTGTTTTGGTTCACAAAGAATCACCTTTGTGAATGCGCTACCCCATGACGTTTCACGCTAGCATCACCTAATTTTGTCCACGAAACTTCACTTTTGTTTAATTCAAGTAAGCGTGAATACTCTTTGTTTTGGTTCACAAAGAATCACCTTTGTGAATGCGCTACCCCATGACGTTTCACGCTAGCATCACCTGATTTTGTCCACGAAATTTCACTTTTGTTTAATTCAAGTAAGCGTGAAAAATATTTCTGCAAACCGGTCTGTTGCTTAGGGTCAGAAAGAGGTGGGCACTTTATGGTGTGTCGAATAGGGGGGGCAGCTGCTATAAAAAGCTTCAGGCGATCGTCACGCAGCTGTTCTAAACATGTAGTATTAATAACATAGGACATTCCTATTTTACCAACCCAAGCATAGGTATGTGATAATAATGACGTATCCGATATATAGGAATCTGGTATCGAGTTAGCAACAGACGCTCCCTATGTATCCCTATGTACCAATGTGTAGCTGTGTCGCTCATTTCTCAATAGCCACTTCTATTCCTAACCAGGCTCACGTGCAGGGCCAGGTCGTATTCGATGACTATCCATTAATAGTGTGATTATTACTACATGAATTTTTCTATGTTAATTGACTTACTGCGAATGTTGATTTTAAATGTTGTAGCGAAGATATCATAAAATTGATTTTGATTTATATACAAGATTTTTTGGCTCTTTATGTGTAGAAACAAATTTTATCAAGGATGTATAGAGAACGCCTAGAGTCTAGTCTCCACCGCTGTGCTCTATTCACAGCTGCTCTATAAAAAGCCATGTGGAACTCTATCTTTTTAAGAAGGCGCAAAACGTTTGTTCTTGAAAATACTTATAAAGCGTAGATCAATTCATACGCACGAAGAAAGTTTTTCTACAAAGTAAGCCTTTGACAGCTGCGATGACTCCGGTTGAGAATAATCTCAGGACGGGGGTACTGCTAAACAATGAGCATCAATAGAGTGAATAAGGAAATATTGAAAACCAATAATTGCAGTTTATCAATTATAGCCTTCCGCCCTTCACACACAGCCTTCACGACCATCGCAGCCTCCACCCTCCCTAACCTCCCCCCTCTCGGCTCCTTTTTGAACTTGCTACCTAGCATTCGAAGGTAGTTTTTAGGACTCTGAGAAGCCGTGCTCATCCAGCAGTTTCCTCTCGTCTCGTTTTTCCTCTCGATGTGGCCACACCTTGTAATTCCTACGCCTGAAAATAAAGAGAGCTGGCGACTTTTCTCACTCTAATTGAAAGTTTGGTCATGTCAATTCACAGACCTTTGGGTTTGTAGTTAACGCATCTAGCCACTGAGCCATTCTCGAGCCAGCCTCAGCCCTCCACAACCATTCAAGTCTCAGCTCTTCACAGCAGTCCCAGCCCGCCATGAATCCCACCCTCAGCCCCTTTGTAAAAAACCCTTTGTAGCAGGGGATTTAAAAAGGGTTTTGGCCGCTTCTTAAAAACTAATTTGCCCACTTTCTAACTACCGTATATGATATAATGAACGCCTTTTTTCTAATAAACGTCCCTCTCCCCTAAAAGCCAAAATGGTTGGTAGCGCTCCGGTGTTTAATAAATGGAATACGGTACGATCTATTCATTATCTTGATTCATTCAAAGTAGACTGATGCATAAGTAGGTACAGAATAAAAGCTTATTAAAGCTTCCTTAAAAGTAAAATTGCCTAATAAATAAATATGTAAAATCTATATAAACATGTTTATATAGAAATGAACCCTAGCTCGCGGAACCGCCTTTTTCGCTATACCAAAAGCGAGTACAGCTCTGCCTAAACGGCATCGAAGTCTTTGTAACAGCCAGGTAATCAGAAATTTTCATATATTGTATAAGAAATATTTACAAATTTTACAATGTCTGTAATTTTTCCTATTTGGTATTTACCATCGAACACACTTGATCCGGTCAAGACATATTTAATGGTATACATAGATAAATCTGTTCTGTTACTGAGGGATTATTGTAGGAACCTGAAAAGAAATGAATCTTAAAGTAGAAAACCAGCGGCTACACCCAAATCCAGTGTTGTTGCTTTCAATGAAAAATTAATTCTCTTTCTTAAGTCTTGTTTGTCCACAGAGATTTTTTTAGTTTTCGAACATCAGCTATTTCCGCAGTTGTTCACGTTACGTCGACAGAGAAAAAAGAACTAAATTTAATCCTAAAATTACTTTGAGGCTTATCAAATGAGGGAGCTTTTTTAAGATAGTCCGAAAGGTAAAACTAAACACCACACCATTTTTTGAAGAATAACAGTCTGCATACGAAATGCTGTCTAGAACATGGGCTCCTACACAAGTTTAAAAGTTCGGGGGCCAAGGAAAAATTTAACACCCATAGCAAAAGATTATGAAGAATTATAGGGGGCATCTTAAAGCAAGAAATTCAAATTTACGAACTTAATTTTAACGAAACGCAAAGTGTGCCAAAAAAGTTGTAAAACGTGGTAAACGGCTGCCAAAAACTTTCTGAAATATATTTCAAGCTGATCTAAAGGGCGTGGCTGCAAACATTTTCCTTCGCTCGCAGTGCACGTGACTGGCTATCCTGTCGTGTTTGCGTTTGTATAGAGTGTGCACTACAGAATTGGATTTGTTCCACATTTTTTGCAGTCTTAAAGAGACAATGGTTAGAGAAAGTGGGATACACCCCAACAAATATAGTAAATTAACCTTTGAAGATGACAAAAATTGGCATTTTTTATATTTTTCGTAGGTGCATGGTTTCCAGGTACGTACCATCTTTGGCGACCTGTGGTTTGAGATTGGAGATGTCACACAAATGAGCGGGCTCCTAGAGATCAGTGGAGCCACCAAAGTTCGAGCGCGTAAACAAAATGCCAAGCACGATGACGCTAGATAGATGCTCCTCCGCTTCTCCACTTCTATCTTCTATATCCGCTCTCGAATTTACGTGACTCTGGTACCCAGGATAGCTCCTTTAATTTCTGTGCTAGAATTTTGATGGCTTTGGTACCCAGGGTACAGCCCAAAAAGCTTCAATCATTTGGTTCTTGAAGAGTCTTCTTTTTTGAAAGAACTCCATTGATAAATCGTTGATTTAAGATAGTAGTAGTAGGATTGCAATTTGTAAAAGCTGTAAAAAAGAAATTTTGTTTCTTAAAATATTTGCGGACCCCTATTTTTACCCCACTTCACTTACCTCCAGTTTTAGGCCCCCATTTCAAAATCGCCGGGGTCCTAACTTAGGTCCTAGTCCGTCCCTGCTTGGGCATTTTAGGCGGAGTAGGAACGCTGTAGAATTATCACAAAGAACCCTTCCAGTTCGGCTTGAATTGAATTGAAGAGTATAATTTTTTGGGATTTGAAACAGCCCACACTAGTGCCTCAATATATAATCGCCATACACGATTGTATTAACAACTACATGATGGCGGGCCTTTAGATAGTGCTTCGCTCCTAGGAATTCCAGTTTCCAAACTTACGGGAGAAGGAACGTTATTTTTGGAATAGGGCCTTTACTTGTTTGATTCACACTGACGACCTTTCACGTGACAGACTGGGAGTTCATCTATAACAGTAGCAAAGTGATTTCGTCATTACAATTTTTTAACAATCTTAATCTTTCCACCTCGAAAGCAGGTTTTATAAGTTCTGGTCTGGTCAGTGAAAGGCCAAAGTTTTACTATGGATTATTTCTCTCATACATTTTGAAAATTCTAAAGTAGAACCAAAACCAAATTACAATGACTAGCAGGAGCGTCGTGGGTCGTGACTCTGGGGAGCACAGCTTGCAAATTTTCCGACAATGGGTTTGAATTAGAATTATGACGTCATCAAACGCGTTCGCTATTTTTAAATAAAGAAAGACATGGCAAACAACATGCATCTTCTGCAGAATCACTTTTACTGATTTCAATTAGTTGGTCAGAGAAAAGCCAGCATCCGCATTCAGTGGCGGCGCCAGCTACTGGCGAGTGGGAGGGTAGTGGGCGTGGCCAGTGAGACCACGCCCTAATCACCTTGTTTCAGTGCATTGTACCAGGTACAAATTTCCTCAGGAAATATGATCTACCCCTACCTAGTGCTTTTTAACCCGTTTTTAGACGAAATATGTAGACCATGTTTCGAAAAAAGTGGGGGGTGGGGGTGTTATATTACACTTTAACTACAGTGCAACTCAGTTTATATAAAATAACTCACGGCCCTTTTCAACTCGACTTGTGGCAGAAAGGAGCAGAGAGACAACGACTTCTTTCGTCAGCACTTTGAACGAACAGCAAGATGCTTCTCCCAAAAAGCCTAATTCTTAAAACTACTACAGCGTATTTATATATACAAGCATTTTACAAGTATTAATAACAACCAATCAGCTAAAAACACGTAAGACCTACAACCAAAAGAAACCTAGATAATTAACAGCGGAAATAAAGTGTTTGCCAAATATTTAAATTATACCCTACAATGGTTCGTTCGATCTGGTGCACAACAGGGGGGTAATTACCCCCATACCACCCCCTGGCGCCGCCACTGTCCGCATTCGAATATTGGATAATCATAATTATTAGTAGCTGTATCTGTGATGAACAGTGAAACTCGCAATGGAACTGATAATTAATATTTTAAGAATCTAAAGAAAAGAAATGGACAATTTTCAGTCCATGAAAAGTCTCCTTAGCTATGGTGTGTGAGCAAACTTGCAGAAGTCTTCATCATAACTGAGTGTCAAATTAGTCATACTCAACATTCATGGAACCACTCTTTGCCCATTCTGTTGATCGCAGCCTGCTTTTTACACACTTCAGCTTTAAAGGTGCACTCGCATTTAGTAATATCTGTTGGGTCCCTATTGACAAGCTTCCCGTTTTCTGTATAAAGGTACAGATTTGGTTAGGCAGACTGTAAAATAGATAGACACGAGTTTTACTGCCTTCAGAAAACTTTTTCTTTTTATATTTTCCTTTTAATACTGATTAGTTCCTTTGAACTTTCTTACTTTTCTATGAACTTAAAATGTTCTTTTGCCGAACAGACACGAAATTTCCGACAAATTGCCAGATAGTCAATGATGGGGGACACGTCCCCCCCCCCCCCGCCTCCTAGCCACGACACCGTTTATGATTTGACGGGGAAATTGTGGGAGTAGTTTCTGTGCTCATGTTACCATATCTCAGAAAAGTGTAACAGATTTCATTGATTGTGGACATTCAACCACAATATGGACCAAAATAAATCAAGGATACTGATGACATCATTCATCAATAGCCAGTTTCAATACTGTCCTTTGGCATGGATGTTCAATAGAAGGAAACTAAATTCTAAAATCAACAAACGAGCACGAGCGAGCCCTTTGGATAACGTATAGAGATCAGAAATCTAGCTTTCAAGATTCCCTCAGATATGATAACAGTGTATCTTTTCATCAGAAGAACTTAATGCTCAAAATAAAGCATTATTCTGCCCACAAACCAACCACTATAGCCTCAGAAATAAGCGCGATTTTAACTTACCAAGAGTGAGATCAGTCATGCATGGCCCAGAAACTGTTCGATATAGGGGTCCAAAGTTATGGTGTACACTCCTTGTGTCTCAATTAGACACTCGACTAACTTGTTTGAATATAAGACCAAAATCAAATCTTGGAAGGGGAATGAGTGCCAGTGTAGGCTCTGCTGACGCTTTGTACCATATTTAGGTTTCATGTAAAATTTTCATTCAGTCTGTTTTTTTTTGTAATTTGAAGTAATTGGATTTTATCAGTTATGCTTGAAAATATTTTATCTTATACATGTTTAGTTATTTAATACCTTTTTTATACAAACATTGTAAATAAAGAGTTAATAACAATAATAATAATAAAAGTAATCAAATGTATTTCATGATCTTATTTCAGGTCTTTTAGTTAAAAACTTTCTAAAAATATTTGTTCGATAGTGCCACGTGCTGGTTTTCTTTTCTTTCTAGCTCAGCACTCGGGAAGTCAAGGGCTATCAGTCTTTCTTACTTTTTATAATCATTGCTACATTAGGATAATTCAGGTGTTTCTTTAGCCTGCGCCACAGACCAAAAACTTCACGGAAGCTTTAGGTCTGTGACACAGGCTAGTATTTCTTAAGCGACATGTGTCTTTAGCTTTGGCTACCCTAGGTACCAGAACAAAATGAAGGAGAATAAAAATGTCATATAAATCTTTCTTAACTTGCTCCTTTGGAGTATTTGAGGCTCTGGCACCTAGAGTAGACTTCGGTGCGGTTTTTGGAGTAGGGGTGAAACGAAACCGTTGAAGAAAATTCATGTTGATTCTTTTTTTTGGGGGGGGGGCGTTTTTGTCACCGTCCTCGTCATTAGTTTGATTATCCAGCTGCGTTACCCAAATTCAGAATCTTTTAAAGTCTGCATCATGTGAAAAGTGATTGTAAAGAGCAAGAATTCAGTATTAATTTGCCAATTAAAACTCTTCATGATGATGGTCTTCTAGAGTAAACACGAAAAAGGTACAGAAAGCTATCTATACTTTCCCGTTATCTTCTTTTCATAGAACAGAACATGAAAATGGCTTTGAAAAAAACAAACATTTTGAAACATGTTACTAAAGTTTTTCTGACACTTTTCAGAGCATAAAACTTCAGAACATAAATCAAAACTTTTTATCTTTCAAAGCAACTTTCCTTTTCTCGTTTCATTTAAGCTTCAAACCGCTTATTCTAAGTTTATTCGAAATTTTTTGTCCATTGATTCTTACGATATACGGCATGAACTTTGTATCGTCCTCTAATTTCATTTTTGATAAAAGGGCTAAAGTTGTTGGAGCGGTCGAGATCGAGTCCTGGGAAAGGAATGATCTCACAAATGGACTTTCTTTATGCACCGGCCTAGACTTTACAACAAAAGTGGCTTAATTAAATAGCTACAAAGGTGCAAAAATGTAAACAAAAGCTTTATATATTATGTCAAGTCAGGGTTTCAAAAATACTTTTTTCCATACGAAATTGCGTGTATTGCGAAGGAAACGAACACTGAAGGTAGAAAAAGGAATGACTTGTGTAATTCTTGTTTTCCAGATTGAATGTTGTAGTTTTGAATAACACATTGATGAGATTGAATAACACATCCTTTGATTAGATTTGGTCCAATAATTGCTATAAAATTACTGACTATCCAGTTTAAGATTGCTTGGCAACTTCTGAAAATGAGATATTATTGCATATCAATTTGCTGCATGCAAAGAGTTCTTTCAAGTGTCGGTAAAGTTAATGTTTTTTAAGGTTGGGAGGTTTTTATTACCGATCAGGCCTATCGAAACCGGAAAGGGGTGGCTGGGGGGCTGGAGACCCCCAATAATTGTCAAACTGTAGTATGTTTCCTTTACAACATTGTACTGAATGAGAAGGAATACGATGGACAGCCCTCCAATATGAATTTCGTTCCGATGACACTGCCGATAATGTTTGTCTTAATAATTCCAAATTTGATTCTCATTTCAATAAATTTTTATTAAAATTTTGAGTTCTTTCAAGTGTCGGTAAAGTTAATGTTTTGTAAGGTTGGGAGGTTTTTAGTACCGATCAAGCCCTCCAATATGAATTTCGTTCCGATGACACTGCCGATAGTGTTTGTTTTAATAATTCTAACTTTAATTCTTATTTCAATAAATTTTTATTAAAATTTTACTTAAAAACTTTTAATAAAAGGAGGCTTGTAAAGGTTTGCAGTCCATTCATCTAGAATAATATAAAGAGTTTTTGGAAATGACCCTTAAGCCTGAATCCCTCTAAGCGAATTCTTTCGCGCGAATCGAATAAAGAATCGTAGTGATAAAGTAGGGCCGTGGTCTAATTTCTGCGAATCGAAATACTTTCTGCGAAATTTGAGAACATGACACCACGCATGCTCACATTGGAAAAAATTCGATTCGCGCGAAAGAATCCGCCTAGAATCAGCTTTTTTGACGTTTAATGGTCCTCTCGGTAGAAAATTCCTCTTGACTTCAGGACGAAATTTTTAAGTTCTTGGGAAGGTTGTTGGAGTTTCTTATGAATATAAAAACTTGGTGTGTGTTTGAAGACCGCAAAACTGCGAAACCCCCGGAGCAAACATCGACTCCTTGGGTGCAGGTTGTCGCAGCCAATTAAATTCTATCCAAAGCTGCGGATTTGCAGCCTCGCCGAAAACTTTCTTTTGTTTTTGTTAGTCGCGTTTCAGTTTTGTACTTGATTACACCTGCTGCTCAGAGAGTCGTGTTCTCAGGCAGGTGAATGTTCCCGATTCATGCCAGCACGGGGGTAATTACTAAAGAGAAAAATAAGTAGTGCTGTTGTGATTCCAATCGAAGTAAGATCACTACAGTCTTTGGCTATTGCAATCAGGCAATCATCGCAGCTGCGTACAAACATATGAACAAATGGGAGGGGGCTAAAAGGAGAGTACACTCTTTTTCTTCTACAAGAATGATTTCTATAAGAATATTCAGGCTCAGAATCATCTAATTTTTAAGAATATTAAAAGAATATTGCTCAGTCCTGCTCGCATATCTGTGTCTCATTATTCAACAGTTGTTCATGACGTTTTGGGGTGTTCATAACAGCGAATCGCAGAACCATCTTTTCTTATTCGTAAGAAAAGCGTAAAGCGTAATTTTTCCAAAAAGCGTAATTTTTATTTAAAAGCGGCCGATGTTCCTCTAAAACCATATCAGATTTCAAAAACTGAGAATACTTTAAGAATATATTCAGGTAAAAATATAAATTTCTTAAGAATATCGAGATTGGAAAAAATTCATAGTATTCTTATAAAAAAATAGTGCATCAGAATATTCATTTTCAAAAAGAAGCAGGTCAGATATATTCTTATAGTTACACAGTTCATATGTATTTAGATAATGTCAATCACTTCCTGGCATTTTCTATGGCTTTTCTGAGGACATTCAAAGGACTTTTACCAATTTCTACAATTCAAACCTTATCGCTTTCGATTTTCTCCAAGAAACTATATTAGATTTGAAGAAATAAGAATAAATTTGAGATAACAATTTCAAATGAAAAACTTCTTAAGAATATCGAGGCTGGAAATTTTTTCTAGTATTCTCATTAGAGAAAAAGTTATGGCGCTGAGCAAAAAGCCTATATACCCCACCCAAGAGACTGATATCGACGTAATGAAACAACCCGCCATTATTGATCTTCCACGCCCATCCCCATTTCTTGCTTCGGATGGCCCCAAAACGTTGTACCCGTTTTCGGGTTTCTGGACATCGCTTAACTTTTTTTGTGATGACTATTGGACATAAAATTTAGAAAAATAGGATAGCATCTTATTTGAAAATTTTGATATGCATAGTCTGCTGCTAACAGCTCAATGCATCAAGTTAAAAGTCTAAAAAAATCTAGTGTCCTTATACAGCACTTTTTAAACAAAACACAATAATTATTTCTACACCATTGATTAAGAAACAATTCGCTGCCTGAGCTTACTGTATTTCCATGGTAATGTAAACATAATATTTAGGCATTCTTTTAATTTGTTTCATCACATACATTTTTTCATTAATTAGAAACTGAGTTTGGGATTAGCACTCAGTCTTTCAAATCATTTTGTTGATTTTTATTGATAAAATTTTCTTACTTTTTAGAAAGACATAAGCGTGACACGAGTTAACGCTTAAATTGTCACAAACAGCTCTTCCTTCTATTAGTTTATGTCAATTAAGCAAGAAAATTTTCGAAAAAGAAATATTTCCAACCCATCTTGACAGAATCGTTTTTGAGCAGCTTCTTAAGGTTGAGGGTGATTTGTAGTGTAGTTTATTAATACTCTAGTCACCTTAGGGCGCGGTTTTCAACTGGCAGTTTCTTATAAATTGACTGTGTTCAGAAAGGAAGAAAAGATACCCATGTGGCCAGAGTTGAATGCATTATTCATAATGGATGAGACCTTTCCTGCTAATTCAATTTGTATTGAACTAATGTTAATTTTTCATGTTTAAATTAGTTATAAGGTCATGTTTTATAATAGAACACCAGTACTGAGAGACATGCTAAAGCAACTTTGACACTGGCGTTAAAGATAAATATTCTCCGGTTAAGTAAAGGTGAATGAATTTTAACGTGTTTTTACATTTCAACATGTAGGTTTCGATCATATCTTTTCTCCAATTAACATTACTATGGCAATTTCTACTTATGGACGACAATCTCCGCCTAAAAGAACCTATAAACCCCCTGAGTAGGACCGGTTTATCCGATTTTTGGCAACGGTGATGGAATAATACCGACCTCGTTTCATGCCATAAAGGATAAGTAATTTCAATAAGAGGCCTAAGCCACGACACGTGGTCCTTTGTTGATGAAAACAATGGTCGTTAGACGTTTGATCGATCGTATGATTTCGTGCTAAATCCTTCCAACAGTGGAGCGTTTCCCCTGACAGATGAATTGATTATACGAACAAGAAAGATCGAAGGCGTGACAGAGAAAGAAACAGTTGAAAGATGGAGAATCTTGCATGGCAGAAGGTTTCTTTAACGACTATTTTGTTGGTTGGGATCGCATGGCCTTCGTTTTTCCACTGGTGGTTTAGGCTACCATGGTATGTCTATCCATTAGAACTTTGTCTCTTGGACGTACTATCTTTTGTAGTCCTTATGGTTTTGTGGAATTACTTTTCAGTGCTCCGGACTGAAAGAAGTAAAATAGGCGAGTTCATCGAGTTTAAGGATGAAGATTTACGAAATAAATACGCTGGTTCATTTATTCCACTTCAAATTCTTTACGAAGCTTATGCGGACGATAGACTTGTTTTCAAATCGGACACCCTGAACGCTTTGGAAGCGAGAGAGAAATACTCGACTAACCGACTTCTGTGGTGGCATGTGAAGTTCTTCTTCTGCAATTTCATACCAGAGATGCTCTTTCATACGAAAGTTCAAGACACTGACCAGGTAAGAGATCATTATGACAGGGGCAACGATTTTTATGAAAGTTTTCTCGGCCCAATGATGATTTATACATCTGGTATCATGAGAAAGCCGAACGATTCCTTAGAAGACATGCAACTCAACAAATTAGAAAGAGTATGTGAGAAGCTTCAGTTGAGTGAAAAAGATAATCTGCTCGACATTGGATGCGGGTGGGGAAGCTTGGTGAACCACGCAGTAGAAACACATAACGTCAAAGGCATCGGCGTAACACTGGCTAAAAATCAAGTACAATGGGCTGAAACATCTGCCGAGGAGAAAGGAGTTTCCGATGGGGCATCTTTTCTCTGCATGGATTATCGTGATATCCCCAGAACAAAGTTTAGCAAAATCTCATGTCTGGAGATGGCAGAGCATGTTGGCGTGAAGAATTTTGGTGGTTTTATGAGCCAGGTCTACGACATGCTTCAGGATGATGGCATCTTTTTTCTCCAGATAGCAGGGTTGAGGAGAGCTTGGCAGTGGGAGGATTTTGTTTGGGGTCTGTTTATGGATAAATACATATTTCCTGGCGCTGATGCTAGTTGTCCACTTGGCTTTGTCATCGCACACCTGGAAGCGGCAGGTTTCGAAGTGCAGTCATCCGAAACCATTGGTATTCACTACTCACATACTATTAATCATTGGTATAACAACTGGATTAAGGAAGAAACAAAGGCTAAGATGGTTGCAAAATATGGTCAAAGATTGTATCGCATCTGGGAAATCTTTCTGCTTGGTCAACAATCATAGCAAGACAAGGGAACTCAACCTGCTTCCAAATTGTGTGTCACAAAAATCTGAACAAATTCAACAGAAACAGATTCATCAAACATCAAGCTAAAAACTCCATTTTTGGGTAAGATTTTCAAGCTTCTTTGGTGCATAACACTCGAATTACACTAATGAAGAAACAGAAAAACCCGTTTTTGAAATAATTGTGTCATTGAACTAACTGAAAATGTTTTTCTTGATTCTGTATTTAACTAGTTACGATAACCTAAATATCCAAATAAATTATTTACATTAGAAAATGGTAAAAATGGCAACTGGGTTTACGATTAAGGGTCAGAAGATAATTCACAAGAAATAAGAATTCGAAGTACGAGACTGGTTATAAAGTTAAGTTATAAAATGTTTGTGACTCCAAATCCCCTTTAGGTCCTTATCTAGTGATGTATATCTAACTTCATGACCCTGTTTCTGAGGGAACTTTCTTTAGACCTAAACACAAAAGGGCTGAAAAATCTTTCCGTCACTGAAGTCAACCGGCAAATGTCATTATGAATAACGAAAACCACAATCTCCAAAAATCGCCAAACCCACGTTTCTTAGAGGATTGCGCCACCGTAGAAGCCGTTGTTTGCATAGGGTAAGACATGCTCCTATCGCTATGAACGGAAAAATAATAGCCCGTTTTCTATAACCATATACAACAGAAAGAAGAGGGGCGTTTGGCGTAAGCGTTGTTCATGCAAAGATCAGGTTATTAAAGTGATTCTAAATCTGCACGACTTTTTGCGATGTGCTTGCAGAAGAAACGTAATGATTGTAGGAATTAGCGAAATTAGAATACAGTTCATGCTGTTTAAGTGCATAGGCTGGTCTTATGCCGTTCTTTTTTCTCATTCTACGTGAAAAAGTCAGTCAAAACAGGAAAAGCCCTCGATTTTGAGCACAGAGTTATGAATTAATGATGAGACGATCTAGTGTTACGTGAAGTTCGTGTCTATAAAGTATTCTGAATAGGTGGGATTTCAAAAAAAGTGGCAGCTGACATAAAAAAGGTGGGTATTAAATCTTTTGCCGATACCATCAAAACAAAGAATTTCCATCGACCAAATCATGCAGCAGATCTAACTTCTTTATTCATAGTTCCAACTTTTTAAGTTGCCATCACAATTGGAATAGGACAGTTACTCGCTTAATGTAGATAAGGATATTTTGACTTTTGAATAAGTAATCATCCGTGACGGCGCAATGACTTGACGGTTCACAAAAGAACATGTTCTTTCAAGAAAAATCAATTACACATTGCGGTTAGCTTGATCTTGATCTACTCAGGTAAAAAACATTGCGATAGTTAGCCTGCCCAAGCATACAGCTGGATAATCTTGACCTCCCTGATTTTGTGTCTGTAAAAAACAAATCTATACATGAAAACAGTGTTGTTCCTTTTTTACCTACGGTCATGGTACCACTAAACTACGGTTATTGACAACCAGTCACCAGGAAAGGGTTTGGGGTGGCTATGTCACATTCAATATTGAGCTTTTATAGCGAAATCTAAGCAGTAATTGAATGTTTTTTAGACAGCTAGTGAGACACAGGGTTGAAAAAACATCCATCGCGTCTAAGTAGCTAGCTAGGAAATCTTTAAGAGAAACGCTAAGCCCCTCACCCCTCTCCCCAACTCCACCTCCTTACATCTTTGAATACTTCATCCTGGACCAGTTTATGAATTTGACTGACACCTGAATCGTAAACCAAGAAGAAACGATGCCTTTTCTAATAAATGTTTTGAATTTTATAGTATTAATTACTTATTTTAATACATCTTTTGCTATTTTACGTTCTTTTTACCCCATTTAAGAGCATGGGAATTGCCTTGTATCAAAAACGTTCCTTGATTGAAGCTATAATTAATAGAGTAGCGAGAGTTGCGTCACTAGAGTCGTCTTCGTAAGCTCCTAAATCGGATAATATAAAACTGTTCTAAACATATCATTGTTGCTTCATTCATTTTTAAGATACTATCGTGCAAACGTCTTTCCTTTCTAATCAGGTCTTTAAAATTCGTTTTCAAAAGAACCAATGATGACACCAAGGAAAAGCTTTCGGATTAGCCGAGACACAGTAGTTTTACAGGTGAATTAACGCATAATCCTTGAGAATAGCAAGTCAGCTCATGCATGAAGCACGGTTCGCCAATGTATCAGGAAGCATTGTTAGGATTAACAGTAGAGTTTACGGTAACAATAAATAACGATTAGTGGCTGGCTATTCATGCTTAGTTTTTTGGATACTTACGATTAACAACGCAGTCAACATAGATGTTTAGTCAAAGTGGTTCAAGCACGAGTCATCGCAGAAAGTGATTTCGCCATTTTATTGAAGGCAGATATGATAAGAAGATACATACTTTTCAACAATAAGCTTTGCTGTCTGATTAGAAATCTCTAGTGTGCCCGGATTGAAATCTCTAGTTTTGCAAACACCCCTTTTACATAAATTCCTAACAACTAGTATCAAGTATTAGCTTTAAGCCTAGTAGACGTTCGTCACAATGTCAAACACCAAGAGGAAAGCCAATGGACATTATAAAGTGCCACACCCAAACCCTGCCCCTTTCCATTCTGTTTCTGAGGAATGGTTATCAGGGTTTGAAGAGTATTGTCTGGAGACTTTGTTTGGTCTGTTTCAATATCCATTGGTCCATATAATGGTCCATTGAAGATTGGTACAAGTTTTCAAACCCCAAACTGTACTCTTTTCATAGGGATTCACAAGTAGGCTAAAAGAAGGTGAATATTTGTTGTATAAGATAGTGTTTAATTAATAACTTTACTAGTCTATAGCTAGATTTTTTGCTGTCATTATTAATAACGGTTTCCATACATCGACAATCTTTATCGTATATTCATTTTACGTAAATCTAATTTGATACTGCTAGTTCTCCTTGATGTTGTAGCAGATTAAGGTTTTCGTCTTTTAAAGTATAATGTGCAGATGATGAAGCCCTAGCATAATTTAAAATGGTAAACGTTTAACGGACAAATTTAACGTATTGTAGTGGTTATAGTACAAAATTGTTTCATGAAAATGCAAAAATCTTTATTCATTCTCTTGTATCGTTCATTCTCATTCTCATTCTCGTTCTCGTTCTCGTTCTCGTTCTCGTTCTTATTCTCATTCACCTCATTTATAAGAATGGAATGGGTCACGGGTACGTCGAGAGTTTGGGCGGGAGAGGGTAAACCGAAGTAGCAAAATTTCCGCCATTGTCAAATTTGTCAATGACTTTGGTGCCATAGGAGGGGAATGTATTCCTTGCCCCTAGCCACTGCATCCTTAGGGTAGGTATCAGACCCAAACCTACAATTCCAGATAAAAGTAGTTGAGACCTTTCAAGAACTGTTGATGTTTTCTCTTTCCTATTAAAAAATCTCCCCTCCTCCCCCCCATTCAATGTTAATTGCATGTGTCAAAGCACAAACTATAGAACTACTAATTCAACATTGATTCGTGGGAAAAGGGGAGATTCGAAGTTACAAGGGCAACATGTAATAGGAAGTTGTAAAAATTACATTTTGTCTTAACAGTTTTGGCAGGGATTATAGGTGCTCATTAAGGTGGTTTAAAAGTCAAGTAAATCTGTATCAGTCTTATTTTGCCTGTCATTTTCAAAATTTGAGGCTAGAATACCCTGATAATATGTCCATTAATACCCAAAAAAGATGCCCGTAACATTCTGATTATGCCTGTCATAGTTAGGACATCGTTAGAATTTTGATTAAAGGAACTAAAAAAATACCAGAGTATTTCTATCGCCCTTACAAAGATAGCAGATATCAGGGCAGAAAACTAGATATGTTTTACCCAAGCAAAAGTTTTACATTATTTGAATTCAAGAACCTATATGATGCCCGGAGGGGGGGGGGTTACTTGGATACCAAAACGACGGGGGTGTGCACTCCTAAGAATGTTTTGGTGAACCGGCTTTGGAAAAAAAGCTAAAAATGACACCCGGCTTTAGAATTTTTGGAAAAAAGAACAGAGGAAAACAAAAGCTTTGGTGCCAGTTGCCATGGCTGCCAGAACATCACTAAAACAATGGGCGGGCAGCCTCTTTGCTGTTATATTTGAATAGAAAAAATTTAATCAGAGTTAATTTCACGTGGGGCTTTTGAGCGTTTACTAAATCGCTTGAAATTGTTGTTATTACTTTTTCGTTATGTTTTCTTGTGTCACGCTTCCTCGCGTTTTTCTTGTATCTGCTCTACTAGTTTATGGGCAAGGGCAATGCAGGAGAGTCTTTTGGTCTCCTGAGGATTCGATTTGTATAACTAGGGTAAGATGTGTGTTTCGTGGCGTTTTCATTCCCTTGGTTGATCTAGGGGTATTTAAGGTTTTGGCATAGCGTGGGTCTCACTTTGCTTGGTGAAGCCACAATACAACTAGGCTGTTTTATTGTATTTTCCCAGCCCTCCCTCCTTCATTTTGTTTCTTTATGCAGATACCTTTTCAATATAACTTTGCGTGTTGAGTTTCTTTTATGGCATCGTTAAAACCTCCCATACCTTTAGGAATCTTTTGTGCTTCTTAGAGTTTTCTGATGCTATTAGGTAGGACTGGTGCATCGGCTATTAGTGGGGAAAAGAGGCTTTTCCTGTCCATTCCCTCCCAATTATCAATCATATTTGGGGGTTATTGTGTAACTTCCCTTAGTAACCCCTTTATGTAAGGTTGAGCGATTGGCGCCGATGCACCAACGGCCCAACTCGCTCTCGATGATGTGGGAACGTAGCCTCATGACAGACCTTTATGATGTCTATGGCAGTTTTTCTGAGGGAGCTTTATGCCCTTTATATTGCATTGGTATTTCATTCCCGAGTAAGAAAATTAAAGCGTCAATTAGGCAACCGGCTTTAGATTAAATCCTTTAAACAGATACCCGGCCTTAGAATTAATTGCTGAAAATGATACCCGGAAAGACGTGCACATCCCCCCCCCCCCCGGGATATGATTTGAGCAAGTGTCAAGTTTGCTAGCTGCAAATACATGACTTTTGTTAAATTTCATTAATATAAAACCTGTGGGAACAAACATGGATCCGATATGCTACTTAAAAATTTATATGCTACTTAAGTAGTAAATGTACTACATTAAGGCCGATTTCATTTGATATTTTTTGTGCGCGCGGGCGTAGCGCCCAAATCTGAGCATACGTAGCTAAGTGCTGCTGTCAAGTGGCCGAGCGCACAAAAAAGTTGAGACCCTATCAACTTTCTGGCGCTCACAGCGGACGCAAAATCGAGACCACTTGATTTTAACTACGCATGCTCAGATTTGGTTTCGTTAGAGCCGCAAAAAGCTCTCATTATTTTTTGCTGCCGTTAAATTTTTGCGGCTCTGGTACCCAGGGTAGGTCTCGTTAGATTTTCATCTGTTATCCCTCTCTGAACAGCGTTTTAGACTCCGTCCACACGTATCATTAACGTTTGTAAGCTTGGTTTTCTCTACATTACCTCTCCTTGTTCTTACGTAACAGAGTTTTAGGATACCAGAGACACACTTTTGAAGACGCTCTCCAAATTGGATACTTTCAAAGCGCGTTTCTTTGAAACGGCGGTGAAGGGATAATTGTGTAAACAGTGAGATATAAGAGAAATCTACCTATGTTGAATAAGAGGCTGAAATGACAGGAGGCGTCAAGGTGAACAAATCATCTCGCTAGGTCAGTCACGGCAGTTGCACAACATTACTCTGTTGCTTGACTTAATTTCCGCGTCAACTTTAAGCATCGGAATCAAAATTTCCTTAATATATTGGCACACTGGCTTAATCTTGAGCAGAAGTTAATCTTGATGAGAAAAGATAATCTTGCTCGACAAAGTTCAATTCTCATAAACCATCGCAATGGTATAGGCGTAATCGAGGCCTAAGACATTTACTTCACAGCAATCTGTAAAAAATTAATTTTTTCCCATGCTAATTATAGCCTTATAAACTAGGATGGAGTTTATGCAGCATCCAACATGGAGAAGCTTTTAGAGAGCTGCAAAACTTGTGCTGTTCTAGCAGCCATAGCCTAGGGAATTAAGCTGTGGGTTATATAAAGAGGAGGACAATAGCCTTTTATTTGAAACAAAGGAAAAAGTCACCGGGGCTGGAGGAACAAATGCTGCCTTAGTTAGTATGTTGAAAAAGAAGCTACTGACAGCAGATTGTGAACTTTATGCCACATTTCAAATGTTAAAACTCTCTAGACCCAATGTTAGCATACATCTGGGAAGTATGTGATGGAAACCAAAGGAAATGAATATCTTAAGGCCTTGTTTAACCAGCATTTAACTGGTAGAAAATACAGGCATAGAGTCAGGTATCATCTAATGAATTTTTGCTTTCTAGAGCTAAAACCGCATCGAACCATCCTTGTATACCTTAAACAAGGTTGCTGGAACTGAAAGCTCTTTATTTTTACGGAATTGCGCAGTCAAAGTTTCTCTATTCATAGAGAAAGCAGAGAACCATAGGAGCAGAATACAGACTATAACTGTCGCGTTTGATACAGACATTTTTACTTGCCAACAGTACTAAGGAGCGCCATGGCTGATTTTCTTACAGTATTTTATCAAACAGAAAGTTTCCTAATTGTTTTCCCAATTCAACGTAACTTTTTTGGGATAAAGGGGAGAGGAAGTGAAGTGAAAATGGCAAATATAACAACGAGGCAATTTCGTCGTGTGTCCAAAGAATTTCGGCAGGCAGTTCAGGCTCTTACTAGGGAAAAAACACGTAAGAAGGCAGGCTACTCTGTTGGAGGCAGCAACGAAAGTTTCTGTACAACTGAACAACTAAACTATAAAGAAAACTCACGTGCGGACTTCTCTTTAGGCCTTTTTGATGCCACCTTGAAAAATCTAGTAATAATTTGACTATCGAAGGAATGTCTTGGCTCATCGCAAAATAATTCTCTAGTGAAACGTCAATTCAAAGTAGGGATGATTGAAATTGCTAGAGATTGACGAAAATACGTGTTACTTGCTCGATTTTCTACCATGAGAGTTACAATCACGAAAACGAGTAGTGATTGTGAGATTGACAAAAAATTTTGGAGAGCAGTATCTGCAGAACTCCCAAGCTACGGAAATGTTTTGAATTATTGAAAAAGACTTGTCAAGGTGCTTGGTTTCAATGCCAATATGCAAGTTGATTGCTGGGAAGTTCAATCAAATTTTTTATTACAGAGCTTGAAATTCAAATGAAAATTTATATTCATTATGCTATGACGTCTTTTCTGTTTTTATGTGTTGTAATGGTCCTCTTATAGTCACCCATCAGCTGTCCTTCTCAAACTAGTCAAACCCTATTGCACCCACGACCCCCTGGTTCAAAAGTCTATACACATAGGCCGTTTGAGAGCATTGCAGGGCCTACGACACCCAATTTGAATCCCCTCCCTTCCACCCCTTCACCTTGATGAAGATTGGATGAAAGCAGAGCCTAATCATCAACAAAGCTTACAATATTTTCACAAACAGAATACAAAAATGTGATATAACTGCCATACTCCTCTAAACTGTGTTGAATCTGATGTCGAGATGACATGGACGTAGAGGGTAAGCATAGAATGCTGCCATATTATAAGAAGGGATTAACACTTTTTAAGCTTGGAGCAAGCTTTCATATATAGGGCTAAGACAGCTGTGCTCTCCGGGCAGCCTTGCTCAAATGTGACCACAATTTCGTTACGCCTACCAAAGTCAAGTTAAGTCTTACAAAGGGCATTTAACAAGTAAGAAACACAATTAATTATCTAGCTTTTTTTAAATTACCGACTGTAAAATTTAAATCCTTTGGTCTGGACTCAGTTTCACTCAGAGGCAGTTTGCCTTCTGAGACTAAATCTATCCGTCAACCGTGGTTGCAGCTTTCAAAAAGAAAAATTAAGTAGTCCACTTTCTACAAGCTGTTCTTCTTTTTTAGCCGGATAAACAGGCAGTTGGCTTCAATTAGTTATTCAATTATTCATACAATATGAATATAAGCTGTATATATATTTAAGTTAATTTATCGCTAAATCATATATATTAATGCCTCTTTATTCTGGAACAAATGCAGAAAAGTCAGATAAACTTCAATAGGGTGTGATGACGATTCACACTAGCAGCAATCGATTGGTCTCATCAATGTCTTCCAAAGGAAGCAATCACATCTATGCGAGATATATTTGAAATTTTTTTCATTTTATCAAGTTTTTGATAACCAAATTTTAGAATATCTTTTGAACCAAATTCCATTGTATTGTAATGACGACTAAGCTATTTCTTAATCTGCACTTTAGCTTGATTTATAATGATGCGCTGCGTTTTGAGGTCCCTTTTTTTCTTCGACCTAAGTTTGACGCTTAGCACTAACAGATGCATAAGAGCATACGCAATCGAAATCGAATAAACGAAGCGTAATTGACACGTTAAACACAATGAAACCTAAAATAGAACCTTGAGGTTGTCATCTCATCGTTGAACATTATTCGTTTTGAATTATTGACGTCCACGTCTAAACATTGTCACTAAAGCTGCAACGCAGACAAAAGAACTAATGGATATCGCCATTCTATTGAAAACTTCTTGTCTTTGTAAAGGTCCTGGGACAATTTTGTAGCAAAAGATGATAATAGTTTGTGGTTTAACCTCTTTGTTAGAATATATTCGGTCCTTATCTTGGCCAATAGGCTTCAACTTTCTCACTGAAACAATGCATGCTTGAGCATGTTAAAACTATGTAAACTACAAGTTATGTAAGCTGTAGGCAAATGTCAAATATTATACAGTGGAATTTCGATATAACGAACTCTGAGGGTAACCAGAAAAAGTTCGTTGCATCGGGAATTCGTTAAATCGAGAGAAAAAGTCTTTTCGCAGTACACGCCTAAAAAAACATTCGGTGGGCTTGTTTAGGCTATCTCAAACTTCTGTGCACATTTTACTCCAAAATCCAAGCTGAATTGAAAATTACCATAAGCTGAATTGAATGACTAATCATCGAAAATGAAAATCCTGTTCCTTTCGTGATTTGGGACCCAGACATTGGCAAAGCTCGCATCACTTCAACGAGCACTACACTTCTCGTTGTCGGCTCAATGGCGTCTTCGATTACTTCTCATTCTTATTTATCTTTTTTTGCTTCTCCATCTGAGTCTCTCAATAAAATTTTGTAGTCGCTTGTCGCTGATGTCTTATATGTAAGAAGTTATTCGTTGGCAGGCTCGTCGAGAGCCATCTCTGGCCCTGGGGCTATAAACAACACGGGCCCTTAGCAGGAGAAGTGGCGCAGGGGCAAAACTTTTCGCGGGCCCTTCTTGAGAGCCCGGCCTCGGAAATTCTCCCCAGCTACATCCCCCCCCCGACGGTACTTTTCGTTAGAGTCAATGTACTTTTTTGCAGTAATTTCTGATCCGATCAAACTTTCATCTCGTGGTCTGAGTCTATCAGCCAGTGCTTGAAATGAATCGTCAGCATGTTTTGCCGAAGACATTAATGATTTACCCCAAGAGAAAGTGGTAAAGGAACACCGGAATAAAGAAAAAGTACAGATGAAAAATTCATGAAAAGTTCGTTATATCGAGGGTAATTATGATAAATTTCATTTTAATTTCATTTTAATTTCTTTAAGCACGGTAACCCCGTCAATCGATAGATTGCTTTTCAGGGGGCCATGCATAAAACGTTACGAATTAAGTTAAAAAAAATACGAAGTAAAACCCTAATTTAATTACAATAATGAACAAATGAATAAATGAATAAATAAACTATTCTTTTAAAGCTTCTTTTAATGCTTTCAATGAGGATGCCTGTTTGACTTCACAACCCAAGAGGTTCCAAACTCCAGCACCACGATATGAGAAAGCTCGCTGACCATTACTTGTTCTCATTAGTGGTATTTGAAGATAGGTTGCGGTGTTTCTCAAATTTTTTCTACTACATGTCGAATTTTTAATGAACATTTCTGACAGATAATCAGGAGCAAGGTCATTTATCGATTTGTAAACCATGCAAGCTGTCTCGGTTTTTATCACATCTGCTACAGTAGGCCAATTCAAACTTTTAATCAAAGCACTAGCAGAAGAATCATAACTGCTGTTGGTCACAATTCTAGCTGCGCGGTTTTGAAGTTTTTGCAGCACCTGCAACCCTGTCCCCCCACATGCCCCCCAGACTGAGCAGCAGTAGCGGAGATGCGGTTCAACGATACCACAATACATTTAAGAGAGAGTGTCTTTTGGAAGTAACTTCTTGGCATATTTAAAAAATCTAATAGCACGAGAAACCTTAGATCATACAAAATGGATATGTTCATCCCAAGCTAAATGTTTATCAATTTGCATTCCTAAATACTTGACCTTATCAACCACCGTAATAAAGGCACCGTAATAACGAGAGTTGGTTTCATCCGGGCTTCGTTATACTGAGAGAATTTGAAAGGAGTTTGTTAGGCAGAATCCAAGGGACCAGACATTTATTTCGTTATACCCGAAAGTTCGTTATATCCGGGGTTCGTTATACCGAGAGAATTTGTAAGGAGTTTGTTAGGCAGAATCCAAAGGATTAGACTGTTAGTTCGTTATATCGGAAAGTTCGTTATAGTTCGTTATATCTGGGGTTCGTTATATCGGGATTCCACTGTATAACCTACAGAGCCTTACGTTATATACAGCCTTACAAAAACTCGTTTTAACTCTTTAGCTCCATTATTTAACCCATTCCAAAAACGACCGTTTATTTTTGTAAATCTTGGACATGTCGTAATATCGTTTAAAATGTCCGTCTTTTAGACACTAACATCCAAATTTACCTTACTGATACCCTGGGTACCAGAGCCACATAAATTTGAGCGTGGAAACACAAGCTAGCTGCTCCCGGATAGCTCCTCCTCCGCATCTTCGCTTGGTTTTCTGTTACGCGCTCGAAATTTGTGGCTCTGAGACCCAGGGTACTTTCCCGATTAAATGGGTTTTGAGATAATTTTCAACTTTTGATCTAACATCATCAATAAATCAGATTATCTAAATTCAATTGCTTTCAGAGATGATTTTTGTTGGAGTACATACGAAACAGTTATTTTAAAAACCGTTCTTGATCTATGTAATTTCATTTGCTATTATTGTTCAAAATCTCTCGCATGTCTTCGCGTGGATCAAACCACGTCAAGGTGATTAATAACCTCTGATAAAAAGTAATATTATACTGGAAATTAATATGCAGATTTATGTTGATTATTCTAACGACCCATGATTGTGTGTAGCAGTGTTATTGTAATTTTAGGGACATTAAAAACTCTTGGACTATGGACTCTTGTAATACACTCTTGGACTATAGACTCTTGGACTATAGACCCATTATAGACTCTTGTAAAAATCGATCGAGGTGATAGAACTCTGATATTTTGATGATTTTTAATATTTTTTTACCATTTCGGAAGAAATATCTGGCCGATTAACAGCCATGCAAAAACCCCTAACAAAAAATGCGAATTGAAACAATGCGACTCGTATTCGTTCGGTATCAAGTCAAATGATACTCAGGTTCATCAATTTTTATATTAAAGGCATTTGACACAGGTAAAAGCCACTCGACCACGAGTGGTTGATCAATCAAATTGCGCATAGAAAAAACACGTGAACAGCCTTTCTGCAAATCGTTGAAAACCTAAAGCAGCGCGCAGTGGTTTCACGCGAGTGGGTTTCCGATTCTCTTCTTGTGCGCGTGCTCTTAGGCCTAAGTTTGTCTGGATTCGCAGTACTTATGCATGTCAAATGCCTATAACTTTGTTCACTCAAAGTAGCATTCCAACAGAGTCCAATATCAGTGACAACTTACTGTGGAAAGATGCAATTTGAGCGAAAACAATACGAACAGAAAAGTACTTTCGCTTCCTAGAGAGAACTTAATATCATCAAATTTTTAAAGGTAGTTTCAATAATCCTTCAGATGAACACAATTTGGATAATTAACTTTACAGGTAAGTGGCTTAGAGTCAAAAAAAAAGAAACTATAATTCATGCTGTCAGCGATATTATAAATAGACGGAAACGCCACAGAATCCTTTCAAAAGTCAATTATTGAATCGACTAATAAATAATGCTATGAATCAAAGCCAACTTATTGGAGGTTTAGTATTTCTTAGCACCAAACTTCGAAATTTTAGAAGCAAGAAATTTATTACAATTGCTATTTGCGTCATTGGACCATATTTTCAAAATCGGATTTGTTTGTAATCGTATAATTTGGATAAAAGCATCAAGAATGACTGTCACATATAAATTAGCTATCTTCAATATTAGGTGAAAAATCCCATAACTTGACAGTTTTGTCATACGAACCAGAAACAATCATATGGTCATTGAATTGCAAGCAAGTCACACCATCAGAGTGATTTCGTAGCGTGACAAATCTTTTCCCAGTTTCTAAACTCCATATCTGAAAAGGTGAAAAGAAAAAAACTTGCTGAGTAAGACAGTAGAGAAAAACAACGCCTGACAGAAGATCCACTAGGCTGGGGGAAAAGCTGGAGCTTCTTCAAAACAAAATAGACCTGATTAAATTCAATCTGCCGCTCTAGGGTTATAGAGCTAGACTGGGGCTATGTTTTAAATTCTATGATGTTTTTGCTGTTTTGTTGTTGTTGTTTTTGTTTTGATGTCATCGTCGTTATTGTCATTGTTGTTGTTGTTGTTGCTGCTGTTGTTGTTGTTGATGATAATGATGATGACAATACACCACTGATCTTAAATTGTGGCAGCGCCATGCCATCGGCTTGAATGTCAACGGCGAAAGATATCTTCCTGAAACCAGTGGCGTGAATAGAGGGGTATCTGAGGGGACGAAACTCCCCCCCCCCCCTCTGTAAAGCTAAACCGTTGTTTTGTTGAGAAAATTCTGATCTTGTCGGAAATCAACATGGTTGTCTTTTTTATCTAAGTGTTAAATTTTGAGAGGAACGGTTTTAAAGCTAAATAAAATGAATTTTTTCGTTGTTCTTTATCAGATTGGCCTTCTCTTTTAAAAAGACAGGATGCCTTTTTTAAAGAGGAAGACCAGGAAAATCTTTAAGTAGAAGAATTTGGGACAGCAGATTTCAAAAATGATAAGAATATTTCCCCTGTTTTATTTCAGTACCAATGTCGTTATGTTTGCTCAAATTTATGAAAAAATAAAATGCTTATTAGATTTTTGTCTGAAACTTTAAATTTCTCGCCCTTCCTATGAATTTCCCCATCTCCGCCACTACCTGAAACTGAATTTCAGATACATTTGTCCATAAATCGATCAACATTATACGACTTTCTACCTATAATTTAATACATTTCATGTTCATAAATCAATTTTCAACGGAGGAGGAAATTAATCTTCCTCAGATAACATACACTGAGTTATTCCATAGATAAAATGCATAATTAACTTTAGCTAATTTTCCGTTTCCCTCGCTGCTAGTGAGAAACATGATCAAAGTTCTCAAAAAAGCCACACGTCAAACAGTGTTTTTATTAAAGAATTGACATAAAATTATAAAGATTTGCTCTCGGGTTGTCGGGGTCTGAAATTCGATGTAGAGCTGTTTGCTATGAACGAATACACCATTCTGTTTTCAATTCAATACACAATGACCCTTATGAAGGTGTACATCAACAGCCAATGGGAGCACATGCAATCGAATATGCGAAGAAAGTCTACTTCAGGTAAATGAGAAAGCCGCTTAATGATCTCCTTGATAAAGACGAAACTTTTACATTCAAAATCTTATAAAATGAGCTGATCGAGCATTTTTATTTGATGGCTGTTTGGGAATCTAAAGCAAAACATTGATTTATGAAATTAGCATTAGGATGCAAAATGTTTTTTGAATAAATAAAGTCGTCTTAAATAGGAATCTATTTGAAGAAATTAGAAAAGCTTAATATTTTTCGCGAAGAAGACGGCATTTTGATGAATTTAGACATAACATGTTCGTAATTCAGTTGTATGATTTTGCAGAAATTTTGATGAGATTCTTAGATCAGAGTCACTATAATCAAGCATTTATAAGAATATTAATGACCAAAGGTGATTTAAACTCAAAAAGTTGGATTATCATTGAAAAAGCCATGTAAGTAGATTAATTAAAAAAAATCTATTGAAAAGGTGAATCTTAAGAGCTGAAAAACTTCCTCATTAAAATAAACTTAATGTATTTCAGAGTCCTTAAGTCCTTAAGAGCTTTGCATTTTGTCTCTAACCGCTCTGACATCGTCTAAAGGATATAACAATCCCCTCAAACCGAGGCAGCCAAAACATGCTGCCTTTGATGCCTCGAGTTGGCCATTTGTTGAAATTTTCACAATTCAGTTCAACACTATAAGCTATAAGGGACGAAGGGTGACGTTTCTTGTCGAAATTACTCTTTTCTGATAAATTACCACACGCTTCAGAATTTTTGTTTGCGAAATGATTTACCAGTGACAGAAAGTTTTTTTGCTAGATTTTTCAAGTAAAGGAACAAGAGAAAACGAGTAGATTTTCAAATAAAGGACAGGAGTAAGGATAGGAAAGGCAATAGATATGAAGAACAAGACATAGGGTTTTTCCTGGAAACAAAGCTTAACAGCAGAAAATACGATGTGGATGTTGGAATCTGTGTACAAAAAGACGATTCATCTGATTTTGTGAACAAAAAAATCAGTTCTATTTTATTACCACTCTAAAAACAGACACAGCTCACGAGACTGAAGGACACTGGTCGGTCAAAAAAGCTAATATGGCTCGCTTAGACACCAACCATAGTTTTTAAGCATTCAGACAAAAATATTTTTTCTTTTTAATTAAACTTTTGTCATGCCCGGACTTTTTAATGTTAATGAAACATACCTTCAAGGTTTTGTCGTCGCCAGCACTCACTATTTTCCAATTATCAGCCTGAAGGCATCTATTGAAAAAAAGGAATTCTTATAATATAAACTTAACATGCAACTTAAAGGGCCTCTCCAGCCAAATTTTGCATTTTATTAGCTAATCTAAAGGAGTTGAACCTGCTGATCACGAATTCGTTCTTTGTTCTTCGATATTTTTTACAGTTTGTGAGATATAAGCTCTTGCATTTAGTTAATTGAATTGAATTAACCGACAAAAACTTTTCGGTTTGGTAACACTGTGACGCAATTTTGACGTCACAGTGTATTTCGTTAGTCTTGCCTCAAACCGAATCGAACGACGGCGATTCGCAATTTGAACACTGCAAGTGATGGTACTCTCAGTTCTGTTCCACCGGCTTTTAGTTTGAGCATTTCAGACATCAGTTCTGGAGAACAACTGAAGTGTCAATTTCGATTAATTATACGCGAGGGAAGAGCTGGAACAGGAAGCCATAGCTTTGTGGGCCTACACAGGTGATCAAAACAAAGTCGTGACACAGCATAGACACATTCCGACCCGCAAACTTAGAATGATTGTAAACATTTAATATTTTTCGATCCTAAAAAACTCCTGCTCTAGATTTAGATGCAGTTATCAACGCATGACCATGACTCCTTCGCGATTCGGTGGAAGATATACGAAATTCATTACGGACGAGAGCCGCACACTGTGACGTCAGAATGTCACAAAACTGATTCGGCTTTTGTCGTTTTTTTCTCGGAAAGGTGCAATTTTAAAGCCTTATAACTTCTAAACTAATTGGAATTTTGCAAAAACAACGACTTTGCCATAATACACGCACCAGATGCTAACTTTTTAGTCAATAAAAAAGTTTTTTTTTTGGCTGGAGAGGCCCTTTAAGATTAAAATATCATAAATAATAAATGTGCCAAGATATTGATAAAAAAACTGGTAAAAAGTAGGAAGCAGTTCCTTGCAGCTGCTAAACAATTTAAGAACAAAGAAAGATTAAAAACTTTGAATAAAATCATTGAAAACAAAGGAATATTGACTGCAACTCCTTATCCTGCCTTGATTTCATAGTTTTTTCAAGCAGCTTTTGAGGGTTCACCAAATAGGCCACGGGGAGATGTTTTTTAAGACTGGATGGGTCGCTTGAAACTTACCAATTATTTCCTAAGCACTTCTCTGGACATAGTCTACTGAACCACAGAATAGCTGAACGCTGTTATTTCTAGTTTTCAAGAAATTAGAGATAACTTGCATTCTAGCGAATATTGGATATATTTTTTCATTATATGAAAAACTTCCGTTGTTGCATGAATTAGGCGCACATCGGAAAAAAGCGTTTTAGAGAAGGGGGCGTCTACAAAAAGTGTCCACTTTCTCGGGGCCTATACGAAGAACTATATTTGTAAGAATACGATATTTAAAGATTTGGCTTTGAAAGAAAAAGACTTAAGAAGGTTGGTTTGTAAGAAAGATTTTCAAAAGATATTAAAATTTCCCAGTAAAGGTGCCTGTTTGAGATTTACACAAATCTTTTATCAAGCAGCCGTTTCAAAATAGGCTTAGAATCAAATAAAATTGGATGTAAGGTAATGTAGAGGTTCAAACACACAAAACAATATATTTATGTTATTATCTGGTTTATTTGCTATCTGGTTGATACTTAATATGCATAAAATATCGCAATAAACTCTGGGAAGACAAGAAAAATTCAATCATATTTAAGACATTGAATTGAGGTAGAGCTTTTTTTAGCTAAATAATCAGATAATTATCGGAAGCTTTAAACATTTGGCGGTAAGTTCAGATTGATTTTTTGCCAAATTAAAAAAAAGGATCAAAGATAACCGGCAAATTTTCGAAATGAACGAAGTAAAAAAGAAATAGGGCCCGATAAAGCCGAAACTGAGCGTGATGCTTCAGCAAAAAAGAAATATTATTGGACCTGTTCAGCTTCAGGAAAACTGTCGTCTGTTTTCTCCTGTGCCCACTTCAGGCATAGGCCTAATGCCGCAGCGCTATTAGCACCTACCTTTATCCGGCCCTGTTTGGGAAAACGCAATAAAACAGGGGCATTTGAAGCACAAAAGGCATGCCCAACACAATAATAAGATACTGCTCGATGCCTTATAACTGGCATCTATCACATTCTCACATTCTTAATAAATGGAATATATGTAGATAATTCGGTCTTGTTATCTACGCCCTAGTTCATACGTCGAACTTGTGTCAATTTTGATTAAATCTACGAGAAATCTACAAAAGATCTATCGTCTGTATCCATGTGCCTCTTTTAACTTAAACTTAACTCAAGTTTATTATGCTCTAAATCAGGAGTGGGCAATCTTTTTAGAGACTGGACCAAATACTTCTTTAAGCGAGTCAAAGTTAAAAAGAAAAATGAATAGGATAGTTGTGATAAAATGGAAATAATAAAAGTGAAATTTGCAGATAAGACTGTTGCAATCCTAAATGCAAAAGGAAAAAATGTAAAAAACATTGTGTTTCAAGGATGTGATTCAGGGTTTTGGGAAACTACCCCATGAAGGAAATGTATAATTATCCACTAATCAACGTTTAGCATCGGCCTCTTCATTCACTTTAGATCATTCACTTTAACATTGCTCAGATCATTCACTAGGTTGCTCAGATCATTCTTGCAACAACTGATCTCAGTTGCTAGGTTGCTCAGATCATTCACTTTAATAAACGTAAACACCAATTTATCCAATGAAGGCCCCTCAGCACACTAGCAACTGAGACATGACAAAATAGGGACAACGGTGATCCCTGCCCAACAACCATGAGTGCGCCCTGTAAGATTCGTTCTGCCTGCGTTTCTTAACTTTCGCCCAGTCCCTCACAGACTGCTGTCCTGTCTTTACGCTGGATTAATTCATGACAACGGAAAGCGAGAAAATCTTTCCATGATTCTGATAAATGAATCGATATCTTTCCTGCATTATTTGCAACCCCTCGGAACATGATCCTTGCTAAAGCAGATTATTGAAGCAAAATATTGATTCTGTCTGCGCGCTTCGAAGGGTATACCATTTGGCTTACACACCAAGTCAATATCCTGTACAAGTGTGTTGTTTTTGTTATTCTAATATTTCTGGTAGTATATGATTTATAAAAAGCAGCGCACAAAACACTCCTTAGATACTGTCGGTGTGATCCACTGATCTAAAAAAAAGACTGGATCGAGCTTCTCCAGCCCAGCGTTGATTCCACATTGCAGCGCCCATCTTGAGACCTCGCCGTGTTGTATGAGACTAGAGAGCAATCATGTTGGTTTCAGTTCAACTTGCTTTTTCATAGCAAAATTCAAAGTAACCGTTGAAACAAAAACTTCCATCATTCGCAAGTGACGTTAAACAATTTTGCCGTGGTATTAAGCTCATGAAATGGAGAATCCAAAGTTCAATAATTTTCCTAGGCTTGTTGTCTCTTAGAATATTTAAGAATCTAATGATTAATGCACAATGTAAAGCGCAGCACGGTGTGTGCACCATTTTAACAAATGGTAGCCCAAAGCTTTGGGCGCAAGAGGTCTCAAGATGGAGAGATTCGATCGCTTCCTCGTGCTGATGTAGGAGGACAACAGGTTGTTCGATTCGGTCGTTTTTGGGATCAATGGTGTGATCACTTAAAGCTCCTTTGTAGCCAACAAATCGATAAATAACTCTACAGCATTGCGCATATTCTTGCACAATGGTTACAGGTAAAACGAAAAGAAGAGCGTGACAAGAGGCCATGATGAATAGCACAGGGTAAGTTATGTTTTTGAAGGGGCAGGGCCGCCAGGAGGGGGGGGGGCAAAAGGGGCAAATTTCCCCAGGGCTTCAAGTCCTAGGGGGCCTCAAAAAGTAATTTATTCCACTTTAAAAGAATTTATTAATCAATTTTAGCAAAAGTATGCCTAAAAATAGAAAAATATTTAAAACAGATGCAAAAAGTTACTATATTCTGAAATGCATTTTAAGCTTTGCATCTGAAGGGCGTTGTCGCCAGAATTTTCAGCTTGCTACGCTCGCAGGGAGCCACGTCTTTTTCGGTTTTACTCCAGCGCCTCACAAATCTCTCAACGGTCCTAAGCGTAGGTCTCACTTTGCTTGGTCAAGCCTTATTACAAGAGTGTTTTTTGCATTTCTCTAACCCACCCAGCCTTAGTTTGTTTCCTCACATGAAAACTTGCTTATCTCAGTAAACTCCTAACAGTTTTAATCTCTTTTTTTCTAGCATCATAAAAATTTTCTTTAAAAGGAAAACTTTCTTCAGATCGTTACGACTATGCCAGCTGTGATCGCAAGGATCGGTAGAGCTGATCTAAGTTCAACTTACGACTCTTACGACTCTTCTTGTGAATAAAAAGATTAATGGGAAAATGGGTCATTGTCGTCGCCGATCCATTATTATTGCTTAAAAAGTAGTCACTTGGATGCAATTAACCAATCATAGGAAAGTCATTTAGCGAATTTTTTGCTAGCTATTGTTTTCTTGTCCGGATATTTATCGTTCTCCGACAGTTATCAACTTACCCTCAATCAACTGGACCAAATCTTCTTTGAACGTTTTGGAAGATGGAAGAAGGGATCGGAGTCACGTTCCCGAGTTATACGGTTTTATAAAGCCTGGAACCTGGAACCAGGCTTTATAATGCTGTGCGATGTAAGCTGCTGCCGAACCAAAACATTCAGTATCTAGATACATTGACTTGTGCAGGGCCACAGAAACATCTACTGTTCAAGCAAAAATAATGGTTGGCCAAGCTGATGATAATAATCTTATGGCAAATAATATTGAAAAGATGTACCAAGGTTCATTGGCATTGTAAAATACCTGGCCAAGTTTCTCTCTAGATTATCCAAGGTATGCGAACCTCTTAGAAATTTGACCCACACAGTGCGCCATGGATATGGGTAAAAAAATCATGACAAGTCTTTCGCTGACATATAAAAAGCGATTTGCGAGGCACTAGTTCTAAAGTATTTTAACCATAGGGCAGCGAACGAAGGTGAGGCTGATGCGTCATCGAAGGAGCTTGGTTTTGTGCTCATACAAGAGGAACGTCCAGTCTCCAATGCAAGCAGAGCCCCCACCCTTGCAGAGCAAACTTACAGCCAAATAAAGAAGGAACTGCTCGCACAAGTTTTTGAAGTGGAACATTACCATACCTATGCATATGGCAAAGAGATTACACTTTGGACAGATCACAAATCACTTGTCTCAATCGTCAGCAAGCCACTTGCCTCTGCTCCAAAGAGACTACAAAGGTTGCTACTAAGATGGAAAAAAGAATGTTAAAATCTGCTATAAACCTGGCAAAGAAATTGTTCAAGCAGATGCACTCTCTCGTGAAAATTTGCCGACAAGTGAGAGACAAAAGTCCGAAACTGAAGAAGAAGTCGAAACTATTCATATGACACCTTCCCATCTCTGAGCCACAGCTGAAAGATATCCAACGAGCAAATCAAATGTGACAGCACTCTGCAATCAAATGAAGGAAATAATTGTGTATGGATAGCCAGAATACAAAGACACTCTCCCTCAATGTATACACCCAATGTATACATACAATTTGTACTGTGGATTGCTTTTCCAGCTACTTTGAGACAGATCGTCTATTTTAAAAAACGGCTGTAGGAAACTAAGACGAAGCTCAAGAGACACTTCTCTACTCATGGTATACCAGATACATTTTTTAATGACAAGGTACCTTTCTCCTCTAGAGAACTTCAGGATTTTGACAAGGAATACGAATTCACCACCGAGCTAAGTCTGTCAGAGTTTGCGCAGTAATGGCAAAGCAGAGAATGCGGTCAAAACAGCAAAGATGTTAATGAAAAAAGCATCTGAATCTGGCATTGACTTCTATCTTGTGCTGCTTGAATGGAGGGAAACAGGCCGTCCTATTCTTCGTTGTTATCTACTGGATACTTTTACAATGGGAACCAGTCTTAAGATTCTTTCTGACACAAATATTTGGACAAACACTCCGGTATAATTAATCGTCAACCCACATTTTAATAGTTTCCCTGATAAATCAAAATCTCTGCTGCTATCAAAAGCAATTTTTTCTATTGTTTTTAAGGTATCAGTTAAGGGTTGGGGGGGGGGGGTTGGTTTAGGTCGCTTATGAGTATCACCGATGCCTCCATAAATTTTAACAGAGGTTCAATATGAACCTAACCAAAAGAAGCTCTTTTTCAATTTTAACAGAGGTTCAATGTGAACCTAGCCAAAAGAAGCTCTTTTTAAACTTAATATGTACCATATCAGATGTTTAGATGCTAGGTTTTAGAAGACCAGTTGTTGTTTGAGTTGTTATTGAATGTATTTTCAAAGAAGACCTTAGAGAAATCAAACGGTGTTACCTGACGACTCTGGTATGACCTTCTGAACGTATCCAGTCAATCGTTCCTATGCACTGTGAACAAAATGCAACAAGAATGTTAAATGTTTATTCAATAAATTTTTCTTAGAAGTACACAGATGATGCAATATAGTCCTTAATTTTCATAAATCAATATTTTATTAAAATTCGCTGATTTTCAAATCCCCATTCCTTATCTCTAAAAGAAACTCTCCATCAGTGCTGGTGTCACAAACAAAGAGTCGTCTATTTAGAAAATAGGCATCCATACGAACTCAAGATGGATCGTGGATACATCTTTTTCATAAATGAAATGAAAGTAAAGATCTTTTAGCTAACTAATATGAAGACGGGCATTGTGACAAACATATAGAAGGGGGAACAAAACTTCGCATTTGTTGGTTGGATCGGTAAAAATTGCCTTCTTCTACCTCACTACTACCCGAAATTTTAATTACATCAAAAGTTAGCTGTATTCATTTCTGACCACAAATACAAAATCCGACAATTATACTGCTTTTTCTGTCCCTACTGCTTCAACGACCTCTACTCCCCGAAAAGTTCCATTTTCTAAATTCAAATAAAACTGCGATAGTTTCGGTAAGAAAATAAGAGATCGAAGAAGACGGGCGTTTTTAATAAAGATGAGTTATAGGCAGGCGGAGCTGACAAATTTAGAGAGAGGTCACAAAAACGCAGAAGATGCGACATGTGGTACCATGTTGATACACTATAGATCATATTTTTAAGGCTTTGTGGTGGGCACCTTGCCTCCTGGATAAAGTGACCACTAGACCACTCGCTATATTTGACTTTAGTCCACCCGTTACTTAAAGACTTTAAACAGCCGTACCAGGAAGTGTTGCATTCTTATACCAGGGTGTAAGCGTTGTTTATGTGGTCCTGGCAAGGCAGTCCCTTAGAAAAGTGTTCATAGGCTAAGTGGGTAACAGGAGATCGCCCCTAATCTAAAGAGAATTTACTCCACGGGGACGGGGGGTGATACATAGCAAATTGAATTCAAGGGCGTGGTTTATTTTTTGGTATCTACTAAAGGTTCAGAATTAACTTTAAAGATCTGATTTTAATTTCTTTCATTGGTATAATAGCCTATTAAAAAAACAAGCGTAATAGTTTGCTACAACAGTGTAGGTGACGCTTTCCGAAAAAACCCTTTTCGAGGTCCACCCTTAAACGGGCGTAAATCCGTACTTTAAGTAGGATAGACAGCCAAAGCATTTTCACATAGCCGGGTGCACACTAGCGATTTTTATACGCACACTAGCGTATTTTTCGTAAAAAGCATGTAGTTTTTACCGTTTCTCAATGTTATAATTGTTTGGATAACTTGAAATGCGTATGTTTAATGTTGTTCTTGTGTCTTCGTTGACATTTTTAAGACTACATTCTATAAATTAAATTTAAATACAATCGATTCTATAAACAAACTGGGAGCCGGATGTATCTACTTTTCGTCGCATGCAAAAAAACGGCTACAATGCGTAGGCATATTGAAATATGCAGCAATAACGTGGTGATGTATACAAAGTTGGTAATACAATTTGGCTGTCAGGTACTGATATGAATGAACTAACTGACGAAAACCGTTTGGTGCTCAATGGCGATAAAAGCAAACTTATAACATTTAAAGCCAATCGATCCAATTTTAAGGAATCTAAAATTCAAATAAATGGTTCTACTATAATAGAATGTAAGAATATTAAACTTTTGGGAGTAACACTAGACCATCAACTTAGATTAGAAGAACATATTAAAGTTTTTTGTAAAGAAGCTGGGACAAAGGTAAACGCTCTAGCCAGGATTGCTTCATATATGGACAAATCTAAGCGAATTCTTTTAATGAAAACGTTCATACTATCATATTTTAATTATTGTTCTCTTATTTGGATGTTTTGCAGTAGGAAAAGTAACAACCGGATAAACCGGATTTATAAAAGAGCAATGAGAATAGCTCATGATGATTATGAATCAACTTTTGAACAACAACTTAACAACAAATCAAGAATAAAACAATATCTTCTCATAAGAAAAATTTGCAATATCTTGCGATAGAAATTTACAAAACATTTAACGGATTGAATCCACCTTTTATGGATGAAATATTTTCCATAAATGAATGCCCATATTACTTAAGAAACCCCCAATTCAAAACAGCGGAGCCACATTACAAAATATATGGATTAAATACCGTATTATACAGATGTAGCCAAATATGGAACTCAGTTCCAAATGAGATAAAGTACTCCCCTACTTTACAAATATTCAAGAATAAAACCTCAGAATTTACATCGTTTAATTGTACTTGTAATCTTTGCAAAGGAATACGTTGGCAACATCGGTTATATTTGATTTATATTATATTTAGCATTGGTAATTTAAATTAGTTGGTTTTAATTAACTTGAGTATGCATAGCTAGAAATTTTACCAACTTTAAATAAAGAAAGAAAAACAAAGGTTATTGACGAGGTTAACAGCACTGCGACTATTTGCAAAAGGAAGAAGGCTATGTAAGCAAAAAGACACTGAAAGAAATTTTCTGTTGTATGAAAGCGAACGAACTGATGTGGAAGACATAAAATTGAAATCTAGGCTAATTGACATGACACTAAACACACAACACTACAATACACTAAGCGCTCATTGAAACTACAAGAAACAATCGCGATAAATGTAGGACTGCAAAAATTTGCAAGTGCATATGTACTCTCGCTCGTAAGCTTCACAGAAGAATGAAGCTTAAAATTATTGATAACAAATTTCATAAAAAAATCTTGGAATCAAGTGTTCAGAGTGACTGGTTAACGTTATATATGTAATTGGTTCCCATAATGGTTACCAGTGCGATATTACAGAAAGAGGGCACATTTTTTTGTCAGTGATGTTAGAGAGAGGCCTAAGAAAAATCCTATAGTAAAGACTTATAAAGAGAAGGGGGAAGGGGGGGGGGTTGTAGAGGGAAAGAGAGTGAGAGGTAAGATCAAGTTTTGTTGGTTTTGGTTTGAAAAACACAGGTTATAACCCCCTCGCCCCCTTTCCAGGTGTCCGCCAATGCTGAAAAGCGAGAAGAGGATGAGTCATGGGCCAGAGTTCGTGAGTTTGGCAGTGGGTTTTGGAAAAGGCTGGGCACTGGAAGTGAATCTAGTATCAAAATGTACACTTCTACTCACAGTGGGCACCAACGCAAAACATTTCAGAGTGGGCATAGGCGCAATATTTCCCACAGCGAATTCAAACACAATATCTGCTATGGATTTTCCTTAGCCTCTTTGTGGCTTCGAATACGAAATATGTTATTATTAACTTTACTGAAAACTGTCAAAAATTGTCAAATCAAACAAACTAGTTGAAGGACATTAAAAAAAAGCGGTAACTAAGATCTCATTAACAAGATATCAAACGCTAGCTCAATCTTTAGTGCATATAATTTATACAATTCGAATCTCTTCATTCACCTCATGAGAAGAGTACCTCAACATAAATGCTAACAATATCAAGTTTTTAATTTATTCATTTGATGAAAGAACTTGAATTGTGAGTATAAATTAACTTTAATGCGTTCATATCTAGCGAACAATCTTTTTCATCAACTAATCAATTGAAAGGCTGGAAATCTGAGCACCTTTTGATTACGTTATTTTGCCAAAAAAATTCTCCTTTTTCTGATTCCAAGACAGATGGGACAGTACTGAAGAGCCTTTATCAGCTGCTTAAAAATTGTAGTGTTATCAAAATGTACAAGCAGTGGCCAATAAAGAATTATTTTGAAACTTCTTCCGAAAGTTGGTGCAGGTTTTGTTCGTAGCATTGCTCCACTGCAAAGAAGCATGGAAAAGCAGAAATATACCTTACTAAAACACATTTTGTACGAAATTCCTCAGAAATTCCATCATCGGGCAATGAGCAAAGGCACAAGATAACGAAAATAGCCAATGAACTAATTAAACGAGCTTATCGTTTGATCACTACCCAATGTTTGATCATTATCCAACAAGGAAGAGAAATACTTTAGAATGCATGTTTATTGTGGTTGTGTAAACCTTTCCAGTACTTCAAGGACCATCCCAAGATATTGTGCAAACCAGGGGTATCAAGGTGCCATTTGCCAAAAAGAAGGTAAGCCATCCTTAATTGCCAACAACATCAAAATGTTCGCCGACTAAGCACACCTTTTGGGGTTTTGAAACTGAATCTTTTTCAATGGGGGTGTCAAACGCCCGAACACCCCCCTATAGCTTCCTCCCAGTTCAGGGGCTTTATTGACTTTGATTCAAGTCGATTGACATTTAACCTAACTAAAAAACTCACTGAGCAACATTTAACGATCCCTTGAATCTTTTGTGACGTTGTGATTGCAATTGTGGTAAGTTATTAAATTTTGATACTCTAAATATTAGTTAAAGGCACTATGTCCCGTCAGTCGACCGTCCAGAGTTAGGCACTGTGTCCCGTCAGCCGATTGGATACACAACAATAGGCATATTGTGTAGTCCTTCCAATGGGAATTTAAATTGCCATCAAAATGCGTCGGGACGTAGTGCCTTTAAGACAACACTAAGCATCGAATGATCAAAATTGCAAGACTTCATAGTCAAATCTGTAACTAGTTCTCCATGAAAAGTTCTCGGTTGCCAATACAGTTAACATCTTTAATGAATTTTCATGGACAATTGCACTAAATAACCGTTTACCGGATACTTTCATGAAGGTTGGATGTAGCTGAATCCGGACAAGAAAAGATTGATTCGGGCAAATGTTCAAGGCCTCAAGAATAGCTCCGCCAATGCTTGTTTCGTCTATTTTCCCCTTGCTGGAAACTACATAATAATCTCTTGAAATTATGTATATACAGTTGTCTTTTTTCTTATTAAATAATGTTTTCTTGGAAGGTATTCCAGAAAGATTCGGCATGTACTGCCAAAGGTTTGAAATTGACTTCTGTCCGATGTATGATAATCCATTTTTTGCCACCCGGCTTTTCATGGAGCATACACAAAGTAATGGTCGTATTCCTTTGTCACCACATGCTTCGTAAGGACCATACGGTGATATTCTATCAAAGCTGAGCATCTTTAAATAGTTTTCAGTAACGCCAGGTCTAATGTTTGATTGCGTTTCCACATGAAATGTATCCTCTTTATGATCGACGCCTTCGCCAGCAGCAACAACGAAATCAAAGCTAGTTATAAGTGTTTCCCCCGAGTTTCTCTCGTGGACGTTTTCGAAGCGGATTGGCACTAAATGATGACATTTCCGCGCGATAGGAATGTTATCCTCGGCGTCAAAGCTTGTTTCTAAGATTGAATCTCTGTGTTGGCGCCACTGACGATCAATCTCTGAATTCAGGTAGCCCACGCCAAATTCTAGGACCGCCATTTGGGTGCTATCATTACTAACAACATTATCCCAGCCCTCACAAACGCAAAAATTTGGCAGCTTAAGAGGCAAATCATTGCACGTTCTTTCCGGAGGAATCTCTCCGAATATTCCCCGATTTTCCGACCACTTTAGGTTTGCTGCCAATTCTGCAATCCATCGAAACCCAGCATTCAAATCCAACATGGTAACTAAACGGTTTTGGTTTCCCCTTAGGGTGTCCATAATCTCTTCACCGAGTATATCCTTCACTCCATCAGGTATCAGCATAAACAAGGAAGGGTGATACATTTCATATCGTCCCTCGAGGATCTTTCTTACATACGATGTGTATGTATTACCATGATCAGCTAAGAACACAGTTATAGTCTTATCCGATTGCAACATTTCCTGGACGTGAGAAACAAGCCCCAAATTCAGGGTTTGCGTCCTAATGCCACGAGAGTCGTGAGCCACGTTGAGAGCAGTGTAGCTGATAGTGGCGCCACGTGCGTACTTGTGCCACATCTCAGCGTAACGTAACCAGAAATCGTGCTGGAACTGACCATTGAAGCAAATTTGATTGCCTTCCGTTTTACCGAAAGGGTTTTCAAGTCCAAGGCTTTTTAAGATATTGCAGCTTGCGACAGAAAGGCCTGCAATTGAATAAAAAACATTTGAAGTCACCGTAATGGTATATAAGAGCATTGGAAAATAAATATTATGATTACAGTTCTTATGATTATCATCGTAATCAATCAATCAATCAATCAATAATCATCGTAATCAATCATCGTCATCCGGGAGCAACAACTACAAACAGCATCCAGCAACAACAACCATCAACAACAAAACCAAAAATAACTATTGATCTCGAAAAAAGATTTTTCCAGCCTAGCGTTGATTCCACATTGTAGCTTGTGACTAGAGAGAAGTTTGTTTTAGTTTAACTTGCTTTTCATGGCAAAATTCAAAATAACCATTAAAACAATAATTTGTAGCAAAGTGCCTTTAAAAAATGCTTTCCGTGGTAATTAGTTAATGCGAGGGAGATTCCACTATTCACTTAATTTCAATTCCATTTTTTCTTTTTTTCCTTCTCTGTATTTTTCAGATTACTAAATGGATAGAGAGAGACTTGTAGCAAGTCCAGGGTCATGTACGCGATCAATAACGCATTTTCATCCCGGTATGTTAGACGGAGTAATCATATGTTGAAATTTTCAGCCAGCTTATCGAGATCTCACTCAGCTAATCCGTTCTCTGACATTCAATTAATATTAGATTCCTTGTCTTCGACTAAACATGAAACAAAAGCATCTAGGAGAAGGTCACTTGATATTTAAAACAATGAACGCAAACATATAAATAGATAGAAATTGCAGATATGAAGAAAAAACAGATCTACAAAAGAAAAACTTAAAGTGCCTATGCAGCGAAATTTACCATTACAATATTTTAAAGGAAATCTTTAGAACTCTTCACCCTTGTTCTTACACAAAGAACAGAATTCAGATTAGTTAAATGGTTCTTTTTTTATTGAGTGTCAAAGTATGCATATTTTGCAGTTGCGTTGCGAAATTTTATTTCCCGCTGTGACGTCACAGTGATGAGTCGAGGCGAAACTATTTAGTCAGGCCTGTTAAATCACTTATTTGGTCGAATTGTGCAAATTGTGATACTAGCATGAAACTTTGAAATAAGGGACAGTTTGATACGCTGAAAAAGGATGTGGATCCCAACTGAAAATTGCCCCCTTCAGCTATTTTTAGCTGGGGTACTTTGCTGCATAGACACTTAATCTTGAAGTCCTTTCATGTAAGAAACTTTATTCGATATTGGACGTTGAAAACAATGCACAAGGGCCGAAAATGAAAAGACAAGGAAAGCAAATAAGACAACTTAACCTTTTATAAGGAATCTAGCTCAAGACCTAGTTCCTAAAGTTCCTTTAATGGACCTCTTTTTATCACTTTGTAGTTTAGGAAGATTCACCTGCACATTCAGTGCAATCAAAGACCGAGATACATTTTGTTTGGAGGGGGCCAGCCCTGATAAATAGGTGTAAAGACAGCCATATTATACAAAACAAAAGTATTTTACTTATACCAGCTACGTTTTTTTGGGGGGGGGGGGCAAGGCCCCAGGCCCGCCTGGTATCTCGGTTTTTGAGTGCAATTAATGCTAGTTTGACTAAATTGATCGCACTGGTCTCCTAAAGCCCTGCACACACTATAAACTAGCCCGAGTTCGGCCCAGGTTAATCGTACAACTCGGCCTGGTCCAAGTTATTGCAGTGTCGACAGAAGCCTGGGCAAGGCCTCAATTTTAATTTTCTACAGCCTATGCGCAAAATAGAGCAATGGTGTGCCATATTTTGTTGTTTTTAACAAAAAATGCAAGGAGAACGCTTTACCGCAAAAAATCAGGCATAACACCGTTATGAAAAATCTCTAAGTCCATTTTAGTCCATACTGTAAGGTGAAAGATATGTTACCCATACTGCTCTTGTGCCGAAACAAAAGATTGGGGACCGGCACAGGTTTATTTATGTCCACATTATTTTAGCCCGGACCGAGCCTGACCTAGCCTGGGCTAGTGTTCGTAGTGTGAACCACTCAGCAGTAGTGTCAGCAGTGATAAAAGTTTTAAAATCTTCATTTTTTACGGATTTTTCTTTAATATAGTCTAATCTTTTTAAATCTTTCGGCTTCTACGTATAGGTTCCTTATAAAGCGCTTATAAAATCTTGCACAAAGAGAAAAACGATCTTGAATCTTGTGTCTACTCTAATTGTTTGACACGAATCTTGGATCCTAAATACTCATGAAAAAATATGAAGTAGAAAGGAGCAGTTTGAGAATCTCGAAGTTAGAGAAAAGTTTCTTATTATCACTTCCATTATCTTTGTTATCACCCAACGGTCTTACCAAAGTGATAACTAGGGAGAGCTGTCAGGTTTCAAAAGTTGATGACCAAAAGACGGATCAGGCTACAAATCCATGGTAATTTCAACGCCAGGACAGTAGAGCATATAACGTTTTGGTGGTCTTCATTTTGATAAACAAGCCTAGGCTTCCATGCTTCAATGGTCCTTACCGTACTTCCTCGAATAACCCCCCGGGGTTTATTTTTGGATAGGTGCTTATTCGAATGGGCGGGGGGGTTATTCAAGAATGGGGGCTTAATTCGCAATAAATACTTTCGAGTGGGGGCATTTTCGAGGGAGGGACATATTCGAAGGAAGGTGCTCATTCGAAGACTAAGTTATCTCAAAGTGATAATATTCTTTAGCGTGATCATCCGTAATCATCCGATGCGAATGAAAACGTACAAAACTTATTTCCACATCAATCAAAAAAGAGACGTCAACAACTTACAGAATGGAGTTCAACAAGAGTCAAAATACAATCCTTTTCTAAAGAACCAGATAATTCTCGGGGAAGCGGGGGTACCTTAATAGATTTTGAGGTACGGGGACGTTTCATTATTTAGCGATACTTTCTTTAGGTTTTGAGAAATTTTAAATGTACCGAAAAAAAAACAAAAAGCGGTTTTGCATATGGATCATGTACAGCAATAAATCAGTCATCGAAGTCTTCTACATCGATACATGGATCATCTCCAAGAAAGCATTCTGGTGATTTTATATGACGTCATACGATTTTTATCTCTAGCTCACCCCCCGAAATCAATAGAAACCGGCACCCCTTCTGAACATTTTCTCTATGCCCATAGGTATCACCATGAAAAGTTTAGTGCTTTGTTCCATTCTGTCACGATTTAAGCGACTGGACTATAATGCTTATTCACTGGTCACGGGTGAATGTCTTTTCACACGTTCACGGATAATATAAATTTATTTCACGAATCCACGCATCGAAAATACGCCGATCACGCCAAAATACCTGGTACACCCACCAACGGTATCATTTTTTCAAAAATGTGAGGAATTAAGGGTACCATTTAAAGAAACATACAGAATTATGGGCATAATTTTGGGCAAAACATTGCAAAATTATAAGGAGGAAAATTTAGCCTTAATAAAATGAATATCCAGTTAGAAATGGGCTATTCCATTTGATATCTGTACATGGGGATGGAAGTAAAATTCCAGGGGGGTCTGGCACGAAGGATATTTCAGGGGGTATCAGACAAATGTATGTTTTTCCAAGGGGTTGAAAGAAAAAAATATATGAAGTTTTTCAAGGGGTATTAAAAAATGTACGATGTTTTCTCAAATGGGTTAAGAAAATTCATTAAAAAGAATGACATGGATTTTCCGGGGGGTTGAAAGAATCAAAATCAGAGTGGTCATGATCTTCAAATTCATTTTCCGGGGGATATATGATTAACAGAAATCTTACTTCCATCCCCCTGTATGGAGTAAAAATGGAATAGCCCAATGAGAGTATGGAATATTTGTGATATTGAGATTTTGGGAAAAGGGCATACAAAATTAGCTTCATGATTTTGTTGTGTTTTGAAAAATGCTTTTTGCCTTGCGGAATTATGGGTATAGTTTTCATCATGTTTGCAGAATTATGGGTCACATATTTTCGAACATTGCGGGATTATTGGTCCAACTTTTGAACCAAAATAGCATCTCCCCGTCCAAAACTAGACTCAGTCCCCCCTCCCGAGCGTGCTCTAAATTTTTGATAATCTGTGTTCTTAATGTTGTATTCATCTCTACATTAATCTTGCTGATTAAAATAGTTTAATAGCTTCATTAGCTGATAAAATCTGAACTGTTCTGTTAACTCACGAGAATATTTTCAAAAACACTCTTCAGATTTTTCAGATTCTTCCAATTTAGTTTGCTTATTTTTGGAAAACCAAGCCTCGATGTTCTCAAAGAGTATATTATTAATAAAAAAAACGTGTAACGTAAAATTGCATACTTGCATCTCACTTACCAGTATTGTCAATGAATGAATCTTTAACTTTTCTCCAAAATCCCTTCCACGTCTTGGGCAGACCAAGCTCCATTCGCAAACCCCAGATGCCCGACCAACATAGATCGTCCTGGTACATCGTGACGTAACCAGCATCTTTGAATTGCTTATAGAGAACATCGATGCCGATTGGGGCTCTCTCTCGTTGATAATTCGTAATGTTGTTTGGAAAAACCGATCCAGAAAATAAGGCGTGTGCGTTTTCTGCGCTGTGACCGTGTAACGATTGGAAAGAGATGAAGTCAAGTACTTCACCACCAGAGTCTTTATCGGAATTTATTCTTTTAAACTCGTCTATCAGTTTGGGAAGCGAGCGATAAAAATGGGATCGAGATACCGAATCTAACAAAACGATATTCATATTAATCGCTGGGCGCTTCAGATGCTTTTGGGTAATAGGGGTGAACCACGTAAACAACTGTTGAGGGGAATCAACCGTCCCGTTGTGAGGAACACAAGAGATAAACAGAAAGTTTAACCCGCTCTCAGCAGTGGTGTGAAGAATTTTCAATAATCCTTTCTCAAGCCTCTTTCTACTTGAAAAGGCACCTCTAATCCTGATTTTTCCAGTCCCTAAATCCACGCCATGAACTTCAATCGATTTGCACATCGTTGGAAAAATGCAAGATATCCCCCCACTTCGTTTGAATTTGCAAAACTCAACAGTCTGTGAGTTTTTGCATTTAAGTAAGCTCGGGTCAAAAGGATATTGCTTTTCAGCAAAAACACAAGCCTCTGACGAAGGCCTATGTGGCTTGCAAGAAACTTTCTGTTGGCTTCCATGCCGCAAGTATTTATTATTCAACTGATATACGGGGCAGTCGTCGTTTGAAACCAACTCTGTGAATTTATATCGAACTTCCGCTCGGTCCAATTGTTTACCTACCGTTGAGATTGTTGTATGCGAGGGAGATTCATTATTTGAATCATCTATATCGTTCACAATTACTGGAGAGAACGAATTTTCACCGCTGTTGGTCTTCACTGAAGCTCGATCACTAGACAGTTTTGAATCCTTCGCTTTACCACATGGCACACCACACGGTTTGTCACCAAACATCACATCAAAGCCGTCAACTCCTCCGTTCATAGATGATTCTAGATATCTTTTCCCCAATCTTTGACTCTTGCTTCGTTTATCATAAATGTTAATCGTTATAATTACGTTCAGCACAAGGAATATGGCGATTCCCAGGACGATGAAGACCGGCATAAACCGATGCAATCTTCTCATGGCGCTCGTGGCAAAGAAAAGAATTCCAAAGCACATTTAGGTTCACAAGTATATCATGGAGGGCGGTCTTTTGTTTTGGTCTAGAATAAACAGCCTCCTGGTGGCTTACGACACTTCTACAATTGATTCATAGCAGATCTCCCACATCTAACTGTAGCCAGATATCGCAAACAACTAACAGTTTGTCTCCAACACTATTCCCCGTCAGAAAAACCTGAGCTGAGTTCCGTGATTGAATGTTTCTATTTTGCTCGGTTGATGTTTATTCAGCTCCAAGGAGGGGAAGAGATACAAGCTGATGCTGATGATTTTTCACAAAGAAGAAACGCCAGGGGGTCATTGTCACCACAATAGAGTTTTCAGTGCATACATATTGGCTAAAGTAAAGAACCTCGGATGCAAAGTTTTTTGCGATAAGTGGGCCACTCAAATTTCGCTAACAGGGTAAAAATGTAATACGTAGCACATTTACCCCTGGTTTAAAACTCAATCCTCCTCAACTAATATGTTAAAACAATCGATCTGCAGGGGGGGGGGGACTTGGAAGGATAAGTCCCCCAGTTCTCGTCAGGCTAGATAGAACTTGCCTTGTTTCATTTCATTGGAGGACTTGCAAATAAGAATAAGAATAAATCGACGTTTTCCAAGATGACGGTTTCAAATCTGAAGTCCATTTTTTAAAAAGGTCTGTAGATTGCGAGATGCAAGATCGATCACATCAACCCGGAACAGAGAATTGCTAGGTTTAACAATTTCGACAGAAATTGCTACTTTAAATGATTTTTTTGGCAACGTTACCTATCTAAGGGTGCATGCTCACAATTTCGTACAAAATACGGGAGTTGATGATGATGTTGATGGAGCGTACTACACAACTGACGACTGTTATGGTTATGATGATGATGTTTATGAGCATGTTGATAATAATCAACATTACGCTGATGCTGTTGATTGATGACGGTACGAAATTCATAATTGGAGGAGGGGAGGGGGTGGCGGAGAGGTTGTCTATAACCAAGGGGCAAACCAAAGAAATCGAGAGAAATCTCAAAAGGCTTTGGTGGAAATCCAACTGTCATATCTAAAAAAATCCTAGAAATCCTTTTGTCTTGGTAGAAATCTTGTACGTTATTTCCACCGGCGAAATGCCCCATGCATATTACTTTACTTGCCATGCAGTGCTGTGTTAAAATGAAAGCCGAGCTCAACTATTGGGAGCCTCCTCCTATTGTGGCCACATAAGGACAAGCTCTTGCCTCATCAAACCTCTGTAATTTGGTCTTGGTTCATAACTTTATGAACCAGGCCAGAATAACAGTACCCTGGGTACCAGACTCACTATATATAAAATAAAATAGAACATTATTTTATATAGTGAGTCTGGTACCCAGTGTAGAATAACAGTGATCCGTTAGCAAACTTGAAATCTCTCATTGGCCATATCTCGCCCAGTTTGGAACATATCCAACTAATTTTGCACAATAAGAGGTATTTTTATGCCGTTCTTTCAGATTATGCGGCCAAATTTTAGAAATTCTAAAAATAGATTTTTGGTGACGTCACACTTCGGTACTGTATGAGAATCATCTTATGAAATATCTGTCATCTTGACATTTGATTTTGACCTTGATAGGCCGCAGATTTTGATAAGACCAGAAAAAGTCTGCGGTTGCATGCCTCATTGAAAAGTTCCTACAAGACGGTTACCGTTTACAAGATTTTGGTACCAAAGGTCCTCTTGGTGCGATGATGACAGTCAACTGCGATCAACTATTGTCTTATCGAGGTGAGGACCCTTCTGGTGTTAAGGGTCCTTTTTGATGTTAATACTTAAGGGTCCTGGGTCTCAGGGTCTGGTTTTTACGGTATGCCACCGAAGGGCATGGTATCGTAATGGTTTAAGTCCAGATTAACACCTTTTAATGTGTAAAAAAATGGCTAGGAAACAAAAGATATCATGGTAGTTCCACCTCATGCCGGTTTTATTAAATGCCTGTGTCCTTTCTTACCGGCGCCATTTCACGCCAGTGAGGTGTGGTACCGTACCAACATCGTGTAAAGTCAAAGGTTCATTCACACAAACTACTATTTCAGAAATCTGGAAACGTGATCCCAAAGGAAGTTTGGACCTTGTCATGGCTACGTCGAGTGAGCGTTAATGGGATATGCAAAGGCGGTGTCACTAAGTGGGGAGGACGAAACACGTTTTAGTAAAAAACATAAACATTGAAAAATCAACAAAAGAACTATAAACTAAAAATTAAAGAAAATGTAATTTTTTACAGTTAAGAGATAATTCTGTTAAAGTGCTTTTAAAAAAGAACTCTGGACTGGAAAAATTTCCAAACTGTGCTGGTCAAAATGAGTTTTTAAAGAATTTATCCATACGTCTACATTTTCTCTTTCTTGGAAGGAACGGATAATCGATACAATCAACCTTTGGAGATTCCTTGATGACATTTTTAAAGAACAAATCTGTCGAATCTTCCTTTTTCATATCCTGAAAAATTCTCTTTTCAGGAGTATCTTTTCCTTCAAAAACTGATTTCTCTCTTTTTGCGACGTTTTTGGGAAATTTTCCGTTAACAAATAGACCTTGCAAACCAAGTTTTGAAACAAAACTCCGTCATTTGTTGCTGGCACCAAGTTATTCTGGATCTTTTTTCGATCTATTTCCTAAGTCAAGCTGTAACTCGTTGTACAACTTAGACAATGACAAATTTTTTTGATCATTTTTGTGTGCCTGCTATGGTTGTTGTATAGTAACCAAGCTAGAGGTTATGGCATATTTAAGGGAATACAAGGCACAGTTTCTCACTGAATCATCTATATCGATAAGAAACTGTGCCTTGCATAAAAAATTTTGCTCTGCAGAAAAGTGGAGGGGCATGGCCCCCGATTTCTCCAGCCCTGTTGTTAATAAAGGCAAGGCTCATCAACATATAGAGGCATTATGGCACCATCCCTCTGGCATCGCAATCATTGGTGTAGTGCTATCAAAATTACAAAATGGGGGAGGGCTGGAGTCTTGCACAAAATGTTGTTAAAAACGATAGCAAAAAAGAAATTTGCTTATTTTCGGCATTTTCAGCTCAGCTCCCCTAGGCCCCCTAGCATTGCACCCCCTGATCGCATTGTTTGAAGACTTCGCGTTGGATTTGCTTCACTAGGATGACGGCTTTCAGGGAAACTGTTTTTAGGGGGCCGGATTGACTCCGTAAATAAAATAGTTTAGTAACCTATAGCGGTATAGAAAATGTAAATGAACTAAAGGGCTACCTTTTGAAAAGACATGAAAATGAATGGAATAGGTTTCGTTGGCTGTGTGAGTAGCTTTTTACAAGGGGTCTTCGCAACATTCGCAAGGGTTTTGCATTTTTCATTAAATAACATAATATGAAAGAAGTAGCGATGGGGCAGAGGGGTGTGGTGAGAGATTTTAAGCTAGAGTTTGAAGTCTCTTTGAAAATGGAACAGCAAGACAATTTCTTAATTTAGGTTTCTAGATGACAGAGATTAGCGAATGAGAACATGCTTTTTCAGAACTGATGGGCATTGCGATGAACTATATTTGGTTTTGCTATCTCGAATTCTCAGGCACTGACCTTTTCTCCCAACAAAGAACACATTGTTTACGTCAACAACAACAACAAAATAAACTGTCTATGAGCATATTTTTTGTTTATAAAAAACAGGTTGTTGAGATTCTAATATCCTTTTTGTGGAAATAAGACGGTCTTTCCGTATTGTTATTCGGAAATTGAGATGCTCCTTCCAAATTATTATTCTGCAGTCAACTGTAGGAAATGTTCTTATATAACAGTTCTTAAATAGACAAGTCTCTACGAGTTTTATAGCAACACTTCTTACAAGAATTGTGTGCAGGTTATTTTTGCCCAGTTCTGTTAAACCTACTTAAGTTGTACAGACCTATGTTTATTTTTAATCAGTTGTCGTATTTGCGTAAACTTGTCAAAGGTTATATGTATCATTACCTGAAGTACTTCTAATACCAGCCTTCGTATTATCAAGGGAAATCGCTGCATCTTTAAGGGCAAGGAAGCAGAATTTTTAAAGGGTATTTGAAAGTCACCAGCATATGATGTTCATGGAATCGAAAAAAATATTTAAACTTTTAGAATCACATCCACACACCATTTTCACCCGCGTATGTTGTATTTACATCATTTAACGCTATCTTGTATACCTAGTATAAGTCAAACTTTAGCCATTTGGGCTTCGTTGAGTTCTTTAGCTAAGTGTTGCGTTCTAATAGGCTATGTTCTATGTAAAAAAAACTTCTTTCAGCCCCGATGTTTCTCATACGAGGAGACTAGAATTTCTCCTTATCTAAGGTATTGGGACCTCATAACTGCCAACTTCTATGAAGAGACTTCGAAACAAAATGTTGGCAACGAAAGAAACCCCAAATATTTCTGAAATTCAACATTACAGTATCCCATATTAAATCTTCATCGGAACTGATAACGAAAAAGATAACAAAACAAATAGATTAGTTATTAGTTATTAGAATTAGTTTTTAGTGATATGTATTATTAATATTAGTATTAATATTAGTTGAAAGTATGGATTCAAGAAATTAAGATTGCTTCGATATCCTAACGAGACAGGTACGGGAGAGTTAAGGTATACAAACATAAAGAAAATATATTTCAGCTCTAAAAAGACGCATAAATGGTTTGAAAGAGCATATCGTTGCTAGAGGCATAACATTTCTTGGCTTTCAATTTGAGAGATGCCTATATAACAGATTCATTGCATTGTTTTCGTTCTCTATAAAACTCTCGTCAGATTTGACGAAATTATAGTCAGCTTCTCTATCATTCAGTTTGATCCTTGAACCTTGATCGGGTGATTCTTGAAGTATGATACTAAAAACGGGGAATGCGACAATGACGGAGAAGAGAGTGAGAAAAAATATGGAAGGAAAAGAGGAAAGGAAAGACGGAGAGGAGATAAAGAAGAAAAAGGTGGAATGGAAAGTGAAATAGGTGAGAGAAAGAGAGACAAAAGGGGAAGGTGAAGGCGAGGGAGTGGGTAAAGGAATTGTGAAGGAAAAGGAAAAGGGGTGGAAGGAGGGAGGGACTGGGAGAAAAAAAAATAGAATGGAATGAAACAGGGAAATAGGGAGGAAAAGGGAGACAAAATTGATAGGTGTAAAGCGAGGGGTCAAAAGAGGGGGAGAAAGGTGAAGGCAATAGAATTGGCAATAGACAGGCAATAGAGAGCGTGTTGTCCTTTGCTTGATACTGTCGCTACATCAAGTGAACCAAGAACCAGATATTATTAGGTGTTAATTGTTCTTAGGTGTAATTGTGATAAAATGCAATTTAAAGAAGTATTCTGTTCAACGGCATTCTGGAAGCTTTTACGTCTGACACTCCTCAGAGTATGAAACATCGCAAGATCAATTTCCAATTTTCACTTCTTGTAACGATCAATTTTCACTTTTTGAAATGATGAAGTTTTGGTTTTTGTTAAAAGATAGACGAAGATCGCTGCTACGTCTCTACATATGCCGTTGGACAGCAAAGAAGTATAGAAAATGTATTTTTGATTTTTTGATGCTAAACATTACCTACTGAAGTCCAGCACTGATGTGGCTTTGAAATTCAAGGAACAGAGACTTGAAGCTTTGGTGACTTAAAAGAGTGCCTTAAAGGCACATAATTATATGGACTCATTAAGGGCTGAAATAATACAGCCATTGGATAATGTCCTTTTTCTCTAAGGCACTATGCCCTTGGCAAAATGTATAAAACAAACCTGGCCGTTGCAGAGGTCCCAAAATTTCAAGGTGCAATCAAGTGATCCACTAAATATCCGATGAAAATTGAACTGAAGACAGGTGACTGCATCACTGTGGCCTTCTAAGGTTGTAAGACATGTTCCAGCTTTGATATTCCATACCTTTGACAGATATAAATAAAATGTTAGGAAGGAAAAAACAAGGAGGATTCTTGGAGTCTACAGATTTAGAAGAAATAGGAAATAAAGTTGAGTCATATCGTACAGCAGCAATGCTATCGTAGAATTTAAATGTTTAAATGACAGGCTTTTCCTGGAAATCAGTGTTTTAAACTAATTAAGGGCAAGCAAAAGGCTTTATTAGTTAAATGATTCATGACTGCAAAATCGTACAGCTAGAGTGTAATGGAGAGAAAGAGCTGGAAATGCAAGGAACAGATTCTGAGGGGTAAGGAGACAATGGGCAAGGGACAATAGGCGAGGGACAAGAGGCAATGGACAATTGGCAAGGGACAATGGGCAAGGGACGATGGACAAGGGACGATGAGCAAGGGACGATGGGCAAGCGACTGACGTTGTAGGTATGAAGACAAAAAGGTAGGGAAATGACCAAGCTGGAGAAGAAGAAGGACAGAAGTTGTAGAGATAGGAATATTGTAGGCAGGAATAGATATTTTTGTGCAACAGGAACATTGCTTCTATAAACTTGGGCCCGGTCTGTAAGGATCTGACCATGCTTAGGAGTGATAGAAACAAAATAGTTATAGCCTAGAGTATTGAAGATAGGGACATAGACAGAAAGAGGTAGAGGCCATAAACAGGGTTGTCATGAACTTGTGTCACTTTGGTTAGGTGCAGGACCCTAATGACGCGTTAATGTAATAGATCTGATAAAAATGTTACAATAAAAATTGATGAGTGAAATTAACAAAGCATTCACCTTAATGGTTCTGTCAGCTGAACCAGAAACAATTTTTTCGTCATCAAATTGAACGCATAAAACTGCAGCACAGTGCCCCCTGGAATACGAGTATAGAAATAGCAATCACGAATGGGGCAAACGGGGGGGGGGTAGAATAAGGTTTAATCAGAAGGAATTAGAATTAGTAATCTTAAGGTTATGACCGCAGTAACTCTGATCGAATCTGATCTCTACTAAAGTACTATCCACAGAAATCTTAGCGATTTCCAAAACAGGCAAGAATCCATTACGAGCCTCTAGGCAACCATGAAAAGTAAAGTTGCCACCCTAATAAAGCAAGTGAGATCTTAGTCAAAAAGAGACATTGCTTGTAAATCAACCAGGGTATAAAATATAATCACCTTTCTTAAATCAGCCTCATAAAACATGCGGTATTTGGTATGCAGTATAAAAACAATTTACGATAATTAAAATGGTTCGAATTAGCTTTTTATGTGTGATTTACTTGTTATGAGTTTATTTACATCCGTGGTCTAGTAACTTTCACATGAATTGCAAAACCAGAATTATTATCGGAAAATGATGACACGATAAAGTAAGAATCAAAACATTTGTGGTTGACTGAAAGGAGTAGTATATTCTAGTCAAATGCGCAATTTTAATTAGGATACGTAATTTGTGGTAGGATGAAGGAAAGCACTTGAAAAACCAACCAGAATAAAACCACCGATTGCATTATAGATGCGAAAATGATTTGCCTAATGGACTTAATACTGTTGTTTTCTGTATTAAAGAAAAATTTAGTCTGTCGTTTCCTGCTGATACATCTCCAATACAATAATTACAAAGTAATGATTTCCTGTTTAATAATGCTTCAATTTAAATTGAAAATTTTGAACGACCATAGAAACAGTTTATGACTTGAGACCTAGGCTACAAACCTGAAAGTAACCTTACAGTCTCCGGTTTTAATGTCCCACATCTTCAGAGTTTTGTCGTAAGAACCACTAACTACTTTATTTTGGTAAACCTAAAAGAGACAAGGTTTATTAATTCCTTCAGTGAAATAGGTATGCCTGTTTTTTAAGAAACATTCACAGAGGCAGCCCAAAGGCAAGGGGGTATCCTTGGGGTATTTACCAGATTAACACTACATATTCGTCAGACAGGTCCGTTTAATTCTTCTAAACATTTATTCAAATGTACAGGGTGAGGGTAGGTCGTTGGTTCTAAATATTTGCCAAATAGACACAGCACTGCCAGAAGTAGATAGCACCGATATTTTGCAAAAAGAACGTGGCCTTGAAGGCAATCGACAGATCCTAAAGGGGCTTGAACCATCTTTCAATCAAATATTGACCAATCGGTGAGCGTGATTCCACTAACACGCTCATTGATTGGCTAATATCTATTGACAGATGGCTTAAGCCACTTTTATATCTGTCGATTTCCTTTAAAAAAATTATCGTTGGCAACATACGTCACTCAATAGGATTTCAGCGGAAATTGTATTTTTCATTAATGCAGATTTGTTCATATAAATAGAATGCATACAGGAAATTATGGTATAACAGAATTTTGGATTTGTTATCCTTTATGAAAAGTCTTTGTTGTTATTACCATAATAATATTATCGAAATGAAACGAAAAGAACCTGCAGACAGCGAACGGTATCAGAATGGCCAACCATGGTGACTTTGCATGCGGCACTACTCCAGTCACAACCAACCACAAGATCCCAGACCTAAAACAAGATAAAAAAGATGTTACCCGCAAATTCACATGAATATCAAATTTGATTCAATAAGAATGCTAAAATAGACGCAGAATGGAAATAGGCTTCACTCCTTTAGCTCTTCTGGTCAGGGTGCCGTCCTGAAAAGTTAGGAAGGGGGGCTCTACTGTAGACATGTTTCAAATGCCACACCCACGACCACACCCTTACTACACCCATTATACTTGTATTTGTGTTTAAGACTCGCTGTTGCGTGTAGAAGTCGTTCAAACTATTCGATGAAACAAAAGACTGATAAGAAATTGCTCATTAATGAGGAATCTATAGTATTATAAAGGGTTGCCAACAAGGAATTCGCCCAACCAAATATGAAATCGCTTGTTTAGGGGGGCTGAGCCTCCAAAATCTTTCTGAACTTTAATAAGGGGGGTGAGTCCTCTGAGAGCCCCCATCCAACAGCACCATTGCTTCTTGTAGAGAAAAGCATTTAAGGTCCTTTCTCAGGAGCCTTGAACGGGACCAATACAATAACAAATAAACGATAGATAAAACTCTTGCATCCTTCAAGCAACATTCATCTTTTGTGAGATAACACAACCTGCATTATTGTAAATGGTCAAAAGCCGAATCTCTTTAATTTATTGCTTATAAAACATCGTTATGTTCTAAAATGGATCTCAGTACACAAAGGACATGGTCTGCTAAGCTCTTTATATTCGCTTGCTGCAAGCAGTTTTCTTATCATCTGAACACAAGCGCCTTTGAGAGGACGTATATCTGTGTTTTTAGGAAAAAACACGGTAATCGGGTTAGTTTCTTTATACTACTGAGCTCATAACAGTGGCTAACTATAAGGGGGTCACTGACAAAGGAATTCCTGTTTATAGGAATATATTTATAAACCCTTGTCTGGCAGATATATAGACGTAGGTGCCCCCCTCCACCAATTGAAATGCTTCCTACGTTTATCGACAGACATCTTTTCCGATAAAATTTACCAGGTAATCTACAAGCAACCTCTTACAATTTCCAAGCAGTTTCAATAGCTCAATTTGCACCTCTCCTCAGGTAGCCCTATATAATTGATCAATTCAAATATTTTGTCCAATAGGTTATATTTGCCTGAACTGTCTTGAGACACATTCTCCTCTTTCATGTCTCCACATAAGACATTAAAACAGTAATCGTATGAAACAGGATAGGAGGATATGTCTGCGAAGGAGGCGGTTTAAGCCTGTCAGAAATATTGCGGGTATCTTTGCGACAAAAATTTATCCAAACATTTGCTCCGTTTTTAAGCGTCGAATGCATATGCCTCCATTATTCTATCAATTCTGCAGAAAGCAAAATCCTCAGACTCCAAAAAGGCCGACAAACACTTCAATCCCTTCGTTCGCGTACGCATGTGTATTTTGAGAGCAGAGAGCACACAGGGCAAGCTTAGCTTGTCTTAGTAGTTGACAATGATTTAGCGTAAACACGAGCAAAAAAAAAGATTAAAGCATATCACAAAGAAATCTACCATAATTTCGTCTGGCTTAACCAAAAGTAAGTTTGTAAGTAGAAGACGATATTGGGCCATGATATATGGTAACAGAATTTGCGGTTTTTATTTCATTTCAATTGTAGAATGTCATCTCAATTGTATATACGATAAAGCACAGTGTCTTTATCAGCTTGGGTCATAGATAGGTCATAGTCCATATTTTTTGAATTTTTACTATGTATTAACACCGGGGTTACTGTCCATACAGTAGAGACAGTTGGCTGTGAAACGATCTAAGTGCTACGCCCTTAAAAACACCCTATAAAGTTTCAACTCCAATTCCTAATAATCTGCGCTGAGAAGGAATGAACGTGAAAAAAGGAGTTCGTTTGACAAAAACAGGTTATTTTAAATCAATTAGGGGGATAGACCCTCCTCTACGCCTTCTCTGATCTACCGATAGAGAAACCAATTGACAGAATCCCAGTTATCACTCTCATTTACGCTTTGATTATACCACCTTCTTGTGATTTGCATCAACCTGTAGACCAGGAAAACAATGACGCTCGTACTGTCTATAAATAGAGAAGCGAGGACATTTTCCCTGAGTGAAATGAGAGGGCAGTTAGCTCATTTCTTTGCTTCTTGAGACCAACGGAAAGCGTTCATATGAATAGTCGAGTTTGCATTTGGATTCACGATTTCATGCGCAGGGTTCGTTCATTAATACCCATGGAACTCGGCGCTAAGGCCAATTTGTCACACAAAATTTTAAATATTTTTTGAAACACAAGTTCCATGAAAGCTGGGGGCTGAGAAGGCATGGCACCCCCAAGTAATGCTCCATTGTGCTAGAAACCTTACACCTAATTTAATGATAACAACAAGAAAACTTTCAGCTTTTAACATGAATAGAAAAAAGCGATACTTTCAATAGAAAATCGGAAAACTAATCGGGAAATTTTCATCCAGAACAACTTTTGTGGTCAATTTTTTTATAAATTTTAGTACATGAGCAAACAATATCAAAAAATGGTATGCTGAATAATCAAATAAGCAAATAAAGGTGGAGAATCTTCGCTAGCAAATGTACAACCTACGTCAGCAGCAGTTTTGTACACCCTACGCCAGCAGCTGTGTAGAATATAAAAGCTAAATCATTTGTCTCTACTGTCGCCGCTGTCCCTACCGTCGCCGCTGTCCCTACCGTCGCCGCTGTCCCTACCGTCGCCGCTCTCTCTACCGTCGCCGTTCTCTCTACCGTCGCCACTCTCTCTACCGTCGCCGCTCTCTCTACCGTCGCCGCTGTTCTAACGAATATGAGTTTACAGTCTGAAATCCAGCCCGACGTGTCCGAATGGACTGGACGAGTGAGAACATATTTGTCGATTATTATCATTTAATCAACTCTTTGATCTTAATTTGGTAAAGAAAACATAGCTTTACTTGTTAATTAAGACCAAACATCTGAAATGTTCTCTCTGATTATAGGAAAACATGCGCTTTTGATTGAAATGGGGGTTTCTGGGAAATATTGCCCCTGGATTGACAAAGATCTTAAGGATTTGATGCACACAAGAGACAAACTAAAAAAATTAGCAGTCAAAGGTAAATCCCCAATACTTATGGACGCTTACAGAAAGATCCGTAATAAGGTCAATGCCTCTTATGTTCGGTTGAAGAAGCAGCATTATACCAATAGGATCTCTGCATGTAGAGGTAATATGAAAGAATCTGGGAAAGCAATTTATAAACTTCTCAACAAGAGATCAAAGTCAAGTAGCATTGATTGTCTCATAGAATCTGGTACAGAAACACGGAACAAAAAGGATGTTTCTAATGCAATGAACAATTTCTTTTGCACTATAGGTAGGGATCTAGCAGATAAAATACAACCTGCCGCTAATCCTCTTCTAACAGGTGAATATGAAGTTAACAAAGATAAGGCTAAGTTTAACTTCAAGATAATTGAGCTGAAAGGTATCAGGGATGCATTTGCCAAGGTTAAAACAACAAAGAGCTTTGGGATTGACAATATCTCTAGTTGCTTTTTAAAGCTTGCTTTGCCCTATATTGGGAACTCTCTGGCTTTCCTGTTTAACACATCCATTGAAACTAGCCAGTTCCCAGATGCATGGAAAGTAGCAAGAATTACTCCAATACTCCAAGATGGAGATGAGACTGAAAAATCTAATTATCGTCCCATATCAGTCTTGCCTGTCATCTCTAAGCTCGTTGAAAAACTTGTTTTCAACCAGATGTACCAGTATATGAAAGAAAAAATGGTCTCTTAACATCTGACATCTGACAAATCAGGTTTTTTGCGGCTACATTCCACACTAACTTGTTGGTTTAAAATGAGTGATGACTGGTACAACGGGCTCGATCTCGGTAAGATCGTGGGATTGGTATTTTTTGACCTGAAAAAGGCATTTGATACGATCGACCATGGTATTTTCTGTAAGAAGCTCGAACTTTATGGGGTTCAGCAGTGAGAGCTGTCTTGGTTTAGGTCTCATTTATCCAACCGCAAACAATTCTGTAGGGTTAATGGTGTTGATTCAAATGTCAGAGAAATAGAAGTGGGTGTCCCACAGGGTTCATGCCTTGGCCCTCTTCTATTCTTCATCTATATCAATGATCTTTCACAGGCCATTCAAGATTCCTCTGTGACTATGTATGCTGATGATACCGGTCTTTGTCATCACTCTCACGAGCTGAATGAGGCTATAAATAGCGATCTCAAGAAATTGGAGACTTGGTTGCGAGGCCATAAGCTTTCATTGAATGAGGCAAAAACTCATTTAATGCTCATATCTTTCATCGTGTTCTTTCGGACCCTTATTCAGACGTTTTATGAAACAGACGAAAAATCTTTTAGACAATATGTTGTAAAATGTTTGCTTTTATCAAAGCCATTTTTCAAAGCAAGATTATTGTGGTCGCATAAAAACAGATAAAGTTTTCTATGAACGGATTAAGACGCTTACAGAAAGATCCGTAATAAGGTCAATGCCCCTTATGTTCGGTTGAAGAAGCAGCATTATACCGATAGGATCTCTGCATGTAAAGGTAATATGAAAGAATCTGGGAAAGCAATTAATGAACTTCTCAACATAAGATCAAAGTCAAGTAGCATTGATTGTCTCGTAGAATCTGGTACAGAAACACAGAACAAAAAGGATGTTTCTAATGCAATGACAATTTCTTTTGCACTATAGGTAGTGATCTAGCAGATAAAATACAACCTGCCGCTAATCCCCTTCTAACAGGTGAATATGAAGTTAACAAAGATAAGGCTAAGTTTAACTTCAAGATAATTGAGCTGAAAGGTATCAGGGATGCATTTGCCAAGGTTAAAACAACAAAGAGCTTTGGGATTGACAATATCTCTAGTTGCTTTTTAAAGCTTGCTTTGCCCTATATTAGGAACTCTCTGGCTTTCCTGTTTAACACATCCATTGAAACTAGCCAGTTCCCAGATGCATGGAAAGTAGCAAGAATTACTCCAATCTTCAAAGATGGAGATAAGACTGAAAAATCTAATTATCGTCCCATATCATCAGTCTTGCCTGTCATCTCTAAGCTCTTTGATAGATTTGTTTTCAACCAGATGTACCAGTATATGAAAGAAAAAATGGTTTCTTAACTTCTGACCAATCAGCTTTGTTGTGGCTACATTCCACACTAACTTGTTGGTTTAAAATGAGTGATGACTGGTACAACGGGCTCGATCTCGGTAAGATCGTGGGATTGGTATTTTTTGACCTGAAAAAGGCATTTGATACGATCGACCATGGTATTTTCTGTAAGAAGCTCGAACTTTATGGGGTTCAGCAGTGAGAGCTGTCTTGGTTTAGGTCTCATTTATCCAACCGCAAACAATTCTGTAGGGTTAATGGTGTTGATTCAAATGTCAGAGAAATAGAAGTGGGTGTCCCACAGGGTTCATGCCTTGGCCCTCTTCTATTCTTCATCTATATCAATGATCTTTCACAGGCCATTCAAGATTCCTCTGTGACTATGTATGCTAATGATACCGGTCTTTGTCATCACTCTCACGAGCTGAATGAGGCTATAAATAGCGATCTCAAGAAATTGGAGACTTGGTTGCGAGGCCATAAGCTTTCATTGAATGAGGCAAAAACTCATTTAATGCTCATATCTTTCATCATGTTCTTTCGGACCCTTATTCAGACGTTTTATGTATCAGACGAAAAATCTTGTAGACAATATGTTGTAAAATGTTTGCTTTTTTCAAAGCCATTTTTCAAAGCAAGATTATTGTGGTCGCATAAAAACAGATAAAGTTTTCTATGAACGGATTAAGCGCTTGTGTATTAGAAATCCAAACTTAGAAGGTATTGTGGTAGTTTGCATAAAGGTTAGGCGATAAAATGATCAGCTCAAACATTGCCTATGGTAAAATAGAAATATGAAAATATGAAATATGAAAATATGAAACATTTATGAAAATATACACAATATACTAATAGATGAATACAGCTTGTGAAAAACCTAAACTATGACAAACTATTTTACACAGCCTCGGTTGCAAGTCTGTCATTCATCTCATTTATAAGCTCTTTGAATAATCATAGGGAGTCGGGAATTTTTTAGTTTGGTGACAGTGTCTCCCAAATCTCTTCTTAAATATTCGGTGCCTCGTCAATTTTCCCTACAAAATTTGACCCAATTGATTCCAAGGTATTGTTAGGGAGCAAATTAGAGAAAGTTTTTATTGGTGAGGTAACTGGAGTCAGAGAGCATGCGCACGGACGGTTGCCTAACTCATTTCAAGATTCTCTCTTGGTCGTCTCCCCCAACAAGGCAAATTTTTCACCTTCGGTAGTTTTAGTTTATCGGAATTCTTTAGACGCTAAGGCATTTTTCCTTCAAGGGCTGTATTTATAGGTAAACTACAGGTGTGCCAATTTCTAAACAAACCTTGAGAAGACGCAACGAAGTCTTTTTGTTTCGGAGGCCCTTGGACAAAACCGAAGATTTTTTCGACCACGCGTTTGAGATTAGCTTAGAATGCAAACAGTGCAGAGTAAATCAGCCAATCAAACGTGCTCCTAGAAATGCCATGCAAAAGTATTGCTTGACTTGAGCGACCTCAGAAACAAATTATACTACGTATTTGTAGAAAAATCAATGCTGAAATGAGATCAACGTTTAGAATATGGCTACCGAGAGAAGGTTTGTTAATCAACAAATTATGTTGTATTATATACCCAAACGGTCTTACTGCCAAGCAACAAGGTGTCAGCCTACCTTAAACTACAATTTTCTTAGGGGGCCTTAGGGGATTTCGTGCTGCTATAAAAATAATAACAATACATTTTGTTTTCGTTGTTCTCAAACAATGTTGACCCAATAAAGACATCCTTCCTACGGTACTGCAGGCACTTTCCCTATGTCCATATCTTATACAGGACTCGCCAATACCGGCACCTTCCTAGGCAAATAGGATGGATTCTGCTTCCAAGTGATTCTTGACTCAAAATGTCACAGAGGGCCCTTCCCTTGCACCATAATTTTTAATGAGGCATTGGAACAAATTTGCTATAGTTAATGTCTATTACACTCACGGATACCCATTTGGTGAATAGCGTGGCATATTGCAGCATTTCTCAAAAAGTTATGCTCACTTTCTAGATTATTGTACTTTTTGATACAAGATCAAGCTTATTGAGAGAATTGTGAGCAATTTTTTGGCGCTACAGAACTTGAAAATAGCTTAAGTATGGATTTCTAATCCACAAGCGCTTAATCCGTTCATAGAAAACTTTATTTGTTTTTATGCGACCAGAATAATCTTGCTTTGAAAAATGGCTTTGAAAAAAGCAAACACTGTACCAGGAGCGGATCCAGACTATAGCAACTGTAGCTCGAGCTAGAGTCAAATTCTCAGTATTTGATTTTCGAAATACAAAGTTTCCTTGCAGTCCCTAAAAATGTGTTTATGCCCACAAGTGTTTACTATCAACATTTGAAAGCAGCGGTATAGGTTATCAAATGCGATTAACAAACATGCAATGCTGGCAATGTGTCATCACAATGCCTCTCCAGATAAGATATAAAACACTGAGCGCAGAATGGTCTAATATTAAAACTTAGACGAATCAGAAGTTTCGTTCTTTGTTGACAGTAACCAACCAGAATTGAGCTACAGTGGATATTCCGAGCTATAGTCGGTCTAGGGATTTGCTCTGGAAAAGGCATCGAAGACAATGAAACCCGTACTATAATTTTTGGCGCGAGCTATAGTGAAGCTATAGTCAGGTTTGAAAATGGCCTTTTAACCAATAGAATATGAGTATCCACGTTACTTCTCCGCTCTCTGTCCCCTGTAAAGCAACAGTGGACTATAGCTCGTTTTCACATCCTGGGTCCCCTGTAATGTAGCTTCAAAGGCAAGGACCTACTAGGGAATAGACAGGGACGGCGGAACGACCAAGCGGCGAGAGGGGGGGGGGCAGGCTTGAGTAAAAGGGCTTTTGATTCATACGTAACTGCAATTTCATTTAGATCTTCTGTAGGTATCTTCAACATTGGCTAACTTTCGGCATATAGAACTATTTTACATGTTTTGAGAAGTTCAGAATTTTATATGAATCTTTCTGATTATTACAATTGGCCAGTTTCAAGGCAACTTTATTAAAAACAACCCTTGCACCTTCTGCCAAAGGGCAACAGGGGCGGTTGTACCCCCTCACCCCCTTCTCTGGCGTCCCTGGAAATAGAAAAAGGATGTTCGAAGGAATATTTATTAATACGAAGCAACTATAAACACACATGGTTATATCATTTGCCCATATAGTGGGCGTGTCCCACAAGCAAGGAGGGCGTGGTCCCGATCCCAAAAGATTTGAGCTATAGTCACCAAAAATCCTGGATCCGCCCCTGACTGTACAACATATTTGCTAAAAGCTTTTTCTTCTGACACTCCTCAGAGCATAAAACGTCAAAATAAGGGTCCGAAAGAACACGATGAAAAATATATACCCAGTTGTGGATCGAAATGGGCCCATCAGAAAAACGCCGCGTTCATCACAAATGCTTGCTTTTTTCAAAGCTATTTTTCAAAGCAAGATTATTGTGGTCGCATAAAAACAAATAAAGTTTTCTATGAACGGATTAAGCGCTTGTGGATCAGAAATCCATACTTAAAGGTATTGTGGTAGTTTGCATAAAGGTGAGGCAATAAAATGATCAGCTCAAACACTGCCCGAAATGTTGTGGTATGGAATTAGGCTAAATTCAAGACCTGGATGGTCGCCTACAGTCCATTTATCGGTGATAGGAAGCTAGGTCACTATCAGGGGGAAGTAGGGGGGGGGAGTACAAAAACGGCTGTTGAACAAAACGTCTATCCTGTACACCCTTCCAGCTCTGTATTTTAGTAATATTTGTCAAGGTCAAGTTTTCCATCCGAACAAATAATTATCAATTTTGGGAAAAGCAGAGGTTTTGTAGAAATATCAATAAACAGTTGAGAGTTGAGGAAGAGACTAGGAATTAGATACGACATTGGGCGGGGCAGTTGTTGGTGAGAAATATCCAAACATACCTTGATGGTAGTATCTGCTGAACCACTGACGAGTTGGTTGCCATTTAAATGTAAACAACGGACTGTACCAGAGTGGCCTACCAAAGTCAAAATTGGATACGTTCTCAGGCAGCTGATATCCCATACCTGCAAACGCGCAATGAAAATTATGTTGAGATACTATTTAGGATAAGGTTTAAGAACAACATTGAAAGACGTTGGTAATAGTCGAAGGATGTGAGAAGACCATAACAATGCGACTGTGATTATCATTATAGTTTTAAACAGGATTACAATATTACAAGATAACAAGATTATGATTATGATGACGATAATGGTGACAATGACTTGTTCATGATTGTGGTGATGACGTTGACGATTATAATGATATGATGACTTGAGGACTATACATTTACATTACATTTTTATTTATTTAGGCACGGTAGCCCCGTCAGTCCACGAGAACTGCTTTTCAGGGGGCCGTGACAAGAACATTAATAAGTAAGAAGATAAATACTACGAAATAAGAATGGTCGTTCATAGTTAGTTTTTTATTCTTCTTTTAAAGGTGGCAAGGGAAGGTGCCTGTTTGGCATCAGGTTGAAGTTGGTTCCAAAGCTTAGGTCCACGAAAAGAAATAGCTCTCTGGCCATTGTTTGTTTTCCGTAAGGGTGTGATAGACTATATCGGTAATGATGATGGTAATATATTAATTAACTAATTTCGTTATGGCAAGTTAAAGTTGCTAAAGAATAATACCTTGATAGTTTTGTCTGATGACCCACTGACTATTATTGTCTCATCAAACTGAACACATGAAACACCTTCAAAAATAAAACATTAAAATTTGAAAAAATTTCCGCCAATAAAATGCCATGCCTTATCAATAATCTTGGCAAAAAATGGCTGAGACTTTTGAACGAAAAAGCAATTCACGTGCTATATCCTTATATTATACGCACTGGTGACTTAAACCCCCCTTCCCCCGGGGTCAATGTTGGTTGAGTTGGTTATAGAATAAGTGGAGAATACATTTGTTACCGGTCCAATCACAAAATCTATTTGAGTGAAAGGGGGGCAGATGATTTGTTAGTAGCTTCTTTTTTTACTTGTCTCAGCAACTTTTGGCCAAGACTGTGGTTCGACACGAGTCTAAATTTCAGAAGGCTGTTTTGCAAAGGTTATAAAAAATGGTATTCTTTTTACTGATCTATAAGAAAGACTGGATGGAGCTTTTACTCAGTGTGTCGCCTTTCGAGAAAAGGGCTCCAGAACTGCCCATGAGAGAAGAGGGCCTACATAATCACCCCTAACAACGCTTTCATCCTATTTTGGCCTCTTTTCTTCTTCGGTCCTCATCTGCACGACACCCTGCCAATCATACGATTCAAACATTGGTTTTAAAGGATGGCTTTTCCTTTCTGCTTGGGATTCTCATTCTTTGAAACAAGGCGGGCTTCAACCTTTGCTTGTTCATGACGAAGCTGGATCAGTTGAAAGTAACACACGTGGCATGTATTGAGAGGTCTTCTCGTGGCTATGGTTTGTAAGCTTGTTTAAAAAAATGCAGTTTTACAATTTCAGGGTTCAAAAATGGGGACTAGCATTACTAATAATCCATGATTCAACAGCAAGCCAATTGAAGTGTCAACCTGGTAAGAATGGCAGCAAAAACGTCGATAATTATTGAAAAATTATACTTAAACGTATCGAAATCATTTATAAAGATATGGTCACACCTATTATGCCTTATGGTACCTCCTACTGCTGTCCAGGGTAACAGATGGTTCATATTTGGGGTGTGACATCGCTAGCATCACTACGTAACGACAATCACTAAGAGGAATGGCGAATCAAAAGACTTATTGATAAATACATCTATTAACCAAACGAGCTTCAATGCTTTACTTCTGTAAAATCTTTTCCTTATATTCGCTGATGATGTGACATGCGCAGTTAACGCGATTAACTAATCCAAGGCATATGGGAAATCAGTCTACAAATCTGACTAATATTGGATATCATTTAAGGTATAACAAAATAAAAGCCTATTGTGGTCAATCAAGAATTTTGAAGAGTGGAAATGATTAAGGTAAGCCCTAAGTTAAGATCATATCAATATCAATCATAAAAAAGATCATATCAATATTAAAATCACCTTAGGTTTTGGTCGAGGCATTTTGAAACTATACTTAAAAAACAAGGGAACAAATTGGGATTCCCGTTAAGGTCTACTCCGGATAAATCTCACTTTCACTAAGTCAGGTACAAGTCAAATGTCATGCCCAGATAGGTCGGACGTTCGGTAGGTCAGATCGCATCCCCATTCCCCCATCGAAGGTCCAATTCAACGGGATTCAACGGTAGTTCTAAACCTGGGGTATTAGACACAATTACACAGGGGGCCAAAATCCAAAAGGCTACCTTTAAAAAATGGAATCCGGAATCCAGAATACGGAACCCGGAATCCTATATTTGTGTTGCTCGATGAAATACAAGCTGGACAATACAATATAAACATGGTAACCACACTGAGTAACCACGTGTCTACTTTACAGCATTACAAAATAATAAGTAATGGCTACTTTCAGAACATGGACGAAGTCAATCCATCTTTCATTTTACGTTTAGATTTTCGTACTATTGGATCCCTGTCCGGGTCTCTTCGACCGTTACTACGTAATTTCATGGATCCTCTTTACGGTCCTCCCTTACCTCTAACTCCACAGGTCCGTTGACGTTGCAGGTTCTCCGAATCATCGAAAGCTTTGCGCCAGGGCCGTCGCTAGCTATTGTGCTAAAGAGGGGGAGGCGTAAGATCCCATTTGCTTACAGTTTGGGTGAGCCATCCTTTATTTGTCCTTTATTTGACAAATCAGAAATTTTGACGATGAAGCACTCCAGACGGCAAAACCCCTTGATTTTACAATAATTTTTTTGAAAGTTGGTGTCACATAAGTACAAGTGTATAAGTTGCTATATTTTCTGACACGTGAAATTTGACACCAGGGCTGAACCCACTGAGGTCTCAGAGGATTGCCTTTATCCAAGCTTAAATTGAAATTATGAAATAGGTGATGACTATGTAAATGTTCTAATTATTATTTTCATAGCAATTGGATTCCATATACTTCGTCTTCTAAATATAGGATTTCGGATTCTAGATTCTGGATTCTAAATTGCGGATTCCGGGTTTTGTATACCGGATTTCGGATTCCGTGTTTTAAAAGAAGCCCCCGGATAACTCTGACTTTTACTAAGTAGGACTAATTTTCAATTCCCATTGTTTTTCGCTAACTTGTTCAAGTCAAATTTCATGTCCAACAAGTCAAATGTCAGATCATTTCCCTATTTCCTCATTGAAGGTCCAACTCAACGGGATTCAACGGTTGTTCTAAACCATGGTTGTCAAACCCAATTACTCAGGGGGCCAAAACCCAAAACACGCTTTATGTCGCGGGCCGAATAGTATATAAAATCATATAAAATGATCTCACGGGCCACACGGGCCGGATATAATTACAGGCCGGGCCGGAGGTGGCCTGCGTTTAAAAAATACATGTTCGAAACCAAAAGCAAAGAAAAACTCCCGCGATGCACTAGAGTATTCTGGAGGCGCGGGGCCTAGACCCCAGATTATTGAACTTGGCACATTGCTTGATCTCAAAAAAAGACTGAATCGAACAACCTATTGTTCTCCGACATCAGCATGAGGAAACCGATGGAGTCTTTCCATCTTGAGACCTCTCGCACCTAAAGCTTTGGGCTGTCATTTGTTAAAACGGCGCACGCACAGTGCTGCGCCTAAAATTTTGCATTAATTATTAAATTCTTAAATATTCTAAGATACAACAGGCCTAGGAAAATTATTGAACATTGGATTCTCCATTACATGAGCTTAATAACACGGCAAAAATTTTTAAAATCACTTACGAATGATGCAAGTTTTTGTTTCAACGTTTAGTTTGAATTTTGCTGTTAAAAAGTAACTTGAACTGAAACCAACTGAACTGAACTGAACTAATAATTGCTCTCTAAAACGGCGAGGTCTCAAGATGGACGCTGCAATGTGGAATCAATGCTGGCCTGGAGAAGCTCGATCCAGTATTTTTTTGAGATCAGTGGAAGTACACGGTCTGTTGCTGAGGGATCGACGCCATATAGAGCTTTGCACGCTTTTGCGTGTTTAGGAGAACGATCCCAAGTTGCTAACAAATGTTCAGTTTAGTACATTATTGCAACATTAGTCGAGATTGATCGCTTTTCCAGTTATGCATAATTGACGTATTGGGGAAGGAGTTCCAAAAACAAGCACTCAGAAAGGAACAGAGCGGGCTGAAGACATGCACATCTAAGTGCGAAATTTGCAGATAATCTCGAGGTCTTCATCCAAGAAATACTGAGGCTAAAGTTTCTTGCTATAAGTTACTTTTATGCGGGTGCTTACGGCACCAGTGTTTAATTTTAGGATAATACTCATTCAGTAATTGTCATTTACCTCGAGCAGTCACTTAGCGATTAGAAAGAAGGAAGCAACGAGAATAATCAGTCGAGATTACCTTGAGTATGGCCGTGAAATGTTCTGATCTTGCATTTCGCATTCAGCCAGTTGCGTCGTAGACAGTATCGTTCTTTGAAAACCTTTTTCCACTGAAAAGACGAAATTTAGAGGCGTTGTAAGTTGGCACCTAAAGGACCAAGCACATTTAGGGCACAAAAGGCAACTGAGGCTAGAATAACAGTCAGTTTTATTATAACAGCGAGCTCAAAACAATAGAGCCAAGTATAAATCCCTGTCACACACCCGTTCTTCTATATCCAACTTCTCTCTCTGAACTTTCACGCATTAGCCATGTTTCTATTCGTATCGCAGAGTGGTTTCTTACTTTGTGAATAAATAATTCAATACCAGTCTTCCAGTAGCCTTTAACAACGCAGAGTTAGTAAAACATTTCTATAAATCACAAGAATGTTACGATCGTGATACTTATCATCGTGTGATACTGAGCTCTTACGTGTTCTTGAAGCAATACACGAGTCACGAATGAGCACTGCATACAATAGCCACAACAGTACCTGGATGCTTATTAAGAACCATTCCTACTAGTAAAGAACAAAAAACCGTGATAAAACTTTAGGAATTAGTTCCTTGTATTAATCTGTAAACATACCTGTACTTCACCCGTTGTTTTTGTATACTTAATTGTCTGCTCCCTTTCTCTAGTAGGTGAGAGTTGCATGTCAGGATAGCTACAATATGAAAACGATTCAATTTATATAATTCAAAATTCAAATTCGAAAAAAAATTCTGAGAAAACCAATAAATAAAGGCTAAAAATTAAAATAATGTCAAAGTTCAACCGGAAAACAACAAAACAATTATTAATTACGATGAAATTACCAACAACCGTGAAATGTAAAACCTATCTGTTGGCTGATATATGGAAAAACACCATAATAGTGCTATCTTAGTCCTGCAGTTTCAGTTTCAAAACAGCAGTTGTAGGCAGGATGGCTTCAAAGAGGACCTTTTCCAGTAAAAATAATTACGGAGGAATAGGAAATATGAAGGGGGAGAAAACAAGATATATGGGAATCACTAGGGGGGTTCAAGCCAGCTAATCAGACGAAGCCTTCTAAGCGGTGGGGGGGGCAAAATATTTTTAATTGAAGAAATTTACAAATCTATAGCAAAATAATTTTTATTTATACTTGAATCCACTTTGTCGATCTTTGCTGTTTTTGCTTAGTACTGTTTTTGTGCATTCTACTAGGCAATTTTCAAAAAATCAACCTACAGCCTATTGCAATGTACTTTTCATCTGCCAAACAGCAAAAGAATGCAAAAGATGACACAAAGACAGCAAACATACAAAGAAGCCTGGCTGACTAGATCGTTAAGCTTTAGGTGAGGAAATGTGGAGATGGATCGTTTCTTTAAAAAAGATATAACTTACATGCAAAATGTTTGCCATAACCGCTCATCAGAACAATAACCCAGCCATGCTCTGTTAACTTGACTTGCTCTTGCCAAACTTACTAGCATAAATAGAAAAAGCAATTCAGAAACAAACAATTCATGAACAGAGATTTTGGCTCAAAAGGCCTTTGGCTCAAAAAATGTCAGAGGGATCAAGTTAACAAAATACCCCGGTTTATTAATTCACATATTCAAGGTAATATTCTTGCAGAGACTTGAGGGTAATGATTAAGATGGGTGCATTTTGACACCAAAATAAATATTTTACACTATAAATAAATTTTCTTCCTTAAAAAAGTGATATTAACAAATGAATTTACAATTTCAGTTACAGGTCATAACAACCATGAAAAGCTGGAATTCTCTTTAAATACAAGTTTGATTGGTAAAAGTTTCATTTCTGTTGAATACCAGTACCTAGACTATTAATACTATTTTGGATTTGAGAGCTGCAATACTTTTGCAAGGGGAGTGTAGTTTAGGCATATAGAGTAGCATGTTTTAAGCTTCTGTCTACTAGACGTTGAGAATCTAAATGTTGTTACCTGGATCCAGGTACTTCAAGATATGATAAATAACAGCAGCTGGTAGCCATGTCAACAGATCTTGACAATTTGGTGGACAGTCTTTATGTAAAATTGGTGCCATTATTTCTGAAAGCATATGCATTTGTGCCAAGCCACTGTTACTCTAAAAGCAAAAAATAAATCTATATCACTTTAAAAAGACAAGGCATACTGCAAAAAGAGTTATCATGAAAAAATTTATTAGACTTTTTCAGTTGAGAGTGTATCAAGTAGAATATTTATGTCAATGTTAAAAATTACTGTTTACCAGTCTGTGATAATGTGCTTTATACCATAAAGGCAGAGCTATACATGTTAGATGTAGGAGCAAAGAAGAGAATGGTTTGAAGTTGCTACTCTGATTTTCTTGAGTTTCAGAGATGAGCTGAGTAGTAGCAACTTGGAACTGTCTTGCTCTATACACAAAAAGCGCATATGCATTTATGACTTTGAAAAAAAAAATTGCTGAAACTGGTGAAGAAAACAATAGATTTATATAAGATATAAAAAGGTTAACACCTTTTTTACTTACCAAGAGCATTTTTAAAGTGATATTTCTTTGCTCATCATCAAATTGCAAGTACCAATGCTTTAATATCTACAAAGAGTCATATGACAATGTTTAAAGCAGCAAAAATAATCAATAAAAAAACTGAGGGTATTTAAATTTCAGCTCTCACAAATTTCTGATCTGGAGGCAGCATTCTGATGGAGCCTGCACCCTTGAATAAACCTCAAAATAATCACAATATAAAAACTTCTTTTTACTTGCTAGTGATCTGAACATATTGAACCCAAAATTTGAGTCTTGGCTAAGTGTTTTCTCAAGCATGGGATTTTCTTACTGAGATTCTTAAGAATGTTAACTTGCAGTGGCATCCTCACGGGGTGGACTGGGGTGGACATAGCAACAGGGTGGACTGAGGTGGACAAAAAAGTCACTGTTGAGAAATATGCTGCTTGAGAAAGTTTTTTGTCCAAAAATTTAAAAATAGATAAAAACACTAAAAAAGGATTTTCCAAAAGTGTGAAAGGGCATAGCTGAGGCGTAGCTGAGAAAATTGGCTTTTGATAGAGCTGGTGATGCCACTGTTCACCTGGTTACCAGATCAACACACAACCACGTACACTTAGTGAGCAAAAGTATTGCACAGGTTTGAAAATTCAGTAATGGCAACCGAGTTGTCAACAACAAAGCAATCAAAATTCAAACCGCTTTTGTGAAGTCTTTTCATGGTTAAAATCTAATAAAACCAAATTTCAAACCATTGACAACATTTTTAATTTAAAAGTTGGAAAAAGTTACTTTTAAAAAATAAAAAATTCTAACTTTTTATTGGACAGTCTACCAGCTTTGAAATCTTTATAAGACTTGCTAAAACTTTCTCGAAAAATTAAGTAACAGGTTCTGTTAATTGCAACATGATAAGTTCAGAAAAACATTTGCAAGATCACATTTAGGTGTTGAAGTATCAAGTTGATCATAAATGGCCTTGTATTTGGTGGAAAGTGGCATATTTTAAGCCATTTTGTCATGCCTACTCTATTACAGCTATTGAGGCACTTGAGTGAACCTGTTTATCGCGGGAACTTTGGTATTTTCATCTAATAAGAAGATGAAATGTTGTTTTATGCAATTTTCAGCATCATTTTCTCCCAATACAAAATCTCATCAGTTGGAAAAGATGGATTTTACGAATTGTGATAAATATCATTAATTGAATTTTGCTACAACATATCCCGAAGTGTCTGCTGCAATTAGGCTCATTGCAGCTCAAAAAATTTCTGGCCAAAACATTTGGCAGATTCTCCAGCAAAAGTGAGGGAAATAAGCAGTTCTAGACACCCAAGCATAAAGAAAGTACCCCTAAGTTCATTGTAATAAGATATCGTACATTGGTGCAAAGATGAACCTTTTTATTGCGAATGTTTCACAGGAACTTGATAAATTTTCCAACATATTCCAGTTAAAAAGTCATCTAATAACTTTTATGAAACTTGCTGTGGCCAATTGAATTCTGGCTCACTAAAATGTTTTCCTGTGGTGTGGCCATTTCTGTTTCAGCTTGCACAATACTTTTGCTCACTAAGTGTATGTGCATTGCTAACATCTTTCAACTTTTGAAGAATCCATGACATACAAACAGCTTAATTTGATCAATCTTCTAATTAGCATGTTTATAAAAGTCAATAAAAATTACCTCTGATCTCTTTTTGAACAGGGGTCCACTCACATTTTGCTCATTCCAATTCTTTGTCAAAATGTCATATCTCACATTTCCAACACCTGAATCAGAACTTTCACTGCCTTCATCTTCAAAATAATGATGTATACGATGACTACATTGAGAAATATCTGGCTCATTCTCTTTTGAACTTGATATAAGTTGATGTCTCTCTAAGTTTTTACATCCAGAGTTTACATCACTTCTTGATATTTCAACTTTCACTTTCTGTTTACCAATCTGCCTCTCTTTTTTATTTTCTTGCTTGCACTGTAAACTACTACTTCTTTTTGAAATACAACCTGCATCTGCTTCCCAAGGAGAGTCTCTTAAAGCACCAGGTTCAAATTTCCTGCTTTCTCTCAAATCTAAATGTAATTCTTTGTTGTCATCCTCATCCTTTTCTACAAATAACAAAATTTGACTAGCACTCTGATTATCACAGCTACTAGACAAATCTTGTTTACTTTCTTCCACTTTTGGCAAACTCTTTAGTTCTCTAGGGATGTCATATCTGCGCATCAAATTATTTTTTGCTTTGATCGAAACAGCAGCTTCAAGATTACGTATTTCAAAACTTTCACTATTTACAACAACTGATTTAATTCCTTTTTTGTTCAAAATTGGCCAGTCTTGTTGGATTCTAGAAACAGAATCATTCCCTTTGCTTTGAGTATCATAAAATGGACTTGCTGTAAACTGACAACTTTCCTGATTAGCACAAACCTTCCCAGCTGTTTTGCTATAAACCAGATCACTCCCTAGATGTTCCCGTTTCTGTGCTTGCCCATTAATCACCAAATTTGCTGGCATAAGGCTCTCATTTCCATTGTCTTTGCATGAATTTCTTCTATATTTTTTCTTCCTAAAACTTGCTTTTGGCCAGCTATGATAACAATTTTTCAGGGTTGCACTTTCTGGATTTTTTAAACTCAGACTCATAAAACTGTCAAGAAATTTTCTTTTGCAGCCTTCATCTGCTTGGTAAAATGGTTCTCTTGTTCTGGGTGAATAAATTTCACGGGCAATTGATGAAAGTTCTTCCATACTTAAGCTTCTTATATAATGAACGGGTCTTGTAAAATCCTCTTTTAATCTTTCCATCTTGGATGGTGTATTTCTAGGCATTAAAAATTGTAATAAACTTCAACTTTTCAACAAAGATTATCCAGTCCTTTTCATTTGTTTCTTGGTAGTCAGGGCTCTATAACAAATCAGAGAACATTTGACGAACTTTTTAAAAGGCATTTGGCGACAGTCAAAATAATAAATTCTTCACCTTTACAACATCTAAGTGCCTTGCATCTTACTGATCCTAATTCACAAAGTTAGCAAATCCTATAAATTATATATAATTCTTTAATATGTTATTTAGGACTATGTGCATGGATGTTTTATAATTTTGTATAAGTGTGAAATTACTTTTTCGGTTAAACCTAGAGCATCAATTTTGTCGTGATTCATGTTGGCGTTGCTAATCGTTACCCGGGACTTAGGCCCTTTCTGGTCTGTAACGAAACTGTCTCGTACAGTAGTCATCTGAATCAGAAACCAAGAGACACATAATCGTATTAAAACGATTTCTTCTTCACTTTTTTACAAAATGTATCATTACCCACATTGTAGAAATCTTAAAAAAGTTTTTCTCACCTTAGTACCTTGACCATCTTGGAAACCATTAGCGCGACCAAAATAATAACATCGAAACGAGACTGCAACTCGATTGGGACATGAAAAATAATTTTCAAATTGTGTGCGACCAAAGTAAGGAATTGGAAATAATTAATTTCTGCAAAGAAATTGAGTTTCATTTGCATTAATCAGGGAATTTTTTCCGCTCAAATGTATTTCAGTTACATTAATTAGGGATTTTTTTACTTAATTTTTGTTTTGAGGATTGATCATACAGAGGCTTTCTTAAGGAAATATCACATTTTGAATGATATTAGCCTCAAAGTTAGCCCATCACGCGTCCTGCGTGAGTCAATATTTTTAATGAAAGCAAGGACATTATCGAGTGCCTCAGTTTGGAGGAAGAAGAAGAAAAGGAAAAAGAGGAAGAAGATGATGAATGCGAAGAATGTTAGGCTTATAAAACTTTTTTAAAGCTTAAAGTGAAAATGAGTTTACTTTATATTAAAAATACTAATTTTGTCTTAATTCTATATCCACTGTTTAAACATACAAAGATTAAGAAATCGTAAATTTAGGGTTATCAAAAAATAAGGCATGAGAAATTAAGGATATCCAAATTTTAACGTTTGGTCCTTTTAAGGAATGTTTAAAGAAGCATTCCTTAATAAAATCGCTTTTCGTAATTTCGTTTAATAAGGCAGTGTTTTCTCTTACAGGTATAGATTTCTTTATTGTTTAGGGGCAAAGCTTTGAATCAGGGATGTGCTGATTGGGAGCGTCAGCCCCCCCCCCCTCAATGTCTGCAAAACTCCAAGAACGTTTGTCATGTAGCGAGGAAATTAGCATTATCTAGGAGTTTGACCAAATTTCCACCTGCGGGCAATTGAACATTTCAGACTTGTAACTAACTATAGCGTCATTGTAGTGGAATTATATATCGAGCTTGGAACGAGCCTAGCAAGTCTGAAATTGTGGCAGTGTAATGACGTCATCAAAGTATATTTCAGACCTTTTGGGTTTTGAACAAATAACATCAAAGAGCATTATAAAAAAGCTAGATCTGTTACAGGTTGGCCACATAAGTATAGGCTTTTCTCTTACAAACCAATATACACTGCAAATTCATTGATTTCATAACATTAATTACAGTAATAAATTCTACAAGAAATGCTAGAAGATGGAATTTTAAATAATCTTTTCAATTTACATAAAAGTATAAGACACTAGGTATCGTGTTTGGGCCATAAGTTTTCTGTGTCAGTTTACAACTTAACTTTGTATTAAAGCTTATTAGTATTTTGATTATTAGAATTAATGAGCTGAAAGAAAACAAAAGTAAAAGATGAAGAAAGATAAAACAAAATAAAATATTAAGCCAACAAGAATATAGGATGAAGACAATACGATATTTTTGGTTTACAATAAGATAAGTGAGTTTTTATCAGGATTTTTTAGCAATGTCCTCTCAAATTTGCAACATGTGTTGCTCTAAATCTTTACGCTTAAAAGACAAATTTTTTTCCTGTAGTTCGTTCTTACGGTTGATAGAGCAAAGTAATTATTTTTTGCCAATGTTGAGTGCCTTTTCCCACCCCTCCCTCCCTCTTTTTTTCTCTTTACCCTTCTCAGAAAATTTTTGCCGAGACATGTTGTTCTGAACATTTTGATAATTTTAGGCTTAAATGTTTTTAAAATTGTTCTTATTTTACGAGTGATTTTTTGTAAATATTTGAGAAATTACATGATGTATATAGTTTCTAAGACGTTTTACTGGGTAAAGTTAAAAAATAAACAATGATTGCTAGCGTTTATGGACAAACTTGCATAGTTTTGTCCTGTTGACATGACAAAAATTTCGAAATGCGAATTGTTTTTTTTTTAAATTTCTCATCTACAGCTGAGCATGTTCTAGCCTTGTTCTTATTTTTTGGGCAAAGCGAGCTTCAGTGTTCTTATAAAATGTGTTCTTATAAGAAAAAGGGTGTACGTGGAAATCCTCTAGAAGCAAGCTTTGCGTGCTACGTTTCTTTTACGGAATTGTTGAAACCTCTCATACCGACAGGCATCTTTTATGCTGTTTAGCATTTTTTATACTATTAGGTAGGACTGGTGCATCGGCTTTTAGTGGGGTAAAAGGCTATTCCTGTCCATTTCCTCCTAATTATCAATCAGATTTGGAGGTATTGTTTAACCTTCCTTTAGTAACCCCATCCTTTTAGATATTGTTGAGCGATTTGCGCCGACGCACCAACGGTCCAGCTCGCTCTCGATGACGTGGGAGCTTTATGCTCTTTATTTTGTATTGTTATTTCATTCTCGAGTTAGAAAATTGATTAAAACCAATCCTTTTTTTCCAATTGTCCTTAGCAATATTTTTGGTAAACCAATAATCGGTGCTGCTATGAAATACCTCCCATATGTTGTAGAAGATTCAAAAGCGGCTTTGGAGGTCACAATTAAAGCTAATGCTTGAAAATAAAAAGAAGATCAAGATACCACACTACCCTAGGGCCTCTTAAAGCATCTTGAATTAATGGAAATCCCCCGTTCACTTGATTGATATTATCATTTTAACTTGCATCCAACCTGATGTACACACAAGTCCTGGGGCCGACAATATTTCCAAACTTCGCGATAATGTTGCTTGCTAAAATTTGGAAGTAAAAGATGTTTTAAACATGCTCTTGTCCATTAATTTCGTTATAAAAATGTCCTACAAATGTTCTCAAATACTTTGCTATCAGCTTCGAAAGTTTAATTAATCAATTATAAGCTCCTCATCTTCCACGGCATCACCTGGATCAATTGATAACCCTGGGACACCTTTGAAACAAATTTCTACGGCGCACAAGTAAGTCTTTACAAGGGCCGTATTAATGTACACGATCTTATCATCATCACACCTATCAAGAGCCCCACTAAAACAACAACAAGGGGGCTTAATAGAGAGGGGGGCTTAATAGAGCTTTTACGGTGTATGAAAGAAGGCTCATGCCATGGCCTACGTATGAACGATAATCTTAGCACCCCAAAGGTGAAAACTACCAGCTACGGTATTACAACATTGGGGGTAGTTAGGACATTAGAGGGGAGGGGTGAGGCAAAATTCTTTTACCAACAAACAGAAATGACTATACTGAAAATAACGTACAGAGACCATGCACAAACGTGTACAAACAAACACATCATGGGAGAGAGGGTTAAGAGGCAACATGTGCACATTTTAAAACTCAGTACGATTTGCAAAATTTTTGGTTTGGGGACCCTCTAGAATATTTGGGGGCTCGGGCCCCTCCTCCCTCTTGTTACCCCCAGTAATACGATACTTTGCTACTTAGATCCAAAGACTTGGAATTCACTTCCAAAGGGAATCAAATCATCCACAAACATAAATTCAAAAATCTTATCGAGAGTTGTCTTTTGGTTAAAAATGCTGCTGCTAAGCCTGTCCTAACTATTGGCAATTCTGTCCATAATGCAATTGCTTAGATGCTTTCATGCTTTAATGATGAAAAGAACAACATAATCAATATTATCATTGCTTCAAACGCCTTAAGAGTTCAAGACCATAAAAACAACCTGATCACATCTGCAATCAATCAATATTTTAAACACGACAATTTTCAATACTGATCCAAAGTTCTTAATATTGTACATACGTTTAAACGGATTCTCGAAGATACCTTGCAAGTATCTAGTGCAACTAACCGAAAGGCAATTTTGCAGAGATAAGAGATGGCCTGGATCGAGAGGATACAGGGTCTATTAAAAAAGGTCCCGAAACAGTGAAAAAGAAACTGGCACATAAAAGTGTGAGTGAATCAAGGTTTGCCTTTAAGAGGGTATGATTCTCATGCATAAAGGTTTTATTAGAAGCAATTTAGTGAAAAATTTTTGCACAGTCTGCATTCGAGGCATAGTCTGGCCTCACTTATCATGCGATAACAGCCGGGATTATGCCTTTCTTTCTTAGTTGCTCAGTACAGCAAGATCCTTTCACTTTGTCATAAATATAAAACTGTTCATAACAGCATAAAACATAAGCATTAACTGAAAAATGTTTGTTTTGAAATATGTGAAACGGGTATTTCATACTTTATAAACATACATTTAATAAAAAGTAGTATTTCATACCGTGAAAACAATAAAACCAAAGTGACTTGATATAGCAACCAAAATTGGGGTAAACTGAAGCAATAAAGAACATTCGAAACACTAAACGCAGTTTCAAAATATCGAATAATAACCAAAAACAAATTGACTTCTATATGGAGATTTCTATATGAAGCATCTTCATTTTGAAAAACGATTTCATTTGGAATTTAACATAAATTTGGTTACGCCTACTGTATCAAGATGCTACATTGCTAGGGTGCTTCAAACCTCCTTTTCAAGGTAGAATGAATCAGTATACTCTGTTGATCTTTTAGCTGAACACACTGAGGAGCAATTTTGATTTAGCATTCACTACAACATTGCTAACTTTAGAGCTAGTTTCTCTCTCACGTGGCGAACAGAAGATTTTTTTTGCAAGAGGGAATCAGCTGCCTTTTGGTATTTCCATTCATACTTGTCAATGTAGTTTTTCGCATCCACTTTTAGTTGATCTAATGCTTTCGGATCACTCTCATCTAGAAAGGCATCGATCGATAGATTGGGGTTGAATCTGAAGTACACCGTGGATGGAAGGAGATCTTCGAGTGTGATATGCATGGCTAGGAAAAAAATGAGCCAAAGTTATTCAAATCATTCGTATCTTCTGCATATTGTGGGCCAGGTCACATTACATGGTCATTTGAGGGTGTTCCTGGCAAGAATTGCAACAGGGGACTTGTAACGCACCAAGTAACAAAAAGAGGCTGTTTCAACTGTCAATATACTCGCTCATCTTATTATGCCAAGGATGGAGGCGATGGACCAGGCCTATTTTATTATTATAGAGCATAGACATTATTCAGGAACTAGCCCGAATTTCAAAGAGCGTATACATAGTTGCTTGAATTCTTTACTTTGCGAATTGTATGAGAATCAAACCCCTAATAAATTTGGAATCTTTTTAAAGCATAAAATTTTCAATGACGATTAACATTGAATAGATGTCCTTTTCGGTATAATTGAAAGAGCAGCTATCACAAAAGCAAAATTTTGGCCCCTAAGATAGGACAAACTCTTCCCTTGATCAATGACAGCGCATTTGTTCCAAAGTTGACCCTCAGGTTCTATACAGGCTCAATTAACTTTAAAAACGCATTGCAAGCTGGGACAATATCGAAAGCCAGCCCGATGGAGGCTAAAGTCGTCAAGTTACAAAAACAAATAAAATTAACTGGTTAGTCTTCAAGCCTCCATGAGCGTGTACAATAAACTTCACTAAATATAATCATTGTTACCTTCGACATCGGTGGCACCTGCAACCAACTTCATGAGCTTCTCTCTAAGGCTTGAAAACGAGGCTGTATTCGGGCCTGAGCGGCCGTGGTATACGCCGTTGCCAATGGAAACAACGGTCTGCAACGGAGTATCAGGCCAGAGTCTCTTTGACTCGTGAACTGCAAGGGCGCATGGATTATTTGTTAGGAGTCCACCATCCTATAGGCAAAAACATCTTGAACACGAATTTTGAAAAGAATCGCAAGCTTGGCGCTCACTCGCGTACCAAAATAATGAATAACTAATTCTCTTTCAGAAAGAATCGGATCAGACACAGTATTTTGTGCTCAAGATTAAGTAATAGGACATCATTTCAAGAAAGCCCTGCAGTAGGTTAAAAAGCAGTGGCGATTATTTTATAATTTGTGCATATCAGAAGAAAACATTTCGTATAGTCATTTGAATCATGTGTGAGGTAAATGGTCATATTGGTTATATCGGATGCAATCATTTACAATTATAAGGTTAATCGTCTTTTGTGTAATGTACACTCCACTCACGAAAGTATTGCGCCACCTTGTTCAAAATGGCGGCACTTTTTGTCAACATTTTGACAATACAAAACATTTGAAAGCGGTTTCAAAAGTTCACAGCTCCCGTCAAAAAAATAAAATTTGAAACTGTTAAAAGACGTTTTGAAACTGTTATTTTAAAAAAAGTGCTCTAAAAAGATTGAAGTTTTGATTGGTGGTTGTTTCACTTCCGACCCACTCCCATTCGCCACTTAAAAACGCAATCAATTCGCACAACAATAGCTTTCGATATTTCTTGTGCTATTTTCCCTCCTTCGAGGTGGTGCAATACTTTTGTGAGAGGAGTGCACAAGCTACAGTTGAATCTCGTTAAGTCGTACCTCTAAGGGGAGTAAGGTGATAGTCTGATTTGGCGAATTTCTTACTTATCCTGGGTACAACTTTTGATTTGAATAAGGTAAGAATATCCAATGGGAATTGAAAGTCAGTCCGACATAGTCAAAGTCTGAGTTATTCGGGGATCATTGGACCTTCTTCTCGGATATGTCTGCCAGCGCACAGTAAAAGGCATCTTTGAGGCCTGCCATTCTTATACAAGATTTGAGAATTATACCCATTTTAAAATTCAAACCTGATGAATATCTGAGCCCAGCTTGCACTCTTCAAAGTATCCAGGGGCTGCAGTAGACGCTTGCAGGGCCTCCCACAGTTTATGCCTGCTGCTTCCCAGATAATTATGTGGCACAAGCGGGGGAATGTAATAGTTCCTAAACACGTATGGTTGCAAAACTTGGTGGTTCACCAATGTCGAAACAGCAGCAACCTTTGGAATTGAAATGATAGGCAACACGTGAAGCTAAACTTATGTATAACTCTAAGCAAGAGAAATAACAGTCGAAGTTGTAAGTAAGCAAGGTGCTTGAAAAATACAGTATACCACAAACGAAAAAAACATAAACAGGCAAACATAATGATAGACAGCATATTAAGTAGCATTGTAAGTAAAAGTTTAAACTGTTCGTTCTAAACGATATTAAACGAATTAACCATGCAGTAACAAAATGCTTAGCAAAACAAGAGAGCAGTTAAATGGCGACTGGGAACTGTTTATACAGCTTTTTAACAAAATGGCAAAAAGTCACAAACAAGGTGCTAAATAGAAAGATAGCAAAAATAGAGTCAAGAAGTTTATTATCTGAAAGTAAAACAAGAAAAGAAAGTATACGTGAAATAAGGAAACAGATAAGAAATAGACAATCTGAAAAGGGAAAACTCTGACAGGATGGTGCATTTAACAAAATGGGAAGCATGAAGTATTAAACATGTGTGGCAGAAATTTTAAAGAAGGTCTCCAATGATGCAGTTTATCAGCACAAGCAGCCAGGTAACACTGCGGGTTATCTCTAACAAGACAGTGTTCGGAATTCTTGAGAAGCCAGCCAGTCTCGCGGACTGTAAATTTGCAGTCTCATGTGAACAGAAAAGTCATCGTTATGTAGATGACTCTGTTACAAAGTATCAAGATCATGCATTTGACGAGGTCAAAGCGTTCAAACTTCAAAATAATAAGAAATACAGAAACAATGGTAATTCTGTGACAATGTGCTGCCTCTTTACATTTCGTCTGATGTGAGCAGTGAGGTCACAATTATGTAGATGACACTGTTACAAAGTACGAGGATCATGGATTTGAGAAGGTTCCATTGTCCAAATTTAAAAACAACAAAGGATGGCAGGAACAATGTGCCGCCTCATTACACTTGGTCTGATTTTAACAGTAGGGTTACAGTTATGTAGATGATACTGTTACAAAGTACTAGGAGCATTTGGGATGGCTAAAGTGTCCAAATCCTATAACAATAAAATTTTGAAGGGACAAGGTGCTGCCTCTTTACATTTGATCTGATGTGAAGGATAAGGGCACAATTATGTAGATGACATCGTAATAAACTATCAAGACACGCATTTGATGTTGCTAAAGTGTCTGCATCTTATAATGATAAAGAAATGCAGGATTTAACTTGTTGTCTGATGTGCACAGAAAGGTCCTGCTTATGGATGACACAACTTTGTAACAGTGAAAAGCAAATAACTATGTGCAAATTGCATGCATATCAGAGGTGGTTAAGAAAATATTGCTAAAAGTAGATACAAATAAAATCCTTCTATGTCCTTTGATGTTGGAATTGTAATAATTAAAATGGTAAGCAAAAATGATAATCAAAATGTTTGGCTAATAACTAAAAAGACAAACAAAGCTTTCCAGTTTTAAATGTTTGGTACAATCTTTATTGGTTTGGTTTCTAATACAATTTCTAGCCACTTTTTCTTCACCAACTTTCCTGTTTCGTATGCACCTTCATGTTTGGTATGCCCTTTACCTTCACATGATAAAATGTAAGAGCAATCTCATTGCCTCGTCCAGGCTTGCTCTTGTCAAAGGTGGTCTTGTTTTCAACAACAGAGGATGTTCCACCAAAAAATCAAGATGCAAAAAGGGAGGTAAATTGAGGGGTTTTAGTTAGACTATCTTATCTCTTTATTTATCTTGGTACAATTGAGTTATGAATATTTATGTTACAAAATTGAAAGCATATTGTTAAAAACTTTTGTTGAAAATCAATTTGAATGCTGTAGATGAAATAAAAATTTGTTAAATTTGCAGAAAATGCCCAGATGAACTTACTTTTGGTAATCCTTCCTCAAAGGAGGTATCAATCATACATCTGTCTGAGCCCATAATGTCCCTAGAAGGAGAAAACTGTATTTCAGATTTGATACAGGTGCTATAATGAGAAAATACACCAATAGTTTTTTTAAGTTTGTACCTAAAATGATCTTGTTTTTTCTTGATATGCTGAAGCTCTTCTAGCAACAAAGTGTCAAGAAATTTTCAGACATCAGACATCAATATCAAGCGTGGCCTTTTACGTAGATATCTTGCACTAATGTATAGGTAATAGACTTCAGCTCATCCATGCAAAACATTTTCAATAACAGATACCTGAAAAAGTTTGAAAGCCAATGCCAAGCAACATGAATCATGACAACAAGGATAATTTTTGACAAGCAGTCTTTCAACAATCAAGATAAAATTAAATTGCTAAAACATAACAGGCTTCAGAAAAAAGCACAGTTAAAGAAACAGCAATGCACAAGTAAGATTAGAAACTTAAATATTATACCTCAAGACTTTTACAAATGATTCTGTATCATAGAATGCATGGGTAAAGAACAGCTTTCCAGTTTCAAAAACTGTTGGCTTCTTGAAAACCTCTGCACTTAGTCTATCATAAAAACACATTGCTTCCTCCAGTGTTGCTCTTTGAATTCCCAATAAAAATGCCAGTAATGCACCAGTGCTTGTGCCGACAATTAAATCAAACATCTCATGAACTCTTTGCCCTGTCAATTCTTCCAGCTTCATAAGGATTTGGATGGTTATCACCCCTCTAGAATCACAACAAAATTATGAAACTTGGCAAATTACATGAATATTGGCAATGAATCAATAAGGTCAAATCAGCAAGGCATAACACAATTTAGGGCACCTTAGATCGATAACCAAGGGCCCTGATCAAAAGGGGCCCCAAAGACATCAATGTTTTCAAGACTTGGCTCAAGTTGTATCAAAAGTAGAACTAACCGTTGCTTAACTCAAGCATATATCTAAGCTCCTCCCTAGTTAACATAAAAAAATTATCATTTTTTACATTTTGCTATTTTGTTTGACATCCTGTACTTTCTTGAATGGGACTTTTGTGTCATCCATGAAAAGGGGCCTGTTTCCGTTTTTTCACAAGGGCCAAAGGTTCCTCTGTAATACCACTGGGAAGTGGGTTTTTTAGCATTAGATACTCAAAAAAATCAAACAGTTGCTTTGTAAAATATTGGATGGGCCTAAAAAAGTCAAATCAAAGGGATTTCATTTCCCTGGGATTGCCCCCTGCATATGAAATATGGTATGACACACAAAGGTCACCATACTTGATTTGCATGCCAATTGCATTAAAATTGATCAACAAGTAACTCTATGTACATATAAAACAACTTATGAATCAACATCAACCATGAAGAGGTGTCACTCACCTTGTTCCACCACCATCTAAAGACAGTATCCTTATACCATTTTCTTTAACTGGGTCAGCATAACCAAGAATAGTCAATGCAGCTTTTGCATACATGCGAATCTCATCATCTTTAGTTTGATGTCTTAGGCTAAGTAAAGTTTGAATACCTCCTTCCCGTTTAACCAAGGCTCTTGTCACAGGATATTCTCTCATATGATGCACAAGTTGATTCAATTTCTGTAGTTGACTTTCTTCGGTCTTTGTTTTTTTTATTTGATATAAGAGTTTTACAGCCCTGTTTTGGATGCTTGCAACAGTTTTTTGTGAAGCTATATACACATGCTTTTTTGAAGTTTCGTTTTCTTCAAGTTCCTCATCTTCATAATCAATCAATGAGTTGTTGTTTCTAGGACCAAATATTCCTGAGATCACTGAAGAAACTTTAACTCTTTGCAGTATATCAATTACGCCCCAATTAGTTGTTGTTGTTTTTTGCCTCACTTGTGAATTCTTTGATAAATTTCTCAAAAATAACGACAAGTGCATCCCTCTGTAAAAGAAATAAGGTAAGAACAATTATTTTACACAACTTTACTCTGTCATTGAATAACATTATTTCACAACAAGTGCTACATCCTGATATATGAAATTGCATGGCAAGTCTTAAGAACATGGGCCATGCAATCAAATTTTTGTGTGTGCTTTTCTAAAAGAGAAATTCTACCTTTTAGGTTGATTGGTTTTACTGTCAAAGTAACCTTCTTGCAAAATGTCTTGATGATTGATGGTCATTGTGACTACCCTTTCTAAAGCTGTTTCTCTAAGTCATAAATGTTTTCTACTTCCCTAAAAACAAAGAGTCTCCAAGCCAAGTTCTGTTGCAAAATAAGATTTCTGGTTGCTTTAAATAAGATTTATTGTTCTTAAATAAGATCTAAAATTAAGCATAAATGGTTTATTTTAAAACTTGGATCGTGTACTTTGATAGGAGGGGCAAAGGGGGCAAACATCAGGCTTTGCCCAGAAAAGCACTCAATCGAGTGCGGGAGCCTACAGCGCACTCAAAAAAAGCCTTAGAGAGCGATTTAAAGAGGCGCAATATTATGATTTGTGAAAGGTTACCCATTGAGAAAAAAATCAGCAAATTTAGCGTTGGGTTTTTGATACCATTTTTAATCTAATGACCCTCTTATTACCACCAAGGACAAAGGCCATCAAGGGTACTCTCCGGCAGATTTATTTGATTTTCAAGCAAGCGTTAATCTTCTGTTGAAATATTATTTTCTGTTTTTCTTAATAACTTAAAATCACCTGTGCCAATCAAATAGACTATTAGATTTCCGCCCAAAATATCACATTGCTTTTCAGTTTTCATTTGCTTTCGCGAGTAGTAGATGTGTCTTAAAAATGGACAGCATAAAAAGGAAACAAATTTACATGTTCGACTTAAAGCCATGCTGGCAGTAACAAAAGATGGCAACTTACATATCTAGTAAAATCTTAACAATTTTGATACTTTGTTTTAATATTTCTATAATTATATTAACATAATGTTTGTTGCATGTTTTGTTATTTCACATTGTGGTGCTTTTTGGTATCATCATTGCATTTCTTATTTAACACTTTTTCAAAGCTTTCAATATGAAGCTCTCGAACTTCCAAAGCTCTCAAAGGATGCTCTCAAGAACATTTCATTTAGAGGTGCAAAATAGAGCGCCTAGAGATTCTAGGGGACTCTTTTTATAGAGCACCTTCATTTTGCTTACAACAAGGCCTGCAAAAATGCCATTTTCATAAAAGTGCCCTTGACATCAGCCTTTTGTAGTTATCAAAGAGATTCATATGAAATCTTGGCTGTGGTTGTAGTGCCTTATTAATGACAAAATTTCTCAAAACTGGTAAAAAATTTTATTTTGTCTGTAGCTAGCCCATTTTCAAGATGCCTACAGAAAATCCAAATAAAATGTCAGTTACAAAAGTATAAGTAGAAGTTGTGAATTAATTTTCAAATGCCATTGTACTGAAACCTGCCTCCATTGTCCCTTGGATGTTCCAACATGCTGGTTATAATTCTTTTTAAAAACAAGGAGTACATGTTTTTATTTTATAAGAAACTTGGATCAGCATAAGTACAAAAAGTTTCTTAATTTGGTATCCAAATCTTTGTGTTTTAGTTCTTAATTGGTTTCCTAATTTAGGACTTATAATTGCCTTATTCTTTTTTAGGCTGAGCATTTTTGGAAAAATATAAATGCAAATCATCACAAAAGAACCAAATGCATGTCAAATTCCAAAGTATTCTTTCTTTTCCAAAGAAGAATCAACAATAATAAAAAACTTTTAGACTTTTTTTTAAATGGTTATTTAAAAATTTCTTAATAAGCAAACAAAAATGTATCTTGTAAACAAGGCATGTAAAAGACCAAGAAAATAAACGACTTCACGCATTTCAGTTACGAGGAATTGCTTTACATTGAAGGATGGACTCAGATAGACAACATATGGAATTTGCAGTATTGGATGGGAAACTGCTAAGAAATTAAATCTTGAATACAGGTGCTTTGCATAAAAGATTCAGTTGCAAGTTTAATTATCATTAAATAATTTTGTTGTTTTATCCTTGGTAGGTATAAAAGTGCCAATTTCGTCAATAATTTTCAATTATTCATGTTAAACTTGTATCCTGGCATCGTTACACTATATTTCCTTGTCCCTAGTTTTATTTTAAACACGGAGGAAGTATCAAGTAATCGCTTAGAAAATCCAAGTACTCGAATTTGACCGTTAGTTAAGGAGGAAAAAAATGCGTTGCAAACCTGCAACAAAAAAGTAGGAATGAACCGAATAACATACAATGACCTTACCTTAGTCTTCGATGACATTCAAGGTTGTGGGCCGAATAGATTTTCATTAAGCAAAACAAAACAGTTTAGATTTTGAACTGCACTCATGACTGAACATTTGTGACGGCTTGGTTTATAATGAGGAGTTTATCCACTGGGCTTATCCTACTTTTCATTAGTAATTATTCTCTATATGAAGACGAGGTTTCGCGCCATAATACGTTGAAACCTGATAAAAATATTGTAGCAGAAATGTGAAGGTGGAGAGGTTATATGTTGTCGAAGCTGACACCGTCTTCGCGATGTGATTCTAAATTTTTAAACTGCTTGCTCAAAAATTATTCATTGGTGCTCCCTTTTGATAAAATGGGCGTTCCTTATTGGTAAAATGGACAATGTTTTGTTGGTTTAAAGTGCTCTCTTTTGGAACAACTAGAAAGGAAGGTTTTTCAAATGTGAGTTCCCTGTAATAGACAGAAACAATAAAATATTACGGCAACTGCAATGAATTCAAAATATTTTTTTAAACAACAACGATTCGATACGTCAATATAAGAGCGAGGTCGACTAAATTAGCAGCAAGACTCTTAGGAGCTCGACCAGGCCTGTATCCAAGGGGTGGCATGGGGTGGCAATGCCATCCTAGAACAAGAGAATACCAGCTGTTTGCCACCCCGAGAATTTTGTCTGCAATTTTTAATTGGGTTTTTTGTCGTTTTCATTGGATTGCCATGGCAATTGAGTCCAGATAATACTGACGGAAGAAAAAATGCTTATTGGGGTCGCTTTTATCCATGAAGAACTTAAGGGTGTGACTGGCACTCAAAAAACAAAAAAACCTTTCGCTGCTAAGCAAAAAGTTGAAAAGGAAAATTGCTGAAACGTTTGCCTGCAACAGTTGTGGGGAGTTACTCCACTGGCCTGGCTTCAGGCTTGTGCTCGACCAATCTAACAGCAAGACTAAGACTAACTTACAAAACCACTTTTTTATACTTTAACAACATAAACCTAAGACAATAATTACGCAATGCACAAAACACAGATTTACAATTGATGATGAAATGACAGTGCAAGAACGCTACTGTCACGTGATACTGTCCAAATGACAACCCTGTGTCCTCACACTTTGACAGTTCAAAGAGTACCAATGGAAAGAGTGACAGCAACATTATATATATACATACAAGGTAAAATTTTCAAAAAGAAAGAAAAGTAAAAAACAGGGTTAAATTTCCAGACACGATTCTAAGGCTGCTAAAATAATAAGGAAAATAAGAGAAACAAGTTGCCCCCCCCCCCCAGCTCAGCCTCAATAATTTCCTTAATCCCAGCAGCAACTTTTCCATACTCTTTATGAAATAATTTTACACATCTATGCACAACTGATAGCCTGATCCTCCTCAGAAACGTCTTCAGCTCAAATGTTGCATTCACTCTTGCCCAGGCTAACTCTTGCCTGACACAGTTGCTTCAGTTGTTTCCATCGCTTCTGCTGTTATTTCAACTTTCTTGTTCATTTATCTAGGACCCTCGATAATGGGCGCTATGCCCCGTACCTTTTCAAAATAGTTTTTCTACTGAATCTCTTTGTACCTGCCACCTCTCTCCACTTTCCAACTTGTGTTGGAACCTATGGACCTAGACAAGTTTAGTTGCGTTATATTTGCATTTCTCTTCATATTGTAAGTATTTTTAATAAAAATTGCCTTGCACCCTACATTTTTTAAAGCGTTGCCATGGAAAACGACATAAATATGGCGATACCAATCACTGATCATGGATACCGATTTGCCGATTAGCCTCATTGCGCGATGCCTGTGATTACTGATTACATGTACATGGTGTGCTTACGTCATTATATATGTTGGTGTTGGTGTTGATGTTGCTGGAAGCTTCAATTTGTTTCGCTTTGAAAATAGAGAAAATGGCGACGTTTCATGCCATCCAGATGGATGACCCTCTCGATAAAATGAGTGGCCCTTCAGCACACGATGATTTGTTTCGTTCGGCTACAGTAGCACAGTCACAACTACAAGTCAGACTTGGTAATATCTTGATTTTCAATAAATCTGTTTTGATATAATGATTTGTTATGTAAAGCACGAACACGGACAGACAGATTGAGTTTTTTAAGGCACGGGTCGAGTTTTTTTTCATGCATTCACTAGCAACATGAAGCAGCTGACCGAAATAGCAAAAAGATCAGTACCGACTTAACGAAAATAATGCAAAAGTGAATTCGTTTTGAAGCACCCATCTTGGCCTAAGAATACAATTACCCGCAACATTTCGTGATTTTTCTCATTTTGTAATTTTCTCGCAAGCACGACAAACATGTGTTTCGTTAACTATTCAACCATGCAGCCATTCAACCTGTGTCCTTCAAACCCGCCTGATAGTGGTCTTAGAAACGATATTTTATGAAGTTGCAGAAAATCAATTTTGAAATTTAAGAATAATATTAAGTACACTTGATCCTCGTGTTGCCAAAAAATAAGTGCAAGAAGCCTTGGACAAATAATCTTGTGGTTCTTATGAAAAAAAGTGTATTCAATTTGAAGTATATTATGCATCCATATTATTTGATGATCACACAGATTATATCACAAAGTACACACAAGTAAACTTTTAACCATGCTTGATGCCAGTTATAAATGCAGCTTTGCATCACTGTTTTGTGTTGCAATGCCACCAGGCAAAGGTTTGCAAAGCATACACCTCTAAAGGTGAATTTTAGTCAGCTTTTACTAACCTTTTAATTTGACATTTAATACTAGCATTTAGTATGTCATTTGAATAACTAACAGGTGTTGTAATGTTCTAGGCTTCATCAGAAAGGTCTATGGAATCCTGACAGCACAGCTGCTTCTGACAACAATCACTGCTGGAGTGTTTATGTACACAGAGTCAATAAAAGACTTTGTTCAACAAAGGTATTCTAATTTTCCTACTATGAGCAGGGGCGGATCCAGGAAATTTTCTGACTGGTGCTCAGTTTATTGGACCACAACCAAAAAATTTTCCCCTGCCCCTTTTTTGTTGGTGATGTTATGTAAATAAGATGGGCTTTATTAACAAGGAAAGTATTGTACAAAATAGAAGCATGTTTTTCCATGAAAATTTAGAAAATGTTCTACATTGGTTGAAATGTATCGTTCAGCTTGGAATGTGTTGAAAACAGAATTTTACTTCTCTTTCATTGATTAATTTTTTTGGTTTTGCAAGACCTTTGACAGGCATTTACACACCCTCTTGTACTCCAAAAGTCGTGCTAAAGTTCTAAGCTATTCTTCCTAGTCTACAAAAATCACAATGGGGTAGCTGATTTTTGTATTTAGCAAATAGAAAAAAAAACCAAATATCACAACATTTCAAGTACCGCTTTGTCACAACTACCCCAACTCAAACAACAGTGATTTGTGTTTGCAAAACTCAAAACAACTAGTAATATGGCCTAATTAAATGCATCTTGGCATGTCACCCTATTTTTTTATGAAAGATTATGTCACCGCCTTACCTGATAGATTCTGTTCGAAATTTTGAGAAAAGAGCTGTGAATAAGCGATTGAGTCAAAGCAATTCGGGCCCCAGTAAAACACAAAAACATCCACAATGTCCCTTCGGAAAAACAAACACAGAAACAGGAGGAGAAGAAACAGTACTTTCAAAATCTGACCAGTTCCCAAGCACTCTTTGAGCCCCCTGGATCTGCCACTGATGAGCAGCATATAGACAGTATGATCAGGATTCTTGTGATTCCTGCAAGTATTCTTAGGGGCTGGCAAATACCTTCTTTAGTGATGTGTTTGTGAAATGGTTCCTCTTAATGGAAATAGCTTACTGAAGTATTGATCTTTTCAAGATAACCTATAATGACAGGTTAATCTCCATCAAAAACTGTACTCAGACATTCAAATAAAGTTGCTTTGAGATTAAGAATCATTTTGTTCTTTTTGAAGCATCAGACAACAAGAACTACAAGCTGGCTGGAAAATACATTCCATATTGTATGGTGCTTGTACCAGTACCGGTAGTTATGAGTTGCAAGATTTTGTGGCTAAGCAAAAAATGTAGTAATTTTTCTCTAACACTACTCATTTCTGGCACAACTCAATATGAACAATAATCAAAAGATAAACAAACTGTATCCTTGCTTGATATGGAGGTAGCTGATGCAAAAGCAATTTTAGAGAAGGGGGCCTCTGTCACCCAAATACAGTGGTGGCGCCAGGGGAGGGCTAGGGGGGGCTACAGCCCCTCCATCAGAAACATCTAGCCCCCCCCATCGGAGGAAATTGTAGGTTATTGTTGGAGCAAATTTGACAAAAAACCTACGAAAACTGCTTATTTTAGTCATTTTAGCCTCCTTGTCGGAAGCTCCAACCCCTCTGTTGAAAGATTTCTGGCGCCACCTCTGCCCAAATAATCACTTTTTAGTGCATTTTGACTGTTTTGTGCTTTATGTGTTCTCATTTTTAAAATCTATTTGCAATCCAACACAGTCCTGGACTTCTTATGGTTGGCATGATCATGTCTCTGATCCTTGTCATTGCTTTGATGGTCAAAAGAAGAGAAGCACCAACCAATTTCTACTTACTTGCTGCTTTTGTGAGTTTTTTATTTTTTCTTTAGTTTAAACATATAATACTTTTGGAACCGTAATTTATCATGAAGTGTGTTTATCAAGAAGTGTGTTTATCAGTCGTCTAGTGACATTTATCTATTCAATCTTACCTGCTACTTTTCTAGACACTTTGTGAAGCATACACCATTGGAACTGTTGGTAAGTACCCAGTTTCCTTTAGGCTTTCTATTCTCTGATTTCAATGATCGCATGCCTTTCAAAGAGATTCTTGTTATTACCAACCAAATGCAAACTTGAATAAAAACTATGCAATATGTTTCTATTAAGCTTGTTACATTTATATTGCCTTATGTTCGCAAGCCATTGTCCAAATTTAAGGTATAATTAAATGTTAGTATATTTGAAAAAGTTTCAGTTCACACATAGGATTCCTACCATTGCATCAAGCCTAATGATTACAAAATAAATCATCGACTGACCCAGTTTTCCATATTACATATTCAAAACACAGGAAATACAGAAATATAAAAGAAGTAATCATTTATTTGGAAGTCCACTTTCAACTTTTTAAAAAATCTTGGTCTTCTTGAATTCCATGACATCTTCTAATTAAAACTATTAACTTTTGTTTTTTTCAAGTCTTTAACTAAATGTTACCCAGCTCAATTTCATCTTGTTAAGGTCACATGTTCCCCATAATTCTACAAGACATGCTGATAGGCATAATTTTCATGTAATTCAGATGGTCTAAAATATGGTCTAAAGTCATTATCATGTTATCTAGGAGCTTAGCTTTAGGACGATATAATCTAGAACGAGATAATTTTTGTCTAAATAATGATACTCTGGTGTTATATTTTATTTTATATCTCTGCTTAATTTATTATAAATAATCAAATAATTTAGTTTGCTGTAATATTATGGTCTTCAAAACTGTTTAACAATAACAAAATAAATTCATTTTTTTCTGTACAGTGACATTCTTTGACCAATTTGTTGTCCTGCAAGCCTTCATGCTTACTGTTGGGACCACCATGGCATTAACTGTGTATACTTTCCAAAGCAAAAAAGATTTCAGCAACTGGGGAGCTGGGTATGAATTTGGAATTTGTTTCTTAATTTCTTGATAGGAAAAGAAATCGAATGTCCAGCATGGCACTTCTAAAATAGTTGTAATTCTGAAATTGAATATTGCCTCTCTGCAAAATTGATTTTAAATTTTTGAAAAAAGCACATGATAAATTGGAGCCTTATCTAGAGGTAGTAACTCTAGATTGAATCTTTATTATGAACTTGACATGCAGAAATATGTGAACAGTACAAATAATTTCTGGAATAATGTCACTGTTATTTTGTTTTTTCTTGTTATCCAAAGTTAGAAGTTTAAATGGTGGAATATTTCCCGTGAACATGACCAGATAAACAAACATTATGCGCTAAATCTACGGCAGATTTTTAATAATGTGCTGGCAGAATGAAGGATAAAATAATTGCACGGGGAAAGCGCTTTAAGTCTAGCATACTTTTCAATCTGGTATACTTGCATTAAAACACTTTTCAAATTTGTCTTTATTTTTAGGCTTTTCAACATTTTGTGGATTTTCATATTGGCTGGATTCATGCAGGTCAGTTGTGTACATTAAACTTTTGCTAGAATAACAGAAACTGTATGCTCAGCTACTTTCAATATAGAAAGCCATACCTGATCTAAGAAAGCTTAGAAATATTAATGGATCTGTTTCCTCCTCAAGATTACCATATATTTATTGATTTCTGCAGCAGAAACTTTCAACACTTTCAAAACTACAGGTTTCTTGTCAAAAAATTCCAAAACTGCAGGCTTCAGGATGCTATTTATCCACAAGTTGGTAGAGCTATCTATCTCGTTATCCTTGTTTCTCTTCTTCCTTGGTTAAAAAAGTCAAAATCTTTAGCAACAGAAAAGTTTGAAGCATTATTTTATGGATTTGTAGATGTCAAAAAACTCACCTAGATATGTACTATTTCATTTTATGTTATAGCTTGCAAATTAGTTTTTGTAGATCTTCTATATGCAGTTATGTATGACATATAGAGCAGTTTTACTCTAACCCGACTCATGAGTTCTTGTTGAATCTTTTTACAATGTTTTATGTTTTTTTTACAATTTTTTAAGAGCTTCCTACTATTGATGACAAACTTTTAAAATTGATTATTATTATCAATTTGTTGTTTAATTTCTTTAACAGATTCTTATGCCAAGTGACATCCTGTACCTTGGTATGGCGGTTGCTGGAGCAATAATCTTTTCCTGTTTTATTGTGTTTGATACACATTTGTTACTCCACAAATTGTCTCCTGAAGAATACATTGTTGCAGCAATCAACCTCTACTTGGACATTATCAACCTGTTTTTGGAGATCCTCAAGATTCTTGATGCAATGAAGAAAAATTGACATCTATTACACTACCATAATTTAGTTATTAATTCTGGAGTTGGGGCTAAGTAAGATAACTTCAATGTTTTGCTGTTTGATTTTGTTAAATGGCTTAACATAACATACACACATTTCAAAGCTTTCAGAGGAATTTGGACTTAATAAAGAAAGTCTGTCCATTTAAGTTGAATGTTTCCTTGTGGCAGTTGGTTGGTTGCATGCCAATTGTCAACAGAGGCGGCTACCTAGAGTGTAGGATTTTATGCAAAAATAAGCATGAAATCCTATGACGGGTTTGCAAAAGCAGGTAGCCAGCAATACTTGTCCTATTCACAAAATAGAAAAGCATTTATTAATAGCCTGTGCTACAGGTGGTTAGGTTTTAGAGCGCTGAATAATGTCTACACTTGAAAATATTTTTATTTTCTGGTCTTTAACAAAACATTTAAGTCTCCTAATTATATGAACTTGTTATAGTCTTTATTCGCTGGAGAAAACTTTTTAATCAGTAAGTTTTCACACGTGGTACTATCCAGAGTACTGCAACACAGTATGACACTGCTTTGCTGTAATCCTAACTTGAAAGATATTTGACAAGTATGTGAAAATTACATTATAATGTTTAAAAAGTTGTCTTTTCCTAGTTATGTCTTAATAATACCTCTTTGATTATGGCTAGTGGTGGTGATGGCAGTAAAAAGTGGGTGGAGGGAGCAGGCCTCATTCTCCCCAAGGCTCTCCTCAAACGCTGGAGTGGAGCTACATATTGCTCTCCTAAACTGCTCTAAAAAGAAAATAGCTCTCCTTGAAATAAAGTTTTTTTATTCTTATTTTTACAAATAGCTCACCTGGAAGTTAATAGGAGAGCTGTTTACTGCTCCTCGGCTAAAAGTCTTATGGCCAGGCCTAGGAGGGAGGTTAATTGGCATAGCCCATAGAAATATTTTGCCACAACTCCCTTTTTCTTGCAGTTATGGCTAAATTTTCAACAAAATTATCTGCATCATGTCAGGAAAACACATTTCTGAAAGTACAGTTGAAAATTAAAATATGACATACCCCTAACAAAAAACATTTTGGCAGACCATATTCTGATAAAATTCAGGGGAGGAATCGTGCACTTTTAAGGGAAGGCAAATAGCAAAATGGCCAAACAAATATATCACAAAGCATGCCTTGTTTAATGTTGTGGGTTTAAACCCAGGTTTAAGTCTTCCTTTTCTAACAATTCATTTTCCCCCCCCCCCCCCAGATGAAATATACAGCCACAAGTTCTCCCCCCCCCCCAAGACCATTTATACAGCTATATAGATGAAATACACCTTATCCACAAAGCAACATGTCCCGAATGTACACAAAAGGCCTCAATTAAGCATTACAATTGAGATGCAATGGGCAGCAACTGAAGTTTGCAGCATAGCACATGTCTTTCAAACTCAAACGGCTTTTATAAAAAAATTATCATGCATCCATATTTTATATCATTTTCACAGGACATGTGACATTGGGCAACATAAGCCAACTTTACAACTTTCTTAGACTGTTTACAGCTCAATATGCTAAAGGTTTATGCTACCTGTAAACTAAGTCCAGTCTGACAATTTGGAACGCTAAGGTACGGAAAACAAAATTTGGAAATTAATAACCACCCAAAAACTGGATGAGGGGAGAATATATCTTTCAAATTAGTGAATTAAAGTGGAAATAAAAAGTGATTTAAAAAGGCTAGTTCCTTAGAATACAGTGGTGCATTAAAGCATATGAGGAGGGGCATTTCTTCTTTACCCTGTTTGTGGATAATGACAATTTAAATGGAATTCAGACTAACTAGTCAGTATTCTGGCAACGCCCCCAATACTTTAGAGGACAATGGCCTTTTGTTCCAATACAATGGGAAATGTGACGTCATCTTGATAAAACAATAGGCTTGACCCTCAATATCTGACCAAGTGTCCGCCCCTGCCCCCTACAAACAGGCAAATAAGCATTTCTGAAGCAATTAGTTAACCCTAACAAGTACTAAAGAGTGATCAATTAACTTCTATTTTTTTTAATGTTAGTGACCTCAAATACTATATCACTAAAAAACAAAACCCTTAAATGTTTATATACTAAAACAAAGCAAACAATGCACGAAAACAACTATCAGTTACCTAATTCCTCTAAGTATATATAAGTGATATTTTTACATGAAGTACCTACAATATGATAAAACCATGTAAACAACGTGGGGTCATACCTTTAAGATTCAAGCTTATAAAAAAGAAATGGTCCTGGTCTGACCTTGTTTCTCTGGATCGTGACTTTATTGAACTCTTGGTTTCATAAAGGTGTGTCAGGTACAGTCACGTTGGTTTTTGATTCAGACTTCTGCTCAGTATTGTCTCCAGTGTTTATGTCTGTTTGTCCGGTTTCATAACTTTCCTCGCTTGATGATTTCGTTATGCATGTTGTCCCTTGTTCTGAAAATTAAAACATTCTAATGACACTCTGCAATAAACATAACAGAATGAGACAAGAAAAAGTGCAAATGCGTGTGAAAAACAGTGGTAATTTTCTAGTCAATAGCAGGGAGGTATGTCAGTAGAAACGTTGAGCAATCAGGGGGGATGTAGATGTAGGAAGCATTTGGAAAAGAGAGGGAAAGGGCACATGTAGACAAAAAGGGATACTCTTGTAAGCTGCAAATAAGAAATGGTTGTATGCGAAATGTTCCTCTGATGTGACGGATACGGAAATTCATTAGCCGAGGGAATGCTTTGTATTGCATTAATGACAACATTTTTCTCTAAGTAAATGAGGATCTTCCATAATCTGCTTTCGTTTGACTTTTTATGGAGAGGGAGGGAGAATCAAGCTAAAAGTGAGCTATCAGGTAATACAATGATCTATCTAACATCCAGCTACTCAACAAAACATTTTGTTTGAGTGGACTGGCAATCTATAGTTTGTTTGTCAATAAACAACATTCCAATAAAATGATTGAGGATAACAGAACATCGAAAATCGGGTTTCATTCTCCGTCATTGGATGCAAAGGTTTGTGGGATTGGGTCCCGGACAGTATGCGCCTTTCACTCAAATTTGGTGTAGCGATTCGTTAATTGTAATGTAACGATGGTCTTTGTAAACACTGTTGGCTAGGCAAGGGTACATCCGGTCTATGTTGCAATTACCCCCATATGAACATTCCGGATGCATATCCTTCAGGAATACAAGGTACTAGCTTACCTTGGTCGTAAGTCTGTGCAGGCGGATTCATATCTGGAACTGTCTCCGTAGGCGAATTTTCGCTTTTGGCATCCCCCTGCGAAGCCAGTCCCTCCACAACCTCAGGTAATTGGTCATGTGGTGGCAGAGTTTGCTCAGTTACGGCATCAAGTTTCCTTTCCTCAGAAATTCCATTGGTCATCGACATTTTTTCTTCGTTTGGGCTACAGTTTCCATTGTCCGGCCTTGACTCTTCTTCATTATCTAACTTGATTTTTCTACAACGAAGGTTCGGGCAATCAAATATTCAGGAAATGCAAACATCAAACTTAAGGCGAATACAATTTTGCAGAGCTGCCAAATATAAATTGAGGATTCTTTTAGCTATGTCAGTCAGACTCTGTGTTTCCGAAATTTGTAAGAGCCAAGTCTAAACAACGTGAGGTGATAGTTAACAGTATAGAATATTGGTAATCGATACAGCCGCACTCAATATATTATGGTTTGATCATAAGAATCCAAACACGTTTTTGGTACCGCAAAATTTGAAGCTAGCACGAAAGCGGAAATATAGCATACTAAAGCATTTTTCGTCCACAAACTTCAGAGTATAAACGTCGGATAATAACGATGTGTGGATCGAAAATAACGTGAGAAGAAAAATAATTCGTTTTATCTGCATGCCCGTTTTATCTGTCTGGATTGGGGAGCAATGCCGAATCACATGAATCCCTTTATCGAATCTACTAATATTGGACCCACAAGTTGTTACAGCGGTAGAAAATCAGACTGGAAACTTTGTCGCGCGCCAGCAATAAATTGCCCGCGTACTCTAATTTTCCATCCACGCGATTTTGCATATTGACCGCGCAAAGTCAATAATTAATAACATTATATACTATTAACAATACAAATTTCTAAATGTGCGTGATTTGGGGCTCGCAGTAGCAAATTTTCAAAATGAACTTGTCCGCGCAAGAATTTTCCAGTCTATTGAGTAGAAAATCGTACTTTAGAAAATCTTAAGCAAGATTTGTCAAGCTAATCTGTTATTTGGGTTTGGGCAGTACTTTAATACATCATATATGGCTAAAAGTCTTTGAATACAAAGTTTCTTTTCGCGGTCTTAAATACTGAAAAACTGCGCTATTTTGACTTTCTAGCTCAATTTGAAAAATTAAAATTTAATTTGAGTCTGAAACAATCATTTTGCAAGAGAACGATCAGTTTTCATAAAATAAATGTCAAGTTCAAATGCATAAAAGTCAGGGCATAATATTGATATGATGAAAAACAAAACTGCCTATAAATATGGTTAAAACTAAACTTATATTTCTTAATAAATGTATGGTTATAACACAAGAGGGACAAAGTGGTTACTCTCCCCTTGACATGTTGCAAACATGAATGAATCCTCATTATTGGGTACACTGTTAATTAGCAAAACAAGATCGAGAGATGTTGAATCTTTTTGTCAAACAGGAAAATAAACTGGCCAGAAGTATGAATCAATTAAAGTAAATGCTTTGGGAGAGCATTCACAGGGGTTGTTTTTAAGAGCTAGCCAAATTTTCATTCATTTCAACAGCTGTCTACTGTTAACAGCATTCACAAACTTACTTTGGAGGGATGTCATCATGATCTGAATCTATTGGGTCTACTGTGCTTGTTTCTGACTCCTCTGGGTCCACAGTGCTGACAACTGAAAGGTTCTACAAGAAAAACCCGCCATGATTTTAATCAAGTGTCATGAGGGATTACAACAGATCATCCTTACATAATTTATGTTGGCATGCTTAATTTTGGTCTTCACTACACGATTTCAAAAGAACATTGGCAACAGAATTGAGCAAAACATCACAAAAACAATGAATGGTAACCGTTTATCATATACCTTATTAAGACCTCTCAAGAATTTGGCACAAGTCTTGTAATGTTTTCGTGGTTGAATTAGGAGTTCAGAAACCCTTTGTATAGTAAATGGTGCACTGCAAAAAAGAAGGATCAACACATATATATATATATCAGGTGATAATGCAATAGATATATATTGATAGGTGTTTGTAAGTAACAGAAACCTTAATATGTTTACTGATAAAAGGGTATGGCTTTAGGCATGTTTCTGTGACAAAAAAGAAAGAGATACTTAGTTAGGGGCTATCTCTTGATAAAAAACTTCTCCATTTCTCTTCTGTTACTTTTAACTTTCTTTTGCGACAATCCCCTTCTTGATAGTTCCAAAAAAGTACTTTAAATGAAACACTAAACAATTGTTCATATTCATTAGCCCCCTCTCCCACCTGCAACCAAATAATAACTCCCTGTGTGCAGCAAAGATAATTCTTAGGCCAGATAGTTATTGCTCCAATAACGGATGTTAACTGTTGTATTGATAAAAGGATCATCTGACTTTGAGTAACAATATCAAATGTGCCTTGCCCTTTATTTTTTTAATATGACCTGGAAATGAATGTGTAAACTTTAATAAGAACACTTCAACAGAGTTTCAGTTAAACCTAGGTTGGTTGACTTCTTGCAGTTTATGTCCATTGAACCAAATTCAAATTTTTAATTTCTTACTACAACAAGATTAACTGTGAATGAATGAAAACACTGAATAAGTTTGATGAAAATTACCCAATAGTCTTATCTGAATAACAATCTAACAGAAAATCATTAATAAGATAGAAAATGTGATGTATTAAAATACAAAAAGCACATGGACTAGACTGATTAATAAGATTTTGTTGAATTATCAAATGATAAAATCAAGTTCAGAGAAAAAAGCAACTGACCTGGAAAAATTATTAAATATTTTTAAAATGGAGCTTCTTTCATTTTTCAGCTCGTTGACCTTGTCTATATCAACACCACTTGCACTCTTCGGTGGGAAATTTTCAATGAAATGGTCCATCACCTTAAAAAGCACACAAATTAACAACACTATACACTGTTTGTATTTTGTAAAAACTAAAACTGACCACTATGTATTGGTGTTTAGAAAAGGAGGGTTCTATTATGCTACTCTGTTGAGCTATGTGCTTTATTACGCTACTTTCTGTTCTAGAAAACAAAGTGTGTTCAACTCTGTCCATAATCCATGAAGCATTTGGATAACAGACAGGATAGCAAGAGTCTACAAATTTGTGGGTTAGATATATTGAAATAACAATTTTTAGACATTTTGTGCAAATTCATAAGATAAAGATTTCAGGGACTATTTTCATGATGATTCCATTTAGTGCATGCATAATGAAGAAGATTGATGAATGGCTCAGGAAGCTCTAGTGACAATTCCCATTCTTTAAAAATACAAGCTATTTCCCTTAGATATAGCTTGTGTGTAAAACAGCTATGAAGTAAAGCAAATATAGTTCATCCATGGCTCACAGACTTATCATGAAAACATTACTGCTGTAACACAAGTAAAAATTGATGATTATTTCATACAAATAAACCCAGTCATTAATGGTTGCTATTACATTCCCGAGCAAGGACAGACTAAACAAGGGATGTGGGATGCAACATTTCCCCAATATTATTGTGTTATTTGGTTGATTCTGCTTTGATTAGGGGAAAATATATTTTGGTAGTAAGTAGTAATTTAGTATTGCCAATACTTTCAATTTTTTTTTCTCATTTTCTTTATCTCACAGTTAAAAGTGTAATATTGTAAAAAATGACATTTCATCAGTGGTGTAGTGCTATCAAAATAATAAGGGGGCTCTTGCACAAAACATTGCAAAAACAATAGCAAAAGTAAAAATTGGCCAATTTTGGGCATCAACAAGGGGGACTCAGTCCTACACCCCTGATTTTATCCATTTCTAGGGACCTGATGGATTTGGCACTAAAATCCTATCATTATTATCTAACACACCCTCAATGCTTGCATTTATAAACCATTCTTGTCTCCAAAAATAAACATGCCTGACATTTACATAAATTAATTTTTATGTAAAACATGCATGAAACACATCAGTCATTAATGTTGATTTCCTAAAGTTACTTGTCCTTGAATTATTTAGCTAATAAGTAAATCCAAAAATAAGAAGAAAATTCACACCTGTTCTAGTTCATGAGCATACAAAGGCTTCAAATATTCCCACTGGTATCTGATTAGTAAAAAACAAAATGTTACATCTTTGACATGTGGAGTCAATTAAAAAGTGATGCAATCTAACACTAAAAATAAGATGAATAATGTGATACAACTTGCAAGCTTAGCATTGCTAATGATTAAAATGTAACCTGGATGTACCTGTTACTTATATTTGAAATGGCAAAAAACATCAAAGTTTTATTTGTTATAAACTCCTGAGTGTAACATTTATGAATGTCCTAATTATTTCAAAATGAACATTACAGGCTTTATGCCTAGATGGGTATTATACAAGAATGCAAAAACATGAAGCAACCACTTCAATATTCTGTTGTGAAGCATCCTTTACAAATAAAAATAAAATATCTTGACTTTAAAATAGGAAACTGACATTTGGAAAAAGATTATTCAAAAACATGTAATTTGGTTCTTTCAAAAAATACAACTGCTTGATATTTTTTTCAAAATAATGTTGAAAAAAAGTTTCAATGAATGTCACACTCTAATGCAGTAAAAAAATTAGCAAAAAGGAAGGATTGAAAGGGACATCACATGGTTTTTATACTGACTTGAACTGAAAAGCAATTAGAATCTAAAAACATCTGTATTTGGCCAAATTGATTTTAAAGTAACATCTTTTTGTCTTAAATCATAAAATGGCTAAGGATCATCATGCAGAACCTATGAAAAGAAACACCTAGTAAAAATTCAATATGAAAACACAGTTCTTAAATAATGGCAAAATTGTTTGAAATTATTTCTTACATGTATCTTCCATTTTTGGCAATCCCTCGTATAATTTCTCTCAGTTCCTGTGTGACAACTTTTTTCTCTTGTTTGATAAAACCTTTGAAAAAAATTAAAACATTTCTATCAGTTGAAAGTATAATGCTCTACATCTATGTTCTAAATTTTTTAAAAGTTTGTTCCCAAAAGTTTATTTTCTCAAAACAACCCTACGATTATCAGGGGGCGCGTGATAGCGCGCGAGAGTGCAGGCCTGCGCCTAAGGTTACCTTTGAGAGTGATTAGTCGCACATCCAGTGATAAATATTTCCCGTGAAGAGCGCGATTGCCGGATGCTGATAGGTCAAACCACTTAAGAAACTCTTTTTAGAAACAGAAGTTTGACATCGAATCCTTGTTTCAACTGCTCTGTTTTCGTATGTCTTCCGATCATTCAGTTTCTGTTATTTTTGAGCCGTTCCCATTGCTCCGGCCCACACTGTTTTGGCCAAAACAGAAATGAAGGTTTTCCCATTACTCTGTCTTGTTTGTTTTCGTATCCTTTGTTTAAGCTCATCTTGAAACTGAAGATGAACGAATTTGTTTTTAAATGACTCCGTTTTCGATTTTCTCATTAAAACAATTCGTTTCTAAATGACTCTGTTCTCCGATGACTTCTTTTTCGCTGTGTCCATTAAAATGATTCGTTTTCAAACGTTTTTGGCTGATAACTTGAAACATCATTATAAATGTCTCTGTTTTTGAGCGATTCATTCAGCTCTGTTTTCCTATAAAAGCAGAGTAATAGGAACAGGGCCTGATTTCCAACGGATGTTGCTCAAACGGGGCCTTCTTTTTGTTTTATTTGCTAAAGCTATTTTTGTCTGTTCTTTTCTTTAACTTTGCTGAACAGAATTGAAACTTTGTCACGTTTCTTAAGTCACTGAAACCTCTCTATATCAAAGAGTACCGTTCACAATAACTCGTGAGGGAAACACGAACATGCTTTACAATGCGAAGAATTCAGTCCATTTCAAAAGTTTTGTCATGTTTAATGTTTCAATAGAAAATCTTTAATGCTCTGTGTTAACAAATAAATTTGATTCGCGCGCCTTATCTTATCACGCGAGTTTTTTAGTGCGCACATTATTTTTTTAACGTGAAAGCCCTGAATATTATCAGATGCTGGATATTATTACATTGCAGACTCCTAATTGAAATATATTGCAAAGTAGCTTTGACCTGCTATTGGAAATCTCACTGTTACTCATTTAGTGTTTGCTCGAATTTTTGCCAGTTCCAGGGTTTTCCTTCCATTTCTGGATGGTTCTTGCCTGTTTCTGGCTATTTTGTTTGACCCTGCTTTTAGTATCTGTGCTTATATTTGCTGATGCTCTAATAAGCATCAAAGGGATCAGCCCTTAAGTGTCCCATTGAGAGTTTTGTTTTTGAAGCCTATCAATTGGCTTTTCTGTTCATTTCAGTTATAGATTTTTTGTAATTTGGATTTTTCCCGAGAATTCTTAAGGAGTTTGATTCAAAACTGAAATGAAGTAAGAAACATATACTAGCAGTAATGCGGTTAACTTTGTTATTTTGGACACATTAGTATCAGAGTTTAGCGTCTTGTATTCTTTTCTGTTATCAATGATTGAAATTTCTCTAAATCCTAGAACACCAGATACTAACAGGATACTCGTATTTTGAAATGTTATAAAATATCTTTTTTGTGGAACTATAGTCTCATAAGTGTATCGTTGCTATGTGCGCTATTGCACATACCGTTCTTAGGCCCACAAAGGTACGGTGCGCTTTGAAAGCACATTTTCCCTATTAAGTGCCCTTCTATAAAAAAAGACATAAAACTTGAACGCTCACCAAACAAGGCTTCTAGTCGTTTATCCACATCATTCTCCATGATATTGGCAGGCAAACTGTTGACTAAATCAGATCAACTTCTCCGTTTTCCTTTTCCCACCTGACAAGAATGAATTTTTTCATTTGATAACAGGGGCCATTTGACAAGAGCCTCTTTTTATTTGACCTCTTTCTCAATTCGATTTTTAGTTGGAAGCGATGTTACTTTTTCACACATGCATCAAGTTTGCAATAATACTTCAAAAAACAACATCAAATACTTTAGAAATTTAAACTGAACTGAAACATAAGTAACAGAAATGCTTGATAATTCCATCACCTTGCCAAAAAAGTACCCCATTCAATTTTTCTTTCTTCCAGTTAATGAAAGATGACATACTGTATCCTTGGAAATGCATCCTTCACTCTTAACAGGACGTGTTCAAATAGAACTACAGGATCATATCAGGGGGCGGACTGGAATCGGCCTTTCTTACCGGGAAATCAAAATTGGGGGCCCAAAAAGTCTGCCTTCTGGAAAACTTCAGTAGGACGTCACTGTTTGTTTGGTGAAGGGTTTTGGTGAAGGTCGACTCCATGGTTGGCGGCAAGAAAGTTTTTGTGGGGATATAGCCGGAAAATTGATCTAGCATATTAAAGAATCGAATCAGAACCGATGATTTTAACAAGACAGTGGGAAAAGTCTTGCAAATATGTAGAATAAATCTTTGACCACAAATCATTGAACAATATAAGAATGAATAAGATTAAAAAATTCTGTTGCTACATTGCCAATTCAGATCCAACCTCCTTGCATTCAAGCCTGTTGAATCCATATCTTTTCAATAGGCACGCCAAACTATACCCACTCATACACAGAAATGTAAGGGATCCCACGCCATTTCCTTCTCCAAAGCCCTCAGAGCAAATGGAGCAACTCCTTCTGTAGCGACGCCTAACCTTCGTCAAGCGCCATTTATTTCATCTTGGTACTTCTACATTTTTTTTTCTATGCTGCAATGAGTACTTTGTGACGATTGCTACTTTTTGTGATATAATTTATTTTTATATTTGTCTTGTCACGCCTGTTATGTATTCTTCAACACTGAATTGCGTTGGGGGCCAATGAGAAACGGGAATACTGAATTAACACTTCGAAATGTCTCTCAGGGCTTCTGGCCGATGAGTTGCTTGTTTATTGATACCTTCATTTCAAATGTTCAGTCTTCAATTGGCAGTGACAGCATCAACCACTAGGCTCTGGGGGCCATTTTGTCATAAAAAAACATCGTAAAAGCAGATTCAGAATCATAGGAGTACATCACAAAAAGAACATTGCCAAAACACTAACCATCTCACAACATTTTCTCATTGAATTTTAATAAAACACAAAATTGATCCTGCAAAGGACAGGGGAGACGTGCCCCCCTCCCCAATGGCACTGCTCTTGTCAGTGAGCATCTAGGAAAACTTCCTTTCTGGGTTTATGACTGTCACCAATGGTAGTTATCACTTCCCTTTTTTGTTTTCTCTTTACATTTTATCTTTCATTTAATATTTTATTGTTGTTTAGTTTTGCCTTATACACCTAAGAAGATGTTCAACCCAATATTTCAGAGTCTTTGGTACCAAGGATGGGAACAGGATCTTATTATTTGATTTAAAATGGATCCTTTCATGCTGCATTAACAGGTGCATTCTGGTAATTGCATGGTGTCTTCTGAGCAGAAAAGTCCATAAAAGTAATAGGGTACTCAATAGTTCCCCTAATTTCTATATTCCTGCTGGCCTGATTCCTAACCATCAATTCCTGGACACTAGTGTTATCGATTCCTGAATCTCATTCAAAAAAATTTACTATTTCCTGATGATGATTCACGCTTCCCTGAAAAACATATTAGGTACTAAATGTACTTATAAAAACAAGTATACCAAGTAATCTTTAAGTTGATAACAGTTGATTGGCATACTGGCAGAATTTGAAATGCAGTTTTTACGCATATTCAGAACTTTTTCAAAAGCAATTTGGATTCAATTTGGTTACCTAAACTATGAAACTTGGGAGTTTAAAACTCATTATTTGAAAGGTGTTGCGAGATATCCAGATCAAAATACAGAGAAACATCGTTTTTGACAAACAATGCAAGAACATTCAAGAGTATTCAAGAACAAAATGAATGTTTAGCTATAAGAGTTTTGTGAAAATGATCTGTAAACTTGCAGACACACAATTGCTTAAAAGAGCATCCATTTCAAATACTGATCAGCTGCATTACAAAAGAACAAAGGGGTAACTCAGACATAAAGATACAACAGTGTTAAAAAAATTGTGTATGTTTAACCTACAATCATTTATATTATCCAACTATGTGAATAAACTGCTGTCAACATAGAGCCAACAATGTGCTTATCTGTCAACAGTACTAAAATTTGAGTCATTTTGTTTCGAGAGAGCAGATTTTGAATTTTGCAAAATTATGTTTCTGGACTTATTGACACCTTTTGCTTTTCTATACATATTTGACAAAATATTTGGATAAAACATCCCTTTTGAACTTTTGGCCAAGTGAATATGTGACATGTCTTGGAGTCTTCTAACATCAATTTCCACCTGGACTGATGTTTGTAGACATGTAACATGAGATTTGAAGGCATCTTCCTACTGCTTTAGTGATCTCTCCACAAAAATCAGCTTATGACCAGCGTGGAATCCATGTAGCTTACGCCGGAGATATCCGGCATGGACTAACAATTTCTCTTGTCTTTCTATTGTTTATTGGCATATGTCCGGCGTAAGCTTCACATGGATTCCACCCTGGGCTTATGAACCTGCTAAAATGTGTTACAATGCTTCATTTTCATCTGAAAGATTCTCCCCTTCAACTTTTAATGGTTTAGCTTTACATTTTTGCCTATGTCTCTCTAAGAAGTCTGGAGTGTACCATTTTCTGCACTTTGGGCAGGGCTGCGGCCTTTCTTTTCCAAAGTATTCCATGATCTCAACTATGCCAATAACAACACAAATGACATTTTTCATAAGAAGGACAGAAACATCTGTGTTGTATTTATGCCAAAGAACAGACCTGATAATGAGATTTGGCACGTTAACCAGGAACACAAATGCACAGGAATATAAAACTTTGGAAGATAATGAGCTGACTTGTCCTGTAAAACTGTTTATTTTGAGCTCAAATAAGGCAAGCGTTGGCAAGAAAAAGTTCAAACATGCAAACACAAGCACAGCTGTTGTTAATGCTCGAGGAAACTTGTGCTCTTCTCTGTCCAAAAACAAAAACTCCAACAAGTCTAGGCTATCAAAGAGGTCAAACGCGATGCTTCCAGTCAAACTTTGGATATAATACTTTCTGACTGTATGTGGTTTTGAGTCGTGATGCGCATAGACAAGGAGTATGAAAATGAGTGGCGTACAGGCTGCACCAGCTTTCAGAGTGTTAGGCCCAAAAAAGTCCTTCTCCTTCAATCTGCTTGCACCGGAGCCACCAAATAGTATCGCAATTCTAGGTGTTAAAAGGGCTGCATATACTAGCCATGCTGCAAATGCAAGTGGAAGCTCATCTGGATATTCTTCAGGGTCCTTCCCGGCATCTACCTCGTCCTGCTTAAATTTAAAAAATCTGTGCGCAGTGATGAGGCACACAACCCAAACACAGATTACTGTGACGTCGGCTATGACGAAGGATGCCCAACGAGTGTCATGTTCCTTCACTAGGTATAAATCTAGTATTGCTCCTTGAAAAACAAGCAAAATGATGCAAGAAATTTTAGCCGCGAGTTCTAAAGCAGCGAACATCCTGATCTCACACCTCTTCCTTTGAGGAAGGAAATTTGATCACCTTTCCCCTGTCCTGGCCCTGGCCTCCTTTACACAGTTAGGCAAGAACCTCTTTTCAAACATTAATCAGGGAATCCAAATCCAATGACGAAGTCGCTTCTATATCATTGACGGAATCAACTACTCAAACCCGATTTCGTTTAAGAAGGAAATAAAAAGTAGAATAGTGCATGGCAATTACTTGGAAAATTTTTCTGGGTAATAGGTTATTGGTTTCCTTGCATTAATTTTCCCTGACAGTATTCTGTTTACCTAAAGGCAGTCTGTCCCCTTCGTGATGCTCAGGGAAATTACGCTATTGTGGTTCTTCGTTCTGATTGTTTATTTGTGTATTGAATCAACAATGCATGAATATCGTGGCCATGAAAAGAGGTTCTGAGAACAATCTAGAATGCAGCTGATTAACAATCGTACATCCTTAAAAATATTTGCTGTTCTGGGAATGACACCCAAAGCCACACCCAGATCAACACCTTTCATAGGGAAACAAAAAACGATATTCACAATAGCCCAACGTGACAAGCTTTAAGTTGCTTGTCATCACTGATGCGAGCCTAAGTTTGATTTCGTTAAAAGCTTAAAAACCTGCAAGCAAATTATTTGCAAAAAACGAGCAAAATATTTAAATTGATGCAAGAAATTTAAATTGCTTGGTGATACTAACCAAAAGTTGTAGTTACTTCAAAGGTTTTGCGTAATTTTTCGTTGGGAAATATCCACCCAAGAACAGTGAGCAAGTCCAGTGGCGAAGCTAGCCAAAAATTTTTGGTCCTGCTATATGGACAGGGCCACGCCCTTATTCAATAGGAAAAGCCCATGGACAAAAATTCCTTTTTGCAGATGAATTTTTTCTTAAATTCAGTAAAAAGCAAATTTTAAATCGATGTCTATCTCTTGAAAAATAAACCCATACTTAAAGACGTGCTTTAGGGGGCTTACTTTTCAAACAAATCTATGTTAAATTGTAGTAAGCCTCTACAGCTGAAGTAAAAGTTCAAATTGGTGATAACTAAATTTGACGATAAAAGGGGGTAGGGGTGGCATTTGAAGTTGCATATCATATATTTGTGGTATTCCAGATTTTGGTCTTATAAACCTGACCATCTAGATACTCTATTAAAATAATTTTAATAAACAACAGAGTTTAAAGTCTGTAGTGGCAAGTTCACATATTCTGCAGAACAATTATTCTGCAGCTGATAAAGAGAGGTACAATTGAATAATGTGTCGCATTATCAATGAAAACAACTTTATTAGCCAAACCATTAGACGAGAAAACAAATCAGGTAGAAAAATGCAAATTCCGCTGAAATTGGTTTATTCTCCAACTCCAAACTTTCAATCACACAACAGTAAATTCAATTATGCTTTCATCGTCCTTGTCCAAGTCTAAGAAAATCTTACTTAGGCCACCATGATATACCGTGCCTCAAACGATCGTACGAAAGCCCCGCATTCACATCGCCTCGCCATAATACTTGAACTGGCCTCCTTGCTAGTATCTCATAGCAGAACGAGAATGCACAGGGCAATTCTTGCAGTCCTGCTATCAGAAATAGCAGGACCAAAGTAGCCTGCGTGCAGACTCAATTTTGAGTCTGCACGCAGGCTAGACCAAAGGTTTTCAAAACAATGCTCTTTGACCTACGTAGGTGAACCCTCGACCAATCAAATCACAACTGCTTACGAAATGTTATGATGGTCATTTCGACGAGGTCCTGCTCCCGAGATTGAGCAGGACTGCTCTTTGTTCTAGACTATTGTGAAGCAGGACTAAATTCACAAAAGCCCATTGTGAAGCAGGACCAAACATAGGGTATCATAGTTATGAGCAGGACCGAAATACAGGGCTGCCGTAGGAGAGAACAGGACCTTGAGATTAGCACGGGATGCCTGTATCAGCTGGCGGAACTGGGGACTGTTTATCAAATAGAATTTGAAACTTCCTTTTTGCAAGGAAGAAATTGTTTATTGTTTACAGTAAATCTTATCTTTGGAAATTCTTGGTCCTGCTCAGCAGGACCAGCAGGACCTTTGGCTTCGCCACTGAGCAAGTCTTAAAAACTTCTAATTGCCCGCAACTCGCGCGCGATAGCGCGCGAGTGAAGGGCTTATAGTCTGCCCCGCGTATAAGTAGCATATGGAAGCTTCAGTTCATGTTGTCAGCACTTTGTCAGCAGATTTTGTCATTTTTCTGCTGCCATGACAACTGTCAATCAATTTCATTGTCAATCAATCGGCTTTGTCGAGGAGGTCGTTAACCGCCACCTCTTTGTGCGGAAGGGAATTCTCTTCGGAGAGTTGCTCTGCCAAGACTCTGTTAAAGGCCTTCGGTTTTTTTGGCACGAAAACGGTGCTGCATCACAGCTCGGTTCTCCGCAATGGATGGAAGTTTTGATTCGAAGTTTTGGGAATCAAAACCAGTCGAATGCCACACCTTTCTCCCAAAAACTTGACACCGTACGAGCAAAAGTTATGATTGTCGTGATTATAGCCTGTACATCGCTGTACGAATCCTTTATCGCAATCGATTTTAGCTGTACCCATTCTATCACGTGTCCATTTTCATACGTCTTTGCTTCACGAAAACGCAAAATAAATGTCAAACCCTAGAAAAACTTACTGATTTTCAAAAGGGCGTTGGACTTAAATCAAAGGCAAACTGAACACCAAAAATTCTTGATAAAAAGAATAGTTTAGCATCAACTAGAGCAGCTGTTTTTATAAAATTGCGAAAACCCAAGATGGTGTCTTCTTCGAATATCCTGACCTAAATTTTCAAAACAATCATTATCAAGGAACTAATTGTTTGCGGGCAGTACTAGCAAGAGCTGTTTCTAGTTATATATTTATTTATCTATTAAATGTGAACAGTCGCTTAAAATGAAACAGAAACGGGAAAATGATTTCAGGGTATAAAAAGCAAATTTAGTTAAAATTTGACTTTTACAACTTCTTTCATAAGGCTTAATATGTAATGCCTTTTCCTTCAAAAATCTGGTAATCTGAAATGATCTTCGCATTTGTAAAGCTGACAGGCTCCTCTCTCCAACATAAACGAATAAAAATAAATTATGCTTTCCTGAAAATTTTTCGTTTATTACCAACTACGAAGCTTTGGTTTTCGGCTGGGGTGAGTAAACTCGAGTAAGAACCATACCTGAGGGGGGCAGGCTTTTGACATAAAAAAACAAATAAATAACAAACAAACATGTTTGGACTAAATCAAGCTTACAAGGGTTACAAAGCAACTTTGAGTCAAAAATAGAAAAATGAATCAATTATAAAATGTCAAAATAGCAAAAAGCAAGTTTTTCGTGGCCACTTAGTTGAAAATTCCACGAAAGATATACAGTAGCTCTAGTTAGGCGTTTTCGAAACAAGGTGAGTCAGGACACTCTGACGAAAAGGTGTGCTGCACTCTATTTATATAAGAATCAGTAAATTTAAGTTCAGGCTGACTGTTCTTGGTTTTTTCGAAAATCTGAGACTGGATTGTTCTTAATTTGTTCTTAAATTATTAGGGTGTAAGCAGTGCGGTTGCTTGCTTTTTCGCTCTAGGGAAGTATTCAGGCCTTATTGCAAACAAAGTTAGTGGAATGAGAAAACTTTCATTTGCCGAAAAGTTTGGACATTCACCGAAAAAGCAGCTACACATGGCTAAAAGTTCTCGTTTTTGAGATAAAATGTTGTAAAAAATTGCATTTTACAGTAGCTCAGCCTCAGCTTTCTCTTAATTTGTTCTTAACTTTTGACTAATTTTGGCTAATCGTGTTCTTATAAAGTTGTTCTTATAAAGAGTGCAATGTCGCTTTCTTTGGGCAACAATGTACGTCATAGATGAAGAAAGGCATCCACCCCTTGCCGTAATCGCACGCCATTGCTGCACTGTGTATCATAATCAGAAATGGAGCAGCGACTTCATAATTCTCCAGCAAAATCTTGTTTTTAATGTCGTTGTTCTATTTGAACTTGCAGTGGCTCTACATGCAACCTCTCGCTATTCTGTGACGCCGCTGCACACACCACATTTGAATATTTCAAGACATGGAATATTTTGAAATTAAACAGGTTTAGTGTTGCTTACTTTTCAGAAATGAAGTATCCCCCCTTGCCAAAGCAATAACCTAGCGAAATTTTTATTATGCCAATTTTTCAAAATATTATTTGGAAAAACTGTACCCAGAAGGGGCAGGTTTTTGTCAAAATTTTCATTTAGGGGGCACATGAGGCTGCAGCTACGTGGCTGTTTGATACTGTGCTGTAATTTGAAGACATTTGAGAGCACAAAGCTGAGAATTAACATCTTTTACAAAATCTCGAAATCCAAGAAGTAAAAGAAAAGGCAGAAGAAGACGAGGAAGAGATTAAAGGCGAGGAAGAGATAAAACATAAACATTGATAACTGGATGAATCAGAAAAAGGCCAGAGATGAAAAAGAAAAAGGAGTAGATAGAATAAGAAAGGAAAAGGAGTAGAAAAGGAAAGAGAAAGAGAAGAAGAAAACGGTAAACATGAACCATCAGAAGAACAAAAGAATGCAGATGCAGACAAAAATTAAGAAGAATAGGCCACAAGTAAATGCAAGAAGACGAAGAAGGAGAAGCAGAAAAAGAAGAAAGATTACTCTCGAAAAAATTCATACAGTAAAATTTACTCTTATGACTTTAGCAATAATACATATCATTCTTCATAATTTTTAAAATTTTGATGTCATACCAAATAGAATGATACCACCTTACTTATGCTCATACCTGCAACCTGGCTGTTTCATATGACAACCACAGCCGCAGACAGATATGAAGATTTGTGCAGACAACTACCTTATACATTAGCTTCGACACCAGAAAAAGAGAACAGGGCACCAGAAAAAGATCACAGGGCAATTGAAGTCAACTTTCATGATACTATGCCAATTTATACTAATTCTTAGTGCGAACAAAAAGTTGCTTGTCACTGATCCCTAATATCCAAAAGTTTTATTTACACGTGTTCCAGTCCAATGCTGGGTTCACCGTTGAACGAAATGTCTAAGCCAGAATCCTAAAAAAACAAAGAAAATAAACTGTCTGTAAAAGAGTGATATGCAAAAGAAGGTTGTTTGGCTAAGATTCTCTTTGAATAACATATTTTGAAAAACAATCTTCCAAAGAATGACTGCATAAAACATCATACATAATTCGTACTTTTACTTAATAGCCTATATAGTTAGACCCAGCCAGCTTGCAGGCGAATGTACAGTAAACTCTCAACAACTCGAACCCCTGATAACTCGAACATACGCTAAGTCGAACAGATATAGATTCCCCTTGTCTAATACTTCCATTTGAAAATCCCCCGATAACTCGAAAAATCGCTATCTCCAGCCATTTCATTGCCCCTGTAGGTTTTTGAGTTATTGGGAGTTTACTGTAGTTAATTCTGTCTAAAAAGACACTTTGCCAAACAACTACACAAATATATCGCTTTTTAGCATATACATATATGATAATCAACAATGAAAAATTGAGTCTTACTGACATATTCATTGAACTTTCTCTTTACAAAGATATGTTTGACGAAATTTTTGGTCCATCAATAGTGATTCTAAGAGATTCTTTGTTAACTTTAAAGTCACTCTTGTGAATGGGGAAACCTCGGAAGAAATCACACGTATTTAATTCTTGAAAACTAACATCAGTGAAAACGACAGCGTCAAAGTATCAGTTCCCACAGCATTTCGTCATTCGGTTACATGATCAAATCACCAGATTAAAAGACTAGATCGTTAGATTTTATGGTAATATAACTGAATTACAAGGTAAGATACCTAGATTTTATGAAGAAACCCTGGTCGTAAGTCTAAAACTATACATCTAGATTATTAGACTAGATCCTTAGATTTTTAGACAAAATCATTAAAGCAGACTGATCGGCTAATAAAGGTTTAATCAGCATAGTCCATTTGATTTACTGAAATGGGGGTCTGGGCACTACCTTTGTCGGTTTCCTCGAAATCTGCATTGCATTACGTCACCGTAGAAGATAAACGTCAAAAGCAAAATTTCTTTTTTCAATATATTCCACTTATATTTCTTGGTAGCCTCACTGAAGGTGCAGATAAGTTATGAATAATCGTTATAGAATGCTATTGTACTTAGAAATCCATTAAAAGAGACTTGAAGTTTTAACATAACATGTTTTAGATACTGCTACATACCTCAAAGCTTGTAGCCCTTTGTGTGAGTCCAGCTCGCTCTCTATTTAGCTCGTCTAGAAATCTTTTAACACGAACAATGATTTCAGAATTTTCTTCTCTAGCCATGTTGCTATTGTAGCCATAATTCTGGTCCAGATCTATTCTATGCTTCTTCATGAGATAACGTTTCACTAACTTTTTAACGGTTTCCTGGGGAAAAAATTGTCTCGATTTCTCTTATATATATCAGTCTATGAATAAATTCAGTTAAGATTTTGAGCCAAGAACGAGGATCAAATTTAACGAGCTTGAGTTATGTGTTCAGTTATTAAATTTAATACTCCTACTGGAATAAGTCAACATCTTATGATATTATCATATAAAAATACAAAGGAAAACCAATTAAAAGCACATGCATTCTAAAGCCTGGTTTCCATTAAATTTTATTTTGCTCTTTATTGCTCGTTTTGGCTGCAAGTTTCTGCAAAGAACCATAACAAGCATAAAATCAATTTTCCCCAAAAACCATTCCGAGCAACGAAGAGCAACAACGAGAAACAAAAAACATTTGCTTGTTGTTGCTCTAGAGATATATCTCTAAAATCAAAACGAGCCATGACGAGCGCCTGTTTTTCAATGGAAACATGAAAACCAACAACGACGGACAAAGACGAACATAAAAGAGCAGTAATAATGTCCCATAAGCCCCCGCGTAGCCGTATCCATAAAAGTTTTGTAGCACGTTTCCATAAAATTGATTTTGTGCTTGTAATGGTTTTGAGCAGCAGCTTGCAGCAATAACGAGCAATGAAGAGCAAAATAAAGTTTAATGGAAACCAGGCTTAAGCGTTTCTACAATTGCAAAAAATAGATTAGCAATCTTCTTAAAACTCAAGAAACTCAAAGAAGCCAATTAATCTAGCCTAAAAAATATATAGATATTGAAGAATACCTCGTAATTTGTAGGAACATCTTCTTCTCTGTTTTGCTAAAATTAACCCACCGCAGCATGATGATTATGTAGATCAAGGCATTAAAGCATTTTAGCATAAGAACAATTTACCAGTCAAACGGACCTATTTAATTTTGTAAGGATAAGCAGATTTAGCCTCTAAAATATCACCTTCGCTGAAGTCTTACCCACTTAAACATAAATAGAACAACAAATTACCTAGTGTGCAAAGCCATACTGATCGTTCGCTTAGAGATTGAGCCTTGCATCTACCAAGGCGTATGATTATGTTAAAGGCGATCTGTCACGACGTTGATTGGTTATAAGAACAAAGGGATTTCTATTGTTTCCAGTCCCCTTTTAATTTATCGCATTGTAAAAAATATGGCGGAGCGCTGCAATCGTGTTTAGGCTATTGTTCCGGCTATTGTTCTCATTAACCAATCCACAACGAGACAGATTGCCTTTAAGGGAAATTTGTTCAATGAAAAAACTTGGCACATACAAATAAATTTACACTTCGTATCACATTTATTTTGATTTACTAATCATCAATGCATATAAAGAATGTCATTGAACATTCTATCTAGAAGGCTGTGAAGCCTGCTTTGTCTCTGTTCATGTCATTCTTTTACACGTGACAGGAGAAAGTCACAGGGAGAAAGGGAAGTCAGCCGTGATGCATACGAGGCGGAACAAGAGGACAGAAGGATAAGGAAATTACGACTTTAACGTGCAATGCCGAAACATCCTAATTTGTGTTACACAGTATACTCTCGTTAAGTGGGACCCAGGATAAGTAGGACGCCTGCTATGAAGTACAGATTTTCCCGGCCCCTTGAACTTGCTTACCCTTATAAGAAGATTCGGAGAAGTAGGACGCCCGCTTACAAGTACTACACTTTGGTCGGTCCCTTGAGTGTCCCACTTAACGAGAGTATACTGTACCTGTTGCTAACTGGTAGAATTGGAAAAAATAACTAATTGCTGCTACCGTCAACTTATTTACCATCACCAAATGTTTATTGTCGCTAGTTTCGAAAAAAAACAAGATTTTCTACCCTAAATAACTTACCGTTGATTTTCTATCATCATTTCTGCAAATTTTGGTAAAAACATCTTTGAGGAATTTCCATGTTGGAATAAGGTTAAAAGGACATGGAAGAAAATTTTCATAGCCAATATAATCAATCCACAATTGCGTCTTTGCATATTTGTGTTCAACTTCAATGTTATTCTGAAAAGAAATGATGAAAAGAATCAATAGAAAATCTCTTGTAATTGGAAACAAAAAAGTTTTCTATCTGAAAACACCTACTCTGGACTAACACCTCGTTTTCCAATACAAAACCATTTTTTTCACAAACTCAAAACTTCCAGTGTGTTGATAGAATCACATTTTGAAAAAGGTATTGTACCAATAGAGAGGTAAAGCACTAGTGAATCAATGCACTTGCATCAATTCTAAATCAATTCCCATAAATAATGTCTTAGAGAAATAATTAGTTATTGGTGATCCCGACTAAGCCATCTTCTTCAAAGCTGAAAGACAGAAACTATGACAATATCTTTTATCAAATAGTTTCTATCAGCAGGACAAGGCATAAAAAGGTTAGCCCCTGGATCTTTAAAATGTATGGGTATTGAATAGAAAAAGTGGTTATAAATTATTAAAAATATATCTTGCTGAAATAATGTGAAGTCCATCACTCTAGGATAAATGAACAAAAATTGTTCACGTTCGGATTTGAATATAATAGAATTTACCTTAATTTGTTGGTAAGAATTGCTCATCATTGCTATCAGCATGTTTAATAAGACTATCATTGATACTCCGTAGTAAAGAGTAAAAAGCATGGCGCTCCAGAGATAAACAACACCCCCATCGTTGAATTCTTCCAAGCTTTGGAGCCCGACCATGTTTAAACTTGCCCAAGCAAGGGTTACAACAGTTGCTGGTAGTCTATGAGCAAGATAATATTGTAATGCATATTAAAATTGATACATTACTTGTTACTAAGCATATATAAATTATGCAGATTTATGCAGGAGGTACAGTAAAAGTCCTATCAATCAGGGGGCGTATTGCAAGCAAATGTCATGGAAAACCATACATTGATGCAGGAAGTCACTATAAAAAAGCCAAAGAATCACAAAACATTCCTTACTCACCCTGTAAATCCTTTGCTCAATACAACTTGTACTTCAGATTTGTTCGCAAAGGTCATCGTGTCACTGCTTTTAGGCATCTCAACGTGCAATGAATTGTGAAGGAATACCATACCAACAGAAAACGACCAAAGAACGACAAAGCTTATAAAAGCAAATTGAAAGATCACCTAAAAAGAAGGGGCAGTGCTAGTAACAATTGATGACGATTAGTGTGATTTTGCCAGTGATCAGAATTGATAAGGATCATTACACCTGTGATCAAAGTTGATGATAATCATTCTGTTTACACACTTGCATAAAAAACATTTTAGTTTCAGATCAAAAGGAAATGAAGGCTATGATCATAGAGGTTGCAATACAAAGCTGTATACACAAGAACAAACGTAAAAAGATATAATTATAAATTTTGAACGGATAGGCTGATACTATAATGATCTGTGACTAAAACTATACCAACTATACTAGATCTTTAATCAAACCCGTTAAATATGTTAAAAGCACTAAGGACAGTTGGGAAGAGATTTGAAGATTCATTCAGGAGAATACCTCTTGTCATGTTACAGCGATGATACTTAAGGCTACATTGTTGAGCACAACGAGCGTTTTTAAAAAGCAAACGTTTCAAGACACAATGAAATTATGTCTGTCTGAGTATTTCTTGAATTTTTGCTTTATTTATGGCTATTTTTTAATTTGATACCAACAATAAAGTGTTTGCAGCAAGCATTCTACGCAAAGATATTTCTTTAAAGACTAGGAAAAGTGCCTTATATACAGGGAAAGTTCATCCTGTTTGGGAGATCGCAGCTTATAAATGCTAAAATTACGAGGAAATACTTACTTCTATCATTTTCCCCAAACACAGCTGCAATAACCCAAGGAACCTTGCTATCTGGCATAAATAAACCAGTCTGAAAAAGCTCATAATGGTGGCACATGTAAAAATTCCATTGGATATACTTCTGGCCGTTTTAGCAAGATTTCTGTTGGCTGGTGTCTCCACAAAATACAAAATGGCCCAAATGCAGAACGACGTGAGCATGAAAAATATCATCGACATATCCATCAAATTCCAGCCACTGGAGAGGTATCTCTTATATCCAGCTTGATATAGCTACGAGATAAATTCAAGAAACAAGATTTGTGCGGGCTATTTCTTCAGTGGTATTTTACAGACTATTTAATATTCATTCCAGAAATTTTCCATTGCTTTAAAAGATGCCTTCGTAAACCATTACGGCAACGTGGGCCTCCTGCCTAATAAGTGTTTTACAAATATCAAAGCAACATGCTTACTGTTTTTCTAGCTTAGAAAAGGAACTACCGATAGAAAGACAATAAGCTGCACTAGTTTACCTTACTTAATCACATCTTTTGCTTCTGAGAAATACTGATATAAATTTAGCTACTTTTCTATATCTGTCTGTGAAACAAAGCAAATAAAATAACAACAAAACTCAAAAGTCTTGAAAATACTAAATACACTTAATTTTTTCCTTCAAATTTTGTCAAAGTTTGGGCCATTTACCAGAAGAACGATGGACCATCATCTATTTCAGATATATAGGGAAAACTAAAGAAAAAAACCTGATTGATTTCCGCGACAAGAAGGCTTATAAGCCATATGAATATAACGCATTCTAGGAACGATGGAGTTTTGCCAATCCTCAGACCAGATGCTGGTAGAGCAGATATAAGGGCAAGCAGACCTGCAAGACGAATCAAGCACACATAGCTTAGCAATGCAAGGTGAATTTCAATACGCAAGGCTGAAATGAAGCGAATGACGTGATTGCAAAGGTACAAAGATTGTCACTGCCGTTTGTGAATTTTTACTTTCAGTTGATACTCACCGTTGTTTGCTGGCTTTTTTAGCTAAAAACAAATCTCTATATATTTCGTTATGCAATTTTATCTATTTTTTGCCAACATGTGAACAAAGTGTTGATAAAAATAATGTTAAAACGACGCATCATCCGGGATTCCGATTTAAAGAGCAGATTTTGATAAAAAAGATATTTTTCAGTAAATCGCCTCAGCATTTTCCATTTAACCCTAAATTATACCAGGGACTGCGGATGCGGGAAAGGGCTATGGGGGCTTTTGCCCCCCCCCATATTTTTCAAAAATGTACCTAAAACCATACAAGAAAACGTCCTGCTTTTAGTTTTTTGCATGTTTAGTCCACCCCAAAACTTTTAAGCCCCCTTAGTCTGTAATATTCTCCGCTGTCCTTGAATTATGGACTATGGCTGTTTCATTAAAGACCATGCAGTTTCTCGGAATTTGAATGTCCTTCCCAGGATTCAAAGTGTGGGCATTGCAAAATTTGGAATTTCGTGAAGCATCCTGGAAAGGCCATTGAAAAGTCAAGCTGGGTCTGCCTTGAATTAAAGCAGAAACTTAGTTCTTCAAAGTAGATTTGTTAAAGTTTATTTTTCTGCTCAGAAAGGATTCAAAACTGTAAAAATTAATCTACTACGGCTGAAAAATTGGCCGTCGTTACCCTCTAATTACAGCAGTCTTGGCAACTGGATCCGTGCTGATTGTGCGACTGAACGATCACACTTCATGGAAGTCGTACAAACGAAATCGCTTGATTGAAATCTTATATTTTAATTACAATGCTAATATTAATGAAAAATAAAACTATTACTTATCTTCGGCGCTTTCAAACATATGTTGCTAAATATACCCTTTATATAAGATTATCCAAAATATTTTGGAATTCATTAAAAGCAGGTTTAAAATAATGTGTTTTTAAGACGCATTTTTATTATAAACCTTTGCCATTATTGATCAAATATATTCTGCCTAAATCTAAACAAAGTTTGCTCTATCCAAAAAGCTTTATTTAGCGTCCAATGCCGATAATTTGATAAATTCTTTGTGCAACAGAAAAGATTGTGAAATGTCAACGTGGAAAACCATTTTATTGAATATGCAAGTCATCTACCCAAATAATAAGACAAAGCCTACGATAAAGTAATCACATCAGCACATGGCTGTTTTAATTAAAACGCTGCTTTGCAAACAAACATTTCAAACATTCTATTAATACTTTCTATCCCTAGAACAGAAAATTGGTATATAATACAACCTGTTGATTTGAGAACTCTTTTATAACGGTCCTTTGCTGTTAGAAATTATGAATCGTGTGAGGCTTGTCACGCTAATGCAAATTAATATGACTAGCTCACGACAAAAGTAAAGTAAGCCAAGTTAAACAATCGAAAAGTGGTCATGGCAAGCATCTGTAGAATATTCTAGTATTAAGTAACAGAGTACCAAGAATGGGAACTTGTGGTGACCCCTATTATTTTCATAAAATGCTTCTAAATAGTTTACTGTATTCATTTCTGTGGAACATAGCTTCAAACATCAAATCTGCTTAAATAGAGACTACCATGATTATGGCTAAACGTTTTGTAGTCTAGGATAAATGCTTAAAGCCTGGTTTTCACTAGACGATTATCACGATTATCACGATAACGATTAGGCTGTAATCGTCTTTATCCATAGTGAGTACATCAAATGTAATCGTGTTATGCCCTCTAATCGTTATAAAACCATCACGATTATCGCGAAAGGATATCAACAATTTTTGATATCTTTTCGCGGTAATCGTGATCTGATGACGTCAGTCTTTTTGTTCAAAATAATGTGAAGAATTAATAATGAAGGGAAAGGAGTGTCCAAGGCACTGTGTCCAATGCAAACGAAATGTAGAGAAACTGTCATTTTAGTCATTCGGTGTGCGTTATGTTAAGCATATCTCATCAAACATTCTGATTTCAAAATGGAGAGTGAGAACTAGCAATTCGACGAGAAACTTTCTGAAACTGTGAGAAAATATCTGTAATAAAATTCGCGGTCGTTCAGTCGTTGTTCTCGAACCAATCCATGATGTTCGCTAGAAGTTTTATTTTTGAAAATATCTCTGACCTACAACCTTCTCTTCTTTTTCTCTCAATCTTTTACCTATTTTCTCCTCTGTCTACGTTTTCTTAAGATATATACAGCGCTCATCATTGTAAGCAGTTTTTTTTATTCCTGTGAACAGTCATTTTGAGTATACGATTAACGCGCCAGTGAGTACATGATTTAGCTGAGCATCCTACTGTCAAGAAAATATTTTATCGCGATAATCGTTATCGTGGTAATCGTGGTAATCGTGATAATCGTGGTAATCGTGATAATCGTCCGGTGAGTACCAGGCTTAAGAATTTTTAATGGGGTGCTAACTTGTTTGAAAGTTTTAAAATAATTTTTTCTTCGAATTAAAATCTGTTCATTAGATTACTAACTTACCCAAAAATGTCACAAAGGAAGATGCTCCGTTGATGAATTTTACAACTGGCTCTTGCGAAGACCTTCCAAAGCTTGTACAAGGAAAGAAAAGATAGGCCAATGATGTAAATGGGTACAAGATAGATTTGGTGACGACATACATGAAGCGATAGACTGATCCACCAACACGCCATCTTGGAATGTTGTTAAAAACCAAGGTAGCGATTGCATGCTGTGGTATTGGGTGAGCTACGATCTAATAAGAAAAATAGAGGTTAAAGACATAATACAAAACTATCAACAGTATTCTTGCGGCTGGAAAATATAACGACCAAAAAGTGGGACAGTGGAACAAAATAATTTGAGAAAAAAATTAGGCATCAGCGTTTTAGATATGAAGCCTCGCAGAGGTAAATAAAAACTATACACCTGATGTTTTTAATGATGTAAGGTTAAAGAAATACTGAGGATTGATCTACAACAACGTTGGAAATATGCGCATCTCAGATTTTGAGGTAAGGGTGTGTGTTGGTTGAAAATATAAGCTATTTTGCTCTAGAAAACTGCATGTTTAACGACAAATGAGAAAATTTAGAAACAGGCAGGAGTTTTATTCTGATGTGCTTTAGCGAGTTGAATACTTTTCAAAAAGAACATGTAAAAGAACAAGCTTCGTTCCTATACACGATCGTTTCTTTCCCATATTCCAACATAGCGGAAGCCAAAGGAAAGAATATAGCAAGTTTTAATCATAAACCATGTTTTGCGCGGCCTTGCAAAAAGCTGGGGCAAACATTGTTATGGAAATAATGAGCGTCAAAGAACACGGTTGGTAAGGCATCCATGCGAGGATTTTCCACGAGAAGCAAGGAACTAATGAGTTTGAGTAAATATGAAACGTTGTGATAGCATGTGAGCAAATGTTATCACGCCATGACAAGGGAAAATTTTCAATGCTTTGACAATTAGCAACAGATGTTGTGACTTGACTAGTCATTGTTGTCTAAAACTAGAAAGAGGAAACTTCTGAACTTTTTGCCTGCTCTCATAAATATAATGTCATGTTTTGGATGACAGATTCTACGTAATAATCAGATTTTTTATTTGATTAAACCTATATCATGTAAGAATTAGGAATTTCTTTCACATACATTAATCACAACGTTTTACTAAAAATTCGAAGAGCAATCCTTGCTTGCAAAGTATCTTCTGACATTACTTCTGATGTCATTTGTCAATGACATTACCCCTTTCGAATGTTCTATGGAAATCTCTATTCATGAGCTTCGATTGTATCTACCAAATATTCTGCGACTAGGACACTTGCGTTTGGCTTTGATTTGTCGAATTCTAGCTATGGGGATTTCGATTAAGTTTGGTTCTGATATGAATTTCCAACTATAGCTCATTTGATTTGAATGCTGATATTCCTTGCATAGGAAGGAAACTGTCCCTTCAAAAAGCTCTATGCTTTCTTAAAAAGGATAGCGTGAGGCCAAAAAGATATGTTGCCCTAAGGTACCCTCACTTTGTAACAAAATGTGTTCCTTTTCCATTGAGAGAGAACAGACTAATTTCATTTATCGGCGTATTCGCTACGGTGAGGATTAAAAGGGAATTCGGTTAGAGGATAGTGCAAAGTCGCGACGAAGGAGATTATCACAGGGCCTTTTTGGTGGGTGATTTGTGCATCGACTTAAAAGGGATGACAGAACTATTTGATAGATGATGAACAGGATAGTTTAAGAAAATGATTATGAATGGTTCTTCTCATAAACAGTTGAAATTACTTGATGTGCACCGGGCCTGGAACTCACAAAACAGATTTTAGAATACGATCTGCAAGGCATTAAAAGAGTAGACTTACTCCGTGAGCCTCTGCTTTGCTATTGTCTCACTTTATGGGCGCTACAACAGACATAGCGTCTACCAATTCATTGGGTAAGCATATTGAAAGGGGCATGGTAGGGCCCCTTCCTCTCCTCAGTAGCTTATACAGCCTAGTAGCTTTAAACAGACCAGAAACAATGTTTCAAATTTTAGGCGCAAACTTGGAAAATGTAACATGACGTAAATGGATGCGAAAACTTATGGACCAGCTAAAACATTCAAATCTCTTATCTTATCAGTATGTAATTTGAAAACGGACAATGTATTTCCACCCGTTATGCATAGAATACGTTATAAAAATGCTTACATTTTGGTAGCATAAGAGAAAGAACTGAATTCAGTGCGTTGATTTTCTTTTGGTTTTAGATCACTTCTTTTCAAATGCTCGCATCGGCGTAAAGGAAATTGATAGTACATCTTTTAAACAGTTGTCAAGATTCTTTGTTACGTCAAACAGGTTTTCAAAAAAGCTTCAATAATTTGGAAAGCAGCTTGTTGTTCTCGCGATTGTGAAACGAAAAAAAGCTGATATAGTTCGCAGCTGCCTTGTGTGCTTAAACAAGCATATTGTTTCTAAAATTTCCCTTGCAGCATTCAAGTTGCAGAGTGAGTTTATGGAAGACAGGTCAACGTGCCAAGGGTTCCATTGACAGCTATTAAAATTACGTGGTCTATGGATTCTGCTCACTTCAGGTGAAAGAGGTTACGCTGGCCTCGGTTTAATGATACCATGACAATATGCTAATCACCTCCTGAAAGGAACGACGTTTCCAAACCATTGAGGATATTTCATAGGGGGAACAGAGGACACCTTGGACACATTTCGGAGGTTTAGGGCTTTTAGAAACATAAAATGATTATGGTCCAAATGCGGCTAGATACTTAGGCCCTAATTTGACTCGATGATTGATTACCCTTCTTACCCCAGTGACCTCTTTTCAAGAATATCAAGCATGTGATTCAACATTGCGTTTGAATTCACGCATAAAAACAATCTTTGGAATGATGCTCTCATGTAGACTGCCTATCAGGTCTATTGTGTCTCCAGACCATGTCTCTAATTGCTCCAATGTCTCTAAATGTCTCCAATGCAGAGAGGGTGGGGCAAATATGAAAATCACATATCTCAGAGTCACATAAACATGTAAATGCAATTTCCAATGAATTGAATTGATAAAAAATTCAGTATGTTGTAGTGTCCGAAGTGAGGCAATAGCAAAACAGAGGCTCGTGGAATAAGTCTACCATTTCAATATCTTTCCAAATCGTATATCTTCTCAAATAGGTTTTGCTATTTCAAGACCATGTGCTCTTCAAATCGGTTTCAAATTACCAAAACAATTCTCACTTTCCTAAACAATCATTTTCATAAGATCTTAAGTAAAAGCTTACTTTGCATTAACATAATGAAAAGACCCGAATTAATCAGAATTAATACCAATTATTTCACAAGAATGTATTAAAAAGTGCGCTCACCTTTTTCAATTTAAACTTGACAGCGAGCTTAATAAGCTTTAGTGACCATTTTCGCTTAAAAACGTCTTTTTCGCTATGAACATCATATTCAGTCATGTTAATTAAACTGAATTGTTCTTGGGACGTTTCAACACAGTCAAGAAGGTCCATGCAGTAAGTCTGGACTTGCGCATTCAACTTCGTAAAGACGCTTTCGTATGAATCCTCTATACGTTCGAGACGCCCCAATGCATGACTCATCGTAAATGCTGTCGTAAACGGGTCCGTGCTCGTTATCGATAACCACACGGGGTTGCTCAACGCACTGTAAATAGCCATACGGCTTTTCGTGCGTTCGAGAGCGTCATCTTTGCACAGCCAGCACTTACATGCAACGTCATGCGGTCTTGAGATAGTAAAGCCGCGCGATAAGAATACCTTTATCAACGCATAGTTGCCCATCTTCGCAGCAAGAATCAAAGCTCGGACGTTAGTCCTTGTCCTCCACTTAAAACAGACACTAGATGACAGAAAATCTTCGTTACTACCCGATTCCATCATTAAATTCTGCCTCCCTGCAATTTCTTTACAGCCCTCAACTGCTTTATCGAGCAGCAAAGCAACTGCATTGACAGATTGGTGCTCGACAGCTTTCACCAGCAGTTCGTCTATCCTCTTCTGCTTTTCATCGGTTGTTGTCATACTTTTGAGCACGTAAGAAGCTTTGTTCGTCATCATTTACAAATTTTTTGTTTTATTTGATATCTCACAATATTATCAAACTGTAAAACAAGCAGGGATTTAGTGAATACACAACTTTTTACTAACAATAACTTTTTTCACTGCAGAATAACCCAAAACTTGCCCAATTTTCACTGCAGAATGACCCAAAACTCTAATCCAGGAAAAACTTTATAATTCATAAAATGTATAATTTATATTTTACAAGATACAAATTAACCTTTTAAAATTCTCTTTCAGTCAGATCATTTTTATAAATCTTTAGAAAACCTTTTAATTCTAGAAGATAATATTCAGACTCGTCGATCCGGGCAAAAACATTTTTCCTGTTCATTGTTGTCAGAGAATAATACGTCAAAACATATCAAATTATACAATTCATTCAGAGATAAAATATTATACCCTTAAGGTAGGCTACTGGTCCAAAAATTGCAATTTGCCGTCAAAATTCGCATTTTTTGTTTTCGCTTTAAATCAATTCTTTATTTACTAGAGGATAGAACTGCAAACTTATTTGGCTCGAATCGTGACAGAAAAGGTGTAAATTTATGTCTAAAGCTGATCGGGATCCGTCAAACTAGCTACAATCAGCTGATTTTTTCTTTAGAAAGTTGTTTTCGAAGTGCAATTTTCAGAGTATGTCCCTCCTGCAACACAGGATAACTATACACCAATTTGAAGCTCATTTCAAGCTTGTTCCGATCCTTGTATTGTTTAGAAAGTTTGAGCTACCTGTGGTAAGAAGAAAGCCTCGTTCGTTTATGTACTTTAGCAACTAGAGGCTGGTTCTATATGACGTCAGTTTATCTACGAAAGGTGATTGGCTAACGGATTGAAAAGGTCTTTCCGATTGGTTTATCTGTGTCACATGCTCTTCAAAATGGTGGCTCCAGGGATCTCGCAGCAGCCTAGTTCGTTTGGAATTGCCAAAGTAGGATTGATTTTGAAATAAAACTTGTTATTTTTGCAATAATTATGGGCAAGACAAAGTTTAGGACAAAGAGAGGTTACGTTGGAGGTTGAAGAAAGAGGATTGAAAAAAATTTAACCGCAGAAGAAGCTGGCGCTGTAGTTATGTCGGTATCAGGAAGGAACAGCACCTAGCAGACTTGTCTTCCAATGCTAAGAAACAACAAGTATTTGGAGTTAACATGAACATCGATTCCTCGGTAGAGAATGATGACTGCACTGTTGAGAAGCCAGAAGACTGCTACGTAATCGTACAGAAGGTTGCTGTAAATGAGTCGATAAGCTCACTTCTGTGGCCTAAATGTAACAACTCTGGACTAACTTTTCATATTGAAAATAATAATGGATGTGGATTTTCAGCAAACGGAGTTATATTTTGCGCAACTTGTGAAACATCAGGAGGTATCTGATGATTGGAAAGAAAAACTTTGATGGGACAGCTGGTGCAATGGAGGTAGCTTGTGCAAAAAATCTGTTGTCAAGGTCAGTGCAAAAATGTAGATACAGATATACAACTATGCTTTGTGATGGTGACAGCAAGGCATTTTCTGCTGTTAGAAAACCAACTCCATATGGCCCTGATATTAAAATAGAAAAGGAAGACTGCATAAATCATGTCTCAAAGAGAATGGGATCTGCCTTGAGGAATCTAGTGGCTGAGTCAAAAGCACAAAAAGCCAGTTTCTGGAAAAGGAAAACTAACTCAAGAAAAGATGCTAAAGATTCAAAATTATTACTGGCAGGTGTGTAAGGAACAAAACTCAGAATCCAAATGAGTAACTGCATAACATTATTTGGAGACTTTGCCCAAAAACTACCTTTGTTGGAAGAAGAACATTGAAAACTGCAGTCATGTTGGCAATTTCTCAGTTCACAATGGGTGCGACATTCAAAGTTGTTCTCTGCCAAGCTCTAAGTCTCACTCCAGGGTCAACTTTAGAACTATCAGCAGCAAAAAAAGACCAAGAAAGGATTAAAAAGGCAGAGTTAGCTGTCAAAAGAGAAACAAAGAAAAGAAGAAGGAGCCTGAAGTATAAAAAAGACAACAGAGCAAAAAAGGATAGTGCAAGAAGGCGAACAATATGCTTCCGAAAATATAATGCTTAAAAATATTAAATTATATGGTTAAAATTAGTTATTTATTAAATGTTATATGTTATTTCTGATTGAATTTCAAGTAAAGTGACATTTGTATTGAAGAAAGTTGAAAACATACCAATTCTAGTTTGCTACCTCTTGAAACATTACTCTTAAAACTTTAATCAGCATTTTCTAAGAATAGTGATTTCGGAAAACTGGTAGAGTTTAGTGCAAAGAAATATTTTACCCCCTGAATATAACAAAACATGTCTATATACCAGAAGAAACCTTATACTTCAGACAGTGCACATAAGGCCTTCTTTTTTACATTAGGTAACCCTTTGTCTCATGATTGGACTGGAAAAGGAGAGATTTATAGCCATAAAACATGAAATTTTGTAAAATGTCTAACAAAAAAGTATAAAATTAGAAAATTAAAATTTAAAGACCTTTTGTGCACTCCTCAGAGTCAAAGCAACTGTTTGATGTATCATTTTGGCTTGTATGATTAACTACAACTAAGAATAGCTTGCACTAAGCAAGGCATGTTTTTCCCCATTCATTACCGGTTACCATAGCAACTACAAGTTATTTTAAGATTTTTATTGCATTTTTGTAAAAAGGGCAAAAAGTTACCCCAGGACCCCAAATTTTAACAGTGTAGCACTACAAACAAAGATTTTAGAATTTGGACCAGTAGCCTACCTTAAGAAGACAGTTTGAAATCAATTTGTTGCCGAAGAGAAGGTAAAATCTGTGTGACGAGAAGGTAAAATCTTTTTTTACTCACTCTTCCATTCATTCAGCCAAACAGAACAAATACGCCATTGTTTTCCTGTAACGTTCTGCAGTCATTTATCATTGAAAATCCTCTCTATCCCACACAAACGTCCATTAAGTAAGTTGCCGTTAAACCGAAACTGTCCTTGAGCGTTTTTTGAATTCCAACGAGAAAGAGATGATCAACGGCTCCTCTTCCTGCATGACAAATGCAAGAACAACGACAGGTATTTATTTGCGTACCTAGTTTATAAATTATTCACAGATGTCAATATCATTGAAGAATTATTGGTCTGCAAAGTCCATGAAATTAAATTTCTAATATTAAAAACTTGAAAAATAGTGAAAGATCGGGAATATGACTGAGTGGATTGTAGAAATTTGATGAATATTTTTTAGCCTGTTAAACAAGACACGTGGGATGATAACATTATTTTGCAGATGACATGTCTTCAGCGGGAAAACAAATTCAGGAGAGGTTCGAAACTGTCAAAGTTCGAATGCAATTTATTAAAGTCTATAGAGCCTAGGCGTGTCTCATTTGGTAGAAAATGAAAGTTTTAAAAAAGCGCAAACTTCTGGCAGCAAAGTTTATGCATGTTGTAAGGTGTCACGTAGTAAGCTACATAAAGAAGTCACCAACAACTGAAAACAGTCTTTCTATTAAGTCTTTTACGCTTGTAGTTGTAAAAGTCCCTTGCTAAAGAGGAGATATCTATCAAAAGGTGTCCGCTACTTTGTGCGGCATCTTCTTTTAGGAAATGACCGAGAGAAGTCTGATATTTGGAGGTTACCGTTATTAGGAGGGAGTATCCGTTATCAAAAGGAGGTGGTTGTTATTGGGAGGAGGGATTCGCTTTCTGAAGGTGTCTGTTATTAGGTAGTTGACGTTATTTAGAAGCGTACGTTGTTTGGACGTAGCCACAATTAGGTGACTATAGTAGGTGACTAATATTTGGAAGTGCCCGTAGTTTGGAGATGGTCGTTATTAGGATGTGTCTGTTATTTGGAGGTGTGTTTGTTATTAGGAGGTGGTCGCTATTGGGAGCTGTCCGTTATCTGGAGTTGGTCGTTATAGGAAGGTATTATTTGGAGGTGGTCGCTATAAATTGGTGACTGGCATTTGGAGGTGCCCGTTATTTGAAGTTGTCCGTTATTAGGAGGTGGTCGCTATTGGGAGCTGTGCGTTATCTGGAGCTTGTCTTTATTGTGAGGTGTCCGTTACTTGGAACTAGTTGTTATTGGAAGATAAGGAGGACGTCAAATGCATACTTATTCAAATCACTGGACAGAGGCGGATCCAGAGTGAGTTCCTTGGTGCACAGAACTCAGTCAGTTTTCCAACATATATCTAGAAATAGTGTTGGCTGGAACAAGTAACCTAAAAATTCTAAGTTTTATCACAGTCTCTTCAAAAGCTTAGAATTGCCAGTTTGATGTAATCCGTTCTCCTTTTTCCTTCCTTCTTCTCTGTCGGTCGTGATTTGGAAACGATTTTCCAGACGCTGTGGAGGACAACAGCAGTCAATCCTAGAACTCGGAAATAAACGTTTTGTGCCTGGGAAGTGAATGAATTGAAACAATAAACTTTTGTTTGGAACACGGATGGAACTCAGTCAAAACAGCATCTGAAACTCAGAAATGATACCATATTTGCAAGAGATCTGTACAACAGCCAGTAAATGATTGGCTACCTATTGTTTCTGTTCTGTTGTGGAACTGCAAAACATTGAATTCGAAATGGCGACTGCATATGTCTTATACTCACGACCATCGCAGCATTCTAGCAGATTATTAAGCATTTGAGATAAAACCAGAAAATATCGTTAAGTTTCCAGGATTATCAACTACTTTTTCTTTATATTGCAGTCTTTGATGGCACGGAGGACCTCTGCCCAGACGGAACACCATATTTTGATGAATAGGCTGGTGTCTATTGAGGCAAAACAACAAATTGCGAGCAAAACAAAAGGGAAAAACTTTGCTATAGCATCCAAAACAAACAAAGGGTATTGAGAAAGGGAGGGGTTGAAAATCTTTCTCACAGAGGCACTGTTTTTTGTCAGAAAAAAATCTAGAATCTAGATTTAGTGAGTAGATAGTCCCTGTCCCCCTCCTCCTCCCAATGATACCAAAATGCATAAATATGAATAATAATGTTGTCTTATGCACAATCATCAATGCATTATCTGAAAGTCCCTAGCCTTGGCCTGGAACTCAGTCAGTTTTTTTGCTGGATCCGCCCTTGCTGGAGTTCATTCAAGTCAATTTTGAATTCTGTGCTGCCAGCACAACTCAAGTCAAGTTTTTAAAGCTAACTTTCCTTAAATTCGTTCATTCTTACCCATATTCTTATCTTACTACTTTTCGTGAAGATGTTATTCGTACTAACTTTTAGATGTTTTAGATGTTGTGTTCAATAAGAACATAACTATATTCATTTCATCAAGATTTTTTAATTAATTTGACATTAAAGTAGGAAAAGCTCAACGAGAATACGTTAATTAAAAATAATCGCTTTTCACCATCGTTCTTCATCACTAGAAAATGTAAAATTTACAAGCTCAACTGTCATCTTTTTCTTAAGACAAAAAAATTATCTCAGATTGTCTAATGCTCTTAACACAGCATACACTAGATTTAAGCTCAAAATGTAATGAAGTTTAAAATCAAGCATTTTAGTATGGCTAGATCTCTTTAAACCAGTGAAACATTTTAAAAGTAGAACAAATGCTGAAATTTTCAAATGTTAAACATATCCCGATGTTGTTCTGCGATGCTCCTTCAGTTATAAGATTGTAACGCTAAAAACAATCTAAAGCTGTCTTGGGATATTTCATCAACGTTGGTGTTTTGCCTTAAATCTTCACATTGTCAAAAGATTGACGAACAAAAGTGGTGCAAGGTTAGCGATGAAGTTCCAGTATCAATGATGGCAAGGATGGGCAGTATCGTATTTAGATAATCTTCAAGATAATAATTGCCATTAAGGTAGCCATTTTTTTAATCAAGACAGGCTAACCTTTTATGCAAGTAACTATGTCATAAGATTTGAAACAGTAACAAATTCTTTGAGATCGAGCTACAATCCAATCAAAACCTTGCAGTTGCGAAGTATTATTAAAACTCGAACTGTAATTCTTCACAACTCAAGTTTCATTCATTAATTTCTTGAACTGTTCAGCGAAGGGCAGTTCACTCTTGCAAATCGCAAAAACAAGATTTTTAGGAAAACAAAAGGATTTTCAGGGAATTTGCTATAAAACAATAGGATTTCCACCAAAGGTATACGAGATTGACGTCAGTGTTTTGCCCTCTACATTGAGTTTTTGTAACAGAGCCAGTAAATTTAGGTTCGGGGTGGCTGTTCTTCACTTTGCAAAAATTCCTAGCCTGGATTGTTCTTAATTTTTTTCGTAACACTAAACAACATTAACAAAAGGAATACCCTGTGACGAAGAACAATTACATTCTTTTATATTCTTGCATTTTAATCAACTTGTTCTTAATTCGTTCTTAATTTGAGACTAGCCTTCCGATTCGTACTCTTAAAAATTGTACATCTTATCTATCTTTGTTTGCTAGACTACCTCTTCAGAATTCCTGGTTTGGGGTTTTTTTTGGTAAAGCGGCCTGGTTACTAACACTTAGATAAATTCATGCTTAGTAGCTTTTATAAATAAACCAATATTTAAACCCCCTTCAAGCTTTTTCCCAATCAAAGTGGGGCGCATGCACTTTATCAGCAGAAATATAAATATTGTATAGGGGGAGAGGGGGCCTAGCCATTATACCAAAACCCCGTCCCATATAACACCGTTCCAACCACATAATCATTGGTGTTCGATTCTAGATGTAGAACTTTAACTTTTCCACAACATTTTAATTTTAGGTTCAACTTTACGAAAAGCAGGTACCACGATGACACAGTTATTTTCACATGTAACTACAACAAAAGCTTCAAGAAGTAATATGATAGGACAACCATCTGTTTAGCCTAATGGAATTTCAACAACTTTGTAGAATTCGTAAATCACTGCTGTGATCAAAATAATAGAGGAAATGGTTAGCTTATGCAGAAGCATTTTCCCATATTAGTGACAGGTCCTAATAACGATCAAATATTTCAACAAAACAACTTGTAAATCAAAGTAGCCTAGTCTTTTGTATACTCAAACAATGTAATACGCTTTTGGTAAAATCTCTTCTCCAAGTTGCACGCTAAATGCAACCATCAGCCAACAATGTCCATAGACGTAGATGTCCCAAAGCTCGAAAGTGTTTATTGGGGGGCAATTTGTAAATAATGGTCTCTAAACTTGAATTGGACATAGTGAAAAGAGTTATGGACATATGGATATAAGTTATATTTTAATATACCCACCTGTAATACGAATGTGCTTTTTTGAACAAATTTTTACTAAGGGAAGTAAATGTTTTGAAAAAACATACAGAATAGTAACTTGCTTATGAAAAATTAAGAAGTAGTAGCTTAATAGCATTGAGAGAAAAACAGCATAGAAAGCATCCTTGGAGTCCATTGTTTGCTCAAAAACTCCAAGTACATTAATTTTAAATACCAACGACGTATTACTTATGTACTCACAGGCTTCCCACCCAATAAACAGTGATCAATGCAGTTGAGAAAGCATTTGCCATATAAAATTATTCTTGAGAAGATAAAGGAAGCATACAGGTGCTAGTAAATTTAAGAACAACATCGATATCTGACTGCTTGAAATAACCTCAAATCTCTCAGTATTTGACAGTGGCATAAGTTTTCCTACTGCTCGCAAAATCAAACAAGCCCAACAAACCTAGAGTTACTTGGAAGACTTAATCATCAGGATCGGAAATTGCAAGGCTCTCCAACTTGTTGATGTTAGACGGATCTTTTATCTTATTCAACTGGTAAGAGGTTTAAGCCAGAAAATTAACTCTTGGATTTACTTGAAAACAGCATACGACACGACATCCACGATTCACCGATGATTCAAAATGCACCTTTCGAAAGTGAAAAGTTAATAATATTGACTGCTGATTGTCTGAATTTTCTTTGCTCACAATTATTAACAGTTGCCTTATTAAAACACCAGCCTGCATTTTGTCTTATATGTCAAAAAGAAAAACGCAAAGCCATGATTTGCATAAGAGCATCCAATACAAAATTTTTTCAATAGTACCTTCCTATTTGAGCTGGAGATTTTGGGCGGTAAGGACGAAAAGGGTGATGCTCCAGAAGATTTTGAGCTGACCTGAATTGTAATTTTTCCGCATATTATCAGATATGCTCGATTAAAGGGTCAATGTAAGTAAAAAGGCCATGTCCCAACATAGTTGGTGAACCATCATTTATTTGCCGACAAGTTTGGAAATTTGCCGACTAAGCAACCCTATATGGCAAAAACTCCTCTTTTTTGCAATGGAATTTTTTCAAGGGGGTGTCAAACCGCACAAGGGGGTGTCACAACAAGGGGGTGTCCCCCTGTAGCTATGGGCCTCACTTTACCTAATATTTATAATGACTTTTGAGGCCTTGACTGTTCCGCGATCGAAGTGGCGTATTAGCTTTAACCCTAGAAAATCTAAAATGCCCTAGCCTGTTTAAGACTTAAAGCAAAATCAGGATTGGGATTTTCCAGCAATTGGAAAAAGTTTTGGGTACCCGATGATCTGTTTGTGACAAACACATGCGATGAAAAATAGGGTTGAAACAGTGCCTGAAGAACAAAGAGTTTTTTCTATTGTAAAATTAATTTTATGCTTCTTCTCGTACTGTTAATTCCCGCTCAACTGGTCGGTTATTCATGGTTACCTGAATGGTATCATAACATGTTTCCCCTTACCTTTTAGATATTCTTCAAACAAACAAATATAAGGGAAAAAATACCTGTCAAGATAAGACAGGACAATAAAGCTTTGCGGAAACTAATATTGTTCATATTTGCAGATAAGCCAAAATCTTCTAGTTGAATGCAATGACTGCACATTGCGATATGCAATCTTTTCGTTTCTGCGTTCTTTACAACGTCACAGATGGTACTAGAACGATTGAATTATGCCACTGCGAAATCAGGCGGTAACCAACAGCAGGGCGCTGTCATATCTCTCTTGCTTATCAGTAAAAACTAACAACATAAACTTCAGTAATCAATAATGCAAGAATGTGCACCAGAGAAGCATGATGCCTCTAGACTTACTCCATAAGCCTCTGTTTCGCTACTGCCTCACTTAACTGGCGCTAGCGTCCGTCAAGTGAGGCAGTAGCGAAACAGAGGCTCGTGGAGTAAGTCTGAGATGCCTCCTCACAGATGCCAAGAAAATGTAGTGCAGTGAAAATTTTGCAGAGGAATGTGGACAACTTTCCATTGCAACGTTATGCTAACAAATGTATCCAATAAAGTAGGGCATTAAATATCAACGTTCCTTTTTATCTTTCCAGAAAAACGTTGCTTGTTTTTCGAATGGGAATATGACAAAAGAATATCATATAAACCAACTAGATAATGTTCTTCAAAATAAAACTGCTTTGGACAACATGACCATCAAGGCACTTGCGCAACCGGCATGCTTTGCGACTATATTCTCAAAACCGTACTGCATGCAAATACTAAATCTTAAAAGCAGCTACCGCAAAGCATGCTGGTGCGCAAGAGGATTTAATGATTATATGTTGACATTAAGGCATGAGCTCTACAAGGATTAGTCTTGGGACCCATTCTTCTTAATTTGTTCACTTGTGGCATGGTGTTTCTAAAGGTTTCAATAAGGATGGCGTATCAACCGTGGATGGTGTATACAATTTCAGATCCATTTTTAGAATAAACAACTTAACTTTGAGGTAATCCTTGAAGCAAATTAACCTATCGGTCTCAGAAACTTTCTACCTGATTCTTATTCTTCAAAAGTGGCGCATAATTTCCAAAAAAGGGGCGCCAGACTTGCTTCAACTTGTCGAGGCAGGGGCAACTGCCCCTAGTTGTCACTGATTTGTTAAAGCAGGTTAGAATCTATGTGTCAGCTGAACCTGATGTGGACCTGCTACTACTCTAAATGTCGTACAAAAAAGCTTTCTTTGGGGAATATTGAAACCAATCGCCAAATGGCTCTGCAAATTTTTTATTCCTCTTGTTATACCTGCCAAGGTCCTTTCTCATTTACTTTTCATCAAAATTCAAATCTTTATTCGAAATACTAGATTGAATCTATTAAAATTATTGTTAATACTTTATCTTGTTACAAATAAAGATTACCCATAATTCTTTACGTCTGCACCATTTGAAAAGTTAGTAAAATAAGTTAGCAAAAATTAAACTAGAATCATGCAAAAACATTTTCAATCGATAGTACAGACATATTGCTAGTGTGGGGCTAATGCTATAGATTAAAGGAAACGCGTGTAAAGATTTATTTTATGAAAGTCATTTGCTACGCAACTGAGCAGTAGATATCTAAAGCTGGAACGATATGCAGAATCTGAAAATCATCATTCTAGTGTTTTGCTTTAAATGAACCCACCCCTTTGCTATTCAAGAAAGTTATTCGTATCAGCAGTCCCCACATCTTCCAGGGTGATATTACACCCCTACAAGAATGGGAGCTGTAAGCATAAAGTACTAAATGGGCATTCCTTGTAGAGTTTAGCGGTAGATAAGCTAAGTCAATGGTTTTTTCTCACGTATATTAAGTTACAGAGACCCTGGCAGACTGTAATGAGCTGTTACGTTATAGTAAGACACAAACCTCACTGACCGTTCCACAATGGGACAGTGCGCTATGTGTGAAATAAATATGCACGAAACATACCGTAGACTCTGAGCACTGACAAACTATTTGCTCAACCGAAGTAGTTCTCAGGGCTCCGCCCTAGAAAATTGGGAATGGTGACTGTGGTGTAGGGAACGTGTAGAAGCCACACGCAAACCACACTCATTCTCACACCTTATATACTTGCATTTTTGAAAGATACCCTGTTGTGTATATGAAATCATTCAAACTACACATCGATTCTAAGAGGCTAATTGAATGAATAAATCAATAACATAATAAAGGGTTAACTCACACCAAGGAAGGAATTCACCCTTCCAAACATATACCGGCTTGTTAAAGGGAGGCGCAGCCCCCAAAAATCTTCATTTACTGCAACAAGGGGTTTGAGCCCAACCCATCCCCCCACCTCGAGCCCCCCCCCCCCCCACTCGAGCCTCCCCCACCTCGAGCTCCCCCCCACCTCGAGTCCCCCACCCTATCCACGAAACTACTGGATCTCACTCATAAGAAGACCAATTCTTAATGATGCGGATAGGATTTCACTTAGGAATTCTCTTTGTGTCTTTATCCTTCGGAGCCCTAACGAGACATGGTCTTAGGGGTGACCCAGAAGATCGAATTTGATAAGTCAGATCCGTGCGCTCTATCATTCGGGCAAGGCCTGCCTGTTTCAGTAGAACTCTATGCGACCATAGTCGTGAGGAAATTTTTTTCTAACCATGATGCGACAAACCATTGTCGCTTAAAGTGCCTATGCAGCGAAATTTACCATTTCAATATTAAAAGAAATCTATTGCAATAATAGAAAGTTTGATACGCTGAAAAGACAGGATATGGACCCGAACTGAAAATTGCCCCTTTCAGCTTTTTTAGCTGGGGTACTTTGCCCCAAGACTCTACCGGCGATATTGCGATATCTCTGCTGTAAGTGAGTACAATAACATGAAACTTTGTAACAAGTGACAATCTGATACGCTAAAAATGAAAGGATAAAGATCCCGACTAAAAATTGCCCCCTTGTTTTATTTTTAGACTGGGGTACTTTGCCTTATTATTGTATCTCAGTCTCACTTTGGTAGAATAGCATGAAACTGTGCAATAAGGGGCAGTTTGATACGCTTTAAAAGATAGGATATGGACCTCGGCTGAAAATTGCCCCTTTGTTCTATTTTTAGACTGGGGTACTTTGCCGTAGACTTTTATGGACGGTATTATCGTATCTTAGTCTCACTTTGGTAGAGTAGCATGAAACCTTTCAATAAGGAGCAGTTTGATACGCTTATAAAGAAAGGATATGGACCCCGACTGAAAATTGCTCCCCGAGTGCAAGATATGAATAGGAACTATAACACATCTTTCTCACCGTATCAAACTGCCTTTATATTGAGAATTTCCGTTCTCCGTTTATGGCCAATGGTATAAACAGGGGTCTGAATCAGAGCAGCCCAGTCTAAAAATAGAACTTAGGGGCAAGGTATGATTTGGTTCGATATCCAATCAATTTCTGTATGTCAAACTGTCTTTATATCGAGAATTCCAAGTTTCTATGACCTGGCGTTCCCCGTTTGTTGCCAGGGGTCTGGACCAGAGTACCCCAGTCTAAAAATAGAATTTAGGGGGCATCATATGATTTGGGTTCATTTTACATCTTTTCGGCTCGTTAAACTGCCTTTATACTGTGAATTTCAACTTTCTATGAACTGGAATTCTCTGTTTATGGCCAATTGTACAATTATGGGTCTGGACCAGAGTACCCCAGTCTTAAAATAGAATTTAGGGGCAAATTATGAATCGGGTCTAAATCATACCTTTTTTGTCTTGTTAAACTGTCTTTTTATTGTGAATTTCAACTTTCTATGACCTGGCGTTTTCCGTTTATGACCAAAGGTACAATTAGGGGTCTTGCCTGGAGTACCCCAGTCTAAAAATAGATCTTATGGGCAAGATATGATTTGGGTCTTTATCACATCTTTTTCAGCGTATCAAACTTGGTGTGTTCTGAAATTTTGGTGCTTGTATCACAATTTGCACAATTTTTCTTCATATCTCCCTCACTAAAACCTATTCTGTACAACCGCAGTTTCCACGTCACAAACTGGCCTTGATTTTCGCAGGTACCACCTAATTTCAAACACACTTTCGTGGTCAAATTATGACAATTTTGGTGTCAAACGTATCGGAAAAGATAGGAAAACATAACTCTTAAAAAAAATCAGGACATAAAATTTCGCTGCATAGACACTTTAAAATAGCACTATCACTTTAGCAGGCAGGGACCACAGGCTAAGGTGCTTTAGGAAGTAGCATTTAAGTCTCATGAGGAACTTATATAGACGGATATCTATTGTTTGGAGTGTCTCAGTGGACAACTGTAACTCGATAAAGTTTAATCATGTCTTCAATTACTTTTCCGCGAAAGAGATTAACAGGAACAAAGAAAAAACTACAATTGAAAGAGTAAAGATTACTTGGGTTTAAACGGAGCTGAAAACAATTGCAATCTAATCCACGAGAACATCGTGTTTAATAAAGCCACAATTGCTACTTGCTTTAAATTGCACCAGCATCAACTGGTTGACGCAGAAAGTGCATTGAAAATTGCGATAAACTGCATTAGTGTGATCCACAAGCAACAACATATTCTGCACTTCCTTAGTTGCAAGAACCCTGAAGAGGTGAGTCTTTACCTTAATAGAAGGATATCAAACAGCTCTGAGCTCAGTTAGGTTCTTTAACTTTTTGACGGCGTTATTCGGTTTTAAATTCACAAGTCCTGAAAACTGCATCGTTAAAACGGCGATGACAGTTAACGGTAACGACATAGAACCATCAATAATGGAAAATACCAGAATCTTTTGAAATTTTCTAAACTTCCCCCTGATTTTGCAAGATTGTAGCATGTGTTTCACCCAAGACTGAGACTTTCTCTTGTTTGCAAGCAGGACAACTATGGTAACGGGGTGATTCCCTCAATCAACGATTCAGCGTTGAAGGGTGGTAGAATTACTTAGCAACTTAGAAATTGTAGGTTTTTGAAGAAAATCAGCTGAAGTCAAAAAGGTTAGTAAAAGGGGTGCGATGATTATTCTATGGCGCTGTAGGGGCATTCCTCTACATTGTATGTTTTGTTAATTCTACTTTATATGTTCTAAATATATGACTGTGTGTTCTTAGGTAACTGTAGTAGCTTTATTTACACTCGTTCTTCCAGTCTTGCAGTTTGCATATGTCTACATTACATACTGTTGCGATGAATAAAACTACACGCTCATTAAATACTGCAGATCATATTCTTTTCTGATAAACTTGACCACCCCACCCCAACCCCAACCCAACTCAACTCAACCCACCCCACCATCCGGCATCTTGTGACGTCACCATCAGAACCTTCGCCACAACCTGTTGCCAACGAAACACCAAGAGCCAGTAAGGAAATTAAATCCGACATAAAATTATACAAAAAGAATAAAATAAACAGTTCACAGGTAGCTGTATTGTTCCCACAATTTTTCAATCTTATTATTTTAAAATACAGTGTTTCAATTATTCTTACATTCATACAATCTTTTGGTGGTACAAAACTTGTAAATAGCTTTGAAAAAAGCAAACATTTAGTAAACTAAAGCTTTTCGTCTGACACTCTTCAATAGTTTAAAACGTCAGAACATAGATCGAAAACTATGTTCTATAAACTAAGTTTTCGATCTATGTTCTGACGTTTTAAACTCTGAAGAGTGTCAGACGAAAAGCTTTAGTTTACTAAATGTTTGCTTTTTTCAAAGCTTCTTACATTCATGATAAGCAACGTATTTTGACAACATTATATTTTTTCAAGCTCTTTGATGATTGCCAGTCAAAAACTCGTTAACATATTTATCAATGATTGATGTCACTGAAAATTTTATGCAAAACATAAAACTCATTATAAAGCTCTTGCTTAATGTTGAAACAATCAAAGAGAATTAAAAAATTTCAACAGTAATTAATATTTAAAAGTTTTCCCTCTGAAAACAATACTCCTCTTATAATCGTAATCTTTCTCTACTTCATTGGTTTAAATCAAAATAAATGATTGCAAATCCTTCTAAATTTCAAGCTATCAAAATCGACAGCAAAGATAAATGCATAAATGAGTTTGAAATTGACCAAAAATTTGCAATTAAAATAGAAAAAAACGTTACTTTGCTTGGTGTTCAGATCGATGAAAATTTAAAGTTTGATGTTCATATCGATAAGATCTGTAAAAAGGCAGCTAAACAGTTAAATTTTGTAAAAAGATTGGCAAGATTTATGGGCGACAGAGAAAAAAAGATAATTATGAATTCGTTTATACTATGTCACTTCAATTATTGTCCATTGATATGAAAGCTGTGTGGTAAAGGAAGTCAGGATAAGCTGGAGAAAATTAACGAGAGGGGATTAAGACTAGCCTATTGGGACTATTCATCTTCGAACAAAGATTTACTTGCTAACTCAAAAGAAATCATGTCCAATCAGTTAGAATTTTAGCGCTAGAAGTTTATAAAACACTTAACAACCTTAATCCTGTTTTCATGAAAGACTTTTTTGTACCCAAAACAACAGGTCATAACCTTCGACTCAAAAACCCCCTTGACATTCCAAAAGCCAGAACTACCAATAATGGTATCAGATCATTAAGTTTTCAAGGGCCTAAAATCTGGAATTCACTCCCGGAATCAATAAAGACAGCACAAAGTACTAGACACATCAAGAATTTGATCAAAACTTGGTTCTTTGAAAACAAGTGCGCATGCTCATTTTGCAGTAAATGAACTGTTTTTTTGCAATCCTTGAAATTGCTTCATGTTAGGCTTAATTAGTGTATATTCACAATTGTAAAAACTAACATTAAATAATCTACAATACAATAAAATAAATAACATACAATACAATACAATACAATACAATACAATACAATACAATACAATACAATACAATACAATACAATACAATACTTGTTAAGGCCATAATTTTGATCAAACGCCATAGCACCAAAAAAAACTAAAATCATATACAAACTCCTAATGCTGTTAATTTTCCAGAACTTTTATCATTACCAAAAATTTGCAGAGTTATACCCTGGGTGCCAGAGCCTCAGTGAAAGGGTGGGTCGGTCCGACTATCTTTTCTACTGTGGCATTGGTACTTAGAGTCTTAGCAGTAGAAAACACTGTCCCCTTTTTCGGTCAATGATAGCATATTTACCTGTGGCACCATGTCAAAATGAAAAACCAAACTTAATCCAAGCTGACGAGGTATCAAGTAACATCTAAAGTCAAGTACTAAATTATAAATTTATATGAATATATATTTGCTCCATTTTGGTACTCCTCAGTTATAAATCTTTCTTTAGCATGTAGCACTCTAACCATAAATAAAATTTTCACTGAAAATAATATCAAAATGTTTCTCGATAAATAGATGAAAAAAAACAGAATAAAAAGTTGGTATTAGTTCACCAAAGCGCATTGCAGACGGGGTACACACAGAGTTGCCTTAGATGAGAGTTGGGGGCTCAATCCCATTGTTAAAATCCATAAAGATTTCGGGGGGCTCAGCACCATTCTAACAATTAGCACCTGTTTTGTTGGACGATTTCTGAACTAGCAACCCTTTATTTTGCTATAGATATTCCTCGAATGAGCGATTAACCATCAGTCTTTTTCAGTTGTTGGATAATTAGAATGATTTCGTGCACACAATAGAAAACATAGAATCTTTGACAAAATGCAAGTATATTTAGTGTGGTCATGGGTGTGTCTTCTTGACGTTGCTTACCGCACAGCCCCTCCTAACTTTCTTGGATGGCATCCCTGGGTACACAGAAGTTGTATTCCCTTATCATAACGTCTGCAAATTGATGACCTTAATCTAACTCTGGATGCTGCAGCAATAAAAGACATTTTTCTTTCGGCATTTTTCATTAAGACCAAAGGCAGTTAAGATTGCAGTTGTATGCGCGATTGTTCAAATCACTGATCAAATGCTGACACGAGTCTATCTGTGGCTCAGACCTACCACCTTATTTGTTGATTGGCTTGGACCAGGCTACACCCCATTCAAAGCATGCGGCTTTTGCGGGCACCTGCTTTTAATAGAATAGATAGAAATTGGGAAAAGGCTATTGAGGAACTAAAAATTTTCCTGCAAGAAGCACTTAAATAGTCACCCTTAACACTCAATTCTTTTCAACCCCTATGCTAAAAGAAGAAACGACCAAGGGTAAAAATTTCCCCATAAGAACGGCCTATGAAGATGAGCCAGATGTTCACCCTGTGTTATTCACGATTTTCCAAAAAACCAAATCTGACGAAACATTTTCAATTTCAGTGTGAAGCGAGAAAGCCCAAAAATGTCACAGAGAAGTGAATCCGAAGAGATCTTAGACCGAATCCAAAATCAAAAAGGCGTGACTGGATTAATCGTCGTTAACCCAGAAGGTATGCTTGCATAAGCTTTATACGCTAACGAACACATTAAGGTATTATTCAATCTAACGTACAATCAAAATAAGGATTTGTTCAATCTAATGTTCAATCTTCAAGATTCAGGTTTTCCTAGAAGCAACCAAAATCATATCTCCGTAATTATACAGTAAACTTTCCCGTGAAACTAGAATTATTGTCCGCTTCAAGGACGCATTCATTACTAGGAGATACCCTGTACTTACAAACACAAAATAGAGTACTCGAGACTGGAATCTAAGACATTAGCAGGGTTTGCATCGCACACTGAAAATTATCCTGTCTAGTTAAAACCAATACATAGGTACAATTATCAGTCACATCCCAGTGATGTAGTTTTTTGACCGTAGGTGTACCAGTTCGATCCAGTATGGACAACGGAACAACCCAACAGTACATCGCCCTGTCAAAAACGATGGCAAAGCTCGCAAGAGGTCTTGTGCGTGACGTTGATCCCATGAATGACCTTCAGTTTCTTAGAATCAAGACGCGGCGATCAGAGATCATGATTGCTCCAGAGGTCCAATCAAAAGACAAAGTAAGCTATCTGATAGTTGTCCAGAACGAGGATTGATTTTCGTGAAAACGAGGTGCAGGTATCAAGTGGAGGACCGATGAATTGTACATAGACTTCTTAGAATCGATTAAGGGTAACATTTACTAAAACACGAGAAGACTAAAGAGTTCTGTATGATATACATTATACAGAGATTTTACTTCGATGATTTTAATCACCTATGAATACCAGATGCTTGATTTCAAGTCATCTGCATTTATTTGACAGTGTTTTAAATTCGTTTATGACGATGTTAATTAGGAACTGTAAACTAAAAATTTGAACATAAAAAATTCATTTGTGAATCTTCCATTTCATTTCGCTGTAATTCTTTGTTTTGGAAGCAATGAAAGGATCTTAACTCTGTGATAAGCAAGAAGAAACCTATCGCAAAATATCCGTCATTTCATGAGATTATGTCGCCATGGTAAAACAGAAACATGCTTCATCCTTTATCTAGTGAAGAAAGTGGGGGTAGGGTATCCCCCTTAAAGGAAAACTTTTTTACAGCTAGCGGTAACCCAATTAAAAGATTCCCTTCCTTTTGTCCTTGTTGTTTAGGACCTTTTTATAACAAAAGCCAGGCCTCAATCCTGACACCTGCTATGTTTTTTGTTGACAACTAAAGTCGCAAATTTACATAAATTTAAAAATTTGTATTTGTTCCAAAAATTATTTGTAAGGGAAGGCAACCCCTTCATCAACAATTTGCGTTTCTCGTTAATCGAATACAAAGGTTGTCTCCAGTTTGCATCCAATCGTATTTAACCAAAATAAAACAAAATCCTTACTTTACATCTGTGAGGGTGGGTTTATGCCAATTAATTTGAAAGCGTTCAGCATTACCTGGAAAAAATCAAGAAGTCATACAAGTAATATAAAACACGGACCGTTAATTAGCATCAAGGAGCGAAAGTTCACTTTTTTACTTTCAGTTAACCGAAAAATAAAGGGAAAAGCAGGAAAAAGTTTAAAAATTAAATTTTTAAAGAAGGGCGATTGTGTAAATTTAAAGGTTCCCCGCTGTCTGTTGTTATACTTGTTTTTCTGCAGGGTTCCCTAAAACTTTGTGTTGGCAAGACAAACGATCGGGAGAAATGTTACTAAAAGCAGCAGAGTTTCATTTACCGTACTAAGAACCTGCCTTGATTTAAATGTTAGTTTTTGACTATCAGAATGTTGAAAACATAACTGGACTCGGAACTCAAGGTTCCAATGATGTTCTGATATTTAACCGCTTTTAGGCACGTTTAGACGGTTTAGAAAACACTTCAAAAACAAGTTCTGTTTGACGATCCTACTGTTCATCATTTCTTAAATATTACAAACGTTTGACAGTTTTTTGAACATCTGTCATTGTTATTCTCATTAATTGATTAAGATGTGCATCTGTCAGGCGACTCCGGTTTTTATTCTTGATAAAGTTCATTCGAGAAAACCCCAACCCGCATACATATGTGCTGCCAAACATAGACAGAATTCGAATGGCAACATTTTTTATCTGGGGGTACCTCTCGAGGCTTTCCCAAAAGAAAACAGGATCAGATGGATTGAAATTTGAAGTAACGTCCTCCTTTATGTCGATCACCTGGGTTGCAATGGCAGCAATATCCACATTATTGAAAATACCATGCACATGGTCTGCAAAAACGAGTGGATCTTGAATTGATGACGGGTAGGCAATGCCTGCAAGCAAATCCTTGCTCAGTTTAAAATCACCAAATCTCATCTCAAAATTTTCCTGCAGTCGCTTAGGGAAAACCAGATGGCTAATGGGGTCCACTGAGAGGGATTCCTGAAAGGCTTTGAGGGTGGGGAAAATATCATCTGTCCTTCGATGTCAGCAATGTACATGGCAATTTTACTTCTGAAGCTGTTGATCTCAGACATCAAGTTGCAGATGGTATGATTCATCCCTTCTAGACTGAGATTGAGATGGTTCAGATGCTTTGTAATATCCACTAAGAATGCAACGATTTGCATTTTTTTCTGGGTTGATAAGGAACGGACTGAATTCAGCTGCCTTTGTTGACGGATCTAACTCAAGAAATTGCTTCAGCGCTGTGTGCATCTGCCAGAATCTCGCAAGCACCTTCCCCTGGCTAAGCCAGCGTACAGTATCAAGTAGCAGCAAGTCATCAAACTCGGTATCAACAATTTGCAAAAATCCTCTCAATTGTCGATGGCGTAGAGACAATGCTGCACGGAAATAGTTGACCAATTTCATAATGGTAGTCATGCACTCCTTGTACTGATCACCAAGTTTAGCGCAGTGGACACTCTGATGTATTATGCAGTGGTAATTTGGAATGTGTGGATAATCATTCTTGTGACAAAACCCTGTTTGGGACCAATCATAGCTGGTGCTCCATCTGTGGCAACTGATGTCAACCTAAAGGCAATCTGTCACGACGTTGATTGGTTATAAGAACAAAGAGATTTTTATTGTTTCCAGTCCCCCTTTAATTTATCGCATTGTAAAAATAATGGCGGAGCGCTGGAATCGTGTTTAGGCTATTGTTCCAGCTATTGTTCTCGTTAACCAATCCACAACGAGACAGATTGCCTTTAACCATGTCAAGTTTGATATCATCCATCATGGACCGAACCCCCTCATAAATATCTGCACCTGTTGTCTTCCCCTTCAATGTTCGCACACCAAGCAGGTCTTCATGAAATGTCTCATTCCAATGATATCTAATACAATAGATGAAAAATAGAATAAATTCGGTATCATAAAAATGTCTCTTGCATGGTAACAAACTACACTCATTTTTTTATAAGAAACTGGCTATAAGAAACGAGTACTGGACAGTCAGAAAAAATTAAGAAACTTCAGTGCTCGAAGCAAAAATTAAGAAACTATTAAATCGTGATAAAACAGAGAACAACGAAATTTTGTAAAATCCAAGAACCAGATTGCCCTGTTGGCCTAGAACTTAAGACAGAAGGGATAAAGATATACTTCCCACATCTAAATACAGCATCGGAACGGAAGCGAAACTCTTGACGTGATAAAAATGTCACGATCATTTCATAACATCATTCATGACATCATAATTAAGAAACTCTTAAGAAACAATGAGCATTGAAATTTCCAGAACATTAAGAAACTGGAGTACTCAAAATCGACCTTTGTTTCTTATAAAGAAATGAGTGTATTGCAATAAAAGTTTGAATATTATTTTATAATGTAAACTTTTACGAAATATTTGCAAAACACATAATTTATTTTATCTATACATGGCCAGGTAAAGTATACCTTGTGAAGCTGATAGGTTTTATAGTTATGACTCACATGTCAGCACCTTTATGTAAAAAACATTAAAATATAATGTCCTTTGGGACAGTTTTGTAAAAATGAAAGTGAAACACCAATGAGTGTATACACAGAAAGACACAACAAACAAAATAATGAGAGGAAACAAACTTGCCTTATAGATATTAACAGCTGGGCATCTTCTTTTTTATCTGCCCTCTGATTCTCCGTCGAAAAAGAACTCATCAAGGTGGGTCCTCGTCAAGGTGGTTCCTCGCGTTGCAGATCTTTGGAGTCTCGACAATTCATTTTTTCTAACGTCCGGAAATTTTTCATTGAAATGGCTATGTACTTGGGTGTGATGTCGCTGTATGTTCCATTTCTTAAAAACTGGGACAGCTGCTAGGCAAATTAAACATTTTGGCAGCTTTGAGGATGGACATTCATAAAAAGCAAATTCTTGAGTCCAAGCGTCATTAAATTTCCTATTTTCGCGGTCAACTTTTCTTTTCTTGCTTTCCGACATGTTGTGTGGCATCAAATGGTATCTGTGGCTGGATGATGACTTCAACACTACATGTTTTAATTTCATACCTGGCATCAAATCGCTGAAGCCACCTTGTTTGGCAGTCGGCGCCAATGTGTTTGGTATCAATTCATCATAGACCACACTTAACCTTATCATACTTTTATAACTATAAACAAAATACGTGCTTCAAAAACAAATTTAGTTGAATCCTTTTTAAAGAACAATTTTAAGGTTACGGTAAACGTTTTGAACACGAAAATTGGTTTTTTCTTCCTAAAGGCCAAACGGCTCAAGGAATCTGGATAAACTATATATCATTCGATGCACAAGATTATGGCGTATCTAGCCAGATAAAAAGTATTGGCAAATAATGTTAAATGTTATTTCCATGCGAATTTACTGGTCAAAAAGTGTACCACCTTCAAAAGCTATTATGTACCCTTGCGTTTGAGGTAACAAAATCTGACTTAGACTAGCAGGAAGTGCAGGTCCTAAGCTACCAAAGTGTGTCTCAGATTTTTTAAATTCCTCCTCTTCTTGAAACTATGCACTGTCAAAAATTGGCAAATAATTGTTCCACCCTCCCGCAGCTGTATTTGGGTATAAAAGACGGACCAGAGAAAATAAAAAAATTTTGAGACACACTTTGTTTGCCCAACGTCTGCCCTGGCCGTGTGCAAATTTTCGAGCCATTCGATTGGTTCCTTGGGTACATAATAGCTTTTTCGTACCTGCATGTACGGACATTTCGAGTCCGGAGAAAACGGGATTTTACTGATCGCACTTGCAAGATACACTCGTAAACCACAGTGTAATCCGGGTCAAGTCACTTGAAGTTTTAAGATCAATAAGCCTGTTTAAATAAACACGGCCGTACATTGGGTATATGGATGTGCCATGCGATATTGTAAATGAGACATGCGACTACAACCGCAAAGCAACGATAATCGGCTTAAAAGGTCAAGAGATTTTCAGGCCTCAACTAAAAGTTTTGATAAAGAAATTAAGGAAACCTTCGTTTACATGGGATTTTTTCCACTTTCAAAATTTCTGTTTGTTTCAAATTTGGTGTCATTGTGTGCCTTGAAAGTTCGGCTACTTGAATGTGAAAAAATCGAAAAAATGATGTTTTCATCCAGCAAACGTTTACCGTAACCTTAAAAGTACAGTGGAACCTCCATATAACGGACACCAGTGGGACCAATGTTATTGTCCGTTGTAGAGAGGAGT